AGAACGCAATACATACGGTATAAAGAATTTGGCCTTAATAAACGCATCCTTTAATCGTTGTTGTTTTTCTAACAACAACTGATATTCGTCTACAAAGACTGATTCGATTTTAGCGATCATCTGGTCGGCTTCCTCTCGACTAACGCCTTCTATCGGCGTGCTATCGTCTGTCAGGAAAAGAATATCCTGTCGAGACTTATGAAACAATTCGGTTAGTTCTTGTACTTCGAATACAAAAACCCGATATTCCTGCCATATTACACCAAACGTGGCTTTTGCCACGGGTGTCGGAACAATTTCGGTATTAGCGGTTGATTTATTAGGAATTATAGCAGCATTAATAGTGGGTTCCGATGCCACGGGTATCGGAACAATTTCGTTACTAGTACTCGGTTTCGATATTTCTTCTGTACTTGAATTTACTATAATAGCGGTATTAATCGTGCGAATCCACTGCAGCTCATTTTTGCGTACAGTGTAAGCGGTATTTGCCAAAAAATCTTGGCCTAATAGTACTTTAATATCATCGACAGTTGGCCTAATATAAAAAGCATGGTCGACGATTCGATTTTGTACTTGTATCGCGGCAACACAATAATGTGTCACCGGGAATCCGCGCGTACCGCCGATTCCCTTAATATTTAACGGTTTAATTAACGGTATTTTCTCTAATTTTAGCTCGTCGACGAATTCATTGGAAATTAGCGACGTTTCGGCTCCGGTATCAATCATTATGTGCGTCGTGTATCCTTGGACGCGACCCATTAGGATTAACGGCGCGGCACGTTTAGGTTCATTAATAGAATCGACGGTAGTATGATTTATATTTATATCGCTTAATTCGGAATTAATCGGTTCAATTAGCTCGGTGATTCGGATACCACTAATTCGGATAGATTCAGTAGTATCCGGCGGTTCACCAGGCAACAGGGGAGTGTCGCCGGAATCTACTCCCCGTTGTCGTTTTCCTGGCTATCGGTGGGCGCAGCAAAAGTACTTTTCTGCGGCGGCGGTGAACGTGGCGTCGGCGATGACCCATACTGTTGGCCAGCTGGACGACCACGAGACTGTGAATTATTACGAGAGCGGCCACCGTTAGGCGTGCTCGCTCCACTACCGGTTCGACTGCCACGACCCTGGTAGAAATCCCGAGCATATCGGCGATTCCCAGTCAGCGGATCGTGGTACGATAAATAAATAGGATTTTCGGCTCGCGGCACGTCTTTAAACTGACATGCCTCATAGTAGTGTCCGCAGACATCGCACTGTTGGCAGTATTCCACTACCCGACCATTTCGCATTTCCTTTTCCAGTCGCGGGGCCTTATCGGTATTTTCTGGAATTCGTCCAGAATTTTCGGCCCACAACTGGGAGCGGTTCGATTGTTGATTGCCGGTATTATTAGCATTACTGTTATTAGTATTACCGGCTGGTCTTACATTGCTATTATTATTAGCGTTATTAGCCGGCCTAACATTGCTGTTATTAACCGGTCGGTACGGTCGCCTATTTGCAGCGTTATTCCCACTATTACTTGGGCGCGGCGGACTAGCTGCCGCTGCTGCGTAACTTATCGGTTTCGGTTGTGCCTGCATCGTTCGAACGGTTGCAGAATCAGCATCTTGCTGTCGCTTCTTATTCCCCACAGGGATAACATATTTAGCGGGATTACTCGACGATAAATGTCGAATAATTTCGAGAAATTTCTCCGGTGTGCGAGGATCCATTACCTCGAGCTTGTCGTGCAACTTTTCGTGTGTTCGCACACCCTTCAGCAAAAGAGTGACGACTTGTTCCGGAGAACCGGTAAAACCAGCACGATCGCGAAGAGTCATCATCGACTGGAAATAGGTTTCCAGTGTTTCCTGCCCTGGGCGATAAGTGCGGCTAGTTAGTTCGGCTAGCGCATTAACGGTGCGTCGGGTATCCCCGAACCGCGCGATCAACTGTTCGCGCCATTCCCGGTATGTATTCGGCTTATTATTCGAGGCGATTAGACCATTATACCAGATAATGGCTTCGTCCTTCAGACAATATGCCAATTCGGTGATTTTACGAGTATCGCTATTCCAGCGATTCTCTTTCGCTGCCTGTTCGAATTTGATCAGAAAGCTATCGACGTCTTCCTTGCTTCCGTTATAAGACGGCCGCGGAACGGGCTGTCTCATCGCATCGGCAAGGTCGGTTTTCCTAATAGGACTATTAGTCCGACTAGCCCGCTTACTATTATTCCGCAGTTCCTCTTGCAGAACCTTGCGGATTAACTCTGCTTCGGTTAAAGTTATTCGTTCCTTACGGTTTTCTGTGCTAGATGCTGAATCCATGCGGGATTGCTGGGTTTCGGTGTTCCCAGTCCGCACTCGACTAGCCGGTCTCTCTTCATATTCGCCCTGACTCTCATTAGCAGCGCTTATTAATTGCTGGTATTTCGCTAATAAGTCATTATACTTATTAGCTAACGCATTATACTGCGATCGGCTGCTTTCGATGAACGCTTCGAGTTCCTTGATCGTTTTTAGACGATCGTTTGATTCTGTCGATAATCGACCGGTTTCCTGAAACGCTTGGAGATATTGCTCCTGCGATTTACGAACTGATTTATCGGCCTCTAACAATTCTGCTTTTAATCGATCGATCGCTTCATCGCGTTCGATAACTTTATCACGCAGCCCTAAAGCGGCATCATATGCTTTTTGATGGCTGCCCTTCGCTACACGCAATTGTTCTTGTAAATTATCCTTTTCTTTCTTTAACTCTTCGCGTTCCTTTTTTAGCTCTTCTCTTTCTTTTCTCGCTTCATCTCTCTCCTTCTTTACATCCGAAATAACCCGATCGCGACGGGTTAAACCGGACTCAGCTTTCTTCAAACGATTCAATAAGTCGGTATTGTCAACTTGTAGTTGAACAATGGTACCACTCGCTTTAGCAGCGCCGATTATTGCAACTTTTTCTCCGATCGACGTTATCAGACTCACGGGCGTTAAATCACGGCCCAATGCCTTATCGATTAGATTCGGACTGCTATGTGCCTTCTGAAATCTAGGCACCACTGTCTGCGGTTCATCGTCATCTGACGTGTCGATTTCCTTTTCGTTCTCAGTATCATCGATGATTGAAACCGATGATAACGTTGATCCGATCGATTCAACATTACTGTCGGATTTTTCCACATTAGCCGGTAACATTTCAGGAATTTCGAAAATATTCTCGTCCAGATTTATCTGGTCGGTCGGTTCTACTTCTGTTTCGTCCGGCGCCGGTAAATCTGCCAGAGGCTGTCGCTCTTTTACTCGTTTTGTCACCATCGGTAATTCCTGGTGAAAAAATGATACCCCGGTATTTTTGATTTTATTTCGCGTTAATTTCCCTGGAGGATTAGTTACTTCCTCACTGGGTCGGTTCGCATCGCTATCGTCACTGTCGGACTGATTACGGATTATCCGCCCGGCTGATCGCACGGCCTCGGCGGCAAAATGCTTCACTTTAGCTAACGGTGTACGATGCATGTTTGAATTGTCAAAAAATATTCGATAATTATCACGATTATACTGCAGTAGATTATACGGCAGGTCGTACGGTAAATCTACTTCTAACTCCCATAATTGATTCGGTTCGTCAATAAATTCGATCAAATCGCGTAGCGATTTTCGATTTAAATCTAACGAAATATACTGAGCAATTTCGGTAATTGTTCACTAAATTATCGATGATTGATTTGCACGAATTTCGGTTTAAACGAATTGCGATTCATTAGATTGCTACGATAATTATTGCAATTTAATCTGCAATATCGGTAATATCGAGTAGTACTATACAGCACGGTTGCTTTGCAGCTTCCGTGTTCGGTCAAGTCATCAGAGATGTTCGATTAATTCGATCAGATATTTCTGGTATTTCTACCGGAAATATTACGGCTAAATACAAATGATTTCAGTGAAGAAATCGAGAATTACGCGATAGGGTTAGCGTTAGAACGATAATACGATGACACAGCACAGATGCTTTTACAGCTTCTGTGATCGATAAACTTTTATTCAAAATATTCGGTAATATCGATTCATTACTTCTGGTATTTCTACCAGAATAATTCGATGAAGTATGATCGAATTTAATTATGAAAAATCGAAAACACACGGTAGTAATAACGCTAAATACGATATTTCGATAATATTACACAGGTGCTTAAAGCTACTGTGTTCGATCACCAATTCTAGAAAGGATCGACATTCTTCCTTCTAAAATTATTCGGTAGCAAGGCCTAGACGACCTTGATCGGTATCTGCAGTTTGCAGCTTGGCTTACCTGCTAGCTGACGTGACTGTAGACGATGCGGTCGACGCTTGCTTGCTTGCTCCGAAATTCGACGTCCGGACGCAGTCTTTCGTTTCCCGCTCCTGATCCCACTAGGAAGCTCGCTTGTGGTCGGGGCTTCCCTCTGGTATGTAGAGGAGACGGATTCGGTGCGATGTTGACGGGAAATCGGCTCAGGAGCTCCGCGTTGTCGGGCTGCTGATATTAGGACTTCCTCGTCGCTTGCGTACGGCTATCGTCCACGCTTCGCTGTAGGCTGAAGGCAGACTGGTGGCCAGTACTGAGAATTCCGCTGATGCGCGCTATTGACTACGCGCCAAGTAAATTAAATCGAAAAATGAAGGGATACGGGAATCTTATTGCATCTCCACCATGTCAGCGTGGCGCTCGCGCTGCTAAGGAAAAACAGAACAAACGCCAGCCACAAACGATCTTTTATTAATTTTCGAAGAAAAGTAATAAAGGCGTGAAGCCCAAAAACATATCTCGTGCGCAAAACACAGTCGATCCGTAGAATGTAGATTCTGCGGAGAAGATGGCCAAGTGAATGGCAAAACCGATCGCAGATCGGTAAAACGAAAAAACAACTCACACGTGCAAGTGCGCAACTGTGCAACGGAAGTGGCGCGACTCTGCCTATCTATAAGGCAGCACCAACCTCCTAACACCTGCACGTCAAGAACTGTATGATGCTGTACTGTTTCGCCGATTCCGATGCGCACAAGAATCCTGAGCTAGCCGCCAGGGCGAAAAGTTTCGTTCTCAAACATTTTATGGGCATCTCGCAGGAACCAGAGTTCTTGCAGCTGCCGAAAGATTCGGTAGGCTGCCTTGGTGACTAACTACACTGTCTGTTATGCTCGTTTTAATATCCGAATAGCAATAAAGTACTGTAGCCATGTTTGACTGTTTCGGCTTAATTAATTTAATTTTTACAGGTTATCGACCTGATTCGCTGTGATGACTTGTACGTGCCGCACGAAGATGATGTGCTAGCGACCGTTGTTCGCTGGCTGCATCACGATTTTGAACAGCGTCGTGGGGAGTTTTGGGAGATGTTGCAGCATATTCGGCAGTTGTATCTCAGTCCACAATGCAGCGACCAGTACTTGCTGGCCTGCATTAACGCCTTCATGGATTATTCTGGTGCAGAGAACGATCCTCGTCCGTCCGAGCATCTGCAGGCCTTACCAGGGTATACCAACGAGGCATCCTCCGCCCGGTACACTGCAAGAAAATCTTGTGGTAAAGTTGCAGTCTTCGAACTTCCTACCGAATGCCACATTAAGCAGAAAAGGGATTATGCGTTCGTGCGTTCGCTTGTAGGTTTCGAGGACATCATCATCTGTGCCGGTGGTCTTGGTGATGTGGAAGCTAGATCGGCGCTCTACGGCACAGAATGCTTCCATCTACGCACTTCCAAATGGGGCAGAATCCCCAAGTTGCCGTATAGCGTGGCTTCAGCTGGCTTGGCGTTCATCAATAACGATCTATTCCTGTGCGGAGGATATATCGGCCGTGAGAACGGGACTGTGACGTCCCGGACACTGCGTTATAACAGCGCTCTGGCTGGCTGGATCGATGTGGCCCCGATGCAAACGGTCCACGATGATCTCGGAATCGCCGCTATAGGTGATCACCTTTACGTCGTGAGTGGTCATGATACTGCTTGGGATACATTAGCCGCAGTGGAGCGCTATGATGTGGCCACCAATCAGTGGACGTACGCGGCATCCTTACCGACGCCCTTGGAGAATTCAGCTGTCCTCAGTTTCGACGGTCAGCTGCTTACGTTCGGAGGTTGTGCGTCCGACGGGGCATTGATATACGATCTTGCATACTGTTATGATCCGGTAGCGGACGTGTGGAAGGAGCTCCCGCGGATGCCGACTGCACGATACTATGCCTCAGCCTGCCTCGGATCCGACGGATGGATCTACGTTATCGGTGCGCTAATACCAGTGATCTAGGGTAGCTTTTATCTCACAAAAGTATACCAGATTTTCCAATAGTCTGGTAAAAATTCCGTTAATGGATCTTGGCTGCTGTGTTACGTTGATACAATATATTCATAATAATTAGTTTGTTTATTCGTTGGGTAACTGAATGCCGACTGCGCTTTAGGTGGATGTAACACTTACGGCGATTTAAGAGACGTGTAGGCTTTCAATCCAAGGACTAAGCAGTGGACAGCGAAACGTTAGTGAAACGGATTCAGATCATGCAGTATTTATCTCATTATCGTGATTTTTATTTGACTCTTCCTAGCGGGGCAGGTAAGTAGGTTTTTCTTTGCCTGTAGGTTCCATGAGTTGTTCGCTGTATTCAATCGGGAGTTGTTGTGTCGGTGGCAAAATATATGTTCTGGGCGGCAATGCCGGAAATGTGGGACCGATGATCCAAATGTACGACGTATTCGCGGATACATGGGCGAGCTGTGATAGCCAGCTGGGGCATGGAAAATGGGACCTGGACTGTGCTGTAGTCGCAATCACCAAGGAGCGCGGTCAAAAGCTTTACATGTAAAACGGCTCACTGTTCAGGCAGGGTCACAGTGAGCCGCTCCCTAAACTTTATGGTTCTGCCTATAATTAATGTTGCGGAGAAGCAGCAATGCAGTGTTGGTTGGTTCGGAAAGATTTGTCTTTGGATTTATGAGCTTTGCTTTGTCAGCCGTCAAACCTTAATCACTCGTATTAAACAGGTTATGTTCAGTGCGCCGCTTTCGTAATTACGGAGGGAAGCAGTGAAGTATGGCTGCTTATGGAGAAAAGGTTGTAGCCGTAGAGAAAATTTTGTACGCCAGCAAAGTGGCTGCACTGAATGTCGTATATGGGTGAACTAAAGGTCATCGCCCTTCTTTGTTTCAATCTTTTCTGATGGTGGGTATACTGTACGAGTAATCAATCTGTTCCACCTGCGGAGGATAATTAATCTGGGCTGAAAGTGTTGACCCTCTGCAGATAGGGCGAATACTCCGGCCGGGTTCGATTTCCGCGATCAGCAGATGTTTTCGTATCAGTAGTTTCTAGGCATGCTCAGCCCAGTCATATGGCACCGCGTATAATAGTGCATTTGCGCTGTTACTTGTGTGGCACACAAGTAAGGATCCATCTATACAAGTAGCGCTAAACCCGCCCGGAAATGGGCTTTTGTGTAGGGCTCACAACGTGTTTCATCGAGCTGGTGTGCGGCACGCGTGTAGGTGCCAGCTACCTTGCATGCACACATACAACGCAGAAGCGATTGGCACAGCATTAAGTGTTGTAGACGCTGGCGTTGTAACCGAATCTGCGACTGCTGGCGCTACTGCTGACGTTGACGTTGATATGCTGTCTGATGCGGATCCGAACGCTGACGAAAAGCTGGACACCGACTAAAGCGGATAAAGCTGTGATTTGGAGGGTGACGATTCTCCGGAATGGAAAAGCATCATTGGAATGGATCTCATAAAATTGCATTTGATTTTCTTGTGATTGTTAACAATAGTATATGCCGCCGTTTGTGGTCGCATTTTGATCATACACTAATCGTGTTTGCGTGTTTGTTTCGATTTTCCATGGGTTTCGGGGGACCTCACCGTTCCACCCGTGGCATGTCAGGAGTTTGGTGCTACCGCACAGGTCGGTAGATTCGCGCCACTTCGTTTCGCCACTGCATAGATGCAGGGAGGCTCGTTCTGTTACGCACGCGCACGTGCGATTTCTTTTTCGATTTTTCACCGATCTGCGATCGGTTGTTCATTCGCTTGTGATCCGCGCTGCCAGAATTTAAGTACATTCTGACAGCTTGATTGTTTTTGCGCATGAGATTTGCTTTCTGGGCATTGTGCCTTTATTTCTTTCTTCGAAATGAATAAACGATCGTTTTGTGGCGCTGGTGTTTTCCTTGTTTTCCTTTTGTGGCGCTGGTGACACATGGACGATCAGTGAAAGCCAGATGCCGACCGGGAAATGGGCTTTTGGCTGCGGTGTAGTCGAGATTGCCAAGAAACGTAGACAGGATTTTTATGGGTAAAACAGCCAACGGTGGCCGCTGTCGCAAGGGAAGCTTGTTTTATGAGCATCTGATAAACACAGTACTGTAATTACATACGCGGAGAAATGTGATGTTGTTACGCTAGTAATGGTTTAACGTTTCTTATTTTAGAAATGGGTTGTATTTTGTTTCCGTTCTGCTCTCTTCTACTTAGTGTAACGTCTGTCTAGAAAATACTCTTTGCACTGAATAGTTGTTGCACCGATTGGCCCTTTATTTCTTTTGCCCGTTTTGTTATCAGCATAATGAACCGATCTGCCTCGCGAAAATATGTATTTGTTTGTCGTATAGGAAGCTGACAAGCCATGTTCGTTGAATTTCGGTTGAAGATGTTGTTCTGTGGTTTTTGTGCCTTGATTCTCCTGGTAGCCGGAAGATGTGCAGTGTAGCGCAGCGATTTACTTACGTTCTCCAAAGGTCACAATTGACTCATGACATTAATGCCCACCGTCGAGCTGGGCATGGTGTATTGTACTCCAAAGTGGCTAGAGCATGGTTCGGACGGTGACCTTCTGAAAACGCGACCAGATGTTTAATATTGTGCGTTGGTAGAGACGAATTTCTTACCATGACCGAAAAAGGAGAAAGCCCTGAGTTATTGCTCACCGAAAACGATAGCAAATGACAATCGAATTACAATGCATGTGTAGAGACAACCGTGGAATCCCTATTTCCTGCCGTCGGAAGGAACATAACTGCCTTTCGTGCTAGATCCGGTGTTCCAGAGGATCTTGTGCAGTACGAGTCTGTTACTCGTGTTCGCACAAAAATTGAGCTCGCATAATTAATGCACCAGTAAGCATGGAAATTGCACTCTGATGTAGAGGTTTTTTTATTAAGCCATAACTATCAATAGAACAAGGCGTTGCCGAACGCTACTTTACAAATGAAGCCAATAATTAAACCGAAATACAAAAAAACAATAATCTTGTGAGTTGTGGTTAGACGGCTATGTGCTCAACACAGTAAGTATTATGCTTTCTTCAGCCATCACAAATAAAACGGAAGGCAATCTGTTACAAAAGGATAAGCAGTAAATAGATTCGTATACCGACAAAACCGAATCTACATGGATATTTTGGATGAATACGACTCCACAGAAAATCGTATGTTATTCCAGCAAAGTAATGCCCCACGATCAGCCCAGCTGCCCAAGCTATACAGCGCACCCATGCTTTTCCAGAAATTGCGTCCGCGGCAATGGTAGCTGGTAGTCCACCATAAAAAGATCCCAGTGGCATTCCAGTGCACCGACCCTCTCCATTCTTCAGCACCGTCTCGAAACCCACGCCATACACACCGCCCACCATGCCACCCAGCAAAACACAGCCCACAGCAATTCCGATTCCTCTTCCCGACGAATGAGCCATATCGTACCTATCCGAAAAATACCAATCCGAAATATATCTTTTAACGGTATAGATACTCAAAATACGCAGAAAATTGCCAAATTCACGGTTAGTTAGTTAGATTCACGGTTAGACGCGAAGACGGGCGTTCGCGTCAAGGTCAGGCTGTACAATCGTAATCGGGCTGAACAGACATCACGGTACGTCGGTCTGACCTCAACTTGGCTACGATAAAATTGCTTACTGAAGTCTGTTGCACACTCGCAGTGGATCTACATATTGACGTGGGGAGGAGTGGATAGTACGTACTCATCCGTTTATCTTACTGTTTTACCTGTACGCCTTCTCTTACGTCACTGCTGTTGTCCTTATCTAGTCCTATCTCTCGTGTTTGATTTGCTGTTCTCTAAATCCTTGCAACGCGTATGATGCTGGTGTTTCTAGCCTATAAATTCTCATGTTATTCCTAATATCGACATCAGTCTTACGACTACTGATCTTGAGACATTCTTTTTTCTAACTTCCAAGTGTTGAGGAATGCGTTGTGAATTGGATTAAAGGGACAGCATGTTCTAACGGCTATCTTGATGTTCATGATCCGAGTCTGATCTTAGCATAGGATACCACAGTATGCTCGTGTCACAACTGACCTTCGCCCTTGTCTGATCCTCGCAGAAATCCGAGACCGGGAGTGAGAAGTAAGGCATTCGTTCGTGTGTTCGTGTTTCGCAGGGTTCCTGATAGGGATTCCTGGTTCCTGTATCTCTGTGTTCGTATCTCCATCGATCCTCCAAGTTGTTTCGCAGTACCAGTTTGAGATTCAAGAGTGCTCTACCGACTGAGATATAGGCAGGGAGAAGACCACACTCAAATCCCGTGCGTCCATGTTAATACGACATAACGCTACCGGATGGTTGTACTAGTCATTCACCACGACAATATCTTCTACTGACCAACGGTGTACCGAAAGTCATGTGTTCTGCGGCAGTCTAGCAATTTTGAGACGCGTTTATAGGTCAACTACTTGCAGTGAAGCAAGATTGGTTAACGAAGGCCATAAACAAAGGCGCTGTTCTAATATTGTAACGGCCATGCTGGCTACACTGTTTTGCATCCTTGTCGTGACCTTTCTTAAATATGCCTGATGTCCACCTTTCTGAGGTTGCAGGACAAACAGGTGTTCGGTTTCGCCCTAATGCTTTAAGTTTTGCAAGTCGCTGTGTATTCTCTTGAATATCTGAATATCGGCCTTTTTTCATCTGCATCGTTTTCTCGGGTATGAGTCGGTATGACATACGTCCATCGTCGCCCATGTGCAGCGATGACAGCGATGTTGCTTCCCTGCTTTCAGATTTCATGGTTTATACAGCAAAAGCAAACGAGTCTAAGCAGGGCGTAATCTGAGGGAAACCGAGAAACGGCTGAAAAAGGCGCCGATGGGGGAATCGAACCCCGGCTACGTCGTTAGATCCGCGTAGGCAGTACCACTGCACCACGGCGCAATACGTTGAAATCCTTTGAAAGATTTTATCACTGTACGTGAGCCGCTTCTCGCTTCACACGAGCAAAGCAAGAAAAGCGCAGATCCTGTTCGAGCGCGGATACGGATACTTCAAAAAATGTGTATTTCAGCAGCACCGTGCTTGCATAATCTGCTGTACTAAAACAGTGCTCGACGCAGTATCAATGTCGTTCTCGTTTCTGGCTTCGAAATGTGTATTGAGCATTCGTTTTCTAGTGTGTTTTAGGCGATTCCAAATTCCGCCAGTGGTTTGAACTTTAATTGAAGATGGCAGCCAACGAGGCTAGTGAGCAAGGCAGCCTCATTGAATATAAATCAGGGCAAGATGAGCGTATCACGCAAATCGGGGCCGTGATCTCGGATTTCGATCACAAAGGGTCGAGTCGCCGAGCACCGAGAACTTTGTGCGATGTGGAGCTACGAGGTTGCGAAACAGAGTCTTCCGGGATTCCGTGTCATCGCAATGCGCTCAGTGAGCACAGTGCGTACTTCCGCAACATGTTCCTGTCGGGAATGAAGGAATCTACGGAGCAGGTCATACAGCTGCAGAACATCTCATGCTCTGTTCTTTCCGTGTGAGTCATCAATTCCGTTAGCGCTAGCGAACGAATTGCAAATATCTTGGTTATGGCTTATGCGGAAGTCACTACACGCTATGGTTGTTGGGTCTTACTTCCGACCGACGTCTTATGCGCACTCCAGATCAGTATCATTATTTTCAACGTTTGTTTTGCAGGCTGGTTGATTATTGCTATACGACGGATATTCACGTCAACGAAAGCAATGTGGAGCCATTACTGATTGCTGCGTCGTTTCTGAGTATGGATTCCGTCCTGGACATCTCTTGGCAGTTCTTGGAGGATCGCATGCAAGTCAGCAATTGCATGACGTTGTACAGCCTCGCGGAGTCCGATGCGCACAAGAATCCCGTCTTAGCCGGCAAAGCCAGGGCTTTCATTTCCAAACATTTTGTTGGCGTGTCCCACGGACCGGAACTCCTGGAAGCGCCGAAGAATACGGTAAGCAAAAAGCCTAACTAATTATCGTCGTATCATGATGGTTGTCACTAGTCCACTTTGCGACCGCATCGAAAAATTTGAGAAAAAGTTTTATTAACGTTACGGTGTTCGATGGAATAACCGATCGGTTTTAGATTATTGAGCTGATTCGTTCGGATGCCTTGTGCGTGCCGCGGGAAGATGATGTACTGGTTGCCGTTGTTCGCTGGCTGCAGCACGATTTCGAGCAGCGGCGCCGCGAGTTTTGGGAGATATTGCAGTACATTCGGACGAAGTATCTCGGTCCACAAGCCAGTGACGATTACTTGCTGGCCTGCATTAACGCCGTCAGGGATTACTCTGGCGCAGAAGAGGCTCTGCATCGGTCAGAACAGCTGAAAGTCCTGCCGGGTCATATCACGGAGGCGTCTTCCTTCCGTCACACTGCTAGAAAATCCTACGGTAATTTATAGTGCTTCCGTACACGCGACACGGTCCCATGTACCCAGTCTTGTGGACATCCGTAAGGCTAATCTGGCATTTACTGTAGGTTACGAGAACGTTATTGTTTGTGCCGGGGGTCACCAGGATTCATCCTGGACATCTCTGCTGGACAGCGTAGAATGTTTCAACCCTCGGACGATGGGATGGAGAAGTTTACCCAAGCTACCGTCCAGAGTGGCCAAAGGAGGTCTCGCGGTCCTCAATCGGGACTTGTTCGTGTGCGGCGGAATTATTGGTTACGTGGTTGCGAGGGTGACGGGGCGGACGTTGCACTATAACAGCGCTCTTGGTGTTTGGAATAACGTGGCGCCCATGAACACTAACCGCGGAGATCTCGGTGTGGTGGCTGTTGGCCAGCACATTTACGCTATTGGTGGTCACGGCACGGACACTCATACGCTAGCCACCGTGGAGCGCTACGATGCAGTCGCCAATCAGTGGACGTACGTGGCACCGTTACCAACGCCTTTGGAGAAGTTCGCGGTTGCCACTTTCGAAGGGCAGATATTCGCTTTTGGCGGTTGTACATCGAATGAAAACACTGCTGGCGACACCGGGCTCCTCAATTATGTTGCCTCTAATTCTGCGTTTTCTTATGATTCGAAATCGAATACCTGGCTGGAGCTGCCTAAGATGCCGACTGCGCGGTATCGCGCTTCCGCCTGCGTCGGATCCGACGGATGGCTTTATGTTATTGGTATGTATTATGTACCTCCAAATAAAAGTGCCTCTAATATATCCATTTGAACAAATCGGCAATGGAATATCAACTTTTTATTCATTAGGAGGACGTAGCTGTTTGAACGATCTAAGCTGTGTCGAGGCTTTTAATCCAACGACTAAACAGTGGACTATGAAATGTGAGAACTACTGGTTCGATCTACGAATTATTGTATCATTGTGTTTCACTTCTCAAGAATAGCCGTTTGATCTGTTTTTGTTGGTAGGTGACATGCGCCGTCCGCTGTTTTCCGCCGGAACGTGGTGCATCGGCGACAAAATCTATGTTCTGGGAGGTCTTAACGGTACGGTTGGTCTAAAAACGATCGAAGTTTACGATATAATTTCGGACACATGGACGACCAGTGAAAGCCAGTTGATGAACGGAAAGTGGGCTTTTGGCTCTGCTTTAGTTGAAATTGCCAAGGAAAGTAGCCAGGAGTTTTATGTATAAAATGTTCTGCTGTTTAGCTGCCAGAGCTGGCCCCTTCTTGAAGTTTGTCGCTTTCTTTTCAAAACTGACTGAAGTTATTTACGGAGCAACAGAAGTGCATTGTCCTTTCATTTGTTGTCCTAATTTGTTCGCTGATCTTTCGTCGGCGATGAGGTATAAATACACTTTTGCTTCTTGATAAGCCGTTATGATGAGACTGATTATGCAAATAATCCTGGTATTATTCATAATTTTTGTGTCCTGAAGCGTCTTATTGTGCGCATGTTGTTGTAATTGATGCTGATGTAAATCATGCAGTTGTGAGCTCAAAGGGCGATTAAGCGATGGGGTATTTAAGCGATAATCTTGCGAGTGGACAGCGCTATTGACGCTGCAGCAATTCCGCGCATTCTGATTTTCCCCTTTTTTGTGTGTCGTGAGGTTTTTTCCCTTGCGGTTGGGTTTGCTCAATGATAATAAACAAACCCCCTTTGCAGTTGTGCTGTCGCACCGGAAACAGTAATCCTGAGGCTTATGCTGATGAATAGATGTATTTGATGGTACGAAAACGGTACAATGGTTGTGATAAGGGCTGTGTGATGTACTGTCCGAATACTGTAGCTACATTTCTGAATAGTTATGCGAGACAGTGAAAGTACGAATTGTGCGCCGGAAAAGTGCATTCTTGAGTTGCACACATACGTGATATGTACATTGTAATTGTCGAGAATCTTAATGTAAAATATTTTTTTAATCGCTGAAAAACAAAAAAATGCATGTCTTTTGATGAATATGAAACAGCATGCCATGCGCCTTGACAACAACAACGTGTTCAACAACATTTTTGCGTCACTTAGGCAAGTATATGACTGGTAATTCGGCGTTTTGTTACAACCCGAAAACGGATCAGTGGAGTGAGCTGCCCAAAATGCCGACGGCACGATACCGCGCTTCCGCATGTGTTGGATCCGTTGGTTTACGTGATTGGTAATTTCACTCATTTAGTACCGTAATATGCAGCTTCAAGAGTTTCATGTGTAGATTGGGTACCGTACAGCTAGAGAATGGTATTCTAAAGAATGGTATTCTTTGTAAAATTTAATGACTATTACGAAAAAGGAGAAATTCGGTGTTAATCATCTTTCTCACTGTATCCGCACCTCGGAAAAAACCCTTTTCTTTGTTTTAATTCTCGACTGCTTTCCTGCGTTTGATCTTTTGTGGTAGAACTTAAAATGTGGAAGCAAGCTCGTCAATTCTGTGCAACACACTCTTGTCGGCTGTGCATTTCGAAGTTGCTGTACTAGATACTGCAGATGCCGTATTTTATCAATCACCCTCTCCGTTTTAGAAGCGACTGCAACGCGTTCAACCGGACGCCCCACCCCGAAATAAAGGCCCCACTGAGAGGTCGTTTTTACAGTACCCCTTTGAAAAAAAATTTTCCCCGAATAAAGACCCCATCCAAAACCCTTACGAAAAAATAGTAACGCTGGGTCACTATTTGATAAAATACGGTACTCGTTTTTTAGCCCTCTCGAGATATGTTGGTCGAAGACTCGAAATCTTGTGACAGCGCAGACATAATTTTTCTGACAGCGGATTCGGAATAAGGGAGTCCGATTTTACTAGAATTCATCGTCAGAAAGGAAATAATCCGATTCTCTCTTGAATCAGGGTGGGTAAATTTTTCTATGCCGTGTCTCGCCGCTTTTTCAAAAAATTACTTTTTGCAGACTGACAAAACTAAATAACCTGTCTATGCTTAACAGAACAAAAAAGTGGAAGAAAAACTCATTGACGACGCGAGAAACGGAGTGCCCCACTTCTGGGGATATCGTCCAATAACTTAACATTGTCCCACTTTTCTGCCTGTACGAGTAGTCTACCGGCTCGTCAGTCTACTATACGTCATCTTTAATAGGCAATAGCGGTCAAAGTAACAAGAAGTGCAAGCGCAAGCACACTACGTTACTGTTAAAATTTTAAACATTGAAAAAACAACCAAAATCTCTATCCACCCGTGGGTTAAATGGTAGCGTACTTAACACAGCCGTAGCGTTTCCCTTAATAACAGCCAAACTGAAACGTTGTTTAAGAAAAGCAGTAGAACGCGCTTCTCCATATACTGTATTAGTCTACTATACTCTATATACTCTACTATACTCTATATACTCTACTATACTCTACTATACTCTATACTGTATTAGCGTCTACTATACTGTATTAGTCCACTGGCTTTGCTAAAGCTCATTAGCAGTAAGCATACAATTATTACAAGGAGACGCCTATTGTCTTTCCCCAGGTGGGCTGGTGTGGATACTGTCCAGGTCGTTGGAAAATAGGTTACGCGCAGTTGCAGACGGATTTCAGTTGAAATCCTCATCATTCCATAGAGAGAGGCTGCCTTTCTGACAGTAGGAAGCAGTTTTTATGACCTTAGCAAGTTTTTATAACAAAAAGAACTGTTTGCCGCGGCAATGCCTGTCTCATGTCTGCTTAGCATGCACGCACTTTAGCGGACATCGAATGATGTATACGTCAGACTGCGTTCTGGGGAAATAAATTCTTTGGTGCGGTACACTGCAATAACAGTCCTACGAAGATCCTGAACGTCGTACCACAGTACACGTTTGTCTGGTAACAACGTGTCTTCAGCATTTTTCATTTGCCTTGTTTAAAAATCTGTTCTAGAACCGATTGCCGTTCTCATTGCAAAGTTGAGTAGTGTTGGACGCTTGGCAATATCGAATACTCGTAGACCGGTTTGCGTGCGACGTGGGGGCATGAGCTTTTGTTCTGCTCGTCCGTTGTGAAGCGATTCCAGTTTGTATGTACTGCTCGACGATGGCCGCTAAGGGTACTGATGGGACGGTTAGCCGTACCGGCGATCTTCAAAAAGATGGGATCTCCATGGGGATTGTGCCGGGAATCGTGGATTTGCGTCGGGAATGGGAGAATCTGCGAGCGGCGAAATTGTTTTGCGATGTAGAGCTTCGCGGTGCCGAAGCACAGTCGACAGGGATTCCGTGCCATCGCAGTGTCCTCAGCGTGAACAGTGCGTATTTTCGCAACATGTTTCTGTCGGGAATGAAGGAGTCCACACAACAAGTTATCCAACTGCAAAATATCTCCCACACTGTTCTGTCCCAGTGAGTAGCAATTTTTGCATGTTATAATGTTTGTCAAACGCTTTTAATTATGGCACCGAGTACTTTCTCCAATCATGGCCAACTGTTCTCATAAAAATCATTTGTGCAATTTTTTGTGCATGTACAGATATTTTGTGTAATTCTGACAACAGCATTCCAAATAATTATAACTTTGTTATTCTGCTGCTTAAATTAAATGTGCACTGTGCAGGTTGATTGACTATTGCTACATGTCGGAAATTCTCCTCAGTGAAAGTAACGTGCAGTCACTGCTAACAGCGGCTTCGTTTCTGGACATTGCCACGTTCGTGGGAACCTGCTGGAATTCCATGGATGATCACATGCACGTCAAGAACTGTCTGATGCTGTTTTGCTTCGCTGATTCCGATGCGCACAAAAATCCTGTTTTAGCCGACAAGGCCAAAGGAGTGGTCCTGAAGCATTTTGTTAGCATCTCGGAAGGGACAGAATTCTTGGAGTTGCCGAAAAATGTGGTATAAAACAATTATACGTCGATTATTATGTCGACGAACCGAATGCTTCTGCAATATTACCAGCGTAATGAATTTTGACAGCATGAACACCTCCAGTCAAATGTTTTCGGTTCGCTGGATCGTTCAGTGAAAGTGTTCAGTTCGTTAGCAACGTCGAAGTAATGTTAATGAATGTTATTATTATAAGATACTTCACTGCGCGAGCTAATCAGAAATACAAAATTAATACTAGTACCAACACACAGGCTCTCGTAAGATGACTAAATGTAACGGCGTTTGACGGTAAAGTAGATATAATTTTATGTGCCCGAATTACTGTCATTTCGACTTGTTCGAAAAATTCCCTAAATAAGGGAGTCAAAAATTGTGCTGAGCACATAATGCAATGGCATTCTAAAATGAATTCTGTTTTGTTAGATTATCGACCTGATTCGCTGCGATGCCTTGTGGGTGACGTGGGAAGACGATGTCTTTGACGCCGTTATTCGATGGCTGCATCATGATTTCGAGCATCGACGCTGCCAAGCTTGGGAGACGTTGCAGTACATTCGGGCGTCGTATCTGCGTCCACCGTGTCATGACAAATACATGCAGGCCAGTATTAAGGCATTCGTCGATTATTCTGGCACAGAAAAATCTGTATGTTCGTCAGAAAAGGTGAACGTGTTGCCGGGATATATCGACGCGATATCCTCCTCCCGCTATATAGCCAGAACGTCCTATGGTAAATTCGCCGGTCTATGGCTTTTTGCGAAATTCAAAGATTCGTATAATACGTATCCACAGTTTGGCTTTCGTTGCAGGTTTGGAGAACATGATCGTCTGTGCCGGCGGCCATCGCGATAACAGCTTGAACTCTCTGGTGGAGAGCGTGGAATGCTTCAGTCCACGCACTTCCAGGTGGAGGAAACTGACTCAGCTGCCATACAGCATAGCCGAAGGAGGGCTAGTGGTCGTTCAAGACGACTTGTTCGTCTGTGGCGGCATCATTGGCCATCGCAACGGTGACGTGACGTCAAGGACGATTCGCCATAGCAGCGCTCGAACCGGCTGGACCGAGGCGGCTCCCATGCAAATTAACCGAGGAAGTGCGGGAATTGTTGCTGTTGGCGACCACATTTATGCCATTGGTGGACATATCTCGGATGGCCACACCTTATCCACAGTGGAGCGCTACAGTGTGCTCACCAATCAGTGGACGTTCGTGGCATCCTTGCCCGTACCTTTAAAGAAGTGTGCGGTCGTCAGTACCGCCGGTCAAATCTTCACGTTCGGAGGTTGCACGTCGCATGTTTTCCCGGCCAATGCTACTGATTCTGTGTTTTGTTACGATCCGAAAGCGGACGTATGGACTATGGAGTGAACTGTCCAAAATGCCGACTGCACGATATCGCGCTTCAGCCTGCGTTGGATCCGACGGATGGATTTATGTGATTGGTACCGAAATATCAGCTAACTACTTACTTTGTCGACTGTCACGGCTCTACAACCCAATGTGCACTGCTTGTTAGGTGGACGGAACTTTGTGACCAACTTTGACTGCGTCAAAAATGTCCCCCTGCCCCCGGACTTTTTGAAGAGTCCCGGGTACCCCCTGTCTCCAGGACCGAATCAGTGACCCTTTGGCCAGAAGGGTAACTTGCGAGACCGCCCACGAAAAGCAGATTTTCGGGTGACTCGGTGACCTATGAAAAAGTACCACCAGCGTTACTACAGCATTACTAGTCAAAAACACTCAGAAATTCGGTTACCAAAGGAAAATCACTGCTAGAACGAAATTTGTTTTCGGCACATACGGTATATGTGGAACACGAGGATCTCTTTTGTTGGGTTATTTATTACTACGGCTCAGGAAAAAAGTCGTTCAGCAAGCTGTCGATCAGCAGGATGGTGATCAGCAAATGGTCGGTGCGTCGCGAGAGGGACATGTGGAATACAACTTTTACCGAGCTCTTTCAATTACGTGCTACAAGTAATTATTATTAATAAAGTACCTTAAAAGGTTCAAAACGCGAACGATGATGAGTGCCGCTCTGAATCTCTGCAGAGGCCAAGGGATGATGTAGATTGCTCATTGCAGCAGTGATAGTTGCACATATGTACATTCTGTAGTCTGCACTCTGCAGACGTTCGTATCATACGGACAGTGTCATCATTCTGTTTTGTTGCTACTGTGATAAAAATTAATAAGGCTTAACGCCACCTCGTTAATGTGTGCATGAATTAATTCTTTCTAACTAAAGAATAAAGTACTCGTACTCTGTACTTGCAGCTATTGTTATATGGGTGAATATAATCTAAGAATTTCTTATGAATGAGTTGATTTAGTCGTGCCGTTTCCGAAACCGTATGCGGAATAAAGCAAATACGTGTATTAAAATGAACGGATGGTTTTTCTGTGGCAAACACCCTACTTAATTGTCAAACGGTTATGCCGCACACACATGTCGCACAACTGGATCACTGCACTGATGTGGAACGTTAAGGGATAAGGATAACATACTACGGTATTACTGAATTTATGTTTATGTTGCTGTTGAGCGGCTTATCTTTTGCAGAGGCTTAAAGTTGAATAAATAAGACCAGTGACATTCGACTGCTGCTGACTTCCAGCTGTTCCAGTTGATACTCCCCTAAATCTTTCTTTCAACGCGTAGTGCGCGTACCGTATATGGCGTACTATAATAATTATATCGTTTTACGGAATCATCAAGGAAATCTACACGGCAAAGAAAGTTGCAACACGGATGACTTAAAATGTGAACAACCAGTCAATGGACCATCAAAACGACTCTATTCCTGCTTTCCTTTACCGGCGTTGTTAACATCGACGATGTTTCCAAAAGTAAGGAAGTTTTCTGAGGGATTTACATTTATGGCCATTGCATAAGAAGGCTGCGCCTCCCTTCTCTAAATAACTCTGGACCAGTGACTGTTCAAGACTTCAAGGCCAAGCAGACATAAGCTGCTGCTCTGCATGCTATTTGTTAAGTATGTTCCCTTCTACACTTCCGGTCCATGCATCGTTAACGTATACGTATGTAACGTACCATGCGTGTTACGATATCTCTAAAAAACCCTACATTACGTTACGGTTTGTAAAATGGTTTGCAGTGAGTTAAGTCAGGTAGGTACCTACTTCTTTTAGCCATAAGTACCTTAAACGCAACCTTTCGGCACGAGTACAAAACTTTGCCGATTCCCAACGACAATTTAAGAAGAAATTAAAGTGGATACCTGTCAAATTAATGCAGATTTTCGAACGCAAATAAAAACCATCACAAACGTTTCTAGACCGGCTTTGAGCACAGATCTTACTCTGTTGTGTAGTCGGTACCTATTTGAGAATAGAATTATGTAATAATTTCGATCGACAAAACATGAAAAAATCCTGTCTAACTTATCTTACTTATCTGCAGAGTGCAGATTGACCTACTCCAAAATATTTGATAAGAATAGTCAACTTCCGCTAAGTGTACCCACAATAAATGCTTTTGGTTGCTTTATTGTAACTGATTTTCACGCATTTTTCTATCCTTTGCTGTAGTTTATTGTTTGGTTTTCGAAACCTTGGGTGCAAAGAAGCCAAGCATAAAATTGGTGTTCGTGGAGAAACGCCTTTTGAGAGGGTGCAGGAAAAACGATCTACATACTAAGTTTCTGAAACATTGCGCCCAGCATTGCGCTATTGCATGGAAATGTAGCGTGTGTGCCGGAAATATCCTGCACTGGTAGCATTGGTAGGATGACGTGTACAGTCCTATCTGTGTCTGTTAAAGAGTTAAAGTGATATTTGTGTTGTATGGAATCTGCGAGCATTTCTGAACCTACTGTTCTTACGAGGGCAGATTAACCGAATAAAAACCGCTGTTGTTTGGAAATGTGTGTAGTTTAAACTTTGCCCAGGACGATTATGAGTCTACGTTGCAGTATACAATACTTCTAGTCATGATACGCCCATTGGTTTATCGTGTATATATATGCTGTTATCGTTCACAAAACTCATGGGAATTAAGCTGCAGTGACTTTTTCATGATTCAGTCTTGTGTCAATAATTAACACTTAGAGACAATATAATCTGTCAGTTTATTCTTCGCCTCTTATCTTCCGTCAACAATCGGTTTTAGTTCCGGCTTCCCTCAAACGCCTTCAAAACGTGTGCGAAACATAAAGCAGCAAATCGAACTGCCGTCATTCCAGCCAGTTTTCTGCACGTGCTCCATACATATCGCAGTGGCCAGTATGCTATAACAGATAATTAACTACTTTTATTCTCAATACTTACTGGTTACTGCAGACAAAGTCCGGCACTTTATATCTGACCAGTCTGCAGGTTTAAATTTTTCCCAGATACCCACCAGCGAGACATGAAATCCAGTAAAACCCTTGGACATCCTCATCAGGTACTCACAAGTAGCATATTACTTCGTAGTTTGGCTAAGTGTGGACATTCATACTAAGGAGATCATACATATGACTCGGCAGGCACATCAGCTTAATACACACCAGTATTTACATAACAATATTGTAATATCATTGTACAAGAGACGCAGCGGCTGACACACAAGACAGTTTGGCTATCGATGTAGCGCTGTTAGGGTATCTACGTACAGATACTCGTACATACCAAAAAATTTGATAACATACGGCATCAGCCCGTAGTAATTAATCGCACTACACTCCCGGCAGCACCGAGTCTATTACTTTTTGTGAATATTATGTACCGCTTTTACAGGGTCAAATCCTTAGCGAACTGAACCTAATTATAAAATATGGTGATCGGCCTAAACTGCGCGTGGACAAAGAAACAGTGGATGTCCACATTCCACCGGGCAATTCAAAATTATGGCCGGAACCGCCTTCGATAACCCTTCGTGGGCTCGCGATCACACTAAGACCCGTACAGGACAATTGGAAAATTGACGGACGGCTCAAGGTGATTAATATAATTTGCTGCGTTTATTACGGCTTGCGCAAGTGATACCCCCCATTATCCGTTTGTGGCTGTACGAAAACATTTGACAACGAAATGATAATGTAGAAAAATAAGCAAGCGCCAGTGAAGTGCCAGAAACTAGTGTGTAAAAGGTGACAGCGATCTCAGACCGGACACTCAATCAGTTTGTGGTCAGGCTATTAAGTGTGCGGAATAACATTAACCATTATCATAGCAGTTCCGTCTGTGAAATTTACAACACGTACCGGTACTTGCGAACGGTTTCTCTGATCGTAGGATTCAGCAAATGGCAGCTGCCAGTTCGTAATCCACGTTGATGACACAAGAGTAACGGTTTCGAGTATTGATGCTACAGTTGAGAACTTTTCTCTGACCGCACCGTCGATCGCTACCAGAGGGATCGTCCGCGGACGAAATCTAGCACTTTACTCTGCTGATGGTTCTGTAAGAATCGAGAAAGCGGTCCACTGCAACAGGTTAATCGCGCACGGCGGAAAGTACAATGTACGCTTGACAACCGAAAGCATCGTCGACTGCGAACATTTCACGGCTTCGGGCAAGAAATTAGTAATCGATGGCAAACTGTTCTCGAAAACCAAACATATTGACCTGGATGTAACAGTCGACCAATGTCACATCGGCGTGGATGGCGCCATTGGTTCCAAAAAGGAAAATGCTTTGAACCAAAAAAAGAGAAAAGAAGTGCTGGTGGATACCATAAAAGGAATAATCCGGGGACACATCAGTAATTTTGGTACTATTGTGGCTCGCAAAGAATTACAACTCGAAATAACCGGAAGCATCTTGTCTTTGGTGAATAACACTGACGACTCAGCGCACCGAGGTTATAAAGCAATTAAGAATTTAAAACGAGTTGGAGCACCAACGGATTCGTCACTGCAGCCTACCAGTAGCGCATTGCTTGGAGCGATCAACGAGGAAAGCCCGGAAAAGGTAGCAAAGCTGTTGGAAAGGTATGTCGATCCAAATGAGACCATGGTCGACCAGCAGTCTAAGAATTTAATAACACCAGCGCAGACAGCAATACGCGAATGGTTCAAGCACTTGCGAGACGAGGCTCAGAGACCGGATCGCCCGGAGAAGATTACGACCATTAAAGCGCTTTTTGAAACTATGGACTGGCGACGAGGGATTATCAAATCGCAGAATTTGGATTTAAGGATTGATGGAGATGTGCATGACTGTGCGCAGATGAGAGCAACGACAAGTTTAAAGGTCACAATGACCGGAACTGCCGTATGTGAGCACGATTCAATCTGGTCGACTGGTGGTATCACAGAAATAACAATCGGGAAAAATCTGGTTCTCTACGGACAAGTGAAATTTAACAAAGCGTTCATAAAGGTCACGGAAGATGTGCTGTGCCAATCGACCGCAATTGTCGCTGTTACCGATCACGCTAAAGTGTGCAGCAATAATTTTCGGTGTTCGGGACAGTGGTTTACGGACGAAGCGCTGCAGTTACAGTTGCAAGGCTCGGCAGTTTTTCACCACGAGTCGTTTTTATTTGCCGGCCTGTTGCGAATGGAAGCGAAACAACAATGTCAAATTTACGGTCAGTGGATGTTGAACGAAATGGACGCTTACATCGGCGGGTCCTTTTTAACTGGACCTCAGGCAGCTGTGAAAATCGAAAACAACGGGTCAGTTGTCTGCAAGCATTACCGAAATGAGAATCAGCTGACCGTTGGGAAGGATATGCAGATTGTCACGGAAAAGCTGGAGCAAGCCAAGGCAGGAGTTACGCAGGTTGCCATTCAGTTAATTGCTACAGTCCTTGCTGATTCGGATGAAAACTGGGATGGTTTGACTGTAACTGACTCGTTACTCGTTAAAATGACTCATCGGCTCAACAGTCACGGACTGATCAAAACCAAACTTGCCACCGTGCATTTATTTTCTGAAACGGAGTCCCAGTTTGTCCTAAGCGGCGAAATGTCTGTGGACAGCGGGCCATTAATGGTCGTCGTCCAGAAGGAAAAACAACCGACCCTTGACAATTTTAACCCACACCCGGGATTTATCGTGCGGGGAATATTGGCAGCGAGCGAACTTCGTGTCGTTTGCAACAGCATCATCGAGAACAGTGGGACAATCATGGCGCAAAGCTTACTCTCCATTTTAACGATCGGAATCAACAACGGAAAGGGTCTTTTACATGCACCCAACATTTCCCTGGAGTATCTCTGCAACCCGAATACTGAATTGTCTGGAAAGGTCAGCGCGCCCTTTAATCTGCTGATCAACGCTGCTAATGCCACAGATTTTCAGTTGGCGTGCACTACACCGGAAAACGAAGTTCTGATGCTTCCACAAAAGCAGTTGTTAATCAAATCCTCAAACTTCTCGAAATTAAGGATTCCGATCCAATGGAGCAAATCGACCCAGCCAACTACAACATTTATTTTTGACGGGCAAGTCATTATCGATGCGGCAGTAAGCCTAGCCAGCTGCAAAGTAAAGGTCATCAGTAAAGAGTCAAACAATAACACAGAGAACGCTACTCCGTCGATTGTGGTAACTGCAAATGGGTCGCTGCTTATTCCCCGGCTTAATGTAACTGGTGCAATCGAACACGTTGAATTTGTAATGGACGGTTCGACCGAAGTAACACAATTACACGTCGACGAAACTGTTAAAACATTTCTGTTGAAGGGAACCAGTTTACTACAGTCCCTGGCATATGTAATGGCAAAGAGTGGTGATTTGCAGTTTGGAACATTGACGAATTTCCGCACAGACGATATCGACTGTCAGTCAGCAACTGTTCTCAAAGATGCCGTAGTAACGATGGATAGTATCGAGCGCGAAGCCGTTTTACTTTTATCAGCACAAACAATAAATATCGCTGGCACAGTAAACATCAAGCGCAAACTGTACCTATCTGCAGCAGATGAGAGCAAACAGCCGTCCGTAGTCGTCGAAGGGACTATTGAGGGAGCGGTAGAGAATGCGTCGGCCACTTTACGAGTCGAGACGTTGTCCGTATCGGGGATCATTGGAAAACTGCAGTTTTGCGAATTAGTAGCTCGAGGAAGTTTGGAAGTTCTGCCGACTGGAAAATTTCAGGCAATCGAAAACCTGGAAGCGGATGCAGAATGGATGACCTGGAAAGGGGAAGTCAGCCACTGCAAAAAAGCCTCCTTGACTGGATGGGGACTGTTGTGTACCGGGCGGCTGAACGATGCTATCGACGAAATCGCAGTTCACTCGAATTTAGTCTTTGCCAACATAGGTCAGTTGGGGGCACCGCTGATGACTTTTGCATCGCCATTTATTTTTAACATATCGCTGACGGGAGATGCCGCTGCAATGGGAAGCAATCCTAATCAGGGCGTGCTCGACATAAAGTCGCTTGTGTGCTTGTGTTCGGGAAGCCAGATGTCGGCCGAAAGCATTCAGAATACATCGGTGCTGTTGTTTAAATTCAGTACGCTAACCCAAGCGGAAACTCCGAGTAAGGATCAGCTGGAGAATTGGAAAAAAACCGTTGAAGCTTTGAATCAAAATTTTACAACGAGATCATCATCTGCGTCGCTGGGCGATATTCAGCGATCGATCCAATCAGTTTCGGCTTCAACGGGACGGACAGAAATCGAGTTGCGAGATGTTGTGAAACTGTACGCAGGAACCCGGGATATTGTTTACAAAATGAACACTAGCGGTATTCAGACGTTCGACGTACCGGAACTAGTCGGAAAACTGATGGAAGCCAATAGCTATTTCCAGAACATTTCATCTATTAAAGAGCGATTGCTACAGGTACCAAAGCTGGCCCGGGAATTGTACAACAAGGGTATCAGAAAACTCAAATCACTGCACGAGCAATTCGGGTTTACTGGAATTAAAGCGGCGGATCCGACGAAGAAAGGAGTGCAGGAAAGTGGAATGTGGGCTTATCATTCCGGTGTCATGACGACTGGAGCGGGGTATACGGCTATGTTTGTCGAATCGTGGGTGAATGATGGAACAGTGTCGTCGAGCGCTGGAGATATTGCAATCAGCGGGAGCAAATTGATCAAACAGTCCGCGGCTGGACGCATGCTTAGTGCGTACGGCTCGGTGTTTATGGATGCAGAGGATGCGGATGTCAGTAACATTAGCGCTGCCAAGATGCTACTGTTGGAAGTACGTACAATACGAGTACTGATACTATTTTAATGCTTTATTCGTTACGGAGGTAGCCGAAACCGTAAACCTTTCAACAGTTTCGAACGGTCGCAAAAAAGGAATATCGCGTAATGACCTTTTGCCAGTTTAAAAGCGGTCAGTTACCAAGACAAAAAGACCTCATTAAGAGTCGGTTTTGCAATACTCTTTTAAAAATATTGTAAATTTTTTTCCGGAAAAATAATAACCACATCTTTTCAAAATCTTACCTTTCCCAAAACATACTAAAATATTCGGTCACTAATTGCAAAATACGGTAATTACTGCAATAAAAGTAGGCCAAATAAATTTAGAGGGAATGAGCCGATCAAAAGCTTTGGATATTATTTAGTCGTTTTAGTTTATCATATTATTTAGTTATCAGCCGTCTCTTTATAGAAACTGCCATTACACATCATTGTATTTCAGGTGGATAAATCCCTTAAAGCTAACAATATCTTGAACGCCAAACTAGCAAAGTTAACTTCAAAATCCGGCGACGTGAGTCTGTCGAGAGCAAAAACAGACACTGTGCTGTTGTCGGGGGCGAAAATTGATGCGCAAGACGTGAATGCCGAAGAATTAGAAGCAAAGGCAAAGGGCGACATCGGACTTGTTGGTGTAAAAGGAGGAAACATTTTCGCGTCTTCCGAAGAAGGATCTATTAGCGCCACTGGCGTCAAAGCGAAAACCCTACAGGCTGAGGCAAAGCAGGGTGCAATATCCGCATCGAAAGTGGATGTTGACAGCTTGATAGCAGACGCCAAGAATGATGTCACCCTAGCAAAGATCAAAGCGAAAGACCTGGATGCGAAAAGCCATGAACAAGCGGTGCGTCTTACCGGCAAAGTTGCTGCTGACAAGGCTACTTTATCTGGTGCAGCTACGGTACAGCTGGAATATGCTGGCGGCAATGCGGATCACGAGTTTGATTCGTTAAAACTGGAGACCAAGAGAATGCAAAAGGACGAGCTGTTCAAGCTGCTGCATGGTAGTGGTGCGTTTGCAGCGATGAAGATATCGGATAAACTCGATTTAGCCGTTACGGACCAAGCGATTGTCCTTGGATCGATCAATAAACCATACGACTTGAGTGTCACAGGTAAGACTTCAAAAACAGTGCTACTAAGAACCATAATAACTTGTTGTGAGGCACAGATTCTTGCATCAAAAAGTTTTCTAGCCAAAGCTTTCCGTAGCCATATGTCCTGTCAAACTAATAAGAGTCGTATTTCTGATCTTTGTCGAACTGCAGTGCTTGGTATAGTCGTCTGTAATGTCCTTTTAACATTTGGACATCCATTGCACACTGTTTGGTTTAGGAAAAACGGTGGATGTCATCGGGAACGTGGCAGCCAAAAATTTAGCCATCAGGGCAAAGGACGGAGATGTCAGTGTAAAGAAAAACGCCAGTCTTGCAGCCAAGAATGATTTAACTGTCAAAGCAAAAGGTCACATCAACATGGAGGCCGGGTCAAGAGCCAGCGCCAATCAGGATGTGAGCATGGAGTCAGAAGAAAAGTCCATAACTCTCACCAATGCTCATGTGTCCGGTGGCCGTAGCGTCGAAATGAAGGCAAAGCAGGATATTAACATTCTCGCTGAGAAACACCACGGACAACGGGCGAAAGCCAGCACAGTTACGGGTGGTGCCGGGAAAGCGTATGGAGACGCTGGGAGAAAAATGGGACTCCGAATGGACGCCGGGAACAATCTAAACGTAAAAGCATCAAAACTTAAAAGTGATGCAGACAATATATTGACTGCTGAAAAGGACATCAATATCTTAGCCGAGACGACGGATTACTCCTCCACCGAAACGAAACGATCGGGATTCCTCGGTTACAAAAAAACCACAACGACTACAACTTGGACCGAAGTTGACGGCTCCGACATCCAGTCTGGCGGCAAGAATATAATGGTGGCAAAAAGCGGCGGGATTACCAGTATTGCGTCCAATATAAACGCGGCAGAATCCAACTACTTGAGCGCCCGAAAAGACGTCAAACTCTTGGACATCGTCACCACCCGTCGTGCCACGACCAATCAAAGCACGTGGTGGGGACTGCGAAAATCAACGGAACATGATGCACAACAGTTAGGTCACGGAAGCAGTCTGGTCAGTAAAGGTCACGATCCCAGTACTATCATCTCCAAAGAAGGCGACATCCTGATCGAAGGGTCCACAGTTAAGGCAGCCGGTGAAATGAACTTAATAGCGGAGCAGGGCAAAGTGCAGATTAAAGAGCGCATTCTGACCGATACGAAATCCAGGGAATGGTCCGGGTTGACGATCGGTATTGGATCGGTCGGCTACAGAACCGAGGAATCCAGTTCCACGCAAGATCGACTGGCTGGCAACAGCTTCAGCGTGGGAAGGCTGAACGTCAAAGCCAAGCAGTTTCACGTGGAAAACAGTATGAATTTTGACGTGTCTGACGACATGGAGATTGATGCGGAGGATGTGAAATTCACCGGCGCCCACTTGCGGTCACAATCCAACGAGCACTCTTTCGAAGGGTCTTTTTCCGGTTTAAGTATGTGTCTTTCGTTTACAGAGGAGACGTCCGCAAAGACAGCGTCCACGTACCAGAACCAGATCGTATCCGTTGGCGGTAAGGTCACCTTTAAGAATGTCAAAAATCTGGCTATGCACGATGCCAATCTCAGTGCGGACGAAGTTACGGGGGATATCGAAAACCTGGACGTGACATCGAATCTATCGACTAGCGAAGAAACCAGCAAAAAGAACACTTTGGACTACAATTTCGTGATGGTGAGCGGGCTTCCAGTTCCGATTCCAGGGTTTGATATGAGCGACAGTCAAACAAAGTCCGGGCACGTGGATCAAATCTCCGGAATTCATGCAAGGAAATCGCTACGCTCCAGTGATTTGCGAATAAAAAAGGCTTTGCTGACCGGCGCTTCGATCACGTCCGACGCGAACATTGAAAATGTTGTTGAGAAAGTTGAAACGAAAGATGTCGACGAGTATTTGGACCACAGCGCAAATTCCTGGGCACTATCGGTGAATCCTCAAGTGAACTCGTATTCCGCGGGTTATTCTAAAGCGTCCCATCAACGCAAAGGCAAAGTGCAGGCAACGATCGCATCAACATCATCGGCCGGAAAAGTGGCGGAAAAGTATCACTCCGCAGCCATCAATCGCAATGCGCAAGCTAGGCGCATAGTCACAGAGGAGCACAAGTCCTCCGTCGGTGTCAAGGTGCACGTTAGCCAGACCGGAGCCATGGTCAAGGTCAACGACGTGGGAGGTGGTCTCATTCTTGACAAAGGTAAGATCGAAGCGAATCTCAGTTGGACTGATTTCGAAGCCGGTTTCAGCTACGGCGAGAAAGACGGCGCCAGTGCTAGATTTCGCATGGGTGAGACGGATGTATCTGCGGGATATTCTTTGAAAGATGGTGGTGGACATGTTAAAGTCAAAACCAGTGAATTCGAATACGGCGTCAAAGGTGACAAAACCGGCGGATCGGTTACAGCCAAGCATGGGGATGTCGACATTAGTGTAGCAGCTGGAAAAGATGGCGGCTCAGTTAAAACCGTCATTGGCGGTTCTGGCGTTTCGCTCGGAGCAACGAAAAGCGGGAAGATTGATCTTGGTGCACAACACGGGGGAACTGCCGTGGCGCTCGGGTCGGAAAAGTCTGGCGGTTATTTAAGAGGATCCCATGAAGGTGCCGGATTTGGTGTTTCCAAGAACAGAGACGGCAGTACTTTTAGCGCAAATGCGGGAGATTCGCGGATTGATGTCAACAGCAACAATAACGGAAAATTCAGTGTGGGTGCCGTTAGCGGCACTACCGCTGTGGCCTTTGGTGCGACTGATTCCGGAAATTATGCTTATCTGAAGCACGGTGACAGCGGTGTCGGTTATTCAGGTAATGCGGACGGTGGCGACTTCAGCGCTAATATGGGCCAGTCACACTTGAATATTAGTGGTAACCGGGACGGTAAACTTAACATTAACGCTGGAAGTGGAGATACAGCCATTAACTTCAGTAAACAAAACGGAGAAAGTTCTCTTTCGGCCAGACACGGCGATGCCAATTTGGATTTGACTGCGAAAGACAGCGGCACGGCATTTCATGCCGGAGCAGGTGATTTTCATCTCGGTGTTAGCGGCAACAGTGACGGAAAACTGGGGATAGATGCAGGCGCCGGCAAAGCAGCTGTTAAATTCGGAATTGACCAATCCGGATCGTCTCTGACAGCGACACACGGCGATGCCGAGTTTAATTTGTCGAAAAATTCTTCCGGCACCACGCTTGGTGCCAAAGTTGGCGATAACCACTTTAATGTTGCGAACCGCGATGGCAAATTTGTAATGGGGGCAAAAAGTGGGAAGACGGCAGTTAAACTTGGTGATGATGCCTCCGGACGTTTTCTTTCAGCGTCGCATGGTGAGGCCCGAATTGGTTATTCCATGAAAGCTTCCGGTTCTGCATTGGACGTGGGTGTTGGGAAATCGCACTTGAAGGTTACTGACAGCAACGAGAAAGGTTTAAGCATGAACGCGGGATACGACGAAACGGCTGTGACGTTCAACGCCAATGATGCGGAGCATTCTTTGAGCGTTAAACACGAAGGAGCCACTGTTGGTTACTCTACGAATGCTAGTAGTGGTGCGTCTCTCAATCTAGCAACAGGGAAAACCAAGGTCGGCATAAACAACAGCGGTAACGGTCATTTTGCGGTAAATGCGGAACACAGCGGTATGGCTATTGGAGCGACTAGGAACAAGAACGGAGCTACTCTGCACGGCAGACATGGAAATGCCACCGTTGACATTGCGGCTGATAAGAACAACGTAACAGGACAGTTGAAAGCGAATGGAGCACGTTTCAACGCTAAAAGTGACAAGAATGGAGTTCAAGGAAATTTCGAAAAGGGTGCCACAACCGTTACCGTGCATCGGAATACGCGCGACGGTACCGGTTTTAGAGCGAAAAGCGGAAATACCGCGCTCGACCTTCAACAAAGCACACGTGGAGCCATTGGCGCAAGGTTGAAGCACGGTAATGCAACGGTTGGTTTGACGGCATCCAAGTCGGCAGGGGCGTTAGCAGCAAAGAAAGGCAATGTTGGTGTGGCGGCTGTGAATAAAAAAGGCGCTGATAATCGATTGGACCAAGCAGTGGTTGGGTGTGTAAGCGCTATAATAAGCAAAGAAATCGCGCTGCCTCAAGTCGCCGGTATGGACACGAAGGTCTCGGGTCTGATAACATCGCTGTTGCCAGAAGAAATGCAATATGATAACCTTGGCGTGAACCTTTTGGAAACCGTCACCACTGCATTACCAGATACAAATATCCTGGATAATGTGGCGGGTACGGCTCTAGACCTCTGTACGGAGCAGCTAGATGCAACTGAAAGCCGAATTGAATCAAATACCGAATGGGCGGGAGAAACAGGGCTTGTCAGTCGAACCGACAATTAATTAGCGACCGCGGCTAAGTGTCGATTCTCTCATGTAAGTGGATCATGAGATCTTCCGAAATACAGCCCTCTACCATAATACTATTATGGCTAGAGATTTAGAGAATGCAGTCTAATTAATTATTATAACCTTCTTCTGCAGAGCCAAAGGATTACCTGACTGGATCAGTCCAAGTTCAAGAAAGAATTCAGCTTTCTCTGCCTTGGATTTCTATGCTATATATAGCTGCTAGGATACCTGCTGATTGCAGCATGGCTCTAACCAAACCGAACCTTTTATACAAACGGAATAACGTTTTTTAATTGTATCATCTTTTATTACGTAGCAGATTAACTGTCATACAATTTACAAATACAACGCAGTCTGAGAATTATGATTGTCGCTTTTCACTAAGGGGTTATCAACTCGTCGTTTCATAAGCCATTCTACCAGCATTAAGAAACCTGTTACAGAACCAGTTCATACAGTTAAAAGGACCAAAAAAAGAAAGCAATACGCACAAGACAGAGATACACCAAAGGGAGGCAGGATGTTATATGACGACCGGTTCGGGCAAAAAGGTTTATGTATGTTATGTTACTTATGATATGCTTGTTATGATTGTCATGTTACTTCTTTTACGCTTGTTGTCTGTGTTATGTTACTTCTGTTACACCTTTTATGCATGTTATATTGCACACGATATATCATTTTAAATCATTTACATTAAATTTAAATTACATTTGCATAACTTTAAATTAAGGGCCAGAATTCTTAAAAATTCGCGAGAGCACGTTTAATGTTTGTTCGAAGTTCGAACGGAGGGTGCTGATACCGTGTTCTTAGCACCAAACCACAGTTCTTGGCTACGGTATGATATAGACAATCTCACATGTTTGTACAGTGAACTTCAAAAAGGGGGTAAAACCCACAGCCGAAAGCGCTGTCCGTGTGCATGAGTAGTTATGCGTTCATAACAGTTTGAATTCCCTTTTGCATACGTGTTTGAACGGTGTTTCTAATCACATTACAATGGCAATTCTCGCGCGAAGCCATCGAACGATTTTACCGAAAGATTTCCTAGAAATTTCAACTAAATAATAAAATTATTCTTCTCTAAATATATAGAAACTGTATCAGGTCAAACCAAAGTGCGCAGGCGTCAAAGCACAGTCTTATTGCAAAAACTGCTATCGTGTCATCAGTTCTATAACCTTTGGTTGTGGTACAACGATAACTTACGGTTTCGCTTAAAACCCATTCAGTACACTACAACAAACATACAGCACACGTTTCTGCGCTGTGACCTTTTCCCGGTTACGTTACTCGGCAAATCGCCATACTATTTCATAAACTTTGGGCAGGTCGGCATCACCATTGCGCGTTATACCTATAATTAGTGACCTCCTATGTATGATGACAGGACCATGTATATTGTACGACTACGACGACTACGAATCATTTACATTCAATACATCTAGCCCTACAATGCCATAAGAAAATAGGTCGAACGAACTATAATTATATAATTTATTAAAAATTCAAAATGAAACACAAAACAGTATCATGCGTAACATAAAGTAATTAACGTACATATCAAGCGTAACAGGAGTAACATGGCAATCATAACAATCATATTATTAGTAACTTAACATACATAAAACCTTTTTGCCCGAACGGCTCGTCATAATCTTAGGTGCTATATTCCGAAGGACGTAGCGCTGCATACGTCCACGGGTATATATATATGTATGTATATATATACCTGTAGGTATGGATCCATGTCGAATCATATTGTAACTTGTAAGTTTGTAACACAGGACAGACAGAACGTTTACTGACAATAGAGAGAAATTTACTCTGTAAACTCAAGAGAGACAGAAATGCTGTAACTCAGGATGGGCAGAGATGCAGAGGTGGAGCATGTATGTGAACAGTGAAAGAACGCACTGAATGTCATCGTCAGTTGATCCAAAGTTTCAAGCACTAGTTTTTCGTTTACCTTTCTATAAAACTTCCTAACCAACATCTCAGAAGATAGAAAGAAAAATTTGACGCTTTTTGATCTCTGATAAGTGTTTTTTGTGGGGAACCAAGAAAGTTATGCTTGTTTGGTTTCTCGTAGACTGTTAGACATAGCATAGGGTGCAAGCAACGCCTCCATCGGACGGACCTATGCTAAGTCTACGAGAAACCAAAACAAAACTAACTTTCTTGGTTCTCCATAAAAACCTACTTTCAAAATATCAAAAAATTTTAAAATTTTATTCTCTATTCTGAAACATTAACTGGGAAGGTTCGTTAAAGTGACAACGAAAAACTGATGCTGCAAGTTTTGGAGATAGTGGCAGTCGGAATCAGGTACCCAAAGTCGAGACTAATACACGTATGCGCGTACGCGAGGTGGTTGCACTTGCCGCAGACTATTTCGTTAAAATAGCCGTCCAGCTTGCACTCAGGCAGTCTTCCCAGTAAACAACTCCACAACAGAAGTTTTTTGCAGTTATTATGTGATAAAAGTATAAAACCCGTCCTTCGGAACAGTCCCCACGGGGGACGCCCCGCTTTTTAATTCGGATTGAGTGATGTACTGTCCAAACTGTATGTGTTTACAGTTACGATTTAATTTGTGCAGTATAATAATATTGTTCCAGGGCTGTCTGCGCTGTGTCGACCGCTGCATTTTAAAACGGCTTTAGCAACCGTACGTATTCGTACGCGGTGCTGGTCAGTTGATTGACAGGAAACAGAGAGGCGTCGGCAGCACTGTGTCTCCAGCTTCCTTTATAACGCAAATAGCCGGCTGTCTGTGTGCGTGCGCAGCGACTGTGACCGCATGCCGGATGGTCGCCTGCATCGTGCGATATTATAATCAAATCATTAGAGCTGCCAAACCCAGTGGTTGGCAATATGCGAAGCAGGCTACTTTTGACTACGTTTCCATTTTTTTCATTTATTTAAATACGAATTTTAAATAAATAGAAGAATAAATAATGATTAAATAAAGCTCTTGGCTGACAATCAGTCATATTTAAAAGCACAACTCATTTGATAAATTACATAATAATTTACTGAAGAGTCATGAAGAAGTTGGGTGCTGAGTACTGAAACATGAGTTGTGGTTTGAGCCATGAGTTGCGTCATGAAATGAGTCATGAATTTTGGGTTGAGTTGCGAAGTTTTGAGATCTAAGTTGTGGGTGGATGACACGCCTCCCTGATGCGGTACGTAGTGAAAGAGGCGTACCTTTTCCCATTCACTCAACTCGAGCTTATGCATACAGCAAGCTGCGCATGCTTCGCATGAATAATCCAAAACCCGGTCGCTCAAGGCCCTCGGCTTGTGAAAAGGCGGTTTACATTGACGACATAGCGGTCCTATTTTAATTTATCCTCTATCACCCTCGCTATAGTCTCTCCAGGGACTTGGAATGTCAGTGATTATAATGAGCAGCGACCAGGTGGGCTGGCATTTTGCTGGCTGGTCTAACTGCTGATCGGTGCTTTCAGTTGCACTGTCGGAAACAGTATCTATCCCAGTTTTCCGTAAATTGCATATAAACTGCATATATATCTAAATTGAATTTATCTCCTCAAACCAAACTAATTTTGTAAAGCTTACCAAGTTACGGCTACCGAATAATATATATACTGTATCTTAATTGATCCAGTGTATCGTTCGGAATGGATGCGCAGACACGGTGACCACACCTCCTCTTATTCTTTTATTATATAGTAAAATGATTTCCGTCGAAAGCGCCGTTTTGGTAATTACACAAGCAAATGGTGGAGTTAAGTCAGTCAATTGGCCATTGCCGCTCTACCTACAATAGTGCAGGCAGACAGAGCAGTGCAGCAGACTGACCAGTGGATGGTCAAACAACTCGCTTGAGCGGGATGCAGCTTGCATCGCGACTATGCGAGCAGGTGGCTACTGGCTAGACACTGCGGCAGAGAGAGCACGGCGTAAAAGTCGAGAACAAGAGACAGCGTGACACTGCACCAGACAGCGCATGCAAGCACTTTACGCGGTTATCAAACGATGTCTCCGGCAAACGGTTTCAATGTACAAGTATATAAACTCATTGGCGCGATATACTGCACTAAAATGTCTGCGAATATCCTGGTTGCCATATCAGTATGGATACGGACACAGTTCTTGAAAACTGTTGTTCGATAACATCATTTTAATTTCCTTTAAAAGTCAGCTCTAGAACTAATTGCAGTTGTCAATGCAAAGTTGAGTACTAGTAGGATACGACGCTTGGTATTATCGAATAGACCGCTTAGCGTGTGCCGTACGCATAAGCTTTTGTTCTGTTGTAAAACGATTCCACTTTTAACGTGTTTCTGGACGATGGCCGCTAAGCCGACTGATGAGCCGGTTAGCCGTACCGGCGATCCTAGAAAAAATGGGATTTCCAATGGGATTGTGGTGGGAGTCGTGGATTTGCGTCGGGAATGGGAGAATCTGCGAGCGGCAAAATCGTTTTGCGATGTGGAGCTGCGTGGTGCCGAAGCACAGTCGACAGGGATTCCGTGCCATCGCAGTGTCCTCAGTGTGAACAGTACGTATTTTCGCAACATGTTCCTGTCGGGAATGAAGGAATCCACTCAAAAAGTTATTCACCTGCAAAACATCTCCCACACTGTTCTGTCCCAGTGAGTATCACTTTTTGCATGTTAATGATGGTATAATGTTTTCAAAAGCTTTCAGTTTATTTAGTAATGGCACTGGGTTCTTTCTCTACCCTAGACTTACGGCAAACTGTTCTCATAAAAATCAGTTTTGTGTATTCCTTTGCGTACATATTCTGTGCAGTTCGTGACAACTGTAATGAGATGCGCATTCCAAATAATCTATGTACACGATGTGCTATTCTTCTACGTATACTGTAAATTTTGTGCATATTGTGCAGGCTGATTGACTATTGCTACATGACGGAGATTTCACTCACTGAAAGCAACGTGCAGTCACTGCTAACAGCTGCTTCATTTCTGGACATTGGCACATTCGTGGGGGCCTGCTGGGAGTTCATGGAACGCCGCATGGACATCAAGAACTGTCTGATGCTGTATTGCTTCGCTGATTCCGATGCGCACAAAAATCCTGCGTTAGCTGACAAGGCTAAAGCTGTGGTCTTCAAGCATTTTGTGGGCATCTCGGAAGGAACAGAATTCCTGGAGTTGCCGAAAAACGTGGTAAGAAAACTTTTATACGTCGATATAATTATGTCAGCGAAGCTAAGCGAACCGAACGTGTCTGCTTTACTTACCAGCGTACTCGTATTGAAAATTATATAGCTCTGAATCAACAAATAAACTCAAAACCCAAATGATGTCGGATAAGGGACAATTTTAGAAACTCATTACAAATCAGAACCAAATCTGCAGTAGTTGTTACAAATTGCATCCCCTATTCAACGGCTGATCGTATATTCTGCGATCTGGCGCTTACTTACCGCAACATTGGTGGCTGCTTGGGCTGTAGCCGCTGTACATTACGTGATCCCTTTTTTCGGTGATTTTATGTTAACCCTTGTATTAGCTCCCTCCCAGCTTACCTATTTAAGGGATTTGGCCCCGTACATAGCACCAAATTCGTGTACATTGACGGGATTATTCTCCTTCGCGCACTTCAAAACACTTTTTTGAATTGCTTTTTCACAGTCTGCAGCCACATGATTTGTATACAGAGGCGTGAAATCGGATTTCGCGCGCAACCTCCGGTTCGGGAGTTATGGCTGTTCGAAAATTCCAAAAAGTTTAAATGCATTCAGGTGTACCAAAAGTCTCATTACCCTTTCAAATTTTGCGCGTAATTGCACATAATCATGAAGATCGTTCTTACACGGATCCAGACTTCACGATTTTTTTCGAATTTTAAAATGAATTTTAAAGGTTTTCAAATTCATTTTAAAATTTGTAGAACATGCTGCAGGCCTGGAGCAATAGATCGGTGTAAGAATGATCGATCTGCACGGTAATGCGCATTTACGTGCAAAATTTGAAGGAGATCGGTCCATAGTGAGACTTTTGGTATACCGGAATGCATTTAAACTTTTTAGAATTGTGTTACGCTCGTAACTTCGCAACCGGATGTTGCGCGCGCAAAAGGATTTCTCATCTACATATAGTCGTATGCATTCTTTTGGCTAGAAAAAACCATAAAGCAATGCCGAAAAGTGTTTGGGAGTGCGCGACAGCGTAAGTTCCCGTGGATGTACACGAATTTGATGCTATTATTATATGTAGCGGGCCAAATCTCTTAAACTCATAATCTGCGCGCAGTACATACACCGGCTGCTGTGAAATCACCCAAAAATAGTTTAAAAAAGTCTGACGCGTCAAATAGCTCAGCTATTTGTCCGAACTTTATGAAATTTCCATTTTGATATGCCTTAACTTACGTACGAATTACATTCTGATCCAATATGATGATGATATCTTAAAAAACCAAGATTCAACGAATTTTTAAAAATTTTTAAACTCGTATAGCTCGGTGAGTTTACTTTGGACAATCTTTATTTTGATTCAGGATGTGTATAGGAATTCAATCAATTTACTCTGCACGATGGAGTAATCAAACTTAGAATCCGAGAAAACGCTATTTGATCCACTTTTATATATTAGAGAAATTAAAGATTGCTTGTAGAGTTAGAATGGACGGCAGCGCAGGATTATACCTGGAGCAAGTGCTGCGCATCCTGTTGTAGGTCTGGTCTTGTCAGGTCAGGTTAGCCGAGCCGAGCAGAAATGCTTCTCTGGCACTCAAGCGCCAGTGGTAAAGGATGATGCGCCCGAAAACACAACGATAAATTTTTGCTCTTTCATCTGATCATTCAAGATAGATTCTTATGCAAACACTTGTTGCCGCATCGTGTGTCTGTCTGTCCTAATTATGGTCAACACATTTGCCGCCAATCAGCCGCACAGTAAGGAGAACCGTGTCGGAAACTTTTGGCTTAAGGGAGTTTTTTAAATAGGTATGTTGTTTCACAGGATTTTTTTGCTAAAGACCACAAAGTCATCGGATGATAGAGAAATGATTTCTCTATCGGTTTCGGGCTTAAACATGGGCTTATTTGGGTAGAAATTCACGTTAAGGTGAGATGATAGATCGCTTGGTCACTGCAGGTAAATAGAGGCAGTCAAGTGTTCGGTTTGCTAGATCGTTTAGCGAAAGTGAATAGTTCGTTAACAACATATATAAAATTAATACCAACATAAATAACATGCTCTGGTATAAATATGACTAACCATGGTAAACGTAGCGGCGTTTGACGGTATAGTACTGTAGTTGTAATTTTATGTGCACGAATTGTGGTTATTTCGATTGGTTAGAAAAGTTCCCTATATTAAAATGAGTGAGTCGAAATTCGTACTGAGCGCACAATGCACCGGCATTTTAAAGTGAATTCTGTTGTTGACAGGTTATCGATCTGATTCGCTGCGATGCCTTGTACGTTAGGTGGGAGGACGAAGTCTTTGACGCCGTTATTCGCTGGCTACATCACGATTTCGAGCATCGGCGCTGCCAAGCTTGGGAGATGTTGCAGTACATTCGCGCGTCGTATCTGCGTCCACCGTGTCATGACGAATACATGCAGGCCAGTATTAAGGCATTCGTCGATTATTCTGGCACAGAAAATGCTGTATGTCTGTCAGAAAATCTGAACGTGTTACCGGGATATATCAGCGAAGTATCTTCCTCCCGCTATATAGCAAGGACGTCCTATGGTAAATTCGTCGGTCGATAGTTTCTCACGAAATTCTGTATATTGTGCGAAGGTTCGTATACGAAGTATCCTGAGTTTTTGCGTACGTTGCAGGCTTGGAGAGCATGATCATCTGTGCCGGCGGACATCGGGATAACTCCGTGAACTCTATGATGGACAGCGTGGAATGCTTCAATCCACGCACTTCCAGATGGAGGAAACTGACTCCGCTGCCGTACAGCATAGCCGATGGAGGTCTAGCGGTCGTTCATGATGACTTGTTTGTCTGTGGCGGGATCACTGGCATTCGTAACGTTGACGTGGCGTCGCGGATGTTTCGCCATAGCAGCGCTCGAACCGGCTGGACCGAGGTGGCTCCAATGCAAACTAGCCGAGCATGTGCGGGGATTGTCGCTGATGGCGACCACATTTACGCCATTGGTGGACATGGCGCTGACCATACCTCATCCACCGTGGAGCGCTACAGTGTGCTCACCAATCAGTGGACGTTCGTGGCATCCTTACCCGTACCTCTAGAGAAGTTTGCGGTCGTCAGTATCGACGGTCAGATCTTCGCGTTCGGTGGTGTCACGTCCAAGGTTATTACGGCCAATGCTACGGATTTGGCGTTTTGCTACGATCCGAAAGCGGATATATGGAGTGAACTGCCCAAAATGCCGACGGCACGATACCGCGCTTCAGCCTGCGTTGGATCCGACGGATGGATTTACGTGATTGGTACGGTACCGAAATATCAAGTTAACTTTATTACCGAATTTGCAATTCTACGGTGAAAAAGTTCAAACGTCCCCGGGGAGGGGCGCTATTTCGGGGGACGGTGTTATTTCTCGAGCAATGTTTTTCTTGGGGCGTTATATTTCAAACAACTGCGCATTTTGTTCTATTCACACGGAATGCACAATTATCGAATTCGTGACTTCCCCAATAAAAAGTCCTCTCCTTCATCTGTAATAACTAATAAGTCCCCACTCCCCTCCCATGATCGCTGTGGAAAATAAGACCTCCCCCGCCGAAATTACCGCCCACCGGGGCGTCATTAAATTTCAAGCGCCACAAAACGATTGGTGGCGCTGATTTCTTCATAAAAATTTTTATGATTTTCATTGGCAAGCAGTTGCAGATAAAAGCTAAATGTTACAGGTTGCTGCACGCAACGTTGTGCAATTGCAATTATTACCAGTAGCTACAACTTGTTATTTTGTCACGTCTCTTGAACCCTATGTGCACTGCTTGTTAGGTGGACGAAACCCTGGAGCTATTTTTAACTGCGTGGAGGCTTTTAATCCAAGAACTAACCAGTGGACTAAGAAATGTGAGTTTTCTTACTTTAGCATCGTGGCACATTCGTGTGATTCTGTTAATACATTACAAGCTAGACAACTAACACTTCTTGTAGGTGGAATGAGTCAACCGATAAATTCCGCGGGGGTTTGTTGCCTCGGTAACAAAATATATGTTTTGGGGGGATACAACGCAGGTAGTGAAAGTTCGATCGGAGTTTACGATGTATTTTCGGATACATGGACAACCAGCGACAGCCATTTGCCCCATGAAAAATGGGCCTTTGGTTGTGGAGTTGTGGAAGTTACCGAGGAGGCCAGCCAACGGTTTTTCATGTAAAATGGCCCCTGCTTGCCAGGCCAAAGTTGTTCGTTCCCGAAAGGCCATTGTTTGCTTTGTAAACTAATGAAAGCGACAGAGAGGCTGGAATGCGATGATAGTCATGTGAGACCGGGATCACTAGCGTTCACGTCAGTGGCGCTAGGCGCTACGCCTTTGGATTATGGCCTGTGTTGTGTCTCGCTTCTGATTGGCTTGTGTTTTGTTAGTGGGCGCGGCATAGCACGTGCTGCACAGCGTTGCACGCTGTTGAATGGGCTCCACGCTTTACGATCGAGCTGCGCCGATCATTATTGATTTTCGATTGTCGGAATTTTCAATATTAAAAAGTCAGCAGTTTACGGTGCGACGTTTTGTGATTTCGCAATAGTTCGCAATCCAGATCGTATTGCTCACTTCCACGGGATAGATTCCGTTTCTGTCTCCGTCTGTGGATCTGTTCTGGATCTACCATTAGATGGTAGCAGAGCCGACAGCGGTTCTCTGATTTGATTTGTGTCAGGCAAAGTTGGCCTGTTATTGACGTGGAACCCGACCAGTAAGGCACAGGTCTGTACTCACAGCAAAGCGCAACACCACAAGCGGTGCAATTCCTCCATCTGACGTGGATTTTCCAGCTTCGGTTTTCGGTACGGGATCTTCAGCGAAGAACCGTACTGTTTCCTTAGCTGTGCAAGAGTTCAAGAGAGCAGTCGCCAGTGTTCCTCGGTGTAGAGTCTTCAGCGAAGACCTACACTGGTGTCACTGGTACTCGGCAAGGATTCAGCGAATCCTAAGCCGTGGGGCAGAAGCGCCGAAACGCCGAAAGGGGCGTACGGAAAAGACCGATCAGACTCCTCCAAACTGGAGTAGAGCGCCACCACTGTTGCTACGGCAGTCAGCCGGCACAGTAACTTATTAAAAGCGTGCGGCACCACCGTTACGGTAAAACCGGCGGCAGCGCGGGAACGGATAGTGGAAGAAGAATCTGGATCATTTGGATCATTTCCCCGTGGAACGCGGAACGGACGGACGGTTAACAGGTAGAAAACCGCTAATAATTACGAGATTGGCTAGTTGGTAAAATTGACAATTTCTATTGGTCCGTACTGAGCTGAGCGTAAAAGTAGGCGGGGTTTTGCACACGGTGCGCACGTCTGGCCGTTGACCGTGACGTCAGGCTAATATAAAAGTTAAATGGACTAACGCGATTGGTCGGTTATCTGAGCTGTGATTGGTTGAAATTTGAACTGAATAATTTGAGCTAGCCGACCAATAGGAAAGAGGTAAACAACCCGAATGGGGATTTTCCGTTGAACTCTAGTCGTAATGGGAAATTTGATTTGAGATAAGATAATTGAGACGAAAAGTGACCTTTTGAGTTGAGACAAAGGAAAAGTGACCTTTGATCGAATTGAGCTTAAAAGTGACCTTTAACTGGAATTGAGTGGAAAGTGACCTTTTAACAGAAATTGAACTGGAAAGTGACCCTTTGAGTTGAGTTGAGTCGGAAGTGACCTTTGAGACCAGAAGTTGACTTTTGACTTTGAAAAGTGACCTTTACCAAAAGTTGGAATTGACCAAATTGACCTAATTTTAGTGACCTTTATGATCTGAAAGTGATCAACGGTGACCTTTAACGAAGTTGGAATTGAGTTGATTAATAGTACAGCGATATCAGCAGCTGTAGGATTTCATTCGCTAACGTATTCTGAGCTGTAAAAGCGGTTTTGAAGTTTTGTCCGAAAGTGACCTTTTAGGGCAAATCTCTCGAACTTTTACCGAAAAGTGACCTTTACAAGGACTTAGTCGAAATTTTTCAGTCGAAAAGTGACCTTTAATAAGGACTTAGAAAAATTTCGGAGGTACAAAGTGACCTTTAGGAAAATTGAATAAACCATACAATAACGTGTGTGAGAACAATTGACAGGAGCGTCCAAGTTATCCGATCAACATGGACAAAGAACAAGAGGAACCGACATCTACCAGCAGTCAGGGAAGCAGGAGCTCCCGAGGATCACAACAAAGCGCAGTTGATCCATATAAGAAGGAATATAAGTCGCTCGCGCGTCCAGTCGGACATGATAGACAGACCCGAGCGGCTGTGACCTTTGCAAGAAAAGACAGCAAAGGCAGTGATAGCACATACCAAGTGGCGCTTGGAGCTACACAGAATGAGGAGAGCTCCAGCGGTGACGGAAAGGATACTCCCGCATCTGCGGCGGGAAGTCATCCGATGAACCAGAAAAAGGTCACCGGGGAGGAAATGCCCACAGGGAAAGGAGTGGAACCAGTTGGAGCATCACAGCTGGATGCTACCATTAGCGGAACGCATGAGCAGGATAAAAATGTGAACCTGGCTCAAGTGGAAGAGAGAAACACAAAGGTCACCGAAGAGGGATTGACTGAATTGGGATTGGATGACCTTTCATTGAATGAGAAAGCGGCAGATGATGACCTTTTTGCAACTCCAATGGTCTCAGATGAATCCAACGAGTCATACTTCACAGATGATGACGCAACGATGAATATGTCCTTTCAAACTGCAATGAAAGAGGCTGACCGAGCAGAAGAAGTGACCCCGTTTAAGGATATCCCCGAACATTTAATTGACCGGACACAGAATGGAAAGGTTATCAATGTACGACCACAGTCACCAAACAGTCCTACGTTAACTCTTAGGAGACGCGTAAGGGAGCTGGAAAATGAACTTGATGCCACTGAACGTCAGGCGGACAAGCGGAAACAGGAGTATCGAGACAGATTATCGACACTCGAAACTCGCTTATTCGAATTGGAACAGCAACAGGGTGACCTCCAGAGCTCCGCAGACGGTTGGAAAGTCAAATATGAGCGACAAAAGGAAATTGCAGAAGAGTACCTAAAGATGGCAGATGACAGAGAAATGGAAGGTCATCTCGCCGTCAGTGACCTTAATGAAAGCATGTCAGAGGAATCAGCAGAAAGGTCACGGCACTTAGCGGAATTGAAGGACGAGTGTGACCAGTTGCGTCAAAAGGTCACTGAAGCTGAAACTAAACGGGACGAGTACGCGACCAAATTCGCAGAGGTCACACAACGGTTGACAACACTGGCAACGGAGACGTTCAAACTAAGGAATGACTTGAAGCTACGGGAGGAGGCTGTCAGTACTCTGCAACTCGAATCGAAAGGTCATCAGGAACGGGCTGACGAAGCTGAAAAGTCGCGCAATGAGGCAATCAAGGCGATGCGAGAGGCAAGAGACATTACAGCCACTGAAGGAGCACGCCTGAAAGAAGAAATCAAAAAGGTCAACCAGGAGAACGAAAAGGTCACAGAAGACATTGAAAAGGTCACTAAGGAAGGACTCAAATGGCAGAAGGAAGCACGGCGACTGGACACAATGGTCACAACATTGGAGCTGAAGGACAAAGAGTGGCAACAACAGGTCGCTCAAAAGAGTCAGGAGATTGCAAAGCTGAACACTGACCTCGTCGAGATGACCACCACAGCATTGGCAAAAGATGATGAGTTGATCGCAATCAAGGATCAGCTGAGATCAGCCGCTGGGCAGTATCAGCAACTCGAAAATGAAACGAGTGAGCTGGTCGAGCACATCAAAAAGATGGAACAGGAAAATGAAAAGGTCACCCAGCAGGAGTCTTTTAAATTGCACGAACACTTACGAAAGGTCAACCTGGAAAATTCTGATCTAAAGAGAGAAAGAGAAGAACTTCGACTGAGAACTAAACGATTGGAAGATGAGAACAAGGCACTCCAAACGTCAGTCAAACATAAGGACGAACAACTCCTGCAATATGGAGTGAAGACGGCAACAGTGGAGTCTCCCCCGCCCAGTTACAGCAAGGCGCATGAAACGGGCACGGGCAAAAGCTTCCATTTTGAAATGCCCTTACGGACTGGCACTGGCAGAGGAAATGTCAAAGCAGAACAAGACGGTGAAAAGGTCAAAGACGATAAGGATAAGGAACCACCATCAGGTTATTCACACTCGAGCCGAGGTGAACCTTCACAATTTCCCCCACATATCGAAGTCAACGCGTTCATCGACGAAGGGCGACGGGACAGACCCCCTAGTCGGCAGGAGCGTCCGAGGAAATCCCGCTACGCAAAGCAGAGGCGAAACCAAAACGATGATGAGAGCAGCGAAGAAGAAGACAACCTGAGAGGGGGGTTCGCATTAGCGAAAGCGCTCGATTCCATGGCTCGGAAAACACCTCTGATGACCTTTGATGGCAGCCGTGACACCGTCAATGGTTGGACAAGATTGGTGAAAGAAACCCAGGATACCTACCAGCTTACTGATAAGCAAATAATGATTGAAATAGCCACCGCAGTAAAAGGGCCGGCCAAAGGTTGGTTCGAAGGAGAAAAGGACATAGCATCAGAAGACGGAATCGAGTACACAGTCAAAGAATGGATGGAGAAATTCAAAGACGAGTATGGTGACCGAGACGAAGAAGTCTTAGGCTTACGAGAGGCCTATGCAAGGAAGTTCGAACTCGGAAAGGAATCACTTGACCAGTACTACCAAGCGATGATGCGATTCAAAGCAAAGAGAATCATCACTGAGAAGCAGGCAGTTGGCTTCTTAATCGAGGGATGCAAAGGAGACAATGAACTCTATAAGGCATTGCGCATACAAAAGTGTAAGACGCCGACTGATGTAAAGGACTTTTTCCGACACTGGGCAACAGGAGATGAAAAGTACAAGGCGCCAAAAGGTCAACGTAACCAGGAATACGTGACTATCCGCCAAGGCCAGGTGGAGAATGTACCGCAACAGAGAATGGCGGCTGCACCAGCCCAGCAGCAAATGGATTTTCGCGCGGAAACCCCTGTAAGAGAGGTCACCGAAAGAGTGACCTTTATCGATGGCCAGACGGGGCAGCCAATAACATACGCGATGGTGGCGGCGATACAAGCGGCGGCTCAAGTGAGACCGGCACCCCAGAATGTGGCACCACCGAACGTAGCGATACCGCAACAGGGAATGCCAAATGGAAACTTTGGCGGAAATGGATATGGAAACGGAAATTGGAATGGAGGTCAAGGGAACTTCCAGAATCAGGGACAAGGTCAAGGTCAAGGCAACTTTCAGCCAAACAGAGGAAACCAGAATAACTTTCAGCAGAACCAGGGTCACGGACGGAATTCAAGTTTCAGATGATCGATGGATGGGTTGCAAATGGTGTGCAGATGTGCCAGTATTGTATGTACGGCAACCACCAAACCCAGGGATGCAAATTCGCCAACACACCACCGGAACAGAACCCGAACCTGTTCGCCTTTAACGAGTGGCAACGATTGCGCGGCATGGGCGGTTGGCGACAGGCAGTGGCAAATGGATATGACCTGATTGCGCAATGGTATCAGGCTCGGGCAAACTTCCCAAATCAACAAGGAAACGGGAATAATGGAAATGGCGGTGGCCAGAATAGTGGCTACGGCCGTGGTGGCTTCGGCCGCGGCGGCTTCAGAGGAAGAAACAGAGGCTTCGGCCGCGGAAATTGGTCGGCAACCGAGGCGGTGCAAATGGAGGCGGAAACTACCAACAGGGTGGTGGCCAAAATAATGGTGGTGGCCAGAATAATGGAGGCGGACAAAACTATGTCCCGGTAAATAACGACGGACAAGGAAATGTGCAAGGAAATGTGCAGGGCGCGCAACAAGGTGGGGCGCCGGTTCAGGGAAACGGGCGAGATCAGTAGGCACCGGTGAGCCTACTGATCGTCCCGACCCTAAACCACCGGATAAGAGGGAAAGGTCACCACTGCAGAATGGTACTGTAGTGAATGTGACCACTGCGACGGCTATACGGATGCCGTCAGCGAAAAAGCAAAATGGACCGGCTATATGGATGCCGCAACCACAAGAAACGGCTAGATGGATGCCGCCACAGCAAATTGAGACGGCTAAATGGATGTCGTCATTGCAAAAGGAAATTGAAACGGCTATAAGGATGCCGTCACAGCAGCAAAAAGAACTGGTTATCGGGAAACCAGTACAAGTGGATAAAAGGTCACCGCAGAATGGTACTGCGAGTGGAAACGTGCAACGGGACCAAAGGTCACCGCAGAATGGTACTGCGAGTGGGAATTGTCGTGACGGTAGCGCGACACTGCAAAAAGTGCAGCAAAATGAAAGGTCACCGTATTGCAGCGAGAAAGTGTTAGCTGAACGTCGTGCATTACGTAATGCCAAGATTCGACAAGCGCTGTTAAACCAAAAGAAACCGCAAACTGAAACCGCAGAAGAAGTGGAAATGCACCACGAATGGTTTCGGAAACAGATAAATGGCAAATCGAAAGACCAAAATTCACCACCGCAGAACGATACTGCGCAAGAGGAAAATGAGCAACACGCGAAATTCCGGAAATTTTTTGGCAGAAAACGATAAGGCGAAGGAGCCAAGTTGCGATTGTTACGGGGAACCAAAGCCAAAGTTTTGGAATTGTTCAGAAGACGAAGAAGAGAAGCGAATAAGGCAAGAATGGATTAAGCAGAATATCACCGTCATTAGTAAAGATGAAAGGTCACCTTCTGTTGGAAAAGTTCAAGCGAAAGGTCACGGAGCAGGTGTGAACATAAAGGTCACGGCGATAGCGTCGTGTTAAAAGGTCAAGAAACAGACTTGACACTGCGAACAGCGCAGCAAAGAATAATGAAATGGCACAGAACTCCGACGACTCACTTGTGGACGCAGTAACATTACAACAGAAGGAGAAGTGGCAAAAAGTGGCCTACAGACCGAATGGCAATCACGGGATGTGGATACCTGTGACGCCGAAAGCAAAGCAGAAAGCGAGAATGTCACAAGAGGACTACTGGGACATGCAACAGTTGCGAACGCAATGTGAAAGAAAGCGACTGGAAGAGTTGGTTACCGGGAAACCAGCGCAAAGGTCATCGAACCCAGTCCCAGTATTCAATCCAGAGGAATATAAGAAGACATTCGCTGACTGGAATCATTCACGTAATGCTCCACCACAGGATAAACCGCCGAATTATGGAGAAAAAGTCCCCATACAAAAGCTGACAGGTGGCGGATTTGTCATGAAGCGCAACGAAAGGTCACAGGACTTAGCGCAAGATGAACAAAAAGGACGGTCAAATGAGATAGCGCAAACGCAACAGAGTAGCGCAGTTGAAAGGTCACGGGACTTATCACAAGCACTGCAAAAGGATGCCAATGACAAGTCACCAGCCCGAACAGACGGGATGTCTTCGCAAATTGACCCAACGAAAACGAACAATGAAGTATCTGCAAAAGTGATGCAATGGATGACCGAAAAGGGATATGACATGGTTACATATGAAAGGTCACCAGATGAGATGAAAGATAGTGAAGCAGAGGAATTGAAGCAAGCTGACCAAATAACAAGTGAAGTTATTGAGAAGATGCAAGATAAGCGAAATGAAAACCGTAAAGAGGAACTAATCCATCAGACGATAAATGAAGTGACTAAAGGTCACGTGCACAGCACAAAAGCAAATGAGCAAGTGCGGAATGTGCAAAAGGCCACCAGTGGTAAAATGGCTCCAGAGAAGCAATCGGAAAAGACAAAGCCGCGAAAATATTACGATGTTCGAACTGACGTCCCACACAGGATTGATAAGTTGAGCGAGATATTGAAAGGTCATAGCACTCCAGCAAAAGGACAAGTGCTTCCCGATATGGATCCAGGACCAGTATCGCTCATCCCTGTGAAATGTAAGATTCACACTTTGAAGATTCAAAATGGAAAACTGCCCAAGAGAATTGAAGCGTACACACACGAAGTGAAAGTGGGAGACATAAAGGTCAACGCAATGTTGGACACTGGCGCTGAGACGTCGCTGATCAGCAAACCGTTTTGCGAGAAGAATGGACTCCACATGCTCCCATTGCCACCTGACAGATTGGTGAAAATAAATGGAATTAGCGGAACGTCAGGATTCCTGGTGACGCACTACTGTGTAGCGCCAGTGACCTTAAGGAAAAAGACTAGCGAACATTCATTCTACGTCCGACCGAAGTGTGACGACGTACAAGTGTTATTGGGATTTGACTTCTTGGAAAAGAAATTCGTACTAATGGATAACGAAGGTGAAGAAGAGAAAGAAGACGACCCAAAACCAGTCGCCAAAGTTCAAGTCGGAAAGGTCACCGAACTTGTAAAACAGACGGGAAATGCTCAAATGGTTAATAAAACGCTAATCCCAGTACCAGAGGCACCGGGAAACGAAAAGAAAAAGATGACGCGAAAAGAATTGTCACCATTTGAGCAGTTGCAAATGATTCAGCAGGAGATCGAAAAGACATTAAATCGGACCTTGCTGGCACAGAAGGGAGAGAAAAGGTCATCCCAGTACCAGAGGCACCGGGAATGACAAAAGTGCAGCAGGAAGAAATTATCCCAGTACCAGAGGCACTGGAAACGAAAAATGAAAATGGAAAAGTCGGAAAAGTTATCCCAGTACCAGAGGCACTGGGAAAGGAAGACGAAAGGTCACCAGCAACTGAGAACTTGGAACGAGAGCGTAATTCGAACCTTTTCGAACCACGATCTGCTACCCAAAATGAAAGGCTTTCAGATAAAACCAAAGAGGAAGTAACAGAACGTGAATCTCAAAAGGAACCCTTTTTCGAACCACGACCTGCTACCGAAAGGTCACCAACGATTGAAGAGATAATTGCCACACAGAAAGAAGCGGCAGTTGCAGCGAAACAATCTCTTGTGCCAGACATGGAGTGGGCAAAGCCTATCCCAGTACCAGAGGCACTGGAAATAAAAGACGGCTAAAGTGGGGAAGGATAAAAGAGTGAAAGGTTACGAGTTTTGAAACGAATAGTTGAAGAGGAACAGATGTTTACAAGCGAAATCCGCGACAAGGCACTCGAACAATTGAAAGGTCACCGAACAGAAAAAGAACCAGAGGTCATTGAAATATCCTCTGAGGATAAAAGCGTGACCCCAATTGAATGTGAGGAAGATACCACAGTACAGGAACAGGTTAAACCTGAAGCGAGTCAAAGGACATTAACTCCAGAAGAACGAGCCGGGAGTTGTCACCACGGTTACTTTGAGGATCCGTGCAGAGTGCAACCACAGTGGGAATGCGCGGAATGTTGTGAAAATGCCTCCCAAGATGACCTTTCAGAATGGCCAAGATGTAATGCCGCATTAGCAGACCTTAAAGGTCATGCCCAAAAGGAGGTGAAAAGCATCATGCGGACAAACGAAATGTGGAAACCACACATCGAACGGTATCATTGGAATAGATATCGAACGTGGTTGTCATGTGTGGAAAGTTTTATAATTGGAAGAGGCAGATGGCTAAACCATTGGTTGCAACGTGTCGAGAAAGGAATCCAAGATCCTCTCGATCCGGTAGCAACAGAAAGGAGATTTGAACGAGAGATAGAAGAAATGACCGAGGAAGGAGAAATGTGGGAAGAAGCGAGAGTTGACCTTTTCTGGGACTTCCGTGTGAACCACATGTATAAAGGTGAAGGGAGAACGATCATCTTCCCGGCAGGACTTGGTACACCTGTCTACGAATCACTTGAAGTGTACTACAACGCGTTAAAAGAGGGAAACGAAAAAGCATTCGAGAAATACTGGAAGAAATTCGAGGAAGAAATCCCCAAATTTGACGTAAAAGAGATGCGAGAACTACAGGTTACCCGGAAAAGAAGGTTACCGGGATTAATGCAAAAGAAAAAGGTGACCTTTGCACCAGATCCAGATGGAGTGGACTACCCAGAACGAGGTGGCGATACATGGTGCATGTATGAAACGATTCCAAATGATGAATGGGTCACCGAAGAACTGATGGCAAACTGCATCTTTGTTGGTCCTAAACGACCTAAAGGTTACGAAACAGTTCAACAGGATGAAGTCGATAAAGGGACTGTCAAAGAAGCAGAGAAAGAGAACCAGTTCAAAGAGATAGCCGAAGGACAATCAGATGAAACAGAAGAAAGTTCAAAGTCGGCTTTCGATATTGCGCAAATGTTAACGGACAGAGGTGAAATGTGGAAAAGGTTTAAAGAGGAAGTTGAAAGGATATCGAACGAACAACAAAACCCAGTAACTGAGGGCAAAAAACGGGGAAAGGTCACTCGATAACGGTGAGGAATGTCCGCCGGTCGAGTTGACCGAAAAGCCATTAACGAGCCGCGAAGAAATAAATGAACTGGAAAAGTCAAAATCGGACGAAGAAAGGTCAAACTCCGACCAATCAGAAAGGTCACCAACGAGAATTCGGGTAGCAAGGAGTCACCCAAGAGTCGCCGCACGAAACGGGCGAAAGGCAAAAGAAGGGGACAAACCTCTGCTCAAAAATTCGAAAACGAAAAAACTTAGCGATTCGCGAGAAAACGAAAGTGACCTTTCATCGGAAGACGAGGGAGTTGATGAACGCCCACTTGAAAAGGCTGACAAAGGTCAAGCCACTGCACAGGAATATGAGAGCAGTAATTCGGATTCAGAGTGGACGAGTTCAAGTGACAATTCAACAACTTCGGAAGATTCAGGTGTAAGTGACCTTTCGGAGCAAGAGGATTTAATGGACTTGGATGAAGATGACGAAGTAGATGAGGAAAAAGAAAAGGATATTAAAGTCAGAAGATTGAAAGTGGAAAAAGCTAGAATGTCGAAGGACGTGATCAAAGTTTACAGCGATCAGCGAATCAAATTGAAACCGTCAAACTGCACACGTGTAAAGGTCAAGATGGGAAAATATGCACCGGCTCAAAACAAGCTGATGTTTACACCGGTCCCACAAGTGGAAACTGAAGTGCAACCGTTGGCAGGAGTGACGGACCACAGGGAAAATACTTCGAAATCGTCATCGCAAATCACAGTAGCAAATACCGAATCGTGAAGAAAAATCAGCTTCTCGGATACGTTGAGCCGTACGAACATATGGAGAATGTAAAGGTCAACGCAGGGACAGTAAAGAACGTACTCGAGGACCCTGAGGTGGATGAGACAACGAAAGCTGAACTTAAAAGATAATCGAAAACTTGAAATTGGGACCTGACCTTACTCAAGAGCAGAAAAACGACGTGTACAACGCGTTTTGGGAATTCTGGAAGGTTTTACCCACATCAAAGAAACCGTATGGAGATGTGAAAGGGGTCACTCATGTAATCGATACGGGAGATGCGAAACCAGTAAAATGTAACCCGGCCAGAACGAGTTGGACAGGCCGTGAGTTTATAACGAAACATATCGAAGAAATGTTAGCACAAGATGTAATTGAACCGTCAGATGCCGAGTGGAGTTTCCCAGTCGTGCTGGCAGTAAAGAAAAAATGGCGACGGAACAATGGGAACATGATTTTGCGTCAATTACATCATGCTTAACAAGCTAACGAGAAAGAATAACTACCCGCTACCAAACCCGGATGAATTGCTTGACGCGTGCGCAGGCAACAAATATTATGGAAAAATGGACCTACAAAGTGGATTTTGGCAGATCCCAATGGATCCAGCGTCAATCAATAAGACGACCTTTGTCACGCAAGATGGAATGTACCGGTTTAAAAGAATGCCATTTGGAGTTTGCAATGGGCCAGCATTCAACTGTGCATGGACAAAAAGTATTGCTCGAAAGCGAAAAGAAAGGGTTGCGTTTTCGGGTACATCGATGACGTAATCTTCGCCGGAAAAACTTGGGCGATTTTCATGCAGAATTTGAGAAATGTCTTAATGAGCCTGGTTGAAGCGGGATTCACGATTAAGCCAACGAAATGCGAATTTGGAATGAGACAAATGGGATTCCTGGGTCACATACTCAGTGAAGATGGAATTCGAATGGATCCGGAAAAGGTCACCGCGGTCTCAGAGTTCAAACGGCCTCAAACAGAAAGGCAACTAAGGTCATTCCTTGGACTGGCGAATTATTATCGCAAGTTCATAATGGGATACGCACAGAAGACTTGCCACTTGTATGAGTTGCTGAGACAAGATAAACACGTGAAAAAGGACTGGACTGCAGTGCATGAAGAAGAGTTCAACAGTCTAAAACAACTGTTATGTGAAGGTCCGGTATTGGCAAAGTTTGACCCTGCAAAACCGACCGTAATCGAATGCGACGCAAGTAAAGAAGGAATTGGAGCTGTGCTGTCACAAGATGGACATCCGATCGCGTACGCCAGTCGTGTTCTACATGGAGCTGAAAAGAATTACGGTGTAACGGAATGGGAATGTCTGGCAGTAGTGTTCGCTGTCAGGAAATTCAAGCCGTACATTAGATTACGCAGAATTCACCGTAAGGACGGATCATCAGGCGTTGACGAACTTGCTAAGGTCAGAGACAAATAAAGTCGGAATGAACCCGCGATTGACAAGATGGGCAATGGCATTACAAGGTCACCAGTTTAAAATTGAATACAAACCGGGAAAGTACTGTGACAATGCGGACGCGTTATCAAGGGCGCCAATTGAAGGTCCGACGTGTCACGAAGAAGAATTTGACGAGATTCCGAATTTCGAGGATTACAAGAAGGAGTTTGATACGAAGGAACCGGCAATTGAAGTTGGACAGCTGTTCCTGCAGATGGTGGAACAGAGAGAGAAGCGATTAAAGGTCACTTCAGCTACGGCGAACGAGTCGGCTGAAAACGAAGCAAAAGTGAACCGAGTGAGAAGCTGGTTGCCCGCCGTTAGTGACTTAAAGGTCACCGGACTTGACGCGGAATCTCAAACGCAGAATGGAAAGGTCACGGGACTTGATGATAGAGCGGAGAATAGAGATGACCTTTGGGAAACGGACAAAGTGGCACAAGCGTTGAACGAATGCCCAATCAAACTGTTGAGATTCCCAAAACAGGCGAAAAGCGGTATAAACCGTTACCACGATGCAAGGTCATCAAGGATTGGAATGAACTCAGTACAGCGACAGTTCGCATTGTCAACCTGCAAGGTGACGAAGAAGAGGTTGATGACTCAAACTTGCAATTGCGAACAAACAGCTGAAAGATCCTCATCTGGCAATGATCATAGACGAACTGGAACATCTACCAGACGCGGAAACAAGATCGAAATTTGAAGTGCATTACCAGTTGTGGAATGGCATATTATACCGAGTAAAGGATAAAATGGAAAACTTGAAAGGTCATATGTTGGTACCGTTGTCAATGCGAAGAGCGATAATCCACGCATTGCACGACGAGAAAGCAGCAGGCCATTTGGGATTTGAAAAGACTCTGTCAGCGATAAGATTGCGCTACTATTGGGACAGAATGAGCACTGACGTGAAGAATTACATACTTGCTTGCCAAGGATGCCAATTCCGTAAACACCGAGGAAATGCCCACCCGGTAAACTACAGGAGATAAAGTTGGACACCCATTCTTCCGAGTCTACGCGGACTTGAAGGACCGCTGTTGCCAACGAAGAAACGTGGATACAAATACATAGCGGTGTTTATTGATCAACTGACGAAATATGTGATTGCGGTACCAATGAAGACAGCAACGGCTAAAGAATTCGCGAAAGTCTTCGTGAAGCACGTGATATTGGTACACGGAGCACCGCACATCCTACATACGGATCGTGGACGGCACTTCACAGCCGAAGTATTGACAAGGTCACCAATGTGTTTAAAATTAAACACACATTTGGAACGGCGTATCATCCAGAAGGTCAAGGCCAAGTGGAAAGACAGATGCAGACCGATTGCTGATGGCTTGGCGCAATACCTAAAAGCGGGAAATGAGCGAAAGTTTAACAAGTATCTCCCATATGTTATTTCGGCGATGAACAGAGTCGTGCACGCCACAACGGGATATTCAGCATACTATATGCTACACGGCAGAGAAATGACAATGCCGGAAGATGTGGTTACAAAAACGAATATACCCGATGATTACGGAACTCCAGACGAATGGGTGGAGACCATGAAAAAGAACTTGACCTTTGCCGAAGAAGTGGCGAGATGTAACATCAAAGACGCATATGAGAAAAATGCGGAAATTTATAATAAGAAGAAATCGGAGCCGAATTTCAAGGTGGGCGATTTGGTACTTATACGACTTCCAAAAGATACTAAACAAGGAAAAAAAGAAAATCAGTCGGATTTCAAGTCGAAGTACGATAAAGTGTGGAAAATTCTTAGCTTCCCGCGAACAAACGAAGCGGAGGTCATCGAGCAGAATCCGAAGAAGGAAGCGGATCTAAAAGTGGTTTCTATTGATCGGTTAAAGCCGTGGCATCCGCCATTACCCGACGAGAAAGATTCGCAACGAACGGTGAACGAAAGACAAAAAACGGAAGAAGCCGAGCTTGCTTCGAAAAATGGTACCAATCAATTTTTCGAACCACCTCTGCTACCTGAAAGGGAAAAAAAGTGGATAAGGGCGCAGAGCATACTCCTCAAAAGAACCTTTTCAGAACCACCTCCGCTACCTGAAATGGAAAAGAAAACAAATCTACAAAGAAAAGAGGAAGAAAGAAGAAAGAGGATAAGGATTTCGAAACAGCAGTCACAATCAAGTTGAACGCGGAGGCTGGTAATTTGGCAGAAAGGTCACTGGAACAAGACAACGAACCGACCTCTAAAGTACCAGAGCGTACTTCCAAAAGGACCTGCAACAATCCTTTTCGAACCACGCACTGCTACCGAAGATAAGGATGACCTTTCGAAACAGCGTACGGACGCTGAGATGTCAGAGCGTGACCCGAATTTTTTCGAACCACGCACTGTTACCGGTAATGAGAATGACCTCATAAAAAAGAGAGAAGAGGAGATAGAAGCGGTCAAATCAAAAGCTGAACAATTGGGCCGTGATATAGCGAAAGCAATTAACGAGCGGAAAGCCAAACAGAAGAAAAAAGAAACCGACCCCTACGGACTTATTGACCCAAAAGGCGAACCTGAGGATGCAGCCGAGAAAGAACTTCTTGATCGGATAACTAAAGGACGAGAGAACAAATAACCACATAGACATAAATAAGGGTCACAATAAATTAAAAATAGGAGTCGAAAAGGAAAAAGAAAGGTCACCACTGTGCAAAAGTTAACCTTTATTGTTTCGTTTTATAGAAGGTAAGCACAGTTAATGGACAGATTGGAACGACAAAACTCGGATAATTCAGACTCGGAAAGTATTGGAAACCCACTAAAAGCATCTACACCTATAAGAATGGAAGGTGAATACGGTTATGACACCTCATATGGTGAAGGATCAACGTCGTCAGTGGGAACGGCTCAGAATGAACCTGGAACAAGTCAAGGAGGTTACTATGGCGGCCAGGGATATTACGTGTATCACGATCCAGGACAGCAGACGAGTTATCAGGACACGGTTAACTGGGTGCACCACGGCTCACCTGCCGGAACCCAGTATTCGGGACAAGTAACGGGCGCCCCGTATCAACCGTATCCAGGATCGTATACCCCACCGATGGGACCACCACAAGTAATGATGGGACCGGCAAGAATGTTGATGCCGCCACCGCAACAGACCACACCGAGTCGATTTATGGGACATGGTGGATTCAGCGGAACTCCACCACGATCACAAAGGTCATCTCCGATATTACCGCCTTTTCCGGAGACGGGAGGCTTGTCACTGTCGGATATCGGGCGCCTCGCATGAGAACACCGCAGCAACTTGGAGCGCAACGATCTCACCGGAACTCGCCACAGAGAGGAGGAAGACGAGGCGGAAACCGGTTCGATTCACCACGACCGCGAGGCATATTGCCATCACTGGGCCCTAACTTGGACGAAACGGGACCAGATGGGTTACGGTTGACGCCACCAGGCGAACCTTCAGTACACGAGTACGCGCCGAAACTCCCTTTGGACCTCAGAGAGGATGATGCGCGTTTAAACGTAATCGTGGACAAAGCAGAAGAGTTGACAGAAGCGGATGGAACGGCCATTCAGGACTTTAACAGGATGTGCCGTGACCTTTACAGAATTCACATGAGAGTGGAAGACGAACATGGATGGTATGGAAAGTTGATCAGCCTGGAGGCAGTCATCAAACCATGCCACACAGCGTTGAAAGAGAAAACAAAAGCGATAGAAGTCAAGCGCAAAGAATTAGCGATAAAATTGCATCGATGTGGCAATATCATCCGGCAGTACATGGCAGGCAGTGGCCGCGGATTATCGAGAAGGTTCTGAGATACCTTAAAGTATTTCCGGAAGAGAAAACGATTCCAGCGACCAGCAGCGCAGGAACATCTAAGCCATTAGTCGAAAAAGCCACTTCGGTGGATGAAATGTCTGACAGTGACCTTTGGCAACAAAGAGAAAAGATTGATGCCGAATTAACTGAACGAGCAGAAAGGTCACGGGCCAGCTCGACCGCAGGATCAACACGTGGACGGACCAGTTCGGTTACAGAACCATCTAGCGGAGCCACGAAGAGTGGAAAAGAGCAAGGTCACCAACGATAAGCCCAAAAGAAACTGACAAGAAAGGGCAGCGAACGAAGAAGGCCACGTCAGGTAAAGCAACACCAGCTGAGCCGGCAAAGCCACAAGGCCCAGTCCCAGTGGGTAGAAAAGAGCGCGCCACCCACACCAGCTGGAACAGAAGGTCAAATTCGATTTCCGAAGTGTAGAAGCTTCACGGCCAAGTACACTGGCGAAGACCATAGAGAACGAAAGGTCACCGCACGAATAGTCGATAAGAAAACGAACAAAGAGATCGACTCGTATAATCCCCTCGCGGATAGGTCAGTCAAGGATGCCATTGGGAAAGAGTCAAAACGATAGTCAATGAGGCGCTACAGTTTATTCCCCAGAAGAACGTCATAACCCAAGAGTTATCGTTCAGATGATGAAGCACGTGGTATCTAAAGTTGCAACCGAAGAAGATGCATGGATCCGTATCAAAGTAGGCACAGACGATGACCATGGCATATACATACACAACGGATGGCAAACTGTTGATCAAAGAGAACTCGCTCAAAACCGACAGCAGACCCAGATCCGAATAAACGAACATTGGACGATTACGAGTCGTGTAGGGAACGTGTAGGAAAGTGACGCTGACACTCCACTTCAGCGATGGAACAACGGATTGCATAACCGCATTAATCGTCGATCCGATAACAGGAGATCCAATCCCATACGCCCCATGGGACGTGCCAGAAGAGAGCGCCGAACATGCCAATCGGGCAGCATTAGAACAACTGTGGAACTTGATACCAGCAAGTGAACGTCAAGATCCTTTAGTTCAAGCGAATGCACTGATCAGCATGATGCGACATCGGGCGGAGGTAGATGAAGCCCATTTCCGACTAACAAGGAGAACGGAAAATGGAGCGTACAAAACGGTGTTCTATGACGCGAAGAAAAACCCTTTGTGGGAGATCGTCACACAGGGACAGACAAAAGAAACACCACATTTGGAAATTCAGGCCCAACACCCGGCACAAGAAAGCGGAGCCGGAGAGATGGCAGAGACCTCCGTAGCCGAAGCGGCAGGAACGGAGAGTTCCAGGAGACCATCGAAACAGGACGATTCCGAAGAGGAGGAAGCTAACGACGATTCGGCAGAGGAACCGGCCGATGAAGATGATGAGATGGCCGAGGAAGATAATCAGCCTCCAAAAGTGGTCGTTAAACCGAGGGAAGCGGCTAAACTGGAAGAAGCCATGAACCGTGATAAGAAGAAAAAGAGCGGTGATGAAAGCGAGAGCACAAGCACCCGGAGAAAAAAGGGAGAGAAAAAGAAGAAAGACGAACCGTCGTCTCATGATGTTGAAATATTGGACGAATCAGCCGGCGAAGGGGAAGAAAGGTCATCCACACCTATAATCCCAAAGAAATTTGTTATCGAATCGGCTACATCAAAGTTAAAGGTCACCGAGCCTGAGCCGTCAACATCCAAGGGAAAGGTCATAGCTGTGAAACAGATTGTTCCAGTCGTTATTTCAGCATCCACTACGAAAGGGCGCAGAGAGAAAGGGACGCGTGAGAAAGCGAAACGGGAGACGTCCCGCGAATCAGAAGCGTCGGAAGTGAGCCTACCAAGCACTTCAACGGTTAGCATAAGGTCACATACGGACCCTAAAACGACGCGATCAAAAACTACAGAACCAAGAAGCCTAGCGGAGGTTCTGGAGAAAGGGAAGAAAGTAAAGAGCAAACCCGCAAAGCCGAAAAATAAAGGGAAGGAGGCCATGAAAATCGACGCATTAGCAATGGCCAACTATATCGAACCGGACGGTGACAGTGAACTCGATTACTCGGGAGATGAAGCGGAATTTGAAGATCCAGACAGCGATAATTTGACCACGATTGACGAAATCATCGATGCATTTGATGGAGCGGAGAAGAATTTTACACGAATACGAACGACATCAGTAACATCGAAATTCAGAACGGGGCTAAAGAAATATTTGAGAAAGGAAATGCACGGTAGCTTCACCAAACAGAAGTTCGATGTGGTGTTGGAATACGCTCGGAATGCGGGAAAACTTCTCCAGAAACATCCGAATTTTGCGTATAAGGCTAAATTATTCAGACCGTCAAGTTCGGATAAGGCGCTGACGACTCCAAATGAAGATACCTCTATGCGAGTAGAAAGGGCAATCGCGGGAATGACAAGCCCGTTGAGGTCAACGAGCCACCGAAACAGCCAATACATCAATGCTGTTTGGAATGACGGAAAAGGCATGATAAAGGAAATCGACACGGCCACTGAACGCGCGTTGGCGAGGATGATAAAACAGAACATCATTTCCACAACAAACGCACATAAAGGATACCCGATCCGATACACGAGGGTAGGCCTGATACCGCCGGAAAAACAAGTCCATTGTAATATGTCCGATAGTCAGGAGATGGAAATTGTGCCATCGAGTGGGGATCCGACAACTCCCATACTGAATCGGATCGCACCGCTAACAGCTGAAGAAGAAGCCGCTCAGGCTTCTTCTAAGAAAGCGACGAAAATGAAAGGGCCGATGGACGTGGAATCGGAAGAGAGTGACGATGACACTTCTGTCCCAACGCCTTTGGAACCGACGACAGAAAAGTATAAAGGTCAGGAGACATCTGGCACTGCGACGGAAGAAACTCAACCGAAAGGTCATGGGACTTCTGAAAAACGGGAAAAAGAAAAGGTTATGCTCCCGATGGACAAGGTAGCGGCAGAAGCAGAAGCGGCCGCCACGCGACAGGTGTATGAGAAATCATTGTTCGCACCATTGAAGGAGGCTTTTGAGAAAGAGCGATCGAAGTCGGCATGTGAAGTGGGAGGTCACGAGACTTTGCCACAGAAAAAGAAAACCGATGAACCGAAATCCGCTCAGTCATCATCTGGTTCGTTGGAAAAACTGAGGATTGATGAAACAGAGACAACCGACCCAACGGACTCGGCAATATCCCCCCAGAAAACGGAATCTAGTACTACGAAGACAAAGGAGGCGACAGATTATACGCTAGGAGCACCGTTGGACGTGACTACCCGGACATGGAGCGAAGTCCAGGCTGTACTTCAGAATATTAGCGAAGGCGAGATGCTTGGTGTGCATCTGAAAAGACAAGTCGCTGAAAACTCGAATGGAAGATCATCACTCAGCATGACCGAGCGAGTCTTGAAAAGAGCATATAAGGAAGGAAGACTGGGATGTAAATATAACAAGGATAACAAGGTTATTTACTACCTTCCGAAACAGGGCCAGGATCGCACACCCAGACTGAAAATGGAGCTAGAGGCCTGGAAGATAGCCATCACAGACGTGGCTTTGGACGCCATCGGCGGTACCAATGGAGCGTCATGGAATGACCTTTCGAACTTCATGGCCGTCCATTATGAATTGGGAGAATTGAATATCGAGAACGATAAAGAATGGATCAAGAATGCCGTTGAAGCATTGATTGCAGATGAAGTGCTTCATATTAACCAGGATGGCCGAGTTGACTTCAAGCCGTATAAACCGCCGGCGAAGGAGTCTGAGTGAATGGGACGAGTGTAATGTGCAGCGAGTAATGAACCCTGCATATTACAGTAAAAAGCATAAAACAGTTCAAAACGAAAGAGAAAAATTCTACGGAAAATTGAAAGGGAAAAGGTCAACTCGAGAAGTAATGACGATAAGACACTAATAGAAAAAATCACAGTAGTCAGAAAGTGCTGATAACGTGAGAAAGGTCACCACGTTAAGGCGATGGAGAGGGCAGTAGGAGCTAGGAAAGTCTCAGCTCAGTAACGGAATAGGCGTAAAAATGATAGAAAGCCTTGATAATGGATAGGAATGGAAAAGATCAACGCGGAAAAGTTACTATGACGGATTGTTTTTTTGATTGCAGATTTCAAACGGAGAAAATGGCACAAAAAGGTCAAGCCACCACTAAAAGCTTAGGAACGGCATCAGAGATAAACAGATCTACGGGCTATAACCCAAAGTGTCCGGACTGTTTACGGAATAACAAAAAGGTCGATAAGAAATTCCCCTGCTATACATGTATTCACAAGTTGGGTGATCCACACATCGTTTCACTCGTTAGGATCAGGGAAGCCAAACGTGGGAACTTAGATGTTTTTCGAAACCTCATCAGTGCGAGGAATTACGGCAGCATCCCAGTAGAAGAGCGAATGCTACTCGAGGATCGTTACCGGGAAGCGATCCAGAACAACGAAAAGTGGCTGGGATGAGACTCTGGAGCCACTGAAATGCCCACAAACGGACGCATACCGGAAGAAGTTCGAGGAAGATCAAGAGAAGATGCGACGTCAGAAAATGGAACGCGGACAACCAAAGGGCAAGCGAACAGGCCGCACGGGAGGCACTGTCTAGCACGTCGAGTCCAGCTGTACCTACAGCCAGCCTAAACGACGAAGAAGCGCAGCTCATACGTCAGTCTCTTATCATTCAGATCGATACGCTGACAAACGACCCGGCCGCTATGCAACAGGAACTATTTGACGCGCTATTGCGGGAGAAGCTGCGATTGCAGAAGGGGTTTGCTCCAGCACCGTACATAAAGAAGGAAACTGAAAGACGTATGGACGCATTACGCAAATCTCGCCAAACCGAAAGTGATGTGCTGCAGGCGCTCAGAAGTTTCGAACGGGATGAGGGGTTTACACGACCTCGATCTCCTCCGCATAGAGAAAGGTCACGCGGACATTCAAGGGAGCATGAACGAACCTCTGAGAAACGAAGTGAAAGGTCACGTGAATATCCCGTGAAAGGACACGGGATTACCGCAGCGAAAGGTCACGCGAACGTTCCCGTGATCGCGATTATCGTGGCGGAAGAGGCTGGGTACGCCACGGAAATGAAATAACGGAAACTACTATTCAGCGGAAAATCGACACGGCAAAGATTTTGGTCGCAACAAGAGGACGCGAGGAACAACGGCGTGCGGAATCATACCGCACAGAACCTGAAAAGGAAGGTCATCAGGTGCCGTTGGGAGTTGGGTTTTGTAATCGTAACGTTAGGATGGCAACACCCGAAAGGTCATGGGACAAGAGACGCGAGCGCACACGAAATCGAACGCCAGACCCACATGATAAGAGATGGCAAGAGAGAGCTAAGTACTATGCGGGTTTCGAATCTGGCGCGAGCAAAACGTCATCGAGTGCGGAACGGGAAGATTCACCCCGAAATATCAGCGAATGGAGTCAACAGTCCACGTGGTGAACCCAATCGTGAATGCGGTACAAGAAGATGGCCCGATGGAAGGGGCCAGCTCAGTCGCGGATTTGACGCCCCAAGAAAATGTGACGCATCGACGAAACGTAATTCTGGACAGTGACCTTCAACCGGTTACACCGGCGGGTAATGAATCGCCGCAGTCAGAATCAGGAGAACGAAGCGCACAAGAAAGTCAGCGCAAACCGGCTGAACGACGTGAAAGCGACCGGCGAACGACTTCCCGATTCGATAATCGGCACCCTGATACTATCGACATTGAATACCATATGAACGACACTGATGAACAAAAGACGGAAATCTGTCGATACATGGGGATTGAAGATGGCTCAGCGGAAGCGAATAAGATTCACACAATTCTGAATCAGCTGCGTCAATTTTTATTCGATTCGGGCTATGCGAAAGAAATTAAAGAGGGAGTGGAACAAGGAAGTTTCCGTCGATTATACATCCCCCGCGATTCAGTAAGGGATTGTTATCTCCCTATTCGACGGAACGGGTTACATAGCCTATTGGATTTGAGTTTACTGGATGTACCACTGGATACGACTGACCCAGTCGGGATGACGCAATTCTATTACAGAGACTATCCCGAACGACAAGAATATGTGGCTCAGTTCGTTTTACGACATGTGAATCCAGCCTTCAAGTTGCTTGCAGCAAGGGCATCGATAGGATTGCAAGTGGATCCTAAAGACCATGTCGCAAAAAGGATGGGGCAGAAGGTCTTTGCTGCACGATTGGCACATTACAAGACACAGAATCAGTTGGTATCTAATACCATGAAGGACGATATCCCACCGCTCTTTCGACCTCATGTGGCGAAGCTGGGCGAACCCATGGAACATGTCGGGATAGCCCACACGGCTCGCAAGGCGTTGAAAAAGTGCAAGATACGAATGGAAAAGGGCAATCTTACACAGCGCCATGCCTCCCAGGTGGAAGAGAGGATCAATCGAATTAAAGACACCATGGGGAGCGATTATGTCGAACCAGTGGATGGAGTCGACGTTTACATAACGGAATTTCTGGTCAACAAAGGCGACCGACGCCCAGAACGCGCCCCTAACCAGATAGGACGACGTGGCCTACGAAACCAGCAGCTTCGAGACAATCTCGCCGATGTACAACGTCGATTAGCAGATGACCCTAATAATCGAAGATTGCGGTTGGAAGAAAATGACGCACGCCATCGAGTTGAGGCGGTTAAACGAAGTCGCCAAGGGAAAGGTCGTGGCCAGCGGGAAGTTGACCCGGCAAAGGTCATGGAAGTTGACTTAACGGAACCAGTTGACCGAACGTCCGACCGTAATCAACCGGAAAGCGCTAAGAAGCGCCCGCCAAGAGATGGCGAGGACGACTCAAATGAGATGGAATAGTGTTGATCGTTAGGATCACACTATTAAAAGAGCGTCTACGGCATTTGTCGGTACGTCACAAAAATGAAAAATGGTGATTGTATGAGGGCGACGTGACATATTAACATTAACTGCATTCGTGTAATTGTTGTTTTCAGCGTTTGTAGCATAGGATTGCCTGAAAGAAATCATGTGGAGTATCTATTGGGGTTGAAATTGATTCGGTCTCTAAAGCCGGCCCCAAGGGAATTGTTACGGCAGTTAGCCGGCTCTCCTCTCCAAGCGATTCAGTGCTATAAATTGGCAAGAGAAACTACGGTAATCAAGCCGGATCTCTTGAATACGAAAGGGGGCCACAAGCGGCGAAAAAGAGAAAGACAACAGGTGGAATATTAATGGGGTAAAATTAATGCGGCAGTCAGCCGGCCTCATTAGAGTGGTTACGGTAAATGGTGCCGGCCATCTCTCCAAGCGATTCAGTAGATTGTGTTCGCAAGCACAAAAAGGCTTACGATATACGGTACGATATACGATAGGCTCTTGCACGTCATCATGGCGTACCCTTATCGGACCGTTTGACGATAGGATTGACGATAGAAAGCATAGCTATCGTCAAGCTTACCGTTAAGCCCTGCGAAATAGCAACCGCTCTTGGTGGCGATTGCATCGATTGGAACGGCTGCAGGTGTCAAATCACGAAACTTTTGAGTGTCAGAATAAGTTCGAATGATTTTTGATTAACGAACGGAGTAAATCAGAAGAAAGACAAGGTTAAAATAAGTTTTTTGATACCAAGTGAGGGCAGTTTGTCCAAAAACCAACGGTTTTACAACCATTTGAATCTACCATGCAAAGCTTACGGCGATCGTTGGAGTACTAAGCGCGAACTTTTTACTCAAACTCCGTAGACGCCTGCTTTTAACTTTAAATGTTCATAACAACGCTCATTGGCGCTCAAATCTAGCAGCTTTGGTGTAAAAAATATTTATAATTTTAGTTTTCATCGGGTTCACAGCTAAAAGCAGTTTAGCACAATCAAAAGTGCCAACTGCCACTGCCAAAGCTGATTCACTTCGGAGGCAACATTCCACCGTATAACGTTTATCGTTTTGTCGGCTGTGATGAGAGCGAACACTATAAATTACCGACGATATGATTACGATACGGTGTTCCATCGTATCGTACACCGGACCGTCTATCGTTGGTGTATGGCGAACACAATCTATTAGATTGTGTTCGCATGCATGACAACATTGCCAGCATGACAACTGCTGCCTTTCCTGGAACGACACGAAACATCACCGAAGATTATTTTAACGTAAGATGGATAAACTAGCTGCCAAACAGAGTTCTAGCGCATTGTATACCCTTGGGTTTCAGGCGCATAGTTCGACAATAATTTACGCTTCTACCAGTTGCTTTCTCTGTTGATATTTTTCGGCAAGTTTAAAATAATTGCTAAATGTTTTCCGTTGTACATTGATGTAGAAGAAGTGTACATAGAATATCGTGATTGCATAGTAAAGCTCTATTAAGTACATGGTCGCAGACATAACGGCTGTGCAAAATAAGTCTTGTTCTTTTAAACTTCAAAGAACTCTCTTCTAGCCAAAAACCTATACCAGCACAAAAACTCCTTGCACAATTTTTACGACGCCATTATGAACTCATAGTCGACATTTATTAGTTGTCCACAAGTTTCTTATCGCAAAACGGTCGGCCGCAGCCCATGTGGACCGAATTATGTGACAGCTATTACGAGTAGTGACTAATTGCTAGCAGGATGAAAAAAATCGGTCATGATCAGGCAACGTAATAAATCCGAATACTTAGAAGTTGATAAGTATGTTTAATAGTGGTAGCCATCATGCAGAAATTTTATAAATTTTGTATAATGTGCAAATTAAGAAAACTGGGCTTATAAACTACGAATTCGAGCAATGGAAAAATTTGCCGACACAATTAAGAATGCTGCAGTTTACAAGAATGCTGTAGTTCCCCTTTAACCTTTCCTGATTTTGCAAAGCGATACCAGCACCGCATCGGCGTGAAACAGGATAGGTTTTTTTATCGCTTTATTACGCTAAACAGGAAGATGCTCCGGAATCCTTGAAAAATTTCAGCAAAGTGATCTCTAAAGCCGACGGCTTCGTCATAGTTTCTCCTGAGTATCATGGTGCCATCGCGGTAACTTTTAGATGGTTTAAGTTCGTTTGAGTGAAGGCCAACTATTTGCCATTTCAGCCATCCTTGTCCAAATTGATGGACCAGTTTCCTCCCCTGTCCTACGCTTACCGTCCTGGAGCCATCGTTACATACTCAAAACGTCAGTCAAGAAGAAAACAGACGCCATGACACGGCAGCATAATAAACCAGTTTCGGCTTTTATTCAGTAGAAGTAGAAGTAATAACACGCTTTTGGTGTTGCATTTTTGAACTGTTTACTTACATCGAAAGAAAATGTACACTTTGAATGTAACTTTATGGTGACTATTCCGTGTCGAAGCAATACTAACTTGTAAGTCTTAAAACTCGATGCAGCTTTCTGCAGGTTGATTCGGTGGTGTTCGAGCCCAGACACAGCTGCGAACGTATCTTTCGGGACTGGGCATGATACATATCCCTAGTGTTGTGTGTAAGTGCTGCGCAAAACAGTCCAATCAGTTGTGCCCTTTTTGACATTAGAAAGACGTAACAAATTTTAAAGTGAGTGCAGAACAATGGGGGAAAATTAACCACGCATCGTCTCATTTTTTTGTCTTTGGGCAGCGAAGATCAATCGTTAGGAGAAGCAAACAAACAACAAAACGAAGCAAACAAACTCAAAACTGTTTGGAAATCGATTGAAAATTTGATTGTCTGCTTTTCAGCTATCGCTAAGGTTGAAGAAACTGTAACAAAGAACGGCACCACAACCAATGCGCAGCTACTTTCCTCCCTGGATGCGCTGGTAGAGGAATTGGTTTGGTTTGCAAAAGCCGTCAAATATTACAAACATGTAAGTCATGCGCTTGCGTCACCTGTATTTTACAAATTAATCATGGAATACATAATGACGTGCGCTGCAGTTAAGCTAAGACTAGGGACCATTTCAAAGCGTGCATTCTACGTTTTTAGAAGAAACAGCTTCTGTTCAAGGGAAAGATTTGGATATAATCCCACTAACTGTTTACTGGGAGCAACTTCAAGCAGTATAATATGTACTGTATATCTGTATCTTCTATCTGTATGTCCTAATGCAAGCTATTGTAAGCTTAAGTCATTGTTTATTTCAACGATGTACACGTGTGTCAACCATCGAGCATCTTGATGTTCACTTGCTATACAGTAATATTTTTGCAGTTGGTATTGTCCCTAATTTACGAAATGACGACAGAAACACACATAAAAACGTGGGGTCGGTCTGCTAATGCGCGCGCAGCTAATTGGAACAACAAGGTAGGTGTGCAATGTAAGTACATAAAACAATCCGAGTTTCGTACGAAATCGAAATTCATAGAGGGATTCAGATAAAGCAGTTCTATTACGAGCTTAATTAATATTACAAAACATGGTAATTGTAACAAGGTATGACGAGAAGTCGACAACAACAAGAGTAGTTATGGTATATATGACTAAATACACGTGCACGCCAGTAACAAGGAGAAATTTTTGGGTGTTCCAACCATTTCGGTGTCCTTAATGGTCAGTAAACTGTGCACCAACCGAAAATGTATTGTACGTTGCATGAATTGCTCCATTGGCATGGATGATTTTACTGGGAGATTCTATCCATAATTTTGGTGATGGCCTTGCAATTGCTGCTGCATTTTCCGTGGGTGTCCGTTCGGGTATTTCCACTTCCATTGCTATTTTTTGTCATAAGGTTCCTCATGAGCTAGGTAAAATACACATTACACAATGGTAGCACTTAAACGCGTACAGTACAGATACATTTTCGCTAGTTTAGATTGGTGTTCTTTGTCAGATAAGGTCACGTCTGTCGATATCGGCTTAATTACTTACGTACATAGTAATCTCTGCCGGTAAGTCTAAAAAAGCTAGTGGGTTTTAGGTTGAGATAAAAATTCTATTAATTATTGTATCATTGATGATTATGGCTATCGCCTTTGTTTGGAGCTAGTATCTGAATTCTCATTTGGCGTCTTAAGTACTGCATGAACTAGTTTTATTATTGTTAAGGTGATTTTGGAATTTTGCTCATTACCGGAATGCCATTTAGGCGGGCGTTGATACTTAATTTTATTTCGGCCTTGACTTGTTTGATTCGGTTTTATATCGGAATTCCAGTTGCATCATTCGATTCCGCCAGACAACGGATTTTCACAATCGCTGCCGACATGTTCCTATAAGCGCATTAGCCGATATGGTATGAGTTGAGCAAAGTTTATGAATTTAAATATTACTTCTACAAATATACCGATACTAGCGATAGTCTATTTTCATTTGGGTGTGAACGTTAGAATTTAAAATAACAGGTTTAATCTGCTTTGACGGTGTTTGTATTACATGTACAGCTTCCGGAACTGAAGTATGGTACCAGTAATATCCTGATGCTGGTAATGCATAACCTTGGACTGATGGCTGGCGTTGAAATTATGATACTTATGGCCTTATACGAAGAAGCCAAACAAATATGATAATATCTGGATTGAGCTTTGAGCGGCCTTTTCTGTCTTCAAAGCGGAGTTGTTTGAAGGTGTATAGCTTGATTATCAATTTGCAATTGCTAGACGCATCAAGCTGCCTACCCTACCAGATTATTGTTAAGTACGTATATGCGCAATTAAGCACACCAGTAGAGGCAGCACGTAATTGTTGCCGGCCATTTATGGTTTTGGACTTTTGGGTTATTTAGAGAAAGTAGGCTGGGAAAACAAAGTTTACGTTATGTATGTGATTGATTTTATTTGTCGGTAATTTTGATCTGAAGCCAGTCCGAGAAACGAGATTACAAATAAATTAAATCACGTAAGCCTTTTATAACACTTCCGAGAGAAACTGAGATGGAAGTTTTAGTCCGACTTTATAATTGTAAACTTAAAGTAATTACATAGCTTCACGGTTACATCAATCAACGATGACGACAATCTTGACAACATTTTAATTCGCATATTTTCATATATATGCAGACGAATTAAGTGTGAGAAAACCGGTTGTGAACGAACACCACCATCGAACTACTACAAGGACAAAATTAATTAAACTATCAAACACTATCGAACACCACTATCGAACACCACTATCGAACACCACCATCGAACTTCCACAAGGACAAAATTAAGTAAAAAACAGTGCGAAAGAGCGAGATGCTAATTAATGCGCGCATTAATTGTGATCATAATCAGGGAAATGTAAGACAGAATTCCAAGTACAATGACAACATCCTCAGCTAGCCAGTGCGGCAGGGACTTAATCACTTGCGAGTCTCATGGCTGATAGGGATCTCATGATGCTGGTTCTGCTGAATGGCCGGTGGATTGAAGGGTGCCTCGATGGTCAGCACACCGTCCGGGGTCAGACGAGATTTCATCTGCTCGAACTGCACACCCTGGGCAATCTGCACCATACGGCGGAACTCGCGAATGGCATGGTGATCCTGCAAACAGAAGAATTATCATTTTGATGATAATGATACTGCGTGTTGCAACACGCTAAAACATAAAACTGCATAACATGACTGCCGAACAAATTTTGTTAAGAAAGACGTTGTTTGTAATACGTAATTTCATAGCTCGGCTATCTGCTCAAAGCATACTGCAGTCTGTATGGAATGCCATATTATAAAACCACAACATGACTGGAAAATGTTACTTATTAAAGGAAACTAAAATTATCCGACAGTTTGCAGAGAATCTAAAGATTTACTGACTACGTTATGCTACGTATTCAAAATCAAAATACTTCCAAACGTACCTCGCCCTTATCTTCATGCTTGGCAGTGATGATGGCCTTGTTGTCGGCAATTGTTACTACAGAAATGGAAACCACCATAAGAACACTACAAATCGGAGAAAGATGTATTTGCTAAACAGTGTTAAGTTCGTACTTGAAACATCCTCCGGCTTGAAGCCACCAACATCGAAGTGGAAGCGAGCCAACTTGCGACCGCTCTCCTCGACAAACTGTGGCATAACCGGATAGGAGCGGTCAACAAGAGAACCAAGGTTGGGGCCAGATCCGCGAGACAGTTGACGCTCCAATCGGTTGAAATCGCGGCTCATGTGGCGGAACTACATAACAGAATTTTCGTAACGTCGGGAAGTATGGGTTCGCACAAGTACTATCAGAATTTCGGAAATTCTCAGGTCGCTTCTCATTACGGGAAAAAGCGCTGCGATCCTACAGTAATGAAAAATTCTGAATAACTAATTAGAATGAGGAAGCACAAAATCGAACAGAACAACGTTTACATTAAGCTCCCGTTACACAAAAAAAAGTATCACTCTCATCACGGTCATCGTCCGCATTTCCTGCGTCTGCGAAACCACCCTCTTGAGCGGAACCATGCGGCGCTATCTGCAGCGTGAACCCAATGCCACGGTAGCCCCAGCTTTCATTCAGACCGCTAAATTCATTAAAAAATGATGGAAATTAGATTTTATGACTATAAAATACACGATAACAGCTAATTTAAATTTTGTTGAATTCTGAATCATTTTAAGTACAGATCGATCGCACCAAGTGTGGGCAGTAACAAAAAATTCCCCTTTGCTACCACTGAACCCAAAAATCTTTTTGTTATTTTTATATGATAGTTCATGGTCTATAGCAACTTTCTTAATCATATTTCTTAGGTAGAAGTTATTACGCAGGGAACGGTAGCCGAATTTTTACTTTCCTTTTTTCCTTTTCTAACTTCCTTTAAGTTTAAATCACAAACGCCTGGTCAAACGCGATCCCTGCTCTAGGCAACCACATCTTCGGGATGGTGCCCTTTTACATACAAGTCTATAAGAGCTACTTCGGGTTTTGAGCTCACTACTGGCACTGATCGCGCAAGAATCTTTTGCTAAACTTTAACGAACGCCTTCGTATACTTACTCTCGAATGTCAGCGAAATATCGCATATATGAGTCGATATATCCATATCCACAGCGTCCGCGAAGCCATATTTGGTCGGGACATCCGGGACGCCCCTGATGACTATCGATGTTAGTATCCTGCAGCACCAAGAGACCAACACGATTAACCTCATGCAGCAATTCCAACAATCTACGAGCAGACATGCGATGAGGATGAAGAGGGGGAAGAGGATTTTGGGGATAAGGCAGATTATCCACTACGGCATGATACAATCCGGGCACTGCGTTGTCACTATGGTATGCCAGTCCCTTGTCGTCAACCACAACCACAACATGAAAATTCACATATCCCTGATTCGCAGCCATATCCGAATAAAGATCTAGATCAGAAACAGCAGGGGAATGCGCTAAGGAAAACGAGCGATTAAAACCCGGTCTGGATCACTACAACTACATCTACGGATCATTCGATAGCGCTGATTTCGTAGAATGAGCCCGCAGCATTCGGATTTCAAAAAGCAAATACCGTTTGGGACAAAACTGTAAAAAGCCCCATCATACAAAGTCTACGGAACCCTACCACAACCAATCAGCGAAGACTTAAAGTAACTGCCTTGCTGCAGAGCTGCGCAGCTTGTGGTTACCATGTGAGATCATGTCGCATGCGAACCTGGAAAATTTGGGATTCTGCAGGTTTATTGATAGAATAAGTGCTTGACTACTTGTACTTCACTTTATCTTCTTTACGTCTTTATATCATTGCTTTCCAGTTTTAAAATTTAATGACAAAATTTTGTTATAAAATATTTTTCTGATTAAAATTTTCTGTTACCGTAATACCCAACCGGCCTATCATTGTTTTGATTTCTGTTGGCTTTCGAAGACTTTGCCAGAAATGAATGACAACGGTGACAGGCCCATTCGTAAGAAAGACAAGGATCCTGGAGGTTCTCGTAAGTATGTTATGTAGTTCACAGTAGTTGTAATTTGTAAAGTGTAAACTGTAAACAATAACCAGACCGATAGTCATGCACAATCTGATCTAATCGTCAGTACTTAGCGGTTCTGATTTTAATATCCTTTCTGCAGAAATAACGATCCAGACAGAAGCTGGCGATGACAGACCAGAAGTGCAAGATATTGAGGAAATCTATATTGACGACGAAGCCACGGTATGTCAATAGTCATCGCAGCATTTGTTGACACTTTTCAAGCACGAATGACAAATCTTAAAAATTTCTGCTAACCACTAGTTATTTCGATGAAATACATTTTCTGTAGGAAGCTGACTTCAACCATGGACGAATCAAGGAGATACCCGCTAATCTGAACCAGCATACCAAACTCGAGGTGTCTGTACTCTTTTCTACATTTTACAGCTCACCCGTTTTATTGATATCGTTCTTATATTTTATGTTCTGATAAATAATCTTCTCCGTGTGTGCCAGTAGGACTACTACTGTTTAGTAACTGCTTCGAGTTTTATGATTTACAGTCTGATAACATTCGTAAACGATGATATTAGTTTCACATGAACAAAAGAAATCATTCATAATTAATTTTGTTGTCTTTGCTGTTTTAGATATTGACCTATAGTCAGAATTTGCTGTCGAAAATTCAGAATCTGGATCTCTTAATCAACCTGCGTGAGCTGGACTTCCATGATAACCAGATTATGGTCATCGAGAATCTGGATTCGTTGGTGAATTTAGAGTAAGTATAGTAATTATTATATATTGAAATTTTAATAGATGGTACTCGTGGTAGATTAGTACAATATCGGTTGTTCAGATCCGTAGCTAGGCCGTAAAATTTTCGCTTGAGTTCGCTTTCGCTTCTCTGCCTGCCTTTGTCTCCATGGTTGTTTTTTGTCTGGCTGCATTGTTCATCTTTCGAACATGAATGCTTTTCCTGAATTGTATTTTCCAGTGCATACATGTGGTATACCTTCTTATTGTGGTGCATTCGAAAACTGTTCAAGTTGTAGTTTTGATAAAGTGACGATTTTCTCCAATATATTCATTATATTGCGATACGAGTACAGTAAGTACAGTAATGTATTGATTTTTCGCGGTTTATCAGGGTTTTGGATTTGTCGTTCAATCGCATCTCCAAAATAGAAAATTTGGCCACTCTGAAGAAACTGAAAAAGTTGTATCTGGAGAACAACCGGATAGAAAAGATCGAAAACCTCGACAATTTGAAACACTTGGAAATGTTGGAGCTCGGTTCGAATAAAATCCGGGTAAAAACCCTGTTTACATCCAACTGACTTGTGCATGAAATAGCCTGGGGGTGTTCTTCATGGTTTTTGTCTTCTTTTCAAGGACCAAATTTATGGATTTGTGTTTCAGAGAATCGAAAACTTGGATGGCTTGACAGCGATAACGCAACTATTCCTAGGGAAAAATAAGATCGCAAAGATCGAAAACATTTGCCATTTGATCGGCTTACAGTTATTGAGCATTCAGGTGTGTTTTGAGTATGAGATGTAAATTTATACTTTGCTGCTTGTAGTCCTTGCATATGCTAATATCGGTGGACTTTGGGGGCTAATTTTATGAACGCGTATATATAATAATAATAATATATATCGTGTAGGTTGACCAGATAACAGATTTTGTATTGACTAAGCGACAGTCGACATAAGTGTAGCCATAATCGTCAACGCAAATTGTTTTCCTTTGATGTTTTCTTAATTTTTGTTGTTTTTACATGCTGTAATATTACATGTTGTAACTATAATGTTTTATATTTTGAATATGATTAACTGTGACAGAGCAATCGGATTACTAAGATCGAAGGACTGGATACTTTGATCAATTTGGAAGAATTGTACGTGAGCGACAATGGATTAGTTAAAATTGAAGGCCTGGAGAATAATGTAAGTATGGTGCGAACTGAACTGAACCATATTGTCTGCGAAGTGTAAAATGACGCGTGACCGCGCGTTTCTTGACAATTTATTTGGGAATACTCTTTCCGTCTAGAAACTCTTGCGTACACTTGATCTGGCATCTAACAGGATTACAGCCGTGGAAAATCTGAAACATTTATCCAGTTTGGAAGAGTTTTGGGTATGTGGGCATTGTAGTATGGTTGTACAACATCGGTCAGAAAATTATATTAGTAATTCGTATAACTTTCTGACCGATGCTGTGTACAATTATACTGTATCACTATATCAACTGCAAGTACAATTATTGTACTTGCAGCTTATTAAATTTTTATAGATATAATACTTGTATCGTACTTGTCGATGGAGGTATACCTTTTATATTTTTTGCCGTAATACCTTTTATACTATTTTAATAAGCAACAGCCACCAAAACAAAAAGTGCTAGCGCCAGCACTGCTTCATGCCAAATAATGCCATATCTGATTAAAATACTTATTCTCTCTGTGAACACTACTAACACTTGCAGTACTGAAAGTTTTGATTGACCTCAGCGTAGTGAGAATGTAAAGTTTAAGTAGGCTGTGGTAGAAGAAGTATTGTGCACCACTCGTGCCTAATGTACGAGTATGTACGCTCAGGAGACTCCACGTATGTAAAATGAAATTAATGTCATTTCAGTTACAGGACTGTGAAAAGGCTTCGGTTTAGCAGTTAAGGTTAGCAATAAAATGACCATTGTGTATTGTTTCCAGTTTAACAACAATAAGGTGGAGAAGTGGGAAGATCTGAATGAGCTGAAAGGTCTTGCGAACTTGAAGACAGTATATTTTGAGGCCAATCCCATTCATGCAGAGAGCACATACCGTCGAAAGTTGATGCTAATTTTGCCGCAAGTTCAGCAAATTGATGCTACTCTTTGTCGTCTGTGATTCAAAAGTGACTACTGGACTTTGCCATTTTTTTCCACGCTGACACTGGACGTCTCGTAAGACTGATTCTGAATTTTGGTTTCTTAATTGTCATCTTTATTGATTAAAATTGGTTATTATTGTACGCTGCTCGAACAGATCTCGCTTGGCAAAATGCAGGCGGACAGTTATCTAGACATTTTGTTTAGTAATTATACTGCCGACGCACGTATAATTATTATTTAGAGGTACGACACCTACAAAATTTGGTATGGTGTCAGCCATAATGCAGTGACTGATTATTGTATTTGTAATCATGTAAGGATTCTCCAATTGATACTTCACGCAGTGACCGCATGGCTTTTGTACAATTAAAATTCTGGTACTCTGGTAAACATGCTCTTCCAAAAATTCTTATTAATCTGCAGCGACCCAGCGGGAAGAAATCCTGAAAATTACGAGTTTGCGCTGCTACGTTACCTGCATAGTAATATCATGCAAAGCAATGCATTTTGCTTAAGTACATTAGATCTTGCGTTTTGTTCAAGGTGGAATGAGTTTTGACAAGATACACCGATCAGTACAAAACGAAGTTAAAAAAGAGTGATAAAAATACAAAAAATCAAGATAGGAGTGCATTTGGCTCAGTTTGACAGTAGGTGCCATCTAAAGGTCATAAAACTGTACAGCTTATAACGGCATCGTTCTATTCATTCCTCCTCTTCCGAATTAGCAAACAGACATTGCCAGGATTCAAGACTTCCGGGTATAACGTGACTGAGACAGGGTTGTGGGATGGGTTGCTGGGTTTCATACAAGGGCGGCGCATTCAGAATAATTGCGGCTGTGCCGGCAATGCATACGAGGGAAAATATCCATAAGCACAGGCGATCCAACACTAATGCGAAATACTTCCAGTCTTGTACAGTCTGCAAAAGTTTTGTCAGATTGAATTCTATAATGAATTGAACTTTATTTTTAAGGCGAAAATTACTCTGGATAATAGGCCTCGCGCGTTTTGAGGTCGCGAAATATATTTAAAGTTTTAGCAGCTTGTGATTCGGCAATTTATTGGTAACCTTATGCTTCCGGGTCAGTACCATTTACGACCACGGAAATTTTCGGGCTGTTATAATTGTTATTGATTTATCCATTTGGACAATGTGGGTAATTTGGGCGCTGTGGCGAATTAACTAGCATGGCGGTTGTAGTGTTGGCCGATCCAGATTCCCGCCAGATTGTTCCCGTAGTCTACAGATGGGCGTTCAGAGTTTGCTTACATGATTGCTCTCCGTAGTTTCTTTAACATGATCCACAATATAGTTTATCCCATCAATCACATTCTGCAGATCGTAGCCTAATCTCCGCTGGGCCAGTCCGCTGATCAATAACGTATCCGGTCGTGGTACGGCATGGGCTGACGGGCCGCCGCGTGATTGATAGCCGCATAGCGGTTGCCGTTCGACCCGCTCATATTCGTGCAGACGCGTATTACCTTTCTTCTTGGTGAGACTTCTGGCGCGGTCTTTATCACTTGGTCTTTGGATGCCAAGCAATTTGGGCAGTAATTGGAGAAATATTCGTCGCACCCACGGTCGCATCCTATGTGTCGACGGATTACGGAACTAAAATGATTGCGCCAACTGTCAGATGTGCCGAACGGAATTAAGTCAGGGTGTCAAAATTAAAATTCACTCAGACATGTGTGATCGGTAATTTGATAACCCACATGAATATTCAAGACAATGATAGTCGCGACGATAGAAAGCGTCACCAGAACCTGTAAATCATTTAACATATGATGATACTTCTAGTTATACCTATACCAAAAATTTATTTCCGCATGTGTATAAATATTTTTTTCATGTATTAATCTACTTTTTTTCGATTTTTTAATAACCCACCATTGTAAACAAAAGGTATTTCCCAATCAGCGGAACCTGCAACAATTGCGTGTATTAAACTCTTGCAAGTTCAGCGCGATTCAAACTAAATTGCACGCTTACCGTGAAAGAAGTTGGCGGAATGATCTGCGTGGAAACAAAAGGCTGGTTTTATAAATAATCTCGTACAGAGTAATGTAACAACAAAAGAGTAATGCACCACCAGAGTAATATACCATAAATAATATAATATACCAAAAATAAGAACGGATCACTTTAATAGCAAACAAGCTACATTAATTTGGCAGTATTTTGTAGGGACCGGCTTGCTGTTACAGTCAACGCAATTAAGTACGTCGTATGTATTGCATATGCAGAAAAGCGGTACGAATTACCTCAGAAAGAAGAAGGAAAAATACAGTCAGCGATAACAGGATGGAAATGCAAAGAGTGACCTTCTCTCCCGAATCCGATGGAAGGTAGAATACGAAAACCGTCAAAAACGAAATTGCAACGCAGGGGCTGATCAAATTTACTGCAACAGAGTTGTTAATCCTAGTTCTGGTGGAAAGATATAATAGTGTTAAACATTCCTGCGTGGTACTGTAATAAACTTCTTAATATGAGTATACGCATATAATAGTTCAGAGAAATTATTACTTATTTAATTACATATAAGGCGGCTGTCGAGAATAAAGTGTGAAATAACATGACCACAAGCTATATATGCAGCCTTATGGCTTAAAAGAATTATTGAAGTAATTAAGTAGTTCTTTTATGCATAATCGGTTGTAAAACATCCCATCTTACTTGTATAAAACAATGTTTTCCGGCGAATAACAAGAGTAAAGGTGATGTCGAGATACGGTTCACGGCAACATGCATAAAAAAGGGTATGCCGGCTCGCAAAGGCCTAAAAAGTTGGATTTTAATGAATCTTCCCCACTGATTTCAGGCAGATCAAATGACATTTTGACACTTGGCAGTGTAAACATGTCATGTTTATCGGTGGCACTCCTCTTTAGGCTGCCACGAAGAACGTAGCGAAATATTTCAAGTTTTGATTGACATGAAAATATTTAGCCTGAAACTGGCTACATTTTGAAAACAGCAGTGAATTTCTTTTCGCGATGGGATATTACACCAGTTGCCTGTACGTGGATAACTACATATATAGATACACGGTACCTCCAAAATATCCCATTCCACGCTTGGCTTGTACCTGCGTTTAATTATACAAAACAGAGAAAATATTGCAGAAGTAAAGTGATTGATGATTTACTGGATTAAGCCGCGCGCGCCATCTTTTTGGCAAATACTTTGTAAAATTAACGTGTGCTAAAGATACAAAGAAAATTCTATATCCTCTTACTCGGATAAATCCATTCCAATTTCAATTCTTTTATCATCCTGTTCGTAGCCACGAATTGGTAGCAAATTAACGCTAAGCCCATCATACGTCCAGCTTCCATATTTCATGTCGCAGGACTGTTTGTCCTAAAAATTTCATGCCGTTTTTATATAAAGCAACGATGAAGGTAATCAGCGGTTAAATTGGTTACTAATAATGCTGCGTGCGCATACATCAAGACAGTTCCATATTTTACGTACATAGGGAAAATACTGCACATCTATTCTGCAGTAACTTTTATATATTGCTGGCGGGTCCCATATAACATCTCCAGTGTATCGTACGGTGACCTTTGTCATCATAGTAATTTGATAGTTACCATCCGCACTATAATTAAAACATTCGATTAACAGGCTATAAAGTTGCTTACATCACTAGTTGTGTAGTAATGAATTAATGATCACGTATGCAAAGTAAACGTAACGTAAATGCGAACGCTTTAACATTGTGGCAAACGTTAATGTAGTGAACCACAGTACAGTTACAGTACTCACTTGTTATAAAGCACAAGATCTGGTAGCCAGAGTGATTCACTGGGAATGTAAATATTTTCTATGCCGCCATAATTCTTTGGATTCCATACGAGCTTGAAATCGTTCCAGGTCTTTTTAAAAGTTAAAACAAAAAATGAATAATGAATGAAAATGATGTATTTGAAGGTACGTTGTATTGTACGTAGTTCAAAATATTACAGCGTTTTTTTTTAAAAATATGTTTCTAAAATCAGTGATCGGCACGGTTGATTCTTTATTCTTTGTATATTTCTATACAAGAGCGTATCCCAAAGTAACATCTAAACACGCTGAGATTTGATTCTATCTACCGATTTACTCTACCAATTTTTGCGGCGGAATTTTTTGCATTGTACAACTCAGGCTATTATTTGTTACAGTATGTATAAGGGATTTTATGCGCACTCACCTGTCGAACGACGACATTTGTTGTGATCACTTGCAACAATAAACCATCGGTTAATTTCAGAAAAATTTATTGATGCGGGTTGTAAATTTGTTGTTAATTTAGAAAGATGAATATTTGAACATTCAAATACCTTGGTTGACTTCATCCTGAAATTGCAGATAATATTTACGCAAAGAAGACTTTCATACACAAGATTTTTACGTTTGAACGTGAATTACCACATCGATAAGTTGAGTAAACTTTAGTCCCATCGAAACATTCAGTATTTCCGTGTTATGTACAACCGGTCGAATCAGCTTGTTATAATCGCGCATCAAGTCGATGTACAACTTTTCCGCATCAGAGTTGGAATAAATGTTATGAGCCACCGTGGAAATAAACAAAAACTGTAATACTGTTGCAAATTGAGGCATAATTAATCCAGGAGACCATTCTGATCTGCTACAATTTAATATGTGACAAAATTACAACATATGATAAGATCCGAAATTAATAAGCCGATGATTATGGGGATCATGAGTCACGCTGATAACAGTAAAGACCATGCACCGCGCGTATTCCGGTGGTCAGGCTGTTTACAACCGATTAAAATCACAGCTGATATAATTTACGATTATATTCTGCTTAGAAGAATTAATCAATATTGATGTAAAGGCAATACAGCGCATGCCTTTTCCATCATGGTTATTTGGCAAAATAATTCCATAAAAACGGTGTACAGTGACCATCCACAGTTGGAGTGTTAATCACCAACAGACATAAGAGGAATCCTTCAAGCATAAGATGTGCTGTAACTAATTGTGCCCGGCTCTGGGCGCTTGCTGAAGCTGCTCGGGAAATCTCATCATGATCATGACTGGATGTTTAGTTAAGCTATTTTAGTTCATGTTCCACTAAATACATGAACATTAAAGCTGCAAGTGTCTGTATACTGTGGGGATGTACTGTGCATTGCGTGGCTAAGAGTCTTCTTCAGATTAGTCCATTAGGAAAATCTTGAATTCTTCCATCCGAGCATAAATCGATTTTTGTTGTGGGACACGTCAGTTTTCAGCTGGGAAGGAAGTAATTTTCTTTGAATACTCAATTTGATCCTAATCACATGTCGACGAGTTCATCCAACTGTCCGCTGCAATGCTACCGGACATTGGTATATTCTATTAGAGTAACATTTGCTATATTGCAAAACTAAAACATTCCCAAAGCAGTCATCGTATTTTTCACAATAATTTCTCAGTGGCACAGGCACTATCGAAAGCCACTTGTGCACCATAAACTGCGGTACGATACACATATTCGTATATAAATACTATAATAACTGTTACATCATTATGCATACGCATCATTAAAATAACGAGCGTATACGTTATTAAGTATGTACCGCTCTTCCAGTATGAGTAATTCTGCCACAATGAAAATAAGCATTTCGCGGTTATCGCGAGATATTATAACAGTATTAATAACTGCGTAAACGCAACACAAAGATGTGCCAGCAATATTGTGGGACAGCTGCAAAGATAGTGAGGATCAGGATTGTAATAATATTATTAATATTATGACCCTTTATCTTTGCAGCTTCTACAAAAATAAATTTAAAAAACCATGTTTTGCGGCATGTAATATGCAATGCGTCATCGACTGGGTTGAGTTTTTGTAAGGTGGAAGTCTATATATATTTGCGTAAGTAATTCGATCCTTCGGTTTTTATACTTTTTTGTTCGAGCATTACTGGAAATACAAAGCGTTGTGCCTGCATCAGTGACATTCACTGTATTACAATGGCTGTGCATATCAACACATTTATTTGTTGGGTTTGAAAAATCAACTCGCGCTTAAATAAAGTAACGGTTTCTTTTGCCGTTGTACATGGCTATATCAGGCAGATGAATTAGCAGTTCAAGCGATCTATAGCTACAGTAGTGTGTGGACAGTGTGGACAAGTTGAAGACCTTTCCGTGAATTATACATACTATACGATTACAGCCCACATAAAAATTATGACGGTAAGCTCAAGTCTGGATATAAGTATATGGTTTTTTCTACTAATGTTGAACGGGTGTGCTGGTATGAACGGTACAATTTATAAAACCATTAAAATATTTTTGAACGAAAGTTGATGATAACTGTTTTTTGTTATTGCTTCCGAAGTGCGATGGTCGCACAAGCCAGATAACCTTTCACACACCCGGAAGTTTCCCGCAACTATAAAATGCGCGCGTTATCACACCTGTTTATTGCGTTTTATCTTACATCAGACCTACAAAAAAAACTGATTTTAGCGAATATCTGCAGTCGCTTTTACCAAATTCGTGACATTACTATATGTATGTATCCAATGCTGTCCTTTTACTAATTGAACTCCCAACCGTTGCCGATTAATAGACCATGGAAAGGAATATGATTTGTCTGTTGCCTCTTATTTTTCTCATGTCCGAAATGTCTTGTGGCGATTCTGGATTGAATAGTGGGTCTACTCCTCACCGCGCAAATGTATCCAGAAACCACAAGGCAAGTTCCTCAGAAACGGAAGACATCATTTCAAGAGCGCTTCTGCCACCTAAAATCGAAGAGCGCTCAAACTTAAGCACGCCTTTAATTGGGAGCCCTCGGGATGCTGCTGACCCTGACACCGGTCGGAACGCTTCAAATGTTTACATAATGTAGGGAGAGATACGTTGTGTAGAGTAAATGCAGTACGAAAATCTTACCGCTGTCTGTATAGTTATGATACTTCGATATTATCTGGAAATCAGTTACTTCGATATTATCTGGAAACCAGTTACCTACGTATAAAAAAATTACCCTATAATTAAGTGTTTTAGCGTTTGTACTTTTACTGATTTGGATGACTATTCCTTAATAAAACACACTATAATACGAGTATATCGATACTGTGCTGCGATTCTTCTTGTGATCTTGCTGCTGTCGTGATATTTAACCACGTTTCTGCCGTGTAAAATAATCAGCCGAAAGTTTGCGGACAAATTACGTCAACAATAATTTAGTTAATCACGTTTTTGCAAGTTAATACAGGCGTGATTAACTTGCAAAAACGTTTCAGTTAAAGAACCGATGTAGGCGCAGTGCTAATGCCATCTTCAAGTAACTCTACTCGTAGCACAAACTACAAAGCAAATTATGCGAAAAACTTTTAGCACCTAACACGTACGTCTTACAAAGGAAATGATTAGTAGTACGTATAGTAAGATCAGCAGCTGCTGTGTCCGTAAAAGTAAGAAGTATGAAAATTTCATACTTCTTACTTTTACGGACACAGCAGCTACGTATTTTCGTATTTAATACGAAAACAGCGTTTACTTCTTACAGTTAGTATAAGCAGCGAAAATTTTGGTATACATATTGACATAACATATTAATAATATTATGTGTTTTATATTGTTATCGTACAGAACACCTAATTTGGCACAAACTTGTTATTAGTACAGTACAATCGCGCGTGTATGCCTTTTTGGTTGCTTGGAAAGGGGATATTCATGTGTGACGTTAATGTACTGTATTTTGATTTTGTTGTCGTACGCGTAAAACTACTTACTTGATCAATTATATCGTATTTTTTCTCATCAAAGTATACAGTTGCCCACTGGAATATCAGCGTTAATAGCTGTATTTATATGTAACAGAGCACGCAACTTCCTGATAAATTCATTTCTAACACTGCACTAATTTTAACAGGGGATTAGCGGTGCTTGTTAAAACTGATTGCGAGATGATACCCGTTTTTTAAATAAAGTTATTTTCTGATGGTAATCGGTAGTCGATTAGCAGCATATCGTACATCCTAAGATGCACCTAACCATCAGAAACGAAAAAGTTTGGAAGAAGTCGATCGGAGTTATTCACAAAATGCCAAAGCTTGCAGCCAAGTTGAAAAAGGCATTCCTGTCACGGATCTTGTTGAAACCCAAAATTAAAATACTGGAAACCGACCAACAGCGAATCAACAGATTTGCCCAGAAAGCTTCACAAACCAATGCATGGATAAACGACTTGATTGCTAATAATCATCAAAGAGCCATAGCAATTTACAAGTTCGTCAAACAGCACGATTCCGATCGCCATGACCTTTTCGCAGCATCATCGACTCCTTGGCACGAACAGCTGATAGATGCTGTGCGGAACGTCACAGATAAGCGATACGCTCCTCCTTTAAAATTCAGATTGCAAATTATTGACGCTGCGCAGTTTGAGATGATGTACTGGAATATGCTGACCTTTCCCTTGATGGATGAAGTTCTAGGAAGGTTTTTAACTGAGACTTTTGCTCCCAGCGCAAAAAAATCTCAAATTCATAAGAAGATTGATATCGTCTATGGACCGTCTTTATTGCCTGCGGCTTACAAAACATTTGGTGCCCAGGAGCAGGAAATTTTGTTTTTAGAAAACACAATCCGAAAAGTGCATTTACTAGGGGAAATTCGAGATAACGCCGTAAAAATCCCATCGAACGACTGGAAACCTGATGCTTTCAGGTAGCGTGCGAGAAATGCACAGACGTTTTGTATACCCTTCATAACTTAAAGTACATACGAGTATAAAAAACGCACTCACAGACTAAAACTGCACTATAAAATAACGGCGTCTTTCCACCAATCGCAAAGTGACAGGGTGTATGCGTTAAAAAATACAAGTATATTTAGAATTTTTGAACCTTTAATTTTAACCATATTTTTGTGGCGATTTATACAGTCAACAGTGTTAGTTTTTACCAGGAGAATCTCTACAAAAATCTTTGGGTGGAAGATCCTTTGGCCGAAATAGACTGGCTTCCTAAGATCCAAACACGCAGTTCCCCGAGCCATGGTAATACAACCCAAAAATTATTTTTGCATTATCTCCTGCAAAGTATTAACGCGACTTCAGAGAAGTCAGTAATTTATACGAGTAAATTTGCAGTCCTTGTGGTTAGTGGTGTAGATATATACAAAAAAGAATAATACATAAGATAAGACACTAATGTATGTTGAGACGCTAAAGTATGTAGATAAGACACTAAAGTATGTTTTTGTTAATCAGAATTTGGAATGCGGTCAGCAGCATCTGAAAATACAGGCGCAGCGGTTGTCCTTGTTGGACAACAGAGCGGCGCGAACAAACAAAACCAGCTGACTCAAAATCAGCGAGATAACTCGGACAAAATTCGCACCGGAAAGCAAAACCGAAAAATGCCGAAGCCATCCAGGAAGGTATACTTGTGCGCTGGGATAATATATATACCAAATATTTTTGTTACACATATTCGCTATAAAATTGCGTTTTACGTGTCCGGCCGCGGTCAGCTTTAAGGGTACTAACAAACAATTAGCAAACTACTTTTAAGTTTTTGGGTAATATTTTCATGCAAAGTCGTAGATTTTTTCAGTGACAAAGACGAAACCCTGCAGTGCTTCATTTGCGCGCTTTTGCTCTATGCAGCCGCTAGACTGCAATCGCTCTTAACCATACAAGAAAAACCATTTTTGTATCTGGTATTGTAAAAAACTTGAATGTATTACTTCTAGTCTGAACCTATAGATATGGTAATATTACTCAACCGTAATGCAGACATACAGGCTTGATATCTTTTTGGTTTTCCGCAGGAACATCCCGCAAACGGCCCCGGATTACTGAAGAAACCCGTGCAGAAGGGATCAGCGGCGTTTAATTTACAGTACAACTGGGAAACAAAATGCCTAAAACTGACGCAGTACAACCTGGACGCGCGTGAATTGTTTTGGCGTCAGTTGCTACAAGAATGGGTCGTCGGTTACGGCTACGACACACTGCTGGCGGATTTACCGTATAGCACCAACAATCCGCAACCTGTCGAAGTAATTGACCAGATTGCTAGCCCCACCGGGATCGAACGCCTACGCGGTGTCCTGAGCACGCTTCTGCCCAATGCGCCGTCCACCGAGCGAGCAAAAGGATATTTCCTGCTGCAGAATAAAGTCTTGCTGCAACTAGAGACATGGGTTAGCACTATAGAAAATAACTTTCCACAACAGTAATTTGTAATAAATACGTAACCGCAAATTAGTGGGAAGCTGCCTAACGAAAAGCCACTCAAGAAAAATATTAATTATTGATTATGCAAAATTCGTTATATTATGACTTTGGCTTTCTTTCGCATTTCCAGAATCGCGCCTTTGAGGAGCTGATGCGAGTTATTACAATGGTTGCAAGCACGGATACATTTCGCGCCGTACGGTTTGCCGCCACCATAATTACAGGTTGCCGGCACGGCAAGTTTGGTGCAGAAATAGAAAAGGAGATGTGGCGGATGTTCCGTTCTGCGTTGTTCGTTAACCGTTGGACAGCATGCCATTTATTTGTGATTAATGAAATTTTTACAACGAGAATTCTCCATGAAATTTTTGATCTCCTGTTCTGTTACGTTAAGAAAACAGAATACCAAAACCGCCTTGTCCAGCTGCTTGCACGCTTTCCGAGCAATTACTGCGATACAATTGCCGATGAAATATCCGGGCGCCTAGATTCTCCTAGTTCGGGAGACCGAATTCGAGCGTGCCGTAATATTTTTTATTTATCGAATCCACTAGAGGAGGAACTTTCCGCTAGATGGAATGGAGTTAAAGAAAAGGTCATGTCGCTTGCCCGTAACGAAGAACACACAGCAGTGCGCTTGCAAGCCGTGGACTGCCTTCAGAAGCAAAGATGGATGGACGAGTTCTGCAAATACTTCGCTGACACAGTGAAACTTTTGCCAGAAAAGATAACCGACAAGCTGCGGATACTGGATCACTTAAAGGCTATTGAAATAAGTGTCCCGAATCTGGAAGAGAATTTAGTACAGTATTTAAATGATGAGTGCTCAGCCGTTCGCTTAGCTGCTCTGGATGCAGTAAACTGCTTTCCGAAAATAAGTTTTGAATTAATTCAACTGCTGCTGAAAATGGTGCAGTTTGATTACTGCGGAGCTGTGCGCTGTTCAGCTTTTAAAGGTAAGATAAGCAAGGCACGTAGCAGCAAGGCAAACGAAAATTTCAGTATATGTAATATGACGCCAAGAAGACGAAAAATTTTTTAAAAGACGCTTAAAAAATTGATTTTTTGTGGCATTAGCCAGTAAATGCTCTATGCTCAGTAAATGTTCTAGAATTGCATTGCTCTATGTAAAGGCCGTATACTACGATAGCTTAGCAAACTTTGTTTGTTGGAAAGCCAAAACAACTTATGCAACTGTTGGTTTTGTATTGATAGCTCTTGAGGTGCACTGCGATGACACTGGCTTTCGTTCGTCTATTCTGGACTGCTGTCTGCGCATTGTACGATGTGAACATATATTGGCTCTCAAAGAAAGAGCTTTCGCTTTATTACTCACAAACGACGCAGAAAGAACACGACTATCTGACCTTCATGGCTACGTCAACGGTTTCCGGTATTTCGAAACGAACCCACTATTAGCAAAGTACGAACAAAAATTGTTGCATTTCTAAATCCGACAACATCCAGGTAATCATGAGGATTTTTGTATTGTTAACATGCACTGATATATTATTATGTTGAAACGTAGTGTAATTCATGTAATGTTATTCTAAAAGACGCGGCTAGATCTAGACCATTCGGGCGAATATACAAGTGAGTGCAGTCTTTTTGTTTAGTTTTAGAATTATATCGTACTCTGATTATAAAGTGAATGGATGTTGTTGCAAAAAGTTTAAATTGTGAAACATCTTTTCAGAACTTTTGCGGATATGTCAAGCCAAATTGAAGAAATCGTGCCGGGTCTGGACAGTCACAAAAACACTCTTCAAGACCGTCTTACCAACGACCAAAATCACTTAACCAACATTCTCTGTAAAAAACTGGAATTTCACGAGAGAGCGCAGCAACGTTACAATACTGTCACCAATGACAATATCCATAGTCAGGCGTGGCGAAATATACAGCCCTTTTCGAACTTTACTGGAAAATTTTGATGTACCGCACTGTTAAAAACACTTCATTTTTAATGCATCTTTTTATGACACTGTATGCGTTGGTAGCTCGATCAGACGGATTTCATTCATCTGTTTTTTTAGACAGTAGTCCAGTAAGTGCATTCTGACCAAAAATTTAATTATAAATACAGTAATTGCGCAGTATGAGTGGTAACAACCTCAGTTTAACCACTTTTCCATTTCTTCAGGCAAACGTTCAACAGAGATCACAGATCAGGCAACTTTGTCGTGTACCGCATCAACTTAACGTTTTACCACACTCCAAATTTTACTTCTGGATTCATGAATGATCCAGCGGGACAGGTGAAAGCTTTAGAAAACTCGTCGTAATTCTGCATGGGCCCAATCACACGGAAGCGACCCGGACTGTGAGCTCCTGTTACATACCCAAAGCATTCGTAAAGCATAGGAATGTTATAATAGCGCGCTGGTGTGTTACGCATCAAATTAGGTTTTTCAGAACTGTAATAAATTTATGATAGCGGTTATGTAGGACATTGACTTAACAGTAAGGATTGTATTGGTGTTCGGGATATCGTATAACTTCCTAATTATTTCAGTCTCGTTGCAAATATGAAAATCCTTTACCTGTCCTAACTTGGTTCTCCAGTGCTTGTTGCCGAAAATCGCTGCACCACACCTGTTAATTATTAAGCAGACGCTCCAATATAAGCTTATGTAACCGTATGAGAAATCAGTTTTTCCGGAACAATAATCATTCTCTTTTTAGTTTAACATGAATTCGTCAGGTTGTACTTACTTGAGCGTTTGCCAAAAAGAACAGTTGCTCTGCAAAATTAAATTATCGAAATTAGAAGCTGATTTTACGGAAAATTGGCCTCGCAATATGTGCATGACCATAATATTACTAAATACTTTTTTTAGTAATATTACGGCATAACTAAAGACGAAATTACACAACCAAGAGCAGATAAGTATTGTACACACGCCTCAGTCTGCCTTATATACCTGGAGTATAATCGAGACCCGGCAATTTTGGCTCAGGGACACCAGCATGTTCACGCTGAATGTAGTTTTGATATCCCTGAAGAAAAGGTGAAATATGCCATCATCCAACTGGTAAAAACAACGTTATTCAAACTTTCTCATTTTGCCATGGTTATTACCATAAAGGCTTCCTTAATTCCACCATTATCAGCAATGTTTTCGCCTTGAGTTAAGTTTCCGTTCATTTGAACTCCCATCATAGAGAAGTTGCTGTACTGGTCAATCAAGCCTTTTGCTCTGCTCGTGAAATTTAACCTGGATTCATCGTCCCACCAGTTAGTCAATACTCCATAACCGTCGTACTGAGACCCTGAAAATTAAATTGTGTTAAAAACAATTGTATAGGCAAAACTCAAGGATTGCGAAATTATAAATATATGCAGTTAAGTTCACTATGCCATATTACAGATCCTCGGAAAATAAGCAAGGTCATCACAAAGCAGCGGGTTTGATTTCCGCTATCTGCATCGAACATTCATGCAACTGCTAAACGGCAGCCTTATCATACTGTTTTGCAACTTTTGGTGCAGCAACACAGAAACAAGATAGGTTGCATATTATTGTATATGCTGGAATTCTTTTAAAAGTCTATCACCAACCCGTTGTGGTAACGAAATAGGTTGATGATATAACTGTTGAAGACTTATCAAACACATTTCGAAACTGTTATCCCAAAACTGACCTTTATCATCGAATCCATGCGTAATTTCGTGGCCGATAACTGTACCAACGGCACCATAGTTCCAGTAATCCGGATAATCATCACCCAAGAATGGGGGCTGCAGAATGCCGGCCGGGAACGCTAGATTTCCGTGAAGTAGAGATTGTCTTTAATTTGTTATGATGCTGCATAATCGTAAGGAAAGAGGTGTTGTAAACTTACAGATGGAGGCAAAATTAGGAGCAAAGAAAGCATTGACGACCGCGGCTCCTGTTATCCAAGTGTCTCGTCTGGTACCATTCACAAACTCTTCACCTTCCAGATTTGTTGACCAGCTTCCGTAACTGATTGCGTTGGCCACGTATGAGTCTTCGGACACAGCGAACTGAATTGACAACAGACTGTGGTCAGCACAAGTAATTTTCTAACCGTACGTTTTGCGTATTATTTTCCTGTAATATTATGCTGCAAACGCGGATCGCCGTATCAAACACTGCGGTTACTGCAAACGCTATTTCATACTTCTTTGTTAGTTCAGCTTCACCCTCCATCTTATCATAATTCTGTGAATATCGGTCTTCACAAGAATAATTATTATACTTAAAAAAAATGTATTTTTTTGCTATTTCCGCTCACCTCTGCGTGTTCTCTGTTGAGTCTGTCGGAATCATCTACAATGTAATCTTCATAGCCAGCCAAAACTGTGAAAAGATCGGCCTTTTGCAAAGCGTTTATTCGAGTAGTCGGTGTCATCCAGTCCGATTTCTGCAATTGAGACCCATCAATTTTATTTATTCCTGAATCAGCAATTCCGTTGATCAACCTAATTTAATAATGGAATACTGTCCGTTTGTCTTACGATAATAATAGTGCGGATGGAATCGAAGAGGTATTTCACCATCTTTTCCAGCTGCAAAATTGAACAATTGAGTCGAGAACGAATAACTGCCCCAATGAACATATCAAATCCATCGATACCCAAGCCTTACCCGAACTTTGGCAGTTTTCTGGAAGTGACTCTCGACGTACAGTCGACCAACGGCATTGGGAAACTCGTTGTTAACCTGATTAACGCAGGTCTCCCAGCGCGGAATGGGGGAGCTGGGACCCTGAAGGACCGTACTGAATTTTCGACTAATGTTACGAAACTCAGCTCCTAGGCGCCCACTGTAGCTGTTAGCCAACTGGAATATCAGATAATTGGCTAGAAACCTGAAATTATTTTAACTTTAATTAAACTGATCATCTGTTGCGTACTAACGTGAGCGGGCAGCGCTTACCGGTGACCTTCAGGGTTGTTTGTATAATTTCGCAGCAAGTCAGTGAGAACATCGTAGTAGTTGGTTTCTCGCACGTTAATAACTTCGGAAGCATTCAAGCGTGCACGAACTCGGTCAGAATCCCACGCTGTCGTGAAATAGCCGACTAATTCAGAGGCATTCAAACCCATTCTGTCCGTGTAGTTGCCGGCAAAATGACCGATGGTCATTTTGTTCTGGGTCTTTCTGGGGTCTCTCCTTTCTTCAGGTGTCAGTTTTGCCTGCAACCGTCAATGCATACATACATGCATTACGACTGAGTACTTTACTGAAATATGGTTTTATTATTTATTAGTGAGAACTCGATAAGAAAAATCGACAGAAAAAGGGAAGAAAGGTTAGCATGAAGTTTAAAACAAAAACCCTTTTCAGCAAATTAAGTGTCCATGAAAAAATATCTGTACGTCTCATAGTTGATCGTTTTACCAATACATACTTAAAACAACTTTGCTCTTTTTTAAAGCGATAAGAAGACCTAATCCGAATGTAGTACAGTACCTGAATATATTTATGAAACAGTCAACGTATGGTTTACTGTACTCCAAATGCTTTTAATACAGTAAAACAAGAAACATTTTTGTTACCTGTGCAAGAACGGTTTCGAATTCAATAAATCTGTTTGCACTTTCAAGAGCCATTGCTTCTGTAATACCGGTAAGTCCAAATTTCCTGGCAAACAGCACTTTCATGTCCCTTAAATATTCTCGATATGCGGTCACTTCGGTACTGTTATCTTCTCTCAGATAGAAATGTCTCTCCATGCCAAGCGGCGCAGCATCGAGATGAATGATATTAACACGCGGTTGGTCATTGTCTGATTGGATGAAATTGTTAAAAACTCCCAGTCTTAATCCAAATTTACGAGCCTTCGCCATGGCACGGAACGAGGCATCGAAGTCGGGAATGGGACTGTCATTGAATGGGAAATTGACCGTTTCCGGAAAAACTGCTATAATATGGTTGCGGAGAGTTTCGATATTTGCCTGGTCCTCCAGCTTTTCTGAAAAAAAATTTACTAAAGTAAACCCCGGTTCTTGACTCGGAAATCGCAAAACAGTATCAAGTCAGTACAACGGAAGCCGACAAACCAACATCTTGCAGGACATACAGATATATTGTTAATATTGCGATTTTGCAAATTATAATGCATTATGTTGCCATTCAAAAACACACCTTCGTCCACGCATGTTTGGAAATATTGTTGCATCTTCTGTGTTGAGTTGAGGGAAGTCGTATCTCCATGAGTGACGTTCAAAAGGTCTATAAAACATGACCATATATATAACTCAGGTTCACTTAACCCGTTTTGTTCACTAAACCCATTCGGTTGTACAAAAAAGGATTTCTAAGAAGTAAGAGGTTTTTCAAAGTTTCTTTTTATTACTCTATTGCATATTTTTGCTCTGAGATGCGCATATTATATGACCGACTACTAACAACTGTAAAACATGAGCATTACAATATTTTACAGGTATTTTGGTTTATAATACGTCATTCGATACTTATCAACAGAAATATTACACTGAAATTACCACCGTCAGTTTTTTTAGCTGTTTAATTTCCGTTACCTTTCAAGTTGCTTGCCAGTTCTCTTCGCAGAACATTGAAAACGCCCCACGTACTCCTGCGTGACACCAAACACGATAATTAGTAAACAACCTCGCGTTTCTGTGTTCTGTTGATTATCTATGTGGTCCACCAAATTATCTGGATGCGATTACAATGCCGGATGGAATTGACGGTAACAGGTGATAGTACCAGAAAGTCAATTCGCGTTCAATATAAATAGATACTGTAGCTGAGAAGCATAATTATTATGATTGTACTGCTTGGAAGTACGAGTATTATTCAGTACTGCAGGATGTGCCATTGCAGTTGCACTAACTTGTATTAAAGCATACTAAAAACCATTCATTAACTTGGCGGTGGTTGATTAGTCAATATTTCCTGGGACAAACAATAATAAGCTTAAGATATCTGTTTTCGTCTTTATTTTCCCCTTTAGGACAATTTGTTTTATCCATTCGGGAGTCTAGTTTTGGAAGTTTGTACGTACTTTAACGTATATATCTCTATGCTTTTGGAGTAAGTACAGAGGGTTATTCAGCCAAGTGTGGACACTTTTTGGAAAATTTCTCCTTAGCCGTCGCAGGCTCATTTTACTCTTTTAAAAATTTTGTCAGGTAGCCATAACATCCAATCATACTTTAAAATCAATCGAGTCACGATTTCTTCATCCTGTAGCTCAGGAAAAATTAAGTTTGTCCCCCCCATGTTGGCAACAGTTGACCAGTTCAGCTATAGGAAATGGATTGCCTTCATTCAAAATTTATCTAAAATTTGGATTTTCGCCATAACCCGTTGAAAACCTGTCAGGGGTTTCGAACAATCCTTTTTCTGAAGGAATTACTAGTATTTCTTGATTGGGAAGCTGCATCCTTGTTTACTCAGCAGTGCTCCCGGGAGCACGTCTCGGGTTCTGGATGACTTCTTCTTCCCTGCCAGGCTTGATCCGTGTAGCGTCTTTCTCGACCAATGAACATTGTAAACGGTAGAGAAAGACTTGTTTTACAACTTTAGTTTATGGAGGGACGGAAAGGATAGCTATAGTTTCGTGCGTAAGAGTTCGCGCAATGGGCATGGCTCCTGCGGGTCTCTTCCTGTTTTCGCGTTTTTTCCAACCGTCCTACCGCAAGAACGCGCAAGAATATGAAATCGTTTTTGCTATAAAAAATATTCGGATCGTCGCTTTTCACAACTAAAACCGCTCAGATTGGAAAAACTGACGATCCTTTTAAGGCCAGGTGATCGAAAGCCAAATTTTGACTGGTCAAGGGTTAGTAGTCGGAGTCTTTTGGTTAACAGACAATATCGCGAGCATTTTACGCTGGATTTTCACCAAAATTTGCAAAAAGCATTCAGATTAGTTAGTCGTTGTATTGAGATGCTTATGGCATCATTTCTCTTAAAATGAAATTTTTAAGGAATTTTTTTTCGAAGTGTCCACACTTGGCTGAATAACCCTCTGTACAACATGAACTAAACAGCAAAGATTTACGTAATTAATAAAAGTTCACTTAATCAACACCTACCGGTCATCAGGCATCGGCTCCGTCTTATTCCAGTTTCCGCAAGCAAATTCGTAAAAATTGTCACAAGGTTGAACGTCTCTGAGATAAAAAAAGAAAAAGCACGCTGACACAGGTTTTCAGGTAAAAATCTTAAATATTAAAAACAGCAATATTGTGTAAAATTATGTATTCTGGATCTTGCCGATCAGTGCGAATAATGTCGCGGTTGTATGCTTACTTGTTTATGGATTTCTGTAGGCTTTCCGCTGAAACAGTAAGCCAACCGTATTATTTCCGACGCATTTGATCAGGACTTTGGCGGCAAGATATAATTAAACTTATATTTAAACTATATTTATTATTACCCTTTGCACGTTTTACTGATCAACAAATGACACAAATTAATAATTATCAAGTGTACCTGCCCTTCTGCAGCCTGCCGTGCCACATTCACCCGGCTTTACTGGCAGCGGCGTTGTGGTAGGAACATCGCTTGGTGTTGTACCATTTAGTGTTGTACCGCTTGGTGTTGTTCCACTTGGTGTTGTGCCATTTGGTGTTGTTCCACTTGGTGTTGTTCCACATTCACTGGAGGCTGCTGGCGCAGTAGCATACAGCGCAATAAACGTGATGGACAACACAAGGAACACGAAAACGGCCACTCCCAATCCGTACACCGTTTTTCGGCCATACTTATTATCGGAACTGAAACACACTCAGTTATGTACGCAAGAGATACTTTACGATTAGTATAGAAGTAAGCCGATTAATAAATTAAGTATTCAATAAGTTAGCCTACATTTAATCGAATTACGAAACATAAATGGAACTGAATTAGCCAACCTGGGACCATCCGACACAACAAATGTTTCCTTGGTTCTGGTTGTGGTCGCCATATTTGCTGATCTTGGATGAGCCGGGGTGTGAGATCTACCGCAGTAAGCTAGTAACTAAGTCGCGCAAATATTCATTAAAACCTTTTTATATGCAGTCATATTAATCCATAAAATTTGTGCCGACGCACACTCAGATTAATCTGATACGCCGTTACGTCAGCGATATGCAGTCAAAGTTTTTATCAGTTAGCGAGAATAGGTATATAGTTTTGGATGAATTGTTTTGTGATAATTACAGAACTCAAAATTCATTGATGAACGAACCAACGTGGTTGGATTGTTTATAAGGACAATTTTGAATTCTTTGTTAATTTACTGCTGACATGAAGTTGCACATACAGACTCTGTACAGAGTACTTGAATGAAAATTTACGCATATATTCTGTCGCCATTACAGAAAGTTGTTTCATTGGCGCGTTTTAATACCGGTAGGCTAGTAATAATCACAACAATATTGGAAGATAATTTCTTATCATGCATGTTAGTCGGCTACCAAGGATTTCCTTTCCTGGAAACTCTGTTGTATGCATGTGTTTATTCCGCTAAACGTTTTTGATACTGATTGTGAAATATGCATTTATTCCGTTAGACGTTTTCGATACTGATTGGGAAATATAAATTATCGTCTCACGGTCAACCGCAAGCGATCTCAGTGAACAGCTTGGTTTTCGGTGCTCTAACTTACACTTAATGTCATAAAAACACGTTCTGCTATACAAATGTTATCTATAGAAGTATAGATATATAATAACAGTGTGTTTTGATTTACTACGAGCTGTGTAACCGTCATCAAGAAAATAACATGTAATGGTTTTATGGTGAACGCATTATATATGGCAATATTCTTAATTTCTTATCGTTTTACTGGAACAGAATACCACTCTGGTTTGACTCCGGCCGTGTATTTTTTTAATGGAGAGCAAAATAAATCCACCGTCTAATACATCATGATAAACACAGGGATTTTATTGAGTAACCGGTAATTGCAATTATCATACCGCAGTCATCAGCTCAAGTGATTCTTTAAAATTCAGAGAGGTTGCTAAAACAAACTTGCTGTTGTATGATCATTATGTGCATTGTATTTACAGCGTTCCATATAATTAAAACCTTCATAAGCAACACAAAGCTGTCATTTAAATTCATAAGTTCATATTATTTGCTTCTTAGTTTTTTGTAGGTACTTTATAATTTACTGGATGATAGCGCTGGAAATAACTTTGTGCTCATGAAAGAGCTTGTCGGGGGAAATAACAAGGACTGACTATGACGATTTGCTGTCATGGGATGAAATGCACTGAAGGTCTGCTCGAACAACGACAAGTTGTAATTTGGAGGACTATTAGCTGATCCACCGCTGTAGCCTTCTTCTGGTGACCTTGCGTGCCGCCCACTCGCAGTGCCCTTAATATGTTCATGCAGCTTCCTCATATGCTTTTTAAGGTCAAAATTGCGACAAAATCCCTTGCCGCAAACCTGGTAATATGAAAACATCCGTCAAATAAAGAAAGGGCACGGCGACTCTTAATGAAATAAATACTCCGTAATTATACTTACGTAACACAAATAAGGCTTCTGATCGCTATGAGTGTGCATATGGAACGTCAAGTTGTATATTTGATGAAAGGCTTTGTGACAAATTTTGCATTTATAGGCTTTGTCGTCGCTATGTGTCAGCTTGTGATTTTTATAATTTCCCTTCTGCAATGCAAATGTGTGGTTTACATCAGATTCCCTTTTATAGTGCTTTCTATAGGAAGTCATCATGCGTTACATGACCAGCATCAGTGCATCAAAAAAACGCCTGCTTACAGCTGTACCTGATGGAATCCTTTTCCGCATATCTCGCAGGTAAATGGTTTAAAGCCAACATGAATGCGCATATGGGTATTCAGTGTGGAACTTCGGTTAAACGCTTTGCCACAAACGCCGCATTTGTGCGGTTTTTCGTTTGTGTGGATGATTTTATGGCGGCACAACGTACTGGCTTGGCGGAAACCTTTGTTACACACCTGAAAATGGAACATGTCTAACTTTTTACTTGAATACTTCCCACGATGAATATAGTGGAGCACATTTTGGCAATTCATATTATACAATCTACGCTATACACCGACTATACGAAAGTGGTACACCATACAAAATAATTCTTATAGTGTACTGTATCTGTAAGTACAAATTTTAAAAATTTTCTCTGTATACGTGCAGCAATTGTAACATTAAATTTGAACTAAACTGCCGTTATTATATCTCGGCATGCATTTTGTGACAATCGGCCGTCAAACAGAGTTATTTGATCAAATTTGTACTATTCGTTTTCCACAATTTCATTGCACAACCTGCGTTAGTATTTTCGTTCGATTCCGGCTGCATATCTACAGCACAACAGAATGCGAGGCAAGTGTGAGAGCATGAGCTATCCAAATAAATCATTTGCAGCATTTGCTAGTGTACGAGAACACGTACTCAATTCGTAGACAAGGTCGTTAATATTACATCTCTTTCTGTTTTAAAATTTCGTAAACGCTGAATGTAAATTTAATGACACTGAAGTGAAAATTTAAGAAAACACTGAATTTATAAAATCTGTAATACACATTACTGCACACGAAAAATGTCATCGATTTTCTTACCTTACAGACAAAAGGACGAGCGCCTGTATGAACAGGCATGTGACGCGTAAGGTTATAATGCGCGTTAAACACTTTCCCACACTCCGGACAGACGAAGGTCTTCCCCTTGGAGGCCCCAGCAGAAAGGTCATTCCGGTCTGAGCTCTCATCGGTCTCCATCTGTTCACCGGGACTGCTTTCATTGGAATCCTCTTCATCCTCATCTTCCTCCTCTTCACTGTCTTTTTCATCCACTCCAATCTTACCGGCCTACAGACAATAATACCCGTTATTCATCCGCTACAGGCATACCCAGTTCATAATCAACGTGGTGGCCACTTGAAGAATTCATCATATATGGCCTTATGTGACACTTCTTTTCATTACATTCCCCTGAACATCTACGTACTGGCTGCATTGTTCTGTGCTCCTTTACCGGGCGCTCAGCGTCTGCTTCACCGGCACTTGGTGGGCGTTGTTCATTTGAGCGCACCTCATGTTTCTCCACATGGCGTCTTTTATTAGGACTTTCCTGTGTGCCAGGTCTTCTACTGGCCGGGTGCACACGGTGGTGGTGATGATGATGGTGCTGCTGTTCCGCCACAAAATTGGCAAACGGATCGGAAAACGGCTTTGATGGAAGTGGTGCTTGTGAGGGTGATGGGGACTGTTTAATTATCGGTTGCTGCGGCAGTGCTCCTGGTGTGGGAATCGATAGGGCGGCGGCGGCTGCGGCTGCTGCAGCGGCTGAATGTTGTTGCATTCGACGTAATGTATCGGTAACCGACGGCTGCATAAAGTGCGACATCCACACCATGGGATTGGACAGTATTGCCGCAGTGTTCTGTGCAGCTGGTGGCAGTCCGCCGTATATGGACAGCGGTGGCGCATACGGCCAGGCCGCCGCTTTGGCTGGCCGTACCATAGGTTTAGCCGGTAAGGATTTTGAGACCTCTTTACGGGCGCTGTCGGTTGAGGTTGATTCCATTATTTTTGCAATGGAAAATGACAGGTCCTTTTTGGGTTTTGCTGTTTTCTGGTCGTCCATTTTCTGGGAAGAAAAACGTATACTACGTATTATGTGTCCACAAGTACAACAGAAATTTCTGAAGTTACAAAAATTTGTCGTTGACTGTAATCTTGCATCGGAAGAGCGCAAGTTTTACTCATAAGTAAGCTGCAACATGGCTTTTACAGAATTTGTTATTTTAGGGTTTTAACTATAAATGTGTATCGGAACGTTAAATACGCGCATACGTAACAATTCTACGTACTCTCATTTGTGAGTAATTCCCGCAGAACATGTAAATGCTCGTAAATTCTGAACAGCAAAGTATATTGTGATTGGCAAATTGAGCTGTCAGCCGTTCAGGTGTTAAAAATATTGACAGAAAGAGGCAACAAAATTTAAGTGGCTCAGCCGCAAGAATCCCCACGGGACACCTTGAACTAATCAGTTTCAGTTTTGGAAATTAAACTGACGCTTCAAAGCAACGTACTTGTATCAGCAAATGTTTGCGAACATTTTAAAATCGACTGCTACGGATATATATATATGCAACCAGCAGCATTACCGTAGTACTACGGCGCATGGGATAAAGGTTATGATTATAGGCAGATGTGACTTTTCTAATCTTCCCAGTTTTTCGGCATCATCTTTTGGTTTTTCCAAGTAACACAAAAAATTGCAAATATAATTATTATTATTGACTTAACAAAGCCACAAACATGCATACGTTGTGCAGTACCGGCTAATACTTACCTGTATTACGGAAAATTTCATAGTCAGATCAAATATAATATCGCAAAAAAACGATAACTAACTGCAAGGACAGAGGCGAGAATTAACTGACCTCGGATGCAGGAACAATACCATAGTTAGTCAAAAAAACAAACGCTTGTTTTGTTAAGGTGCACATAGCAGCTGTGAATTACTCATAGTGAATGGATGCGTGCAACCGCCTGGGCAGCAAAAGGTCAGCGGTACTTAAATTTACTGGCTTGCACACGAATTATACTAGCAGCAGAAAGGATCAAGATCAAAACCGTTTTGGATTCGACTTTTTTGGTCACTGAAATTCAAAATCCCTTTCTAGCAAAGAATATGTTACACCATCGAATTATCGATATGACATCCTTCATCATCCATGACATATACATTCCCTGTCGAGTATAAGATTTAGGATAGCTAATATATACCTCGTATGTATCTGATCGTTCATCTTCAGCTACTAAAATTGAAGTTTTTACAGCACAAAAAAAATTTATTCTGATGCTATTGATACAAAAAATTTAATCTGCTTTTTTTCATCGTAACATGCCTTACTACACTCATGGAAGAGATTGGGATATCTGCATCATATTGAATATCGAACTTTACTTTTATAACCCGTATTATATCAAAATCGTGATCAACAGCAATTAAATTAACATCTGATATATGGAACACCTAATTTTAAACAAAAGGTTAGGCAAATGCAAACGCAAATGAAAAGGACATGCAAATGTGGTATTAATTGCAAACCTTTAAACGGCAGATTAAAAAAATTTGGGATAATATATGACTTAAATGTAAATAATAATGAGCCCGTACCTGACACAGTAGGCTTGAAGTATGTGATGAAAGAATGCTGAGGTTCAGAAAGTTCCACAATCAAATGTGTAAATTTGAGAAAGCTATCGACGGAAAGGTCACGCGGCCTAGTAGAGAACTGGTGATGTCCACTTCGGACAACGCGCCGTCAAATCGGCAATCGGCAGTCGAATGGTTAAGGGCTTATTTTCTTGCTGGCTGGATCTGTGTGAATCGATCCGGCAATACGATCGTCTGATCTGAGCACTCAGGAGCCAGCTGCGCAATGTATGCTCTTCTAGCTGCGCACCATTTTTCTTCAACAGGGACTATCTAAGCGCACGTTGCATATGTACTCATATAAACGGAGACTGGGGCGGGTACAATTTAGCAATTCGTGAGAACGGTTCAGATGACAGGCTTCGAGACCAACATTGCCCCTCCTTGCAACATGCGTCATGTTATTCAATTGTTCTCTGGAGAGAATTGTGATCGACGCTGCGGATACTGGTTATTCCCATAAGGATCACTCGGTTAAATTTTACAAATGGTGCAGAAGCGCCGATAACTTTTACTTCCATGAAAACTGGCGTCCATTTCACCTGCAAACATGGCAACATTTTACTGACCATCGACCGAAAAATATCATGATACTGCTGTGTATATTGTAACTTATAATTTCAATTTTTTTTTACATAACAGTAAACATTTGTCTTTGTTGCAGTCAGTCTCTGAAAATATTATTACACGTAATTACCTAAACGACCAAGTTTCTTTCTTAGCTATATATTAATTCGCATTAACAATGAACTACTTTGTAACCTCTAAAATGCAATACGTATACAGGGCTGGTTGAACAGAATACACATATATATATACACACATACACTACAATATGCACCGTCTATATATACTCATTGTCTCTCATAATAATATACAGGCTACATTTAGGATGAAACCGATATTTTAAAATTACATGGTGCGTACATTCGAAGCTACTAATCAACCGGATCGTAAACAAAACGTTAGATTTGTACTCATATGACATGAAATGACACAGTTAAATTGGTGGCATGTACATTAATGTGGCTGTTGATTGCAGCTGATTGCTACAAATCTATAAACAACATTTGTCTAACGCGGCACACCTCTAAAATTAAAGCGTTTGCTTAATGAATGAGTGTGGTGCGTACGCTGTTTGATAAATAAGCGCAGCGCTGATGCTGCCAGCCTAATGAATTGGTCACAATACCGGGATTTGCTCTGCGCACTGCAGTATGCTGATTCGCACTGGGCGGTTCAACTGTGTCGGCGCAGTGGGGTGACCGGGGCGGCGGGTCCAATCCAGAAATCACAGGCCTCATTAAAATCAAAATTTTCTCATTTTATAAACTATGCACAGCGCACATTTTCAGCATATTTCAGCTTGAATGAACCTATTGACGCATTTGGGGATCAGCATTGTTGGACTGCCGAGAATAGTGACAGTTGCCATTTTGCTATAATACAGCCAGCTAACTTGTACGCTTTTATCCGCCAGCGTTCCATTGTCCCGTGAACAAGTCTGGAGTGGCCTGGCTTGTGGAACGGGCTGCTCAATAATATGTCTGCCGTTTTCATCTTGAATATCAAAAGGGAAGGCATGTAATCCGGTGTAGTGCAGTAATACCTTGACGACTTAAATGTTCAAAGTACAATATTTAACGCCGCAGTTACAGTATATGATTATTGTAACAAAAATTAGCGGAGATATTTATGTTGGTTTAAATTCCCATTAATTCATATATATACTAGAATTTAAGTTCGTGCGCCGGCTATTTTGTAGTTTGCTTTTTCGAGCCATTACAACGTGCGGTTAAAATTTGAATGGTCAGAAGACCGAATTAATAACTATGGATGCGTATGTGGATTGTGGAATGCCAATCACAAAAAGCACCTCACACTTCGCAGCTGCAGTATCAGCTAGAATACGCGACAATTTAACTGTTTTGTGCTTCACAAGTCCACATTTCGCATCAAACAATATTATACCAACTACAGTATTACTGCTGCTGCCAACTTGCCCATTAATGCAGCTGAAAGTCTTTAATATTCGGCGATTTATTAGTGCTAAAACTTGGAGAGTCTTTAACGAACGTGTTCATGTACGTACTGTTCACGGGGATTTTTGGGCTTACTTACTGACCCTTGTAAAAAATATAAAGTTAATTCAAGATAATTTAGTGCAAAAGAACTGATAAAGCGCTGCCAAGTAACATTTCTCACCACTAACGTTTATTACGGACTCATTAGTCGGAAATCACTATTCACGCATAGTTCGAAGCATTACAAACCAATGGCACCGCAGGATGTCCACTTGATGAGATGTTCATGAAAAAGCCAGAAACTTAACACAAAAGCGTCACGTACTTTTGTCATATAAGCTATTTCACGCGTGGATTCTCTCCTGACCGTCTTATTCAGCTCTTTGACAAATTGCTTATCAAAAGCACAGCACTTGGTTTGTATGTCCTACGAGCCAATATGACAAAACTTTAATTTTATCAAAAACTCTCCTGTGCCGTTTTTTGTGTTCTCTGCTACAATAGCATTCACATTGTGCGTGGGAACGAAATTCATATGACACCGTACCTCAATGTCTTTTTTTATGTTCTTCGTTTTGCGTGCAATTTTTTGTTATTATTAAATTTGGCAGTTGTATCTACGATGCTTGTTCATATTTATTGTATATTACTGCAGTTTGCGTAGAACGATGCTCAAGTGACGTCCATAGTAGACATCATGTGTAATGCGCTGATAATGTCAAAGTTGTCCCATGGCAGATTTCGAAAGCTAGTAAGAAGCAGTATTTTGAAAAAAAACTATGAGCTAGTTCTATTCAACTGACTAATAAGTGTGATCTGTAGCTCTAATAATTATAAAAATTATTTATTCAAGCTTTAAATATTTTCCATAATAATTCTAGAATTGTAACATGCCGCGAGTTCTAGCGGAAAATGCGCGGGCGTAGTCAAACTGCATTTAAAATTCGAAGCGTTAGCACTCGTACATACGCAGCACACATTGTTGTTGAATCTGTCGCGTCAGATTCAAATTGGCCGTTTTGTTCTGATTAAGAAAGCATATTTCATTGCGCTTGGTTGATCTTCAATAAATCTGTGCAATGATGGATGCTATTTGTGGGGAGTGAAACTTCCAAATCACCTGCTGAAATACACATTGCTTATATTTTCACAAACGGCAAACCAGTCAGCATTGAACTGGCAACCAGTAATGCATTATGTATGTGTATCAATGACCATTTTTGCTGAACAGGCAAATTTTCTGTAATAAATACCTTATGCTTTATGTGACGGCGAAAACGAGCAACACGTCGGGCAAGTTTTTTGATAGGTTTGGTAAAACATACGTGTTCATTCACTGTTTATCAAACCAAAGATCGTCGGTATCTGACAAGCGACCGCGTGCGGGAATACATATCACGATGCGGTAAATATAACAAAATGAACTGGTTATGTAGGGTCATTTTGGATTATTTATACAGCGGCGGATTAACAGCTCAGAAAAAGGTGGCATAAAGCGTTATTATGCAGTTAGCATTTGCTATCCATTCACCGGCAGTTTGTTGATATGCCGATGTACAAAAGGAAATCTGGGAGAAAAGGTCAAAAGCAGCATCCATTCAATCGGATTGGCACAGTGCGACTGGCGTTTAGGGCCTCCGCAATACAAACCTCTTGGCGGAATACGCGCACGCTACATTAACAGTATAAATGGTGTCAATAAAGAAACCTATAGCTAAGCATAACACAGGCCTTTAATAATTTACTTTCGTCGAACGATGAGACCCGCTACCCCAAAGGCGATGATTTGTTATAGCATCGCGTAACAATCATCTCTCTAGTAAGCAGCTCAAGCGGTAACATTAATTTAATTGGCTTAAAAGGTTTGATCAAAAGCCGATCGCCGTTATCCGAAACAGGATCAATAGCGCATTGAAAACTATCACTAGCAGCGCCTCTAGATAGTTATTAAATCAGATTTGCAGGTTACCCTCTGGCAGCATCATTAAATCTCCTTTCGGGAGATTTTAATCCACTGCCAAAGAATTGTAAAAGAATTTAACATTATGGAAAATTAAACATTATGAACACCATTCAGGAAATTCTACTTAATTAAATACGCACAATACGTCAAAATATTTTTCGGTTTTTGCCGAAAACCTGGAAAATTTTTGCTTCAAACGTAATATTAGGATTTTAATTTTTTTATCACAGTATGTGTCGTTATACAAATTTAGTTAATTTATTTTATACGTGTGTATTTCGAGATTATACGATGCCTTTTCGCTAACTAACGCGGTATATATGCTGCAAAAGCCGTAAGTGCACTATATATTTAGCATGACCTTTCTTTATATGGCTGAGGTGCGGCATTTGGAAGGCGCAGCGCCGATCACCGAGTAATTGTATAGCATAGCGTGCAATTTTGTGTATGACTGATATTATTTTTCGTATCCGATCCGGAACTGGGATGGAAACCTTAATTTTTCTTGGCTCATAGACGCAAGGATTATGTTCAACGTTAAAATGACGAGTGTACTGTATCAACTCCTAAAATGTGTTTTAATATGGATTCTCCAAGCACGAAACGCAAAATTTCGTGTTTAATAATGTTTTATTTATAAAAATAAAGAACAAGCACAATAACACAAATATGCGCTTAGCGAAGATTTTTCTTTGAATTTTATGTACGGTAAGTCGGTAACGCGATAAAACGTATCAATTAATTACTTAAATAGTAATATAATATATCTATATTGTGCGCTTCAGTTACTTTTGCGTGCATATATTTGGGTTTATTGTAGTTGGTAACTTAGTGTACAGAGTACACCTTAATTTGTGTATTATATATGTACGGTATAACCACAATAATTAAACGAATATGTGTGATTTGTGTAGTGCTAAGCTGAGAGATTAGCGGTTATTAAACCGAACAGTAGTTCATACATAATGGATAGTCCGAGCGTTTGTTAAATCTACAGACAAGCCGATTAAGACTCGATAATTTTCTCTCCGAACAAGTTCCCATTCAAACATGGAACAAAAGAAGATCAGCAGTATTCTTGTCATGGACTGCCATGTGATTTGAAGATATCCCAGCCATTAAAACTACTTGCTTCAAACAAAACCAAACACATGGATAATAATCCGCACACCTCCTGAGTTGGAAGAAATCCTTGTGGCAATTGACAACAGATTAAACAGATTTATAACGTGCTGACAAAAGAACTTCCGTGACCGGATGGGGCCGCGCGTAGCACTTTTTCCACACACCAAAAATGGCTAAGACGCGAGCGCATAAGTACTAAACCAGTCCAAAAGGCTAAGTAATTATTAAACAATACCCGATTAACAGGGTAGGCAGCTGTTCATTAAGGACACGAATGCGAAATATACCATAAAATCCAGGACTAATTAGGTCCATGTTGCTGCGCTGGAATAATGCACCAACGTGACCATGCGTAAAGAGACACTGTGGATTGCGTCAAAGGGGAAGTGGCAGGGTGTATTCATTAATGTGCGAGAATTAGCATTGAAGGGGCAGCAATAAGGACGGCTACCGTACTCCGCCCAACTCATTCTGAATCACTGCTATTTCAGGGTTGCATCATAGCGGCGAATTGTTAGGCATGACACCTAATTAGGAAGTAATTCCCTTAATGATATTCTTTGCGCGTAACCACGGCCTTTATTCGGTGTACACTCGTATTGCTGACAAGGAAAAATTTCAATGCGATCAAATAGGATAATACTGTCTGGAGAAAGATTGTGAGAACAAACTTGAAAACAAGAGGTGTGGCTTGTAAAACAAGGGACATATAGTTGTGATTCATATTATTTATTTAAGAAATATGTATTACAACCCGAACGTACAGATACACTGGAACACATAAACCAAAAACTTAATCGGCCAGAAAGGCCGTCGTTTTCTGTGCACATGATACAACCATTTCAACAAAAATAGACAAAATGACTACTTAGCTGACTACTACAACTCGACCTTTATAATTCTACTTTGTATTTGGCAAGAGTAAACCCTCTATGATTCGACTTTTAATATTCGTTTTCATTCGTCAACGAAACAACTCTGGTGAAACAATAAAAGTCCCAGAAATGCCGTCACAATTTTCCAAATGATATACTGCTCTCGAACAACAACAATTACGAGTTATACTGGGAAAACTTAAATTTCAACTAAAATTCTCCGGATTGAGACTTAAAACCAACTAATAAAATCTTTAAGAACTATTTCATATCTAAGAGTAACAAAGAAGGATTTTCCAAGTATGCTTTCCACAGATTGGAAAATCGTGCCATTGTCGCACCGTCAATCACTCGATGATCAGCAGACCAACTAATTTGCATTATGTAGCACTTCTTCACCTCATCATTTTGCCCGAATCTGGGCAAAATCTGAATTTTTCCCAGAGCGCCAATAGCAACTGTAGGAGGTGGTATCACCGGCTTGGCATATGTTCCTCCTATCTGCAAATCAGGATGAAAATTATTTCCAGGAAGATTCACTGCGCCAAACTCTTAAAACTGCGCACAACAAAATAATAATGATAACAGCTCTAGATACTACACTTCTTCGTACCGAACCAATATTAGACAAGGAAAATGTGGCATCTCTCAGGTCGGCAGGAAGTAACTGATTCCTTGTCGCTCTGTCTTGCAGGGCGTTCAGATCCGCAGCAATTTCCAAGCAGCTTTTGAGCTGAATATTTTTTATGTTGGGCACCATCAGACCATTCTCAGTATCCATCGCCACACCAATATTATGCGCTCCTTTGTAGATGATGTTCTCGCATTTTTCGTCCACATGAGCATTTAGAATTGGGAACTGTGTCAGAGCCAACGAAGCAGCCTGAAATAACCCGCGTGACAAAATTACATTTCCTATTTTATGCAAATATCTTTTTATCTGTCTGCGTTTATGAGAATGATAAGCTGATAATAAATAACAAAGCTAGCTATGGTGCAGTACGCTATACTACGTATGTCTAATGCTAGCGTCTACTTTTCTGTTTTCCTCGACACAGTAAAGTTTCTCCGTTTTCCGCAGAAAACATTTTGGAAATCTTATTCTGAAATAATATATATAAATATATATAAAAGTTTGCTAGTGCACCGAGTGAATGGTAGTGCGCAAAAAGGTTGTGCACGGAATGAAAGGGAGTGCAAAAGGTTGTGTACGGAGTGAAAGGGTGTGTACGGAGTGGTCACCTTTTTATTATGGTCACTTCTATTCGCCAAGAAACTTCTTGGCGCACAGTTACTGTAATTTGCTACGCGTCCGAAAAATTCCTGGCGCATACCGGGTGGCCGAACAAAATGTCACTCTGCGCCTTTGTTTATACCCGCGCGAACTACTTGACGTAATTTAAACTGCATAGACTCGTTCGATAGACAATTTCTTAGCTAAGAAAAACAATAAGAACCAGAGCGACATTTTGTTCGGCCACCCCGTAGTCAGTTTGCTAAGCGCCCGGAAATTCATCGCTGAAATTTGTTACAGTATTAATCCAACTCGAGTATTAGTCCAGACATTCTTTGTTACAGTAATCCAGACATTCTTACAATCTGTAAGAATGTTTTTAAGGGAAGTGTGAGCTGGATATATATGTTTATGCTGGATATATGTCTTTATGTTTGTAAGTTGCAAACAAAAATAAAAGTTGTTTACAAAACTGCAGGTCACCATAAAGCATTGAATTTGCTAATGCTCTCCGAATTTTACTTCCAAAAATTCGAGGCAAGCAGCCAATGAAATCAAGATACAACTTCCTCACAAAGATTTTCTGCAAGACAGATTTTTCGGAAATGTGTGGTGTGTTCATACTGTGTGGACGGTGGCAGAAAAACTTTTTCCCTATCCTCATACTTTTCCGATTGTTTTGGGGAAAACAGATAAGTACTGTACCCGTATGAATTCAACATATTACAGTTACTGTAATCTGTTAATGTAAACATGCAGTACTTACCTTTATTACGATTGGCATATACGAAAATTTTATTCCCCGCGACTGAGCCAGTTCTTTCAGCTGTCTCCGCAGACCATGAATCTGCGACATGTCAATTTCGTCACAGTAACCGAAATGCGGGATGGATAGCGCGGCTGTCATCGATTTAACCATGGCTTTTTTGATCCCCTTAATTGGCTCCGTAACGTCAGCAGGCACTTTTCCTGGCTGAGACGGCTGTAAAATAGATTTAACCGCCGCCGGGATCGTAGGTTTTGCTGCTGAAGTCGTCGGTTTTGTGGGAGTATCGGCTATAAAAACAAACAAATCCGATACTTAATGGAGGAAATCTGGAGATCTCTCCTCGAATGCTGGCTTGCACCTAATCGCATAAGACTTACCCGATATGGGAGGCGCACCGATTCTCGCTTTCGTATCCTTCATACTCTCCAGATACCTGATGACATCTTCCTTTAGCACCCTTCCATCCCTTCCAGTTCCCTGCACGTCGGCTAAGGTAATCTGTCACAAAATTAAAAAAAAAAACTGATTTAACATTTCCAATAATTTCCATAAGGGAAAAGGGGTGATTGGGTGAAACAGATAATCATATCCTACGAGTAGTATCTTGAAGGAAAAATGATTTTTAACCAGTTAACCCCGGTTAACTGGTATGGATACAATACGGACTTATCTGCATTTATCACATTTACAGGTTTTACAACTCACATTGCAACAAAGAACAACTCACATTGTTTTCCATGGCTATTCTTCGGACGGCCGGTGCCGCTAGCGATTTTACATGCTCTTTGATTTCTCGACGAGTATCTTGCAAAGAACTCATATCATCCGGCACAACCGCTTGCTTGCTTCCAGACGCTACAAAAATTCACGAAAAACATCCGTCATTTTAGTCACTACCAACACGACCACGGAAGAAAATTTACACGATTGAATGCCATCTTTTAGTAAAATATCGACAAGTGCCGTGCCAACTTTCGCTATATCGTCGACATTATAATGCAACTTGGATATGGTTCCATCGTAGCGGCTGGTAATTGTCACCGAAGCTTTATCGCTTTGCACTTCGCAGATAGCATCGAACTGGTTGACTTTGGATCCAGGTTTAACAAACCTACCAAAAAACTCATAATAATAAGTAATTATTCGTAAATAATCCTTGTACTGACATATTCGATGCGCGACACACCAGAGCTCTTGTGTAAAACAATATCCTTAGATTTATTTGTTATTATCCCATAAGTGCGCAGATTACGTCGTAGCTTAAGATCAAAAGCAAGGAATTGTTCTGCACTGTTTTAAAAGAAAGTTATGGTGCTTCTAAAACAATGAATCAATCAAATACTCACCATTCCTTAACGATCACTTCGGCTATTCCTTCTCCAATGTCGGAAAGTTTAAACTGTATTATGTTATCATCGGGGGCGACGGCTGAAAACAGAAAACTTAACAAACTGCTGCATGCCAGCAGTCAGAAGACTCAGAACAACGGTTAAGTCAGGATCAGTGCAGCAGAATCCGAGCCAAGCACTTTGAGTGGACGAGCAGCGAACTTGCCTGCAGCTGTCTGGGCACTCCGCACGAACATCAAGCCGAAATGCGCGCTCCGTGCGGATATGCTCCCATAAATTGGCCCACGACAGATTTCTTCACCGAAAATCAAGGACTTCTTCTGCAGAGCATATGCGGTTTGAGCTGACGTTGTAGATGCCTGAAGAACGAAGCATCGTCACTGGGCCACAGTATCTTCAAGATGGAAGAATTCAAACAGTCAGAGTATTCATGTTATCATGTAACATGTTGAATACATACAGCACGAAACCTCCATGTGTGCAATGCACACCGCTGCAGTAACTTTCTGGATAGCATGATGAATCCCAGCAATGGCAATTACCAATACGAAAGATAATAAGCCCGATCACGACTGCTTTACCAAGGAATCGATAAATACTAATCGTAATTTTCAGAATCCACAAAAGACCATGCAGTACGGCTATACCGTTACCCGTTACGGTGTACAAAGCTTGATATAAAGTCTGCCTGCCACTGCCACTGCCAGCTGATCAAACGATCAGCTGTTGCGTGACTAAAATACCAAAATATGGTTGGGTAGTTTAAAACTAGTACTGTAATACACAGAGGATTATGACACACTGTCTACATGCCAACCGCCCCATTTTCCGGAATTAAGACGTCTGTCTACATGGCAACCGCACGAGGCTACGGTGAAGAGTGCTGCAGCCTGAACGGAAAACCGGAACGCTGCGTAGCACTATTTTTCAGATAATTTTGTAGAGCATTTGACGCATCAGTACGTATATACGTACTTATATAGACCTTTTTGTTTCGACCTTTTTAATGGTAAACTCATACAAATTTGCACTCACCGTATTCTTAAATAATTAATTCTAACGACTTTGTTCGTATTAACCGCAGCTTAATACGGCGATCTCGCATTTTCTTTCGTTGAATGATATTAACCGCTGAATACTTAATTTAATATCAAGGAAATAGATATGTATTATGATCGGCCGCCCCGTGGAACAAGGCTTGAAAAACCGCCAAGCAGATTAAAAAACCGACATCACCATTGAACTTATGGTTAGCATGTTCCAAAAGGGCGCACATGCATTTTGTTTTCAAAAATATCTGCCCTGGGTCCATCGCTCGGATGTCGGTACCGGTACAGAGCTGAGTTCATGGTGACCTCGAACTCGAAGGATCCTTTAAAGCACTTTTGCCTGGAGCAATTAATATCCCGATAATGTAATAAAAAACGGATCTTTTTTTACAAACATAAAAAAATTTTTCAATTTGTCACCTTTCTACAAAATCCTCTAAAGTAAAGCAGTCCATTGGACTGTTCACTGGACTGGACTGGCTTCAAAAACTGTCGGCAACAAAACAAAAAATTAAAGATATTAAATGTACGTTTAACGCTTTCGAGCTCTCGGTGTAGTTGTTTTGCCGCTTGACGGATGCCGGGGCAAGTAGTTTACTGCGCCGCACGATGTCCGTACGGTGCAATGACGACGAAAGGCAATCGCAGACGCTGGGCGGTTCAAAACGAGCCGCGCCGTACATTTAAAAGGAACAAAAATTTTGAGATTCATTTTAGAATTTTTAGAAAGGTGGAACTTTGGTTCGGTGTTAAAATGACCCTGATGCTCGTATTCGATTACATACAAAATCTGCAGAAGATCGGTTCATACTGCGATTGCCAAAGCTGCTCATGCATTGTGTGCTCAGTGTGCGTTCAGTGCAAGACCACTGAAGTGACTAAACAGACATGCCGAAAGAACAAAAATTACTTACAGGAACTCGTATTAATAGCTCCTAAAAATTAAGACTATATCAGAACGGAACCAGTTCCCCTGCGGGGCCCTGCCCACTGCTCAGTGCTAACTAACTTGGCTAACTCAGACTGACTGACTGACAGGATTATCCGTAACAACTTCATACAGATAGTTAGTGACACCCATCTGCTCAACGAGAGCCAATTTAGCACTGCCATGTTAGCTAATAAAGTAACGGGCTGTGCTGAATAACGGGAACCGGTTAGCTCTGTTGAGTGGACGGAAGTTACGGGACTTTGTATTAGCGTTAGCGGCTTAGACCACATAAGAACGGGGGCCAATGTCCAAGATAAAAACAACGTATGCGATTGGATTTACCATGTTTCGAATTCGAGTACGATGCACGTTTTCGGAATTTTTCATTCTGAAACCGCCGAATTTCAACAAGATTTACCCGCTGGCCGCTATATAGGAATAATACCACTATTCACGGGATAATACCGTTTGTTACCGTTGAACGGAAGTTATGGGGTCTGTTTTTACTAACGCCGTTCAACCATTAAACCCACAAAGGGAGCGGAACCGTAATCAGTGTGCACCTTTTGGCATTCTGTTCAGTGTTATGACTTATGAGTATTAGATGATTTTCACTATTCACAGACCAAGGCTACTGAACAACGGAAATATAAATGACAGTAATTGCCCAGGATCAGAATATATTTCCCTATGCTACAAATAATGCAAAGTTCAGCAATTTAGCACCACTTTTCGATCATTAGTCGTGCTATTAACAAAAGTTATAAAGAACGCACAATGTCAACCGCTCAGCTACAATTTTCGCCTCGTGATTATTAAATGCAAACTGTGAAGTATAAACTGAATATGTTACACAGCTACAGTACTTAAAATTAGCGACCGAAATTTGTTTTGTATGTATCAATATGCACGAAAAGTGCTGTATATGTATAAATAATAACATAAGTAAAACAAACGAACCGAAAACAGATTTGTTTCGCATCACAATTTCGAGGAAAATGGCAGCCATTACTGTCAAGATCATTACTCTATTACCCATATACCGTATAAAATATAATAATTATTATATAAATATGTAACATGTGTATGTACTCGTACGAAACTTATTTGCCTCTTCTGTCAATCGAATACCTCGCAATGAGTAAGCTTTGCGGAGTAAGCTATGAAATCAGGCAATAAACACCAAATAAATCAAATCAACAACAAACAAGCTGAAATAACCAATACATTAAACTCATAGTCACAGAAACAGATGAAAAATTCAAGCAGTTCAGTTAATAGTAGGTAATAACATCCCGAGGTCTGTGATTTGGAGAAAAATAAACTACTACGCTAGCAGTATAGGGATTCCAAAGTTTATCATAAGTATAACTAAAGAAACTTAAACCAAATTAATTAAAATTCACACCGGGTTTTCCTACAAAGAAACAAACGCACATCAAAATTAAGAGACTGGCGTTTTTGTTTTTTTTAAGGTGTTTTTTTTTGCATTAGTACCTCACGGCCCTTCTTCAATACGCCAGCATACCATTCCAATTGATCAATGGCTTTAGTACACGATTTTACCAGATCACCACTTTCTGCCTTCAGTACCCCTTCCTCGTCAAGAGTTTTGGGTGCATTTGGAATAACTACAACAGGCAAACATGTGACTGATTTTAGTAAAATCAAATGCGATAGAACACACTACCATTGTATTACTTGTAGGCTGTAGCTAAAAATTTGGCAATTTCAAAATTTCAAATCAGTATCTACAGAATAAGATATATCCTTAAACACATTCGTAATAATTACTGTAACCCGGGTTACCCGGCATTCCATCTATCCTAAATGCGAACAAAATCTGAGAATAAGTTTTGACATTTGATGACAACACTTTAACACTTTTCGCAAACCTTTTACAGGTGAACTGTGCACAGCCATTACAGTACTTATTAATTTTTATCGTGAAACTTCGTAGTTGCAAAAGGTAAGCATAGGATGCGATTTAAAACAAAACGCATAAAATTTTTGTTATCCATCCAGCAGTCAAAGTTAATAGTACAGTATACGCTCGTACTAGCGTAAACAGCGCCAACATTTAAAATTTTGTCATAATTATCTCTTGACTAGTATTAAGGTAACTGACAAAAGAAAAACTGATTCCTTACCAATCATACTAGGCATATGAACCGTAGTTAATTCGGAAAGATACTGCCGTAGCTGCATTGCAGCGCGGATACCGCCTAATGCTCCTGTGAAGAAACAAACAGATTGGAAAAATTGTGGAAAATTTTCAGGCGCCACATTTCTTACCGCCGGCGTAAGTAACAATAGTACTAGGACGATAAGAATATGAAGCAGGAGGGAAATGGTCCATCAAACTAGCTAAAGCGGGTCCAAAAGCTGAATTGTATTCTGGCGAAACAACAATAAAGCCATCAGCTCCTTTGATCTGTTTATTAATTTTTTGCAAGATCTCCGGTGCTTCAGCGGGATTCTTGTGAAAATGCAGAGGTTTAACGACCTGGGCCAAATTAAGTTCTTTGGGATCTACGAGAAAAAAGGCTACGAGTGGTGCAGTGCGGTACATGAAAACTGCGATACTTACGGCTGAACAGAAGCATAGCTTCCCTCGACAGCGATACCGATTTACAAAATTATGGATATTATCAGTATTATCACTACTTTCAACTAGAAGATTTATCATTTACCGATGCAATAAGAAAGGATCCGGAAAACTGCACACTTTTTCTACAAATACTTAACTATTATAAATATTTTCACTTCTGGTTATATCTGACAACAGTCACAACACTAAAACACTTCTAACAGCAGCTGACTTTTTCAATTTTCACAGTGAACCGCTATGTGTGCAGCAACAAAACTTTTTAACACACAATTGATGCAAGCTTTACTCGGATACTGATTGTAAGTAATTAATACTATACTAGTGCAGCAGTAAACCATAAAATTAAATTAACTGTGCAGCAATAAACCATAAATGATACAAAAATAACAACAACTGAACAAGTTTGAATTAGAGTACCAACCCAGAACGGTTACTTTGTGGCTTCGCTGCTCCAGAAGGTTCTGAACGTACTTTCCCACCCGAAGACCAATCCGTCCTTCCCGCACACTTCCCAAAAACAGCAGCAGATTCAGTCCCCCCTTTGCCATGGCTATTTGGAAGATACTCTGTGCCAGGAATTCAGTTTTTTGTTGGCAAACACAGTTTAGCACTATAACTTACGAGGCATACATACTAACTCACTGCAGCACTAATCCACAGCTGATTCGACAACACTCCACTCTGAACACTCGACAACACAGTCTAGCGCCTTCAGGCAAGAGGGTCTGAAACGACCGCCAACCGGTAGGGGTTGCCTGGCTAAGGGCATTAGCGCGAAAACTCCGAGATCCTTTTTTCTCTGTTTCCGTGAAGAGAGATTATTTTTGAGATTTTGCTATTTTGTACCAAATTATACGTAACATTTTTGTACCAAGTTTTTGCGATCCTGTTCTGATTACGAGCTTCTGAGTTGTGACTGACATTCTACGGATTTTTCAAAAGTATTCTCATTTCTACGGAGTGTAATAATTTGACTGCTGCGTGCTGGCATTGATCAAGGGATTCGGTGTGAAGTGTGAACCGTGTGATCATTCTTGTGTTAGCGTGTGAGTTTTTGCGATCGGTATAAACTATAGAGCAAAACCGTTAAAACGTGATCATCTATACGGCGGAGTGCAAAGCTCACACAAGGCAGTAATTATGTCGGACAGCTCATCATTTGTGAGTTCCGAGCGTCGTGGAACTGTAGCGCAAGTCGGCAGTCGGTTGAAGAATCTTTTGGTTAGTGGCGAGATGAGCGATGTTGAATTCGCAGTCGGACGCCAGCATGGTGAAGTGAAGGCCTTCGCAGCGCATAAGTATGCTTCTTTTTCTTGATCAAATTTTTTTAAAAAGCAGAGATTGTGTGTTTTATGGCAGATTGGCGCTAAGCGCGAGCAGTGATGTATTCCATCGCATGCTCTACGGGAGCTTGGCTGAATGCTCCGAAACGGCCATCGATGTCCCGGATATCCCCGCGGAAGCCTTCTCCAATATGCTAAGCTACATATACACGGATTCAATGGATAATCTGACGGCCGAGAACGTTATGCAGACGTTGTATTGTGCGGGCAAGTACGATTTGCCGTGGCTGGCAGAGCTCTGCACGAGCTTCGTCCTGCGCCAACTGAAGCCCGACAACTGTCTGCTGTTTCTGGAAAATGCAGTCCGTTGGACTCCGGATTGTGACGGTCTGATAGAGCAATGCTTGGACATGGTGGATGCATCCAGCACTGTTGTTTTCCAGTCAGAAGAGTTTACTGCGCTAGGACGAGAAACACTAATAATGATTTTGCAGCGCGACACGCTGTCCGCAGACGAAAACGTTATTTACACGGCTGTGGAAAAATGGGCTGCGGAGGGTTGTGTTGGGCTTGTGGAACCTTCAGCCGCTAACCGACGTGAGGCGCTTGGCGCGGCTTTGTTTTTAGTTCGCTTTCCGTTGTTGACTGATGCTCAACTGGCTGATGGTCCCATTCAGAGTGGTCTACTGATCCCACCGGAGTTGCAGAATATCTATTTGCACAAGCATACCACAGCAATCAATAAACCAGCCCTCTGCTTTCCGACGAAGCCGCGACAACATTTGATGCATTGCGTCGATAAATGTGCTTTTAAACCACGGGAGCAGATATTCGTGGCTAATACAGGCGGTCCATATGGCGGTGGTTGGTATCCGGCGGAAGTAATCGGAGTGCAAAAAACGAGCTTCACCTTCTCTTGGTACCCTGAGGAGAAAGATACTGATAAAGAGAAAGAAAAGGTGGCTCTTCCAAAGGACATTATTTGTGCGAAGAAAATTCTAAAACGTGGTCTTCGAATTGAGGTGTTCGATGGGAAGGTCTTCAAGGAAGCGACGTACGGTGCCCAGCGGGCTGGTGCGCATAATGTGGATTTGGCCGGCCGAGAGCGCAGCGTCCAGTTGGGAGATTTGAGAATTCCGCATGATGAGGCTAGTAAGTGGATAGCCGCAAATCCGGTTCCTGTTTGACTTTCACGGTTTCGGGCTGCGATAAACTGACAATGTTGTTCATATGCCGACGGTAATGCAGTGTGTAATACTGATCAGCCGCACATTATGGTGATGCATTTCTCTCTTTTTGCAGTGAATTTAGCCCATTTTTTTCAGTTGCAGTTTTATATTGGAGAATTTGTTTATCTCGAAGATTACTTACACAAAGATTACTTACCATTAGCTGTCTTTGATGATGCATAGATTCAGTATCCAATCTAATGTTTCGCGGATCCGACGACGGCTGCTTCCCTAATTTCTTACAGTTAGATAACCGAAATTGTGAAATGAATTATCATGAAGGTGACGTAATTACAGTAGCAGCCAGTTAAACTAGCAATACGCAATAAACTAATCAACAGACGGTGTCAAAGCGAATCACTGAACATGCAATCGGCATTTCGGCAGTGACCGTCAAAATTCTTAACAAGAATTACCAACTTTTCTGTTACAAGTAGGACATAGTGAACCGTGATCGCATTTTCTTGTTGCAACAGTAAATTCAATAACCAATACTAAATAGCTATTCTTTAACAGAACAATGAGCAGATGCGTAATTTGCGTGTACAATGTACACTGTAGACTGTACACACTGAAACAGTGCAGTTTCAGATCAAAACCAGGAAGCTGAGTTTACACGTTACACGTGACATTCTTGCGTACACTTTAAGTGCAGTTTGGTTTACTGAAATTGCTTATTTTAATTTATTTGTTTGCAAACTTTACGGCTTCATCTGAGTTCAGATTCTAAAGTGTGGAGACTTCATACAAACGTGGATGTTCCAGACCTCTGAAAAGCAAGACTTGCTCCCGAGCGCTGTAATTGTTAAAAAAACTGGACTGCTGAAACTGTTTACCTTCCGACGTTCTCTCAAAGCCAGTGCATACCACTCTAACTGGTCGACCATTGCTTCCGCTGCATTGAGTATGTAGTTCTCGGCGGGTGCTACAACACCGCCATTGCCGTTGAGCACGGTTTCCACTTTAGGAATTACTGCAATAACAAGGAAGCCTATACGTGGGTCGGTTGGATTCATTCCTCTTTGTTGACCGTTACACCGGTAAAAACAGAGTGATCTTATTCCGCAGCATTAGTAATTAGTTACCGGTCATTTTAGGGATGTGAACAGTTTCAAGTTCGGATAAATGTTGCCTCAGTTGCATCGCCGCTCGTATTCCACCAAACTGACCTGTAATGCATCGTTGACAACCGTATGAGTACTTTAAAGTATAAAAGTACTCGAAATGTACCACGGTTCACCAAAAAGATTCATAGTATGCTACACCTGTAGAATAGACAACAATGGCGCTTGGGCGGTACGCATACGAAGCCGGAGGGAAATGGTCCAAAAGACTACACAACGCCGGGGATATGGCGGAATTGTATTCCGCCGACACAACGACGAACGCATCAACGTTTTTTATTTGATCGTTTAAGCTAACCAGATAATCGGGAACCGCTAGCTCATATTTATAAAAATGAAGTGGTTGCTCGAGGACTGCCAAGTTGTAGTCTCGAGGATCTGTAAATGAGTAAATCTAAATCTACCACTCTCCTTGGGACCTCGAACAAATGCAGTTTCCAACAATTGACAATTATTTGTAAACTGCATGCCAAGAAATATAATTGTTTCTTTTAAATAGCCAATTAATTCCACTTTCTCTGCATGCATAAGTTTTATCGAGAGTAAAACACTATTTGCGCTATATTTACTCTTTATGAACTTAATACTAAACTTTGTAAATGTTCGGATATAGTGACCTACCGACAACTGTGACACGGTGACCTCTTCCCTGTAAAAGTCCAGCTATAAAACTCCCAACCCGCGTAGCATTCCGTTCCGCGCGCACACTTCCTAAGAACACAATGACGTCCAGTTTGTCTGACAACGAAGGTGAGTACGGCAGCTCCGCAGAAACCGAACGTGGTTGTCTGTATGTGGAGTAATTCGGTTCGGCTTTCAGGATCTGTGGTTTGAATATGGTAGGTTCCGGTGTGACCGTTTGATAGTTATGAGCACCATGGATGTGCGGAAACGCCTCAGGGGGAGCATAGTCTACATCAATCTGGTTAAAGTACAATGTGTGGTGGTTTGATAAATTAATTAATTGACAAACTTTTTTGACTGCACACTAGCTGTACAGTATCAGCATGCATGCTCCAAAGCTGGCTTACACACTGGAACATTTGCAACAATCTCCGGAGGCGCATCATGATCCATCGCTCAGTTTACGAATCGAGAAAATATAAACTGTACTGAACTTTGAGAAATGCCCGCTTCCTTATTAGCCCTCGAGCGCGCGCGTAGCTGTGGAATAAAAACTAGAAATTTAGTTTCACCCGAGCCTAAACTAAACGGTAAACTCAATAAAAACGTTTTCGAATGTTTTGACCAATGTGATTAGAAGAAGTATACAATTTAGACACCAACCGCTGCTAATCGCCTTTTCTCGTACACATACTGAAAAGATTAGAAGCTCGCTTCAAGAGACACTCGAAGCTTATAATTAGATTATTGTAAATATCGGCATCGGAGAATCTCTGCTTATGCTATACAAAAATAAGCTTGTAAATATTTGCTAATCGCAGTGCAGTGCAGGTAGGCGGTTGGTACACGTATTGTACAAGTATAAAATCTGCTGGCGGCGTCAGCTGTTTTAGATCAGCATCACTAGCGTAACTGTTACATAAAGCAAACTTTAACAGCTTGATCAAAAGCTTATCAAATTATTAATATTCGAAGCCTCAGTCATATTACCGGTATTTTTGTCTGCATATCAAGCAACAAATATATAGCCGTCCGTAAGTGCTTAATCTATAAAAGCAAACTACTTTGCGTATTATAACACTATTGTGAAATATTATAACTTACTATTAGCTTATTCTCGTTATTCATATTCACGCGGTCTCTTCTGCAACATGCCGTATTCCATTATTTTTTATTGCTTATCATCAACGCAAATGGTTGGAAAAATGGCACTAAAATTACAAGCACATCCGAAATAAAGTTTGTCGCGCATCATGCACACCGAAATTACTATTTTCTTCCAAAACGGCGCAAGGATGTCATTTTATACTCGTACAATGTCATGTTGTACAGACTGTAGGTATCTGCGTACGCCACTGTACGGCCAACTAGACATATCATTTTAAAAAACCAGAAGATTTTTCAGCTATTTTGACCATTTCTTGTTTTTGTACGGTAGCCCTTTGGAAGCCAAGTTGTTGTCATCATAACAGTCCTCACAGCGATATCCCGATTCTTCGCGTTGTAATTTAATGGCTTCCGCATACCAAATCAACTGATCCGCTAACAAATTCATAGATTTGTTTACATCCGCATTTTCCGTTTTTGCATCAACTGTGAAGGCCTGTTCAACAAAAGGAATCGCTGCAAGAGAACAACATTTAAAAGAAGCTGGCGAAACGCCGCACCGTATGCGCATTGTAGTAAAAACAGGCTTGTTGCCGGTCACACTTACCGGTTAGCCAAATGTTACTATAAGCTTACACAGAATTGCAGGCATTTGAAGAGTTCCGATATCGGCCAAGTATGTTCGAAGCTGCATCGCTGCTCGTATACCTCCAAAACGTCCTGTAATTATAACAATCCTAAACGTAGCATTATATTAATTTCCAACAATGCGTTTGTAAAGCAATAGTTACCTTTTGAATATGCAACAATTGCGCTTGGCCGGAATACGTATGAGTTTGGGGGAAACTGGTTCATCAGATTCAATAAACCTAAAATTCAATAACTACCGAAATCCTTGGATCCCATTTAAACGGTAAATTAGCGCGCGTCGCGGATGGTTAGGCTTTTCGATATGGGTGGAAAACCAACCTGGTGCGATTTGTCCATGGTATTCGGCGGTCATCACAATAAAGCCATCCGCTTTTTTAATTTCCGTATTAAACTTCATTAATTCAGCTGGTTTGGTTTCGTTTCTTCCATAATACTGTATCGGTTTGATAACAGAATCGAAATGCATTTCTTTCGCATCTGGAAATGAAAGACTTGTTATTTATGCTTTGTACAAATCCAAAAAATTCGGTATTACCGAAAACGGTAACGGTGACATTCCTGTCCTCGAACGCTTTTATCACATAAGGGGCAACCCGGTCAGCGTTGCGGGGGTCCCTCACGGAGCCAAAAAATAAAATGAAATGCAGTCCTGCTGCAGGAACCATGTTTATTGCCGTCAGTGTACTGCTGTACGCACTAAAATTTGTAAATTTTTGGTGTGTATGGAATAGTAATACCCGGACCTACAAAAAGTAGAGAGACCAAGCGACTACTTTCTTGGTATATTTCAGTGCAACATAATTCTTAAATCTGATAGCAGACAATCTTGAAAACGAACTGCAAGTGGTTTCCGTGTACGCGTTTTAACATGTAGAGTATTAAAAATGCACTTTCCTTACTTTAAAATTACAGCAAATTACACTTCAGTTTTAACTTGGCTAGATTGATTAAGCAAGCGATAAAAAGCCTCTCTTGCTGCACGCCGATGCGGCGCTCGTATCGCTTTGCAAAATCAAAAAAGGTTAAAGGGGAACTGCAGCATTCTTTTAAACTGCAGCAGTCTGGGGTCGGCAAATTTTTCCATTGCTCGAATACGGAGTTTATGAGCCCAGTTTTCTTAATTTGCACAACATCCAAAATTTATCAGATTCCTGCATGATGGCTCCATTAATCACCGCGGGACTCAATATTTTAGTGTTTCTTGGGTCGGTGCGAGAAAACCGAAATGCCGACAGAGTAAAGCCTCTGGTTATTCGAGCGCTCGAATCCGCGAATCTGACGCTGACCGTGTTCGGTAAGATCACACGCTTTTTCCCGATGATTTCGTAAGCATTTTTAATACTTGATGAAATCACTCGCACTAGTACATGCTTACAATTGTTTAGCTTGAGCTGTTTCTGTGAGTACAGATCCAAAAGATTTTAACTACAGCAAAGTCGTACAGCCACTGCATTATTACGCTAACCAGGAAGACGCTCCGGAATCTTTGAAAAATTTCAGCAAAGTGATCTCAAAAGCCGACGGCTTCGTCATAGTTTCTCCTGAGTATCATGGTGCTATCGCGGTAACTTTCAGATGATTTAAGTACGTTTGACTGTTTGAGTGAAGGCCAATTATTTGCCGTTACAGCCATCCTTGTCCACATTGATGGACCAGTTTCCTCCCCTGTCCTACGCTTACCGTCCTGGAGCCATCGTTACATACTCAAAAGGTCATTCAAGAAGAAAACAGACACTATGGCACACCAGCACAATAAGAAAATTTCGGCTTTTATTCAGTAAAAGTAGAAATAATAACGCACAATACCCGCTTCTGGTGATGCATTATTCAACCGTTTACGTCGTAAGAAATTGTACATTTTGAATCTAAATTTATCATTTTTTTGCAGGCCGATTCGGTGGTGTTCGAGCCCAAACACAGCTGCGAACGTATCTTTCGGAACTGGGCATGGTACATATCCCTAGTGTGGTTTGTAAGTGCTGCGCAAAACATTCCAGTCAATTTTGCCCCTTTTTGATCTTAGCAAGTATGAAACTTTAAAGTGAGTCTAAGTGCACAACAATGGGGAAAAATTAATCGCGCATCGTCTCTATTTCTTTGTTTTTGGGCAGCTACAGAGAATCGATCGTTAGGAGAATTAACAAACAAAAAACAGAACGAAGCAAATATAAAGCCAAAACCGTTTGAAATCGAATGAAAATTTGAATACTTAAAGGTTGCCTGCCTTTCAGCTATTGCCAAGGTTGAAGAAACTGTAACAAAGAACGGCACCACAACCAATGCGCAGCTACTTTCCTCCCTGGATGCGCTGGTGGAGGAATTGGTTTGGTTTGCAAAAGCCGTCAAAAATTACAAACATGTAAGAACCGCGTTGACGTCATCCTTAATTTACAAATTAATCAGGAAATACATATTGCATGTGCATACATGAGCTAAGATTACGGAATATTTCAAAGCGTGCATTCTTCGCTTTTTAGAAGAAGCAGCTTCTGTTCAAGGGAAAGGTTTGGATATAATCTCACTATCTTCTTATCTTCTTATTGCATGGGAGCAACTTACAAGCAGTCTAATATGCCTTAAATTGCAAGCTATAGACTACGTATATACAGTAAACAATTCTTCACTGTCGGATTTCAACGATATCGATGTAGTGAATGTTAACTATTTGACATCTGATGTTTACTTTGCTGTAGGTGTAAACTGTAAAGTAATACTTTTGCAATTAGTACTGCCAATAATTCACGAAATGACGACAGAAGCACAAATAAAAAATGGGTTCGGTATTACAATCCGCAGATAACCTGAGACAATTGCAATGTAGTAATAAAAAGTGCTCGGTGAGTGTATAATGTACATACATAACATAATCCAAGTAGCGAAATTCATACAGAGGAATTCTAAAACAGTTCAGTTACTGTACTAACTTAATTATAAAACAAGGCAGTCCCAATAAGATATGACGAGAAGTCGGCAAGAACAGGGCTAAATTGCTAAATTCATTTGTAATAACCCCTGACATCGATTAAATCACATCAAACAAATTCCGAAAAACACTGCAGAAGTTATGAAGAACGTGGCCGGAAGAACGATCAGGCAGATTCTATCCAACACACTGCCCTGTGTGACAGTACAAACCTGTTTATCACATCGACGGTGATCTGGATCTAACAGTGGAGTGGACGCCGGTATCTGATGGTGCAGAAACTCCTCTGTTGTAACTTTTGTCACCAGCACCGTGGTGCGGTGCGCCAGGTAATTAACAACCACTGTCACCACAAGCGAAGCGACAACGATCAGTCCGCAGAGAACTCCCCAGATATCAAAGGCTACGAAAAGCAACTTACTGAATAACTTTCGCTAGTTGGATTAACACAGACCAGACACCCTTTACCGGTTGTAGAGGTCGCTGCCGATGGCTCCAGGCCGGAACTGACCTGAAGATGGTATAAACCCAACAAAGCAGCTAGACCGATAAGCAATCTTGCGGCAATTTTTGTGGGACGTATCAAAAAGGACAGCCAAGAAATACACACCAATGTGCCCTGTAAAATCGTTCGGGTGGCACAAAAGAACTACAGTATATGATTTAACCAGGGATATTTACCGTTGGTAAGAAATACCGCCAAACAAAGGAAGCATGATTTTCTCGACGCAGTCCTAGCTGGACAGTTAATTTCCTGTATGTACCTGTAAAAGCTAAAATATGTAGCTCTACGACGTACAAATATTTATTGGTAAAATAGTCTTTTATCGGTGCAGATTTTTTCAAATTTATTGTTGGTGCGTCGATCCGTGCGTTTAAAAATCCCGTTCTTAAAACTACCTTACCAGTTAAGGTAACCGCATCGTGCTCGTCGACTTGAAAGTAGCTAATAACATATTTTCCCGTGGATCCCATCAGATTAAAAGTAACAGGTTCACCGGAACTTAAACCACCATCTCTGTTCCACTGAAGGTGTATGTCTTCGGTTGTTAGTCCATCTGCAAGATAATTCCGGGTGGAATTCCGTACATTCATAAATGAAATGATGGAGTTATACAGGATAACCTACAGCTTCCCAGATCCAATGTGCAGGTCTGGTTGTCAAATGGGAACCAGTAGAAATTCAAGCGACAAAATGATGTCATCAAAATTCTGTAATGAATTATTTGTATGCTGATTAATAAAAGCAATCAAAAATAATTGTATAGATCCAAAAGTCTCCGTCGGCTAATTGAAAGGGCACAATAATTTACCGGGAACTCATGTAAACGTGACCGTCCGGATATACTCGCACAAGGAAATCTAAAAACATACACAGAAACGTTTGGGATCAGGTCATTTGGGATCAGGTCATTTGGGATCAGATGAGGAAAATTAAATGAGGAAATTAGGTTAAGATTAAAACCTAACATTTTGCGCATTAAACAAAACTGCTGGAAGATGTTCAAATCGTTAAGCAAGCAATTTACTGGGAGTTGTAATCTGGTGTAAATGAGCCGATTTTTCATTGCCGAAGAATAAATCCGGCATCCAGATTACATGGTGAGCATCTTTTGCGGTCAGACTCAAATATTTTCCATATTCCGGATGTTTGTCGGTATCCCATGAAAGACGCCGGTCAATCCACATAACGCGAAGTGTCATATCGGTATTCAGTTCCTGCGGTCACGTACTGTGCATAAAATCCATTTTCTGTCGTAAATCACTACCTTTTGGTTAGTATAGAAGTGGCTTGGAATAATGTACGTATGTTTTGTTAGTAACCGAAAAAAACGAAAATTCTCTAACGGCTTCGGATAAGAGTCTTTTATTTTTAAAGGTAACGACTGATACTGCATAACGTACCATTTTTGTTGGATCCAGTTTTATCTGGCGCAGATACATGTTTACTGTGACATTTACGGGAGCAACACCGCCTTGTGCTTTGATCTCGCTTTCATGATGGCCTGCAAGTACGCAGTCATAAAAATTCTTTCGTGGAAAATACCCTGAAATTTTTCTTACCGCGAAAGACTATATTTGTGTATGCTACATGTGTAGAAATACTTGTATTAGTTTGAAGCAGTCGCCTGCACATTGATTTTGGCTTAGAAATAAGTACTAACATATCAGTTAGCAAATTCAACACTTATGTATTAATTAAAGCTTCAGCTAGAGCCTAGCCGTAAGATTTTTTTAGCGCAGTAACCAAAAACTTGCTATATGAAATTATACCCCAGTCATTTCCGGATGGCGGGAGATGGTTGATTCCTTCTGCCAACCGCTTTAATACTGGAGTGGGTGCGTATTCCCTGAAGTTGCAGGATATGAACATAAATGATCACAGATCATAAATACAGCAGTCCTGCATATAATTGAACAATCTGCATATAATATGAATCTGAACAAGTAGAATAAATTTTCTGAGCATGTTTATTTACCAGCGCTTTTTTAAGCCGATAAGATTCTTTTTTTATATCAAAACGGGCTTTCGCACTGTAAATTCGCGCAGAAACAAGTGGCACATTTTACTGTAGGTAGAAGCTTAGTTAGGTACGGCAGGTCATAAGTTACGTTTTGGTATTATTGCTTGCAGCTGACAGTAAGAACCAAAATATTGCATTACATAGCACCCATAGCACTGCGTCATGCACGCATATTGCAAGGACGACTGCTATGGAAAGAAATACGTACAAATCAAGTTACAAATAAACAACATATACTGCATTAGATTTCTTACACCAATGTGTTAAGTAGTGTTTCAGTGTACGTATCTATATATTATTTCTGCTTCGCAAAAAAATGGATAAAATTATTCAAAGATCTTTAGGACGCTGTGCAAAATTATCGGAGCGCTAAACCTACACTTTCGCATTGCCTCCGTTGATTCGAGCGGCAGTTATCAAGAGGCACACCGAAGTAAGTAAGAAAATAATGGAATTGTCCGAATGCGCCATTTCAAAACAAATCCAGATACCGGCCACTTGTTTCTCCAGAAACAATTTCTGGCTTCCGACTTGACAAATAATTCGAATGGTAAGCTGCTCTGTTACTGTTACTTAAATCAAACCTCTACACAGTTGCTCCTGAAATACGATCGACTAACGTATGTACAACAGTGAAATTTGTTTTTTAAATGGCACATGACAAAATGTGAATTTCATGCCATGCATGTACATACGTACGTACAATAAGTTATCGGCAATTTGTCCTTCCACAATGTACAGACTCTGTATTGTACTTGCATTTTACGATGATAATCTTTCGCCCAGAGCAACAAACTGGTTGACCGTGAAAAATATCTACCCTACTGGAAAATGATAGGTAGTTAAAGGGTTTCTAATACTGTAAAATGTGCGTCGTTGATGTTGCTGTACAGATATCATTATACCCAATTTTGCACATCGAAAGGCAAAAATTAGTATTATGCATGCCACAGTAGATTACTTCGTGTTTGTGCATAGTGTATGTGATAGCCAATATCACATGCTGAAATAATGAACCAATCATAACCACTTTAATACGAAGTGTTTTTGAATGTTTATACAGGGGCATAAAATGTAGCACAGTTTTGAGCAAAGCATAGTGCACCTTATTGTTACCTCCTGTTGCGCTATCATGCCCAGTATCGTTACTACCAGAAGTAAGTTATTAAATTAGATTTCCATACACGGAGAGTAGCCTACGCTTAATTACGCAATTACAGGAGCACATGCAGGAAGACTGTATAATAATAATGGAGCACAAGTCTACAGCAACTCTACATCTCCAAAATATGTACAGGTCACCCATGGCCATCGCTGAATCTTATTGATAACTTACGGCCAGTACTTGTATACTTATGGCTTACCGGCATGCCAACGTGGATTTCCGCTTTGCTATTGACCGAAAATATGTCTGGTGGTTGCTTCAATTAAATTTGCTAACTTTATATTATGCGATTTAAAAAAAAGGCGTAAACATGGTTAGGAAATATAAATATTGTACTATCTTTGCCTTGCTGTCCCGCAGACATGAGCAGTTCACGTGTTGTACAGCGTTTAATATTTATTAAACCAGCACCCGGTCAAGCTGCCGCTTTATATTAAGATGGCCTACGATGCTAAAAAGCATCCTGAATTTAACTATTACCCTTTCCCTACGATTTCCAAACTTTCTAACCACGACCGAATGGCCATCTCAAAAACTGCGAGAATTTCTTTGTTGGAGAAGAAGACTACGGAGAGATTTCAACTCCGTTCAGTTTCGGATTCTGATGGATATTGGATAGCTACATATATTTGCACAAAACCGTGGTCAGGTGTGATTGTTTATGGCAGTTCTGCGGAGTGGAAACGTCACTATTACAGTATTACCTGTAACTTAAACAATGTTTCAAAGGTATCCTTCATATACTATTTGTTGTCTGAGTGGCAAAAAGTGAAAAAACTCGAGCATCAGCACCGGAAATCGAATGACTCACTGAGTGCGTCCCGTCAACACGCGATATCTTGCATGGAAAGCCGATACTGACTTCTGAGCATAATTATTCCACAGTACCTCTGTATTTACCGCACCTACATATATATATACCTGCTAACATCTCAAATTTTATTACGCATTAAACAGGAATCTGTGCTGCCACATTACATTAACTGGTGCAACCGCATACAAACAGTTGTCCTGATTACATGAGAGATCTTGTCGGCAAATTATTTGATGTTGTCAGTGTGCTGCCACCCGCCAGAAAGTATGGTGATTTGGATATATTAGCGGAAAGAAAGATCATTATCGAAAAATTCACTCTTTCTTACTTTTTGATCTGGTATGTATGGAAAGCGTCGTTGAATGGACAGCACTTGAGCGTTGTTCTGTGTATGTGTTGGTGACTTATCAGTCTTTCAGCGTATTACAAATGCAGAAGCACTTTAGGGTTAGGTCATGATTTAACAACGGTAATTCCCGAACAGTCAGTCAAGTTTGACAAGCATGCAACAGTAGTATGTGTGTTGCTTTCGGACTGAGATATCACTTTTCCTCACTTGATTCATAATTATGTGAACTGAATGTTTTATATTTGAAGCAACTTGCAGTAACCAAATAATTTTATCTGGTGTGCCGTGGGAAATTTAATTCCAACACCCATTCCATTCATTTCCGGTCATCATGATTCCACTGAACCGTGGATTATTTGCGATAACCTTGTTAGGTAAGCTCGATAGAAATATTTTTTAACACTTAACAAATTCCAGCAAACATTCTAAATAAACGACCATCTGCAAGTTATTGGCTTTTGCTTGTCAAGGTTGTTTAGCACTGAACTGATTAAGAGGCACAATTACTCGTAGTTCGTACTTAGTTTACTACGAGCACTTGTGCATTCTTACATGTTCAACTTTGACCCCGATTTTTACTTGATAATGGTAGCGAAATCGCTTTAACTTCAATTTTGAAAATTTGCACGTTATATTTTGGGAATAATAATTATCGAAGACATGTGCATTTATGATAACAATTTAAGTATGTAGTATTTATAAAAGTCTAGAAATAAAAAGTGCCTCAAAGCCTAAAAAAACAATTTCACAAATCCAAATACACATCTTGGTCGAAAAAGTTGAATTTCTGTACATGGATAAAGTGTCAACCTCGCATTTTCAGTAACCTTATTGGCAATTTATCCATCTTCCGGTCGACGCAGTGGGGGCGGCAGCTGGGGTACATCATCTGCACGAACTGGTGGCATCAGATCATCCGGCGGCGGTTGGGGCTCGAGCAGCAGTAGCAGCAGGTGGGGTACAAGCAGATATTCGGGGTATGGCGGCGGACAAAAACGCGTCTCATTCGGTGCCTTACCTTCCAGAACCAGTTATGGTTCAAGCTCCGGTTCAGCAACCCGCTACGGAAGCTCCTCCTCGTCCGGTCGTTTTGGAAGCTCCTCCCCGTCCAGTTCTAGCTCGAGCCGTTACGGCTCCGGATCATCCCTCTCGACGGGCGGTTCCAAGATCGGCGCGAGTAGCCCCTCATCCGGCAGCCGCTTCGGCAGTAGCAGCCCGTCGAGTAGTAGTAGTGGCACGAAATTCGGCAGCAGCAGTCCAAGCAGGTGGGCATCAAGTAGTCCATCGGCAGCAGTACGCACTCCTTCCAGTTCACGTTTCGGTACTTCTTACAGTGGATCCGGTGTGCGCTACGGTGGCGGCTCCTATACCGGAACATCCGGAAGTGGCATTAAGGTCAACACCGGAACGGGTGCGGCCATCGGCTCGGGAGCAGCTGGATCCCGCTGGGGATCGAGCGCTTCATCGGGCACTTCCCGTCAGACTGGTATGACCGGCCTTCGCGACCGATTCAGCCATGGGACATCGGGAACTTCCGGTATTGCCGGCGCCGGTATTCGCACGCCCAGCGCCGGTGTGGCTCGACCGAATTACGGATCTTCATATCGTCCACGCGTGTCTGCCCCCGCTGCATCTATCAGCCGACCAACCGTTGTCAACTATTCGCCCCGGTATACGACGTACAATTACGGATCTGGATCGCGCTACAGCGGACTTAGTGGAATAGGCGGATATGGAGGTAGCAGTTTGTTAGGCGCGCGCCGGGGACACAGCACGGCTTCTCTGATTGCCACTGGTGCAGCGGCTGGTATCGGAGGTTATTATTTGGGAAAAATGATGGGTAGAATGAGTTCACCCTATGGGTATGGGGGCGGGTATGGATATGGTGGAGGCTACTACGGCAGTTATTATGGAGGTTATGGACCGTATTATGGTTATGGAGGTTACGTTGTTCCCGGCTGTATGGGCGGATGCTCCCCGTATTCGGTGGGTCCTGATATTAATATCTACGTCATAGTCGATACATACTTAAATACTGGAAACAAATTAAAATCATGTATATCGAGTTTACACAGATTAACTGCTGATAGATTTTCGCAAACCACTAAGTGCATAATTAAGAACATTGTCTTACAATGTTAGGCATACGTTCCATACCGAGACCGTTATGCTGACTATTATACCCATTCGGACACCATTCAACAGTCCCAAAACACTGTAACAAACCAAGCTGGAGTAAGCCCCAATCAGGACGCGCCAGTTAATAATGCGAATGCCGGTCCGGCCACAGCAACCGAAGCTCCTGCTCCGAAGAACGTCGACCTGTGTATGTTGGCCCGGTGGAATCGTGAGATCCCCTTTGCTGAATTACCAAATATGGCCATTGAATTTGTGGCAAACAACAATATATCCGGAAATTCTACGTCAGACAAAGCAAAGTGAGACATATATACCATCGTAAATGTATACGTGAAGGTATTATTTTGATGGCGAGTTTTGATGGCTAGCCTTGGATCCATTTTAGTTCCAAATAAATATAACAGGCCAGTTGCGTAATTTTATGTTTTTGTTCCAGGTTCCTGTACGAATTTCTTACGGCTTCCGTTGATGCCTATGAACAATACAATAGCTCTGCAGATATATTCACCATACCATCAGGATTTGACTTGAGCGCCTGCAATATCAAAGTGTCAAAGGTCAGCGAAATAGCACTGGCCATTGCTCATAGGTTGTCATCAGCAGACTGATTAAGTGACTGTACAAAAACAGTTAACATCACGTAATTATTATAACAACTATCTAATCTTGTAGGATTCTGTTCAGCTAATTCATATGTCTAAAGCTTGAAATACCGTAATTAGAAAAATTTAGAGACATAATGAATATGACGTTAATGTTTTTCTCTGGAGCAGAGTGCCCTGGTTAACAGCGCCAATCAAGTCCAACAGGAAGAGCCCGTGCTGACATCTTTAAGGCATATGCTAAGCTTGTACTCAAACAAGAGTTCGGATCCCGACGCTCTCAAAGGTACGTACTGCATTTTAATGAAAACAAAAAATTGAACATTATAACACTGCTTTGTGTTGCAGATGTTGTGAATGCAGCCAAACTCTGCCTTCCACAAGGAGCAACGGTAACCAATCCGGAAGTGCTGCCGTGCTTAGATTACTCCCTCACACCCGAACAGTTGCTTAAACTCGAAGAGCCCCATTCCATGTTCGGGAGCGCGGAGATTTGCCGGTATGTTCGTTTGTTACTGACCGATAGCCGCATAGGCGACCAAACAAACCTGTTATCTTGTTTTGGTTTTTGCAGTCGTCAGTTGAGTCCAGATATGTTTAAATGTACACCAAAGAGCACAAGTTCCGGTTGCACACTCGACCATCTGCAAATTTTAAATCTATTTGCAAGAAATTTTTACCTGTGCAGCGAAGCCGACAACGCTTCTAATTCTGTAAGTGAATAGTACTGCTATTTAATTAGCTAGTTGTCGAGTAGTTGATAATATGAAGTATGTATTACCCAGCCATAGCTAACAAACCGCACGTATTGTACAAATAGATGCATCCATATAACGTATGTGAGGATTTTAAAGTGTTTTTCGTATATCTAAACAGAACTACTAAACTGCATTGCAAATCTGATACAGTATTTACCGCGATTACAAAGTGATTAAAGCTCCCAGAATGCGAAGCAGTACAATACTATCCTGAATGTTGAAATAATTAGCGCGAACATTATTATTTAATATGTCGTTTAGGGAAGCCAAGCGCAACCATCCGGCAGACTTAGCGGGGCCGACGCTTTCAGGGAAGCCTTTACTCCAGGCAGCGTCGGCGGGACAACCAAATCCGGTGTTATACATTACAGTGGAACGTCTTGGGATGCTTCGACAACAGCGAAACCAGGCTTTTGGTCAAGAATATTTGGATAACCTGTGACAGTTGTCACTGTATTAAGCACAACTTCCAAATGAACTATGTTGAAAGTATTATTTATATTGATAGTTATAAGAAGGGGTACTAAGCTCAAAATCTGAAACTTTTGACGACAACATTTTATCTTTAGATTATTTTAAGGCTTGTCCGAACAACAAAAACCTTGTTCATGTTGTGGGCGCGGATAATTATTTCGATTACTTCGACCTTGTTAATTTGTTATCATGATCACTGATCAGAACTTGAATTGTGACCAGTTACCGCTTCTACAGCTCGCTGTAGTTTTCTTGTAAAATGAATAAAATTATCATTTCATCTTTGGGATAGCTATACCGGCATGTCGTACCACTGATTTTATCATCTTTGTCAACATGCAAACAACAAAGCCCTCGTTTTAGTGATTATTCTAAATTTGGTACTCGTACTAAACATTCGCAAAGTATGGTTGGCACTTGGCATTAGCCTATGGTGGTTGATGGAGCATGGCTGAGCTCGATATTTTAAGATTTTTTTTATTCTGAGGGGGACCGATTTTGTGATGTTACCGCGTTTAATGAAATAAAAACTACATATTTTGCGAAAACGAATGATCGCCTTTCCGACCGCCATGGGTTGTCACTGGGGATTGCGCAAGCCGACAAGTACTGTTTCAAGTGGCTATGGAAGCCGCTATGCGATTTATTTGATTCCTTTGCGGTTTGCCGCAGAAGTTCAGTAGTGTAAAAAGTTAATTTACACAGTTAATTGTCCTTTTTTAAAGTTTTTTTTCATGATTGTCACAAATTGTGAGAGAGAAGTTCTGAATTTCATTGCCATTTTTCAGCTGTTGGTCTTCTTTGTGATTTATCGTCGCTCCGTAGCCCAGCCATGAATTTTGACGCAAGCGAAGATGATTCAGGCACATTCAGCCAGATTATCAGTTCACTGAAGACCCAGATTGCGGATGCTCAGCTCGTAGTAGATAAGCTTCGGAAAAAGACCACCACTGCTTCCTCCGCAGACGGAGACGATTCATCAGCGGTATGTGCTCAGCATTCTTTTGAAGTGCTGTGACATTTATTTCGATGACAGATATTGGATGAGCCTGACATATTCTTTCAGGGAATGAGCTTCCTGGAACTGAAGAACCATCTGATGCTAAACTATCTTCAGAACCTCGTACTTATTATGCTGAAAAAGGCCTCGGGAATATCCATTGCCGACGACCCAGCTGTTGTGCGGATTGTGGAGACACGGGCTGCTCTGGAAAAAATGCGGCCGATGGAAGTGAAGCTTAAATACCACATTGACAAACTGATGAAAGCAGCCGTGGATAGCCGTGCGGATGAGTCGGATCCGTCGCGTTATAAACCTAATCCAGACCAGCTCATGAGTGCCTTTGGGGAAGCTGAAGAAGCAGCTGAAGAAACGGGTAATCAATTTGTCATAGTAGTATTACTTCTTTAATGCTATCAGTTATGTTTGGCTAATTGTTATTTAAAAATTACTTGGAAGCTTATTAGTTATGCAGCATTTATTTTGATATCGGTTTGCCTCTAAATAATGCTACCCTTATTTCGGCGTTGAATTCTTCGTGCTCAGAGAAAGATCTGAAATTTAAATGGTTGCTGCAGTAATTATCATGATTTTTTATCTTGTACTATGATTATTGCTGTTTCTTGCAATTTGATTTTTCTGCGCAATGTTATATGTATTTGAATTCCCGGCAGATGACGAAGAGATCGAGGAAGAAGCCGCACCGGAAACTTCGTCAAAGTCTCGTACCAGTGTTTATGTTCCACCGAGATTAGCGGCAGTGCCGTACAACGTGGACGAAAACCCTCGAGATCGGGTGCAAAAGGAAGCCGAAAGAGCGAAGAAACGCGCTTTACACAGCACCATTATGCAGGAATTACGACAGGATTACTACGACGAACCGGAAGAAATCCATGATCGCGATATCTATCGGACGAAAGCAGATAAAAGTGCCAAAGAGCGCGAAGAGTACGAAGAGAGGAATATGGTCCGGTTAAATGTCAGCAAAAAGGATAAAGCGCGCACGAAACGAATGACCACGATGGGAAGTCTAGCGCATTTGGCGGATTTTCAAGATTTTCGCCCGATGACTCGAAATCAAGACATGGATGATATGGAGTTTGGTTCGAAGAACAAGAAAAGGAAGCAACCATACAAGCGCAAAGTAAGGCACTCACTTGATATCAAATCTATGCTATGGAGTATGGATAATTATTATAGATTTTAAGTGACAGTAATCAGGAGTTTGCTTAATTACTACCGAGTAGAGTACAGTAAATCGTCTGTGTTAACAATAAGTTGCACGTACTGTATGTACTGCAGCACAGCGTCGCAAGTTAAGCTGATGAGCTAAACCGAACACAGCGCATACATGTAGAATGAAAGAAAGTTCGCAACATTGTGGAAAAATTCTGTTTGCTGCTTTTTTAGGGAAAAAAGACAAAGAAAGCCAAACATTTCAAGAAGTGATGAAAAACAGTCATTTTTATTGTAATTAAGTTGTGTTGCTATCCCGTTTGCAAATGAGCTTGCTACACAGTACATCCTTGTTTTTCGCTAACACAGATGGCACTATTAAATAACATTTATTTACATCGGCTTGAGCTGTTTCAACAGTAGTATTCATCCCGTAGTAACTACCACAGTACACACGGAAGAACCCACAATTCATTCCAAATTTACCTCGTAGCAAAGGAGTAAAAGATGACTCGACGTTGAAAGCAAAGCACTCGCACACGCATGTCATCTACTGTAGTAGTAAATATTAAAACTCCCACTCCCGCCGGTATTCCAAATGCACTATCACACTGACGCAGATACTTAAAACAATGTAGAAATTATTTCCCTTCAACTTTCTGTGGAGATAATTTTGCGCCGGTTGCCGAAGTTGCTGCTTTGCTAGCGTTCCCGACTTTTTCGCTCGTTACCGGTTCGTATCCTTCTTCTTCAATCTTTTTCTTGTACTGGTTATAAACGTACTTCCGGTCAAAGTGTTTTACCTGGATGAGAAAAATGTAAGCCCTCCAGCTACATACGAGCGCACTATTATGCTACCATTCAAACAAATTCTACAACAAAGACGCAGAGGCAGTAATTTAGTTTAAACTTAAATTCCAAAAATCATAAATCTGTCACATATGTGCCACTTACGATATATGAATTTGTGCCGACAAAGGCACCCGAGCATATTGAGCACAAGTAACGGAACGCTTTCAGCTTATAATGTTACGAGATATGTGAAATTGTGTTTAATTAATCGTAAATACTATATGCGTAGGTCCGCACTTCGCAGGATATAGTTTACGATTACAAAGACTTAGTACTGTGAGCAGAAGACGTACGGTCGCCTTGACGGTTAATACCACACTATAAGGGATGTATCGCTTTACGGGAGGCTGCAAACTTACAGTACTTACCCATTGCGCAGGACATGCTTGTTCGTAGCTATCCCGGAGAGCTTTACATTTTGACTCATCTCCATGTTCGTCCATGCACTGCCAATATTTATCCCGTGAATCCCAGCAAACCTTCCTTTCTTGCTTAGTTGGTGCAGGAGCGTTGTCGGCACTAGTCATGTTGTAGTCCGAATAGTCCGATAAATAAAACGGAAATCTTCCCGACGAAAATTCAAGAGACAGAGTTATTGAAATACGTACACGAAGTATTTAGTATTTCAAAAGCTGCTGCAAAACCGCAAATTCACAGATGTACTGGTAAAGGAACCCAAAATTGATACTGTATGTTGGCCAACGGTTCGTACAACGAAATCAACGAAAATAAGATCAACCAAAAGTAAAACTGTAAGCAAAATTGCAAAAAATAAAAAAACGCGCAAGACTCGAGTAAAAACACGGAACAGCGGGAACACTCATGCATTTCCGGATCGCGGTATGTTGGCAGGCCCTACAGTTTGAAAGCAAGCTAGCTGCTTCGTCTCAGTAGTAAGTAACCGCCTCACGGAATAGGTCTTGCGTTTATGTTGTTTTCATAAAATGTTTAGTTTTATAATTTATTGTTTACCTTTACAGTCTTTACTTTACCATTTTATTAAGTAACTGTAACGTGGCTTTGGTCCTGATGTTTTTGGCGTCAGCTAAACGATTAAAGCTTGCGAACGAACTGTAGCTCGAGAGCCTTAACCCTAACACCGTCCATGCTTGACGAGTAGAGACTGCGGAATAACGAAGATTCACCCGTCTGCTGCTTGCTGCACGGACGCAGGCAGTGCTGACTGCTGATACATTCCGAGATGGTTAGTAATGAGTGAATATTACAGTAAAGTTAAAAGAATCTATATTAAATGTGAGTGATGACGATAAAGATGGAGTGTGAATGTAGGCGGAATCTAATTCTAAGACGGAACGGCAAATCCTGACTAACCACGATGTTCTGGGTGGGCCTCGATATTCAGTAGGCCTGGAAGAAGTTTCTTTGGATCCGGACACTCCGCACGCTGTGTTCTCCTCCACCGTCGGACATTTCAGCAGCTCTTACGACGGAGACGCTCTGAATATCAAACCGGGATCTCGGACCGATAAAATCCTGTTGACACTCTTCGGCATTACCGCCTCAGATCTCCACGGGCTAGGAAATATTCTGGCTGCATGTGCGATAATTTCGCTGCTCATCCTAATTGGACTAATTGTGCATATATTAATTGGCCCACCGCAGGTTAGTTCACACTTCACACTGTGGCGATTGATGAATGTTTGGCAGCGGCTATTGCCTCGTATGCTTGTGTGTTATAAGGTTAGTGCAGTTATGACTTTTCAATATGAAATACTTTTCGCGTGTTACTCGAGTAATATTAGATTTTGTGGTCGGCATTTCTTATTCCTGCTTTATTCGTTAAATTGCAGTTATGTTCATTTTCATTGCGAATGTGTATTTGTAAATTATGAAAACCATTTCCGCATTATTGAAAGTTAGAATAATAAATATGTTATGTGTACAGTGTAAATGATTAAGTCGCAGTTTATTTTGCAATCAGGATATGTGCCCTCCTTGAAGATAGCGCGTATTTGCTTTTCCGTTTGCACGAACTCATCCTTTTTTGAGTTTGTTTGTGTGAAATTTACTTGCAAAATCCGGTTCCAGAAGACACCATTTCCGCGTTATTGAAAGTTATAAATATGTTATGAGTAAATGATTAAATCGCAGTTTATTTTAAAAAAATTTCCTTTTAGATTTTACCACATGGAGCGGTTGCAACCGACGTTAAACAGTGTTCGGATATCGGGTTGGATATCCTCAAAGACGGCGGTTCTGCGGTGGATGCCGCTATTGCTGCGGCATTTTGTATTCAAGTAGTTAATCCTCAGAGTTCCGGGATCGGCGGGTAAAGAGCGCTAATTTCGGGATAACGCTGGAGAAAACTTTTTGAAATTTGCCGTGGATTTTTTAGTGGGGGATTTATGCTTGTGTACGATCATCGGAATAAATCCGCATGGTATTTGGATTTCCGCGAAACCGGTCCTGCGGCTCTGACTCCGGGCATGGTTGATGCTGGGAGACAAAAACCGCACTTGTTAATTGGCGTGCCGGGTACTTTTGTGATGACAGTTGTCTGAGAGTTGTTATTAGCTGAAATGAATGCTTATTACAGGAGAACTGAAGGGAATGGAAGCTGCGCATAAAAAATTCGGAAAAATGAGCTGGTCGGCACTAATCAGTCCCGCGAGGGATCTGGCTCGCAATGGGTTTAAAGTTTCCACTCCACTTGGTATTCAAATGTTTGTGTGAATTTTTTGCCATTCTGCTTCTCGATGCTTTGGGATTGCAGCAAAGGATATTTGGAGATTCGACAGCATTAAAAATTTGCCTTCGAGTGCCAGATTGAAAAACTTCCTGTACAGAGACGGTAAACCACTTCAAGCCGGTCAAACCATCTCCCGCCCGGATTTCGCCGACACTCTGGATCGAATCGCCCGAGGTGGCGCCAATGAGTTTTACAAAGGACAGCTGGCCTCTGAAATCGTACAAGAAGTGAGCATCCCTTAAATTTTAAGTTGATGGTAAAAATAATGAGGTAAAAAATGGCAGGTTCGACAATTGAAAGGAATTTTGACGGAGGATGATTTACGAAATTATCAAGCTGTTGAACGACAGCCGCTAAACGCTAGCTTCGGTGGTAAGAAAACGTATTCTAGTGTTATTTTCATTTTATTATGTACATGCATTCGTCGTTCCAGCATACAATATCCTTACTGCGCCACCTCCTAGTTCCGGTCCAGCATTTATTTTGGCTTTAAATATCCTGGAAGGATTTAACTTTTCAATGGGTGATGTTAAAACGGCGGAATACTGGCACCGTTACCTTGAAGTAAATATTTGGGTGGCTGCATTTTTACGACTATTTACACCTATCGTATTGCAGTCCTTAAAGTTTGAATTCGCTAACAAGAACCGTCTTGGAGATCCGGACTTCGAACATGATGTCCCGGAAATCGCCCATACAATGATGGAGTATGCTAGTCTGCCAGTTGCATCGGTCTTTACTCATGTGATTTTTGTTGCAGCAAAAAGACGGCGAAGGAACTACGGAAACGGATTAAAGCCGATGGAGTGCTTAGTAATTACTCCCTTGCTGCTAATGTAACACAGCCCACACCCTATGGAACCTCGCATATCTCCGTTGTTGATTCCAAAGATGTCTACGTCAGCTTTACCACGTAAATTGTTTACCACGTATTTTGTTTTGATACGCTTGCATAGACATTTAATTGCAATTTTTGTGGGAGTTTTTGGCACAGTGTATTCCCAGTAACATTTTTAGGACGGTCAATTATTACTTTGGATCAGGAATTATGACTTCCGGGGGAATTGTTCTCAACGATGAGCTGGGCGATTTTGCCAGGAAAGAAATGGACGACGAGGAGCAAGTAAGCAGTCCTTTCGCTAATGAAGGGCTTTATTGTAATAGTCTTGAATTCGGTACAAGTGTAGTTTTTTAAATTATTTCAAATGCAGTTAGTTTTTCAAGAAAATGAGGTTGACATGAAACTTTTTTGAAATCTTGTTAATCGATTTGATGATTGCCTTCGATCACAGCCAACTTCCAACGAGAAATTGCGCCATTAGTCTTCCACAATTTTTCTGAAGCAAGATAATATGAAACAGTACCTGGATTATTACTTACCACATTAGCCTTATTGAGTACCCGACACCAATCAACTGGAATGATTTATCGATTAGTTCTTAATTTTTCTTGCTGTTGGCCTAAACGGCTTTCGAGGCTGTCAGTTGCTCTTGTGGCGCAACCGGTTAGCGCGTTCGGCTGTTAAGCTAAATGATGATAACGGGTACCGAAAGGTTGGTGGTTCGAATCCACCCAGGAGCGGGAATTTTTTCCTTTTTTGCTTTATTTGTACCTTTGTATTCGACTTACTAATCACTTCGGTTGGATTGTCATCTGCATAATTTTTTAGAATAATTTACCAAAGCCAGGCAAAAGGCCGCTGTCGAGTATGGTTCCTACGGTGGCATATCATTATCTACGAGCATGCACGAACCGGACGGCTGTTGGTGCATCCAACGGAACCCATATCCCTGCCGGTAGCGTAACGATCACAGTGTCATTGTTTCTCTTGACAAACATGCGTTTTTCTCATCCAGTGGGGTTTATTGATTGTAGGAGTATTGGGTGTTCTTATGAATGTGTTAGTATTTGGAATGAATGTGACAGATGCCATTGAATATCCAAGAATGTTTGCCGATCTGGCGACCAACCCGGAATTATATGAAGGTTCGTAACCGTTAGTTTTGTGCGCCTATTGTGTACAGTATCATTGAAACTCGCAGACTACTTTTTCCGATTGAACATGTTTACTTTAGAGCTTCTTTGGGTAAAACTCGTATTCAGTTTTTAAGCATTTTGTTTTAAACGAAGAGTTTGAATCATGGAATCATGTTTTGAATCATGGTTTGCACGGGTATTTTTTGCTGCTTTTGCGAGGCCGGTTTACAGTATTAATGAATTTGTTTTAGATAAAGCAAATGTCTGGACCGAAAAGCTTCTGAGTGATTTGGTCGCGTGGGGTCACAATATGACGAAAGCGGAGGAAGGACTGAATGTGGTGCAAGCTGTGATAAAGAACAACAAAACGATAACAGCTCATTCCGACAGCCGAAAATACGGTGATGCAGCTATTTATTGATTTTCGATTTATGTAATAAATGATCTTCTCTCTGGAAATCTCAGTCTTCTGCAATCCCGGTTGTTTTGATGTTTTCGTTTTTATTTAGTTTTAACTCAGATCTGTGGATAATTTTGAATGTGGGGCAAAGAAGGCGCGGTTAAGTAAATGGTGTCCGCTTATGAAGTCCCACAGCAACCGTTGTTGTTCGCAAAGGTCAATTAGTAAAACAAATATGAATTAGAATGTCACTAGTAGTGAAAGCTATCGTGCATAGTTTTGTCCTAAATTCGAATTAGCCATTCAGAAATGACCGGTAAAACTGTACAAAACACAACTGTCGTATCTCAGTCTGTTTCATTTGAGACATCTGCCGGCGGCGAACAAGAGTTAAATAACGATGGCCGCTCCGCTGCTGAAAAACAGGTACGAGTACTGATCATGCGTGACATCAGATTATGGTTTTAGTTTTCACTATAACCATACTAAATAATCAACTGATACTGAACCAGCGGGCTATTTACTGATTTCAGTTTCGTAGTTTCAGCGAGGACAGGATGTTGAACCGGCACTTCACGATGCCGAACCGATTATGCCCTTGCTGCAAGAAAATCATCGTAAAAAATCCACTTATCACGAAGACTATACCGGACGACCTGGAGAAAAAAGGCCGTTGATCATTCATGAAGCGAACTTTGTGCCACCAGACGATTCCCATGAGTTGTCTTCCCATTACAACTCAGAATTTACTGCAAAACCGGTATAAAAAAATTAGAGCTGGACCCATTTTTAGTGACCTTTGTCAGCATCAAGCACGGGAACATAGGACGGTATTATTGCAACATTTCGATTATTCCGATGCACTTTGCAGATCACTTATGATCGTGCGGTGCGTCCTTTCAAGCCGTACACTGTCCCTTCGCAGAAAATCCGTCCGGTGTCGAATTACAAAGAAGACTATACGTACTTTAGCGACCGTATTGAAAAGCGAGAACCTATAAAACCCCAGTCGGACTTCATCCCGCCGAGTGGCCCACAACCGTTCGAGACTAATTATAAGGCGATGTTTTGTGGAGAAAATAAGGTGCGAACGCAGCAAAGTAAGGCTCTACATGTGATGTGGTTTTTTTTATTAATTTCCTTTTTGTACTCACTCTATGTAAAATGCTATACTTGGTAGGTTGTGGCTGATCGGATTCGGCCAGTTCCGAAAGCGGGAGAGATAACACTCACCGATGAACCATTCAACGCGACGTCCAGTTATCGCCAAGAGTTTGTCGCACAAGCCGGTCACCGTTTGCCACCTGTAAAGCCGACTTCTAGTTTTCCTGGACTAGCAGATGGAACGAATAAAACGCTGCCCAACAGCACTTACCACAGTGCTTTTAAAATGCAGTCTCAGCCGGCGGTAATACCTTATAACTATAACCAGTATTCTGTCGATCGAGAACACCCGATATACAGTACTAGTATTGCGTGCAATAGATATGTAAATCAGCGCGCTATGTTTTTTTTAATAAAACACAATAAAATTAATTATCAAAATAATAGAACGCGCACAAGAAAGAAGTTTTATGAATTTTTCGTGGCTATGCCTATGGTTAAGTTCTTATTATCATGTAATCATGGTTATGACTGTATATGGTTGGTTAGCGGTTAGCTAGGGTTTTAAGTTAACTCACGTTACTTATTTAAATGCGTGTTTGAGGTACGAATGTGTACTAATGTGTTACAATTGGCAGATAATGCATCAAGCACGGGAACATAAAGTCAGGGAATATCGCGCGCCAACAGATAAAATGACGGAAAGGTCACTGTATGCGGACGACTTTCAGAAGAAAGCGGCAGAGAAAGTGGCCCCTATTATTCCCCGATCCGATTTTACACCGCCTGCTGACCATGTAGAGCTGCAAACGGCTTACCAGGACACCTACAACAGGAGCAAGCCCGTACGTATGTTACAAAATTATTCAGTACTCCCTGGGAAACCACGTTAGAATTAATGACATGGTCTGATGAGATAAGTATCTGTAGATCCAAGTTGACCGAAAGAAAGGACCTTCGAAACCATACACAAAACCACAAATAAAACTTGAAGGCCAATCGACATATGTAAAAGATTTTGCGCACAAAGAAATCGTTCGCAGATTGCCAATTATTCCGCATCCAGAATATATTATGCCAAAGGAAGAAACAAAATACGAATCAAGTTATGCCTCAGCTTTTGCCCAAAAGCCGGTAACCTAACAAAATGAATGCACGAAGGCGGTAATAATACAATATATTACTCGTGGTGTAAACAGGTTATAACTTATAAGGTAGTTGTTAAAACAATATTCTATAACAACTCAGATAATTATGCTGTATACAGTCGTATATCTTGTTTTCATGAAACATATTGTTAAGACTGTATTTTCAAAAATTAGTTAAACCATATGCATGAAAGACACGTCAGACCGCGTAAGCCGTACCTGGACCCAACAGAAAAAATGGACTCTCTTTCGACATACGGCAACGATTTCCAGGCAAAGGTTAAAATATATAAAATTAATCGTCTCACACAACGGTTCTAACCCTTACTACACCATGGGTTGAGATGTTCGTAAAATGTCATGATTTCCAGGCCACTTTGCCGGTCACGAAAGTTTTGCCTGTGAAAAACTCTTGGTTCAAAATGGATTATGGGGACGACTACGGTTTACTACGGTCGGAGTACAAGTCTCGTTTTTCTTTGACCGCTAACACGGCTCCGGTTAACACAAACCAAATTCCAGTTGCATCTTCCTAGAAATTGAGTATTTTGATTAAATGCGCTAATTGCATAAAAGTATTAAAAACTGATGCTGCTTAAAACTGGCGAAACAAAACAGGCGACGGTTACCGAATGGTTGCACAGCAACGATAAAAGAATGCCTGTTATCTGAAACAGTAAAAGTTATTTTTATTAATACTTACCACTTACTGTTTTACTGCTGCTCAATTCTATAAAGTGTGTAAGTAGTAGTTAGATCATGCATCAGTAAAAGTTTTAAAAAAATTAAAAAATGAAAAATAATTAATGTGAAATGGCCCATGCCGATTAAATGCGTGTTGTCCGCAGATTCCAGAAACATTTTGTACAACCCATCACCATCCGCCTCAGAAAGCGCAAAAAAACGATAATTCAGAAACTGATACACAGTGCCGCCTATATTGCATGGTCATGGCCTTGTATTGGTTTACGTGGATAGTGCATTGTTGTACTCGTATCAGTCTGAAAACGGGCATACATAAAAAAATGTAGCATTCGTAAAATTTAACTCTGTAAAATACAAAAAAAAGCTTTCACTATAAGCTCAACTGATGATCAATAGAAAATTATACCACCGGTTTACTTATTAGTAAACTTGTTTATTTATTAGTAACTGCGTAATTAGTAATGCTAATCGGAGCAATAATGTGCGGGAGCTGTGCTTTCTGTATATTGCGAGACTTCCATCGAACGCGATTTTACCAACTTTCAACAACAAACTATTACAGCATACCTGCCAGTATGCAAAACATGAACGGCATGAAGCAGCCAAAACTGCTACATCACGAAAACAGTGAACACAGTGAAATCTTTCACGCTAACCTTTATGAGAAGTACTGTATTCGAAACACAGCAAAACTAATTGTTTTTATTTTTATCGGAATACTTTGTAACGCATTCACCGCTCAGACAGTGGGGCATATAATTTTAGAATTAGCCGGTATAGTTTCTGTGCTGAGACACTACATTAGTATTAAGTATTGCGTAAATAGTAATAAATAAATTTCTTGATTGCCAATGGCAAAGACAGAATTCAACTGAAGTCACCTAGCCATTTTGTTGGTCTCATTCCACCAGTTTTAAAATTCAGTCCATTCTCAAATTCACGCTTATGTGCATCACAAGGATGAATATATTCGGTTTCTTGCAAACCACTCCATCGGAATATATCGAAAACTTTTCTCGCCAAAGCTTGCCGAACGCGACGCATAGCTGCAAATATCCTTATGAATATACGTTGGCGAAGTCCTTTACGGCGGAGTCGGATTATCATGATAGTTACAACGCTTGCTATTCGGTAAGATGTTGATATTCTTTAATTTTTGCTAGTAAAGCGAGTTTATAGCTTCATGCTTGCATCTCATTTTTAATTTAAGTTGCTAATAATTTTAATAAGTAGTTTTAAGTGCAAAAAACAGCCGTAGTTTGCAACTGCTTTTTTCGACTACGTAGTTCTTTCAAAGTACAGAACTAACAAATAAGTACAGTACTAACGTTTACAGTGCAAACCGGCAGTGTCATGGATGTCCGTCGAAAAAAGTATTCGAAGCAAGGAAAAGGAAAATCCTGCAGCAATCCAGTTGCATGCGCCATTGGTATCACCGAACTACAATAAATCAACTAGTAAAATTGTTTCTAGAATTGTAGTTGTAAATAATTTCAATAACGCATAGTGTTTGCTGGAATATCTTATCCAAAAGATGCGGTATGAGACCTTGCATAATTTGCACAGGCAGAAAAACAAACTCAGACACCGCCAACACAATGCTCTGTGGATTACACTCCAAAAACACGTTTTTCTGATTCATACGTTAGCGAATATAGCACCGGATTCGTACAACATAATTCGGCAGCAGCACAGATGCTTCGCGGCACAACATGCCGGCAGCGTGATCAACCGTTATGCAGTGGGCCGCTGCACACAGTCACCACATCCCAGGTAAAAATAATTAGGTGCATCACTGACCAGTCACTAAGTTCTGGATCGAGCCGCAGCTTCCGCTAACTTCCAGTTTGTCAGCAGGATTCCTTTCGAGACTTATCACCGGCATATTTGCATCCGGACCGAACCGGTTCCTTCCAATACCAAAGTAGTCTTCGGCGATCGCTCGGACAACCGCCCCACGGAGACATTACTCCGCCCACTAGTTTGCCGATCACTAACACATGCGACAACGCCCAATCAAATCGTTTCACGTTAAGAGATTGCGGCTTTCCGGATTTCGCTCAACCAGAAAATGTATCCATGTATTCTCAATCATTTGTAAAATCTCCAGAAAATTACAAACCTCCGAAATCATGTAAAGGAAGCGGAGCACTTACTTCTGGTGGTGGACATTTTTTTTCGCGAACGGAATCGAAAGAAGCGTTCAATGGATTAGGCATTGATGAGCGCCATCCGTTGACCTTTTCCATTCCTTCGTGTCACCAGTATGAGAGAGCTCAGGCGAATTCCGAAAGCGTTATGGAAAACATTAACAGTGTCCGAAAACATTTGTTGCGAAGCGCCATGCCTCTTCTGCGCAGTCTTCCCGCCGGTAATCCCGATTTTTATACAATAAAGGAAAAGCACACAACCGACCAAGAATGTATTTCCAGCCTCCACCACGAGGCTAAAGAAGCTTCTGCTGCGAGAATTTCAAGGCGTGTTGATTGTTCACTTCCCAGTCAGTGTTCTTCGTTGACAAAATTTGGGGACCATACCACATATTCTGTAGAATATCCCTGGTTGACCGGACGCCGGCCAGAACCGCAACTTCCTTTAAACCACGATATGAAGTCTTTGATCACTTACGACCATAACGGACCAAGCACGAGCACTTACAAAGACGCATACCTACAGCGGGATTATATTCGACGGAATGGAATGACGGAAAATGATTATCATCTCAAAAAAGGATAATTTTCTCATCTACCTTCTTCGCCTATGCGTGACTCTGACGACTCACTACGAGAAAACCACAAACATGTTGGCTGTTACGCCGACCGCGGCATCTGCCATAATCTTAATGCTCTGTACGAGTACTAAAGCCATTTCTATAAGGTCATCAAATATCACACAGGCGCTCAGATATTAAGTATGTAAACGCTTGCTTTCGAAAACACATGGTCTTATCAAGGTTTTGTGATTCAAAGTGTACGTACAAGAATATATTCGTACAAGAGTAGAGTATTCTCAATTTCACTGGCGCTATTGTTCTGAAATTTTTCATTATTACTCATCATTTTTCCCGCAATCAACTACTCACCAATAAAAAGACAACTTTATAATTGAACTACGAGGCAAAGATCCACGTCAGATGTGCGATATTTAATAAAAATCGTCACTTGCGTACAGCCTAACAATCCCAGAACTGCTACAACAAAATAGTTTTCTCTGAAGATCAAAATTAATCAAAGATTAAAAGATTCCGAAAAATAAAATCCATAAAATTATATACCATGCAGCTATAAGTAAAGAAAGAACAAAAGTAAGTAACAAACAGAACAAAAACAAGCAACCCAACCCGGGTTCCGTTCGGCAACCAAAGCGTAACGTAATTAGTAACTGGAAAATTGAAAAACGGTTACCAAACACCAACAAGAGCATCACTGAACAAAGGAGAAGAATGGATCATCGCTCTGGATTTTTTCGAAAAGGATAGCTCCAGGAGAAGGATGATACCACAAAATCAAGAAACTGCTGGCACTGAACACAACCAACTGCGCGTTGGTAGGTTTCGTGGATTCCGGCTGCAGCGCCGCGCGTTGATTAAGATCGTAAGGATGCCACTTCCCGGTAAATCGCCCTGAATTCCAAACAACTATTATTATTACCTGATTTCAACAAAAGTCAGCTGTCAATATTTGTTTAATTTAAGCATTTCTCAAGAGTTAGTAATTTCAACAAACTTAACAGAATGATTGGTAAACAAAGACTCACCCAAACAGTACTTCGGGACTTTGAACAAATCAAATGCGATATGTGGATGCATCTCCACTGGCAGTTTAAATTCCTGCTTTACAGCGCCCGTAATTGAACGAGTTTTGCTTTTGAGCTGCTTCCACTTGCTTTCAGGAGGCTGATGGACTGCTTGCAACTGATCAGGAGGCACGATAATACCATTTCGAAAGCTGAACCAAAACGCGACCATTTCACACGAGCGAGCACTATCTCCAGTGACCTATCAACAATAACATCTTCAGATGTATATATCTGCACTTACGATAAAATTTCTGACGCACCTTCACGCCATCAACTGAATCCCCCCGGGTCGGTGAAAACACCTATGGAATAAACAAAGTTACATCCACGGAAATGGTATAATTAGAAAACACTCAAATGATCCCACCTTGAACAACTGAGTACCTCGCCCTTTCAGGTTAGCCTTAAAATATCCATAGATGACACCAACTCCTTGAAGATTCGATGGCTGCAGCCCCAAAGAATCAGGATAAAATCGATGATAACTCAAATCATGCCTTAGTAAATCCATCCATTTCATCTTCGTTTTGTAAAAACCGCGCTCCGGGACGAAAAACTGGTCCTCTGGCCATGACCAACCGCAGGATTTACGGCATGATGCGAATTCATCGTCCAACCTGGATAAAATGACGATGCTTTGCAGAAGAAACCGAATGCAAAACGAGGTTAGCCAGCTTGGAACAAAAAAGAAGTCCCAAATTTTTTTATTTCATCCATGGCCGGGCGTTTCAGAGAGAAACTGAACTGCTTTTTGAATTGTGAAGAATCATGTAAATATTTGCCGGGAGACGCAAAACCCCAAAGACGTGCGGAAGAAAACTGGTTGCACTACGCCGAATTCTGTGCACCCGGTTTACGGGGGCACCGATGATCGTTTCGTTTTAATAGTTAACGAAACAGATTCAAGTGCTATCTTGTTAATTATTATTCGGTGGTTATTCGGTTTCTAATGACTGTAGCCATTTGACTGATTTGAGGCACACCAACTAATACTTTCGGTTTTCTGCCATGGCGCCATCTGCTAGAAGTGTGTTAATGCAAAAAAATAGCGCTTCTACTAGCACTTTGTTAAACATCCAGACTTACTCAGCATTCCATCCAGTATAACTTTCCCCAATTCCCCGCCGAAACTGAAAACACAGCGGCTTTTGATGCTCAGACATCGTGAACTGATCGGTGAATATCATCAGACGGAGTTGTGTGACATCACGACAAATCCTGGAGCGCACTAGATGATTAACAATTTCCACGCGATCGGTGGCACCATCAACATAAACAGAGAAATCCGCCACGGGAATCATGTGGTTGGCGGCATCTTCAGGCAACATCCACTGCCGACCGTAAACAATACCATCCCGATACTCAACGGTCAAAATTAGGCCCCAGGGCGTCGATTCCGAGGAAGCCCGCAAAACGCGGTTAAACAATCCGCGAAACGGAAACAACAATTTGGTGTACAGGTCCCGATAGGACATCGGTGACATTTGAATCACCTCAAAGCTGTCCATCGTTGACAGCTCACGCTTCTTCACGGAAGAGCTACAGGCACCCACTAAACAAAATAACAACTTTAGCAAATTTTATTTTGTGTGATCAGATTCACCCAAATGAATTTATAAAAATTTTATTCTACAAGCATTCTTCAAATATGATGTAGAAGTATGCTTCCAAATAAAAGTCAAGAAGTTAACAAAATGTTAATCTAACATCCACTCACCACTGCATGAACTCGATATCCCTCATGAAACAAAACTGCTGTTTCGTAAAGTTCAGATTTGGTTTAAAGAACAGGATTATGAACGTCGCCGTACTCTAAATTTCTAACAAATTAAAAGCTGCAGACTTGAGGTACACGATAGAAGAGCCTTATTATAAACATTTCGGATGTTAATATGTTCCCGTCACACAAAGCACAATGCGGTTATGAAATCAAGATCAGATCCCGTTGTGACTACCCAGCGTTTCTTCAAAAGCTCCCAATATATCAATCTACGAAATCTACGACTAATAATTCATGGAAACCTGGAGAAAACTGATGCCGCACGCGGTTTTCGAAAAACTGGGTGCACAATCACAAAAAATCTCTTTCAGAAAACACATCAGTGAGCAATTTTATGTAAGTACTGTGCATTACGTACCTGATTCACAATGCTTGTAGCGGTAAGGCACGTCCACCTTTCGCGCTTTGCACTTGAGTTGCCTGGCACAGAGGGACTTCCACATGTTTTCGTCCTGGAACCTTTTATAGCTGCTGTAGTTCAGACACATTATGTTGACAAGATCGCACGGATGGAGATAGTTGACAAACAGCTTCATCACCAAGTCATAAGGTAGGCTGGAGAAGCAGTCGTCTTCGGCATATTGCGAACGATGTTCGGGATCTTTCTGAGTCGCTGCTACGGGAACACTGGCAGCCCACTTGATCCAAGCGGGACTAAAGAGCGGCATAGGCGGCGATCCCAGTGGCGAATTCATGGCCAAATACAGGAAAAAAAAGCCGAGTTCAGTAGGCTTCTTTCAACATTCTTTCAATAGTCTTAATAATTATCACACTGCTCAGCTTGTGAATGTTAAGTCTGCCGCAAGCACCCAAGGCAGAGTCTAGGCTGGCTCACGCCATCTATAAACCGTGTCTGCTCAAGATTTTTCACAGTTGAGTTGGTACGCCGGACACACCCGCAGTCACACATTCGGCACCCTACAATAATAACACACAATGCAAAAATGAGCTGTAAAAATCGTGCCTGTCGAACCCAACAAAATTATCATAGGTGGACCAAAACTGGATGGCTAGGACTACTCACTGACTGAGTAGGTCAGTAGAAGAGCCAGGTAAACCCGTGAAGTCACAGGTTCAAATTACAAAACAAGTTTCGAAACGTTTAAAGATCCAGTTGCTATAGTAACTGCCGTCTCGCGCAGTTTGCGTGGGCTGGACTGATGCGAGAGATCTGGGATACCTTATTTTTAGAAATCTTAAACTTTTTTTGTTTCTATAGATTTTCATTGAAGTATCTTATTCTATCGTTAGATCATCTTCCTACATACTAACGATACATTGCTCAGCATCTTTTTGCTAACTTCGTTGGCAAGTGGCAAGTTGCAGCAGCATCCGGATTGAGTGGTTTACGTTTGAATTAAAGCTACATAATTATGAAGTTGTTAATGTTATTATGATGTTATCATAAGATTTAATTTTGATGCAATTCACTATTTAGAAAATGTGATGTGTTGGCCAACTGATCGCTAAAGAGAAAAAGCGCAAGGAATGTTGATCTCGCGCTTTGTGATACTGAAGCATTTGCTAAGACCTTGGAGAAAGTTTAAACAACATTTGATCGCTACCTCGACAAACAGTATTCGGCCGTCTTCTTATGACATTGTTCAGCCCTGGCTCTTCCAGGATCCCAGCCCGTGGGTCAACATTCAGACAGTTCCTAGCCATATCCGGGCGCCGTCATATGGCGATGGAACTCCGGTTGGCCAGCATAAAAAGCAGACCGATCTGCACAATCCAGAACGGCTTGCAGGCATCAGGCGATCCTGCCAGTTAGCAAGGAAAACACTGGAGTATGTTGGGAAACACGTCAAGCCAGGGGTTTCCACTGCCGACTTGGACAATGTTGCCTTTGAATTTATTGTCAAGCATAACGCATACCCCTCGCCGTTGAATTACAGTGGATATCCGAAGTCTATCTGCACGTCGGTTAATAATGTGGCATGCCATGGCATACCGGACAGTCGACAGCTGATCGCGGGAGATATTGTCAATGTTGATGTCACGGTAAGTTTTTCTGGAATGGGAAGTTGTTGTTATTATGTAAATGGTTTGATTTTTATTAAGTGAAAAATATAAAGACTATTTATTGGACTTCAAAAGAGTGAATAATGCGTGTAAATTAAACTAAACCGAATTGAGTTTGACTGGGTTTCTAATTACTATTTTCTTATGAAATGCGATTAGTCGCCGATTACCTTTCACCGCACTTGTTACAGTTTTAATGAAGTTGTTTTAAAGTTTTGTTCGGTTTGCCATTAATGTTTTTGCATGTAAATTCTAATGTCAAAGTGATATAGGTCGAGAGCAACTGACGTAGAATTAAGGTGTTCCTAGGTGGATATCATGGAGACTGCTCAAAAACGTTTCCCGTTGGCGAAATCGATGAAAAAGCGGAAAAGCTCTTGCACATCACTGAATTAGCTTTGAGAAATGCCATTAGCATTTGTCGGAACGGTCAATCAATGTCCGAAATCGGTGAAATAATAGAGTACGCATTTCATTTTTTTATGCAAAGAATGCAGTATGCAGACGTCAGAACCGGCGCCGATGACCGAGCAGAATAACAGTTAATTTTCTTTTACATCTACAGGAAAACGGCTTCGGACCACGGTTACAGCGTGATTCCGTTTTTCTGTGGTCATGGGATCGGTGAAGATTTCCATATGTTGCCGGATGTTATACATCGTGCCAATATCGATGAAACTATCATGGAAACAGGAATGGTGTTTACAATAGGTCTGTAAACCTTGGTCGCATGCGGCCGAAATTTTTCCTTTGATTGGTTGAGCTAAGACAGTTCGTTACTTTATATCAGTGGTTTAGATTCTGAAGTGCTGATTTTCTTTTAGAGCCGGTTGTTTCGGAAGGAAGCGATAAGATTACTATTCTTGAGGATGGTTGGACAGCTATCAGTGTGGATAACAGCAGAAGCGCCCAGTTTGAGGAAACTATCTTAATTAAAGAAGACTGTGCCGAAATACTGACCGTTGCCCATGATACGATTGAGATTGCTGACTTGAGCAGATGAAGCGTGAAATATAACACTACTTTTAGAGCCGCTAAGTGATCCCGTATTCTTCCGGAGAAGGTTTGAATGATGATAATTTATCCATGTGGACAAACTTTAGACTGGTTCAAAGGTTTTTTTTATCTGTGTCTTGCACATTCGGGATTCACTGAAAATACCAAAATTCTGAGGAGAATAAAATTTCATTTAACAAATGCGAACATGAATATTCAAAGTAAAACCGCAGTCGGACAAACGCTTTGTACCATATACTGTTACAGCTGTAGCGTAAAGTCTGGCATGCTCCCGTCACGTCACTTTTGCTGGATATCTTTTAAGTTCAGAAAAGACGCTGCTGTCAATCTGCTCGATTGTTATGTTAAGGTAATCATGAATAGCTTGCAGAATAAGCATCTCTCCCGGCGTCACAAAATTTACAACGTATCCTTTGTATTTCCCTTGTGGATAGTCCAGATGTTGAAGTCTAAAAAGTTTAATATATTTATAAAGATGGACTGTTATGAAACCCTTTTTTTATTACTGAGAATGCTAAAAAATTGCAAGGTTTTACCAAAGAACGAGAACAAAACTTACGTATAGATGTAGTCTTTGATGTCAGGAGGTAACCCATAGTTCACGATTAGCCTAAGGTTTCCCATTTTCTCCGAAAAATTTTTGAGTGTTGTTAAAGTCATTACCAGTATGCCGGTTGTCTTGGTAAGGAATTCTTCAGGTAAATTTTTTTTCTGATCCTACAAAGCATTCATTGTCAGTAGAACGGTATGCCAGACACAATTACTGTAACTACTGATACCTACTCTAGAGTAGGAAAATCACATAGTACTCACAGCATAAAATAGGGAATAATTTTATATTTATTATTACGTATGTCGTGTCGTATGAGTACATACTTACCGTTAATAAGTCATGACAGTAGTCTTGGAAATTTGAATGAAGTTTGACAAGTTTTATTAGAGTCGGTGAAATACAAAAGTAATTAGTTTTTCTCCTTCTATAAAGTCTACTAAATTAATATTCCATTTACTAACCATATTGTAAACCACGAAACCGGCTTTTTTCAACTCCGTCACTATCAGCTGTGTTTCTGGTTGATTGGGACAAACCACAAGAGATTTTCCAGCTGTATATGGCAGAGCTCTGGACTTGAACAATGCTTTTAAAGTGTCTAGCTTCCATTCCTGCGAAAATGATTTGTTAATCACCCAATGGGCAGTTCACAACTGCACAATCGCCCATCACGTTAGGTAATATTGTTAGAAAGGATAATAAATTAGAAATTGTGACTTACGGTAGTAAGTAACTAAAATTAAAATTTTGACACTAGAACAATTTGTACGTACACTATTCCGCACATTGTAATAACCGTGCCAGTATGCATGAGATGTGGAAGCTGCCCATTCTTTTTCGTCAACCATGATGCAGACAGGATCGAGCACGAAGGTTTTCAAGAGGCGGTACATTGCCGGTGGTATTTTGGGGGCGAAAACGACAACCTGTGAAAGCGACATCTGATGTTGAAATGCTCTTAATTTACTCTTAAATCATGTCGCCTCCCATGTCGCCGGTACTCATTACAGTCTACAGTGCACGAGACAGAAGAATATGCATGCGTATTCTAAGAATATACATACCTATTCTCGTATTCTAAGAAAAGTCGTGAACAGTACTCGTATTCCAGACCCCCATTTTCGTAATGCTGTATAGTTTTTGCACTTACCTGCACATCTTCCGGCAATCGAATGAAAACATCGCGTATAGCATTTTGTGAATTTTTCATACTGACTGCGTCGTCAATAACAAACATTTTCACTTCCTTTAAATCTGTAACAGTGAAAGCAGGCAGGTAATATTCTGACATTATAAGTCTATAACATTCCTAGAGGCTGTATAATTAACAGCTAACCCTAGTTCATCGCTGCATAAGTAAAATAAAAAAGTAAATAAATAAAAGTTAACTTTAATGTGCCAAAGCCTTATTACAATACTTCAGTACATGCTTCCTTCCACTGAAAAATTTAAAATCCACGTACACAGAACGCGTTTTGCGCAGAGCTTTTCCAGAGTCTCTGGAGTAGCGATGACAATCTGCCGGTCACTCTTTAAGCGTTTAATGTCATTCATTACGGAGGAAGAATCGCACACATGCATTCTCGGTCTGACGTATTGCCCGACGGTCTTCAAAAGGCTTCGAAACTGCAGCAGAAACGGATCATTATTGTTCAGTTAAGTATTCAATTTTTTTAAACGGAGACCAAGTTACAAAATTTCCAGATCAGTTCTCACCCTTTCTGTTGAGTCTTTGTCAGCTGTGCATATAACAATCTGGCATTCCAAGTTCGATGTATCCAGTCGTTGGAGGATAGTGGTTGTGCAAACCGCGCATTTTCCGCTCCTCTCCGGTGCCTCCATAATAACATTTCGGCCTGATCAAAAATTTATACAAAAGGCTTAAGCCCAAGCGTGAACTATATGGTAAAAGTCAGGCATTTTAGTTTACGAATACCAAGCAGTACACTAAAATCTTAGGCAATAAAAATAAAGCAATTACTTTGTAACTGCTGTTTCGGTATTACTTTGCAGCTATCGTCAAGCCGTCAACTAACGGAACGTGATTATTGAGTAGCATTACCAACTTGAACAATAAAACACTGGTGCTGTTTATCGCAGGTAGACCTGTCGCTAGAAGCAAAATACCTAATACACATCGAATTTCAACGGAAATATGTGTTAAAAAAGTTAATATTATTAGAAACACTGTGTAATAGACCGATAGTTCTTCAAACAGAACAGCCGGCAAATACTACGCAATTTTCCGCTTTAAATAATATTAATTCACGTTTTACGCGCTTTCATCAAAGAAATAGATTAAACTGGTAGTATTCTGATACCAAAATCGTAAAGTATGATAAGGTGCATGGTTAATTTAAAGGCTTCATTAAGATTTTTTGGGAGGATATCGATTCACTTTCTTGGAATATTCTTGGAATTGCAATAGAAAGGTTAGAACATGTTGTGCTTGTCATGTTGTCCTTATCATGTTGTGCTTGTCAGCGGATCCGGATGAACTCTCTATTTCTGAAATTTTGCCACATTTTAGTTCAACACATACCTTCTAATAACGGGGCAATAGCTCTTTTCTGCGTTAGAGTTAAATCTTTGGATGCAAAAAGCTCCAGTCCTTGAATCACTTCTGGCTTGAGGTCCAGTTCGGAGTAATTTTCGACTGTTTGGAAGTAGTTGCTCTACAGATACATAAGCACTGGATTATGTTACAGTATTAACATAATTTATGCGATGTTCATTAATTAATATAAATGAAATGTATACGTACTAACTGTTTATTAAATCTGTAAAGTGAAATTGCGTTGGTTACTTGACTGGTTATCCACTTACCGTCATTATAGTACCGGTGGTCGAGACATTTCCCATTGATACACTGGAGGGCGAACGTGCACGAGTTGGGTGCCGGCTGTTCTTCCCGGGTACTGACTGATCTGTCGATAACGACTGACCATCCAGAGAAACTGCATCATTTTCTAGCCCCGCTTTCATCGCACTGATTCGGCGACTATCAAGAAACCAAAGTCGTGCTGTTAATAACACGAAAAAGTTTTTAACAATTACCGATAACATTTTAATAAAGGCATATTAAATTTTTTGTTGTAATTGGTTTTCATAAGTTCGTCTTGCGCACTGATGATACTGCAGGTACTTCGTACCTTGATGGATTCGACCCAGCTTCAGCAGACGTAGAAGATTGCACGCTGGACGATCGCAAATAATTTTTTAGAGCCGCTTTCCTAAAAATTAATTTCGGTCGTTTGTATTTTTGCTAACTACGCTAGCATATGGAACACAGCTAAGCAGTTTGCAATATTACTTGCTAAAAACACTATTAATTAACCGTCTACAATACAGTAGCAGATGCTGCTGTTAAATCAAATGCGAAGTTTGGAAACACAAATATATAGCCTGACAGATATATAATGCAGATATGCATGCAGCGGAATTGTTTAATAATTATGATGTTGATCGCAATGCTAACACGTAATTAGGATACAATAGCGCGATGAAGTTTTTATACAATAGGCTGCATAGGTAATGGTAACTGATAATTAACATTAGTAATTATTGGTTATTATTTACTGCTGATTACTATTAATTATCATGGTTTTCAAGGCATACTTGTTTAAATCAGACATAAACGTCTATCTAAAGCGTTTGACAAGAACTTCTGCACGAACTTATTAACTGATCGATTTCCACCAGATGGGGATCCGGAAAGGTCAGGCGGAGGTAGCTGCATGGGAGTGAGCGTTCCTCTTCGTTCCCCTGGCTCGAATGAGTGCACCAATTCTTCGACTTCGTCTTTCTCTTCTGCGTCTGATATCGTACTATATACAGTTAAAGTTGGTTGTTTGTTAAATTGTCATATATACATATTCAAAGAACAGTCCTTATATTGGCTTTATATAGTGGCTATTTGTACATAAGGATTTGTAGATATTATAGGATAATAGAAGTAGTATAGACAGTTATATCAAAGTTAAAGTAAAATCGTTGATAGCAGTATTTTGCAAGTTATTACAGCACCGGATTATAGGCACCCAAACGGGAAATTATTTGTAACTTATTACCCAAGATGTATGCTGAAATCCACATCGCTGTTCAAGCTCAACTGGGGACTGATAGAAGGTGGACTTCGAATTTGCTGTCCGCTAAAAAACCATGTAAAACCATAAAAGACAAGCGATTCTCGTGCACAATGCACTGCATTGCGCTATATTGCTCTATCAAGTATATATTTTCTACAGCTATATTGACTTCCTACTTAATAATTGTAAGTGTACTCGTACGGTAATATTTATTTCTTTAATACCCATTTTGAAACGGACGGCTGTAAACCGAAGACATCCTTTGCTGTGATCGACATATTTCTTGATAAATATCCTCCTGAAAAAAAATCAAGAAGTTGATCTGTATAATTGTAACTTGCCCAGTATTTTATTTACGGCGCTTTTAGCATATTTCGGCGTTTCGCTTCCATAAGAACGCTTTCCAGCCGTTTAGAACGTTTTTTTTTTGCAAAAGCGCCCGGGTAACAACTATTATTGATTCTGCAATTATTAAACGGTAGCATAACTAGCTACATCGAAATTTACGCGCCAAAAAATATCGCATTTTGCAAATTTCATATTTTTTTGTTATTATTTTCAAAACGGACGTTTCAATCCGATTCTTTGAATTTGATTCACTAATGGTAAGCAGTGACTACTCTTATAGTGTGTATAATATAAGTGTATTATACAATAGATCGCGTCGCGGTTTACGGTAGAGCTGGACGCTGGTAATTGCAAAATGCTTGCACTTCTGCACTTTTTTCGAAACAACTAGCCGAATAAAGCAATCGCAAAGTACGGCTGCGTTTTTTCTCGCACTGCAGTTTCAATGATGTTTGTCTAGTGTCACATCGTCGCCTGGTTTCAAGTCAGTGTTTGCGCTTTTTCTTTGTTATTTGGCAATTAGCCAATAAATGCTCTTACATATCTGTAACTGTTGGTAAAGCTACTTAAGCTGCTCTAGCATTAATCTTATTGTTTAATAGGCAGATTACAACGTGCGTGCCTTTTTGAAGAAAACTGACGAAGTACTTGTTTTCATTTTTCACGTTAAAGTACTTGTAAAATTTGACAACAGCAGCTACCGGTGCAATACGTACCGGTGCAAGGTATGTACTGCACCGAAGTGCTTTGTGAATTATTACAGTACTGCAAGCTCATTAAAGAAAACAGTTTTGTTAGGCTATCCTAAGTACAACAAGTTACAAAAAACGTTCCGTCAAACATAATCAGTTCAATACTGTATATTTTCAGATTATTGCCTATACATAGAACTCGACCTCAAGACAGCGAAGTCACGAAGCGGAGCCGCGTGTTTTTTAAAAATCCTGTTTTCGCTTAACCATAAGTAAAAGTCTCGTAGCTTTCAGCCTTTTTGTATGCTTATACTCGTACAATAAGGTGTTGCCTGTTTGTTTTCTGATTTATCTGCCTCCGATCCCTATGGAATGAGTTGTGTTTTCCTTCAAAAAGCTGCTTGCCGTTGACGTCCTTCTGGCACTCCCGAATGTTGACTGGAGAATTCTTACAGCTGATATGTAAACGGCTTCTCAATGTTCATTAATTCTCAAAACGAACTTTGCTCTGTTTCAAATTTATAAGTTTATATAATAATTAATCTGCTACAATACATGTGTTCATACTACTACGCTGTGTTTGGTTTGAAACCTTGGTTTTTCTCTGTCTGCCTCAGTCCCTGCTTTGCTTATTTTGATGCTGTTTTCATCGCCCTTTGACCTTTTGCCTGTTGCCTCGAGGGGGCTTTCACCCCAATGCAAGTGACATTTAAACATAATTATTATATATATTTACCGTAACAAACAGCTTGGTACAAACAAGCAAGTACTACCTTATAGTGAAACGCTTACCATACTTCTCACAATCAAAAGAATATCATCCTTGTCTGTGCTATCGGCTAATGCCAGTGGCTCGATGTTTTTCTTCCAGAAGGAATTCCACTCATAAAATTTTGCATCCGACTGGCGTAACACAGACAAGACAACCGAAGCACCTGATGCCGACATTTGAAAATAAATGCTCGGTCTAAGAGTAGTGTAGAAACTTGCAAAGTTTTAGTTAGCTAGATAAAATTAATCCTTTACAAATATCCACGAATTCATGGAATATTGATATATTTACTGGCGAATAAAAGAGAACAAATTCAAGGTCACCACAGAAAATCTCGCGGTGTTGCCCATGCGGTCAGGTAAGGGTCTCGCTGGATGTTAAATTGTTAATGTAGGCTGCTAATTCTCACATTTTGTAAACCACTCATACTGTAAGAGGCTCTTGTTAATTTTGGCGTGGTTCACTGTGGCGTACCCTGTGGACATCTACTGTGATGATTTCCAATAAACTACACGAAGACATGCTGCAAGCACTGCCCTTAGGCATAAGCCACATTCCAGTATACCATACATCCCTCTGATCGAAGTGTCTTGTACATATTATTATATTTTTTTTGTGATTGTTATGCCTTACTGATTAGTGATACACTGATACTTTGCTTGTAGATCTACATAACGGCCTTAAACAAAGTTTGCCGTAAAGTGTGAGCATGTACGTGTAATATAACTAATATTGCAAAAACCTGTTCCACCCATTACGAGTAGGGTAGCAGTCCAAACCGTTCGAATATTCGGAGCGGCCTTTTGCGAAGGTACATACCTATACGTTTTGTGGGCAGAAAAATCCGCGACAAGTTAGCTGATTCTCGTTTTACGACTTCCTGACACTGCAGCGCGCAATTAGCTGTCGTTAGAGGAAATGCAGCTGTTTTGGAAGAATATAGAATATTCGACGGCCTGCAATATGTAGATTTTCACCATCAATGACGATGTTCTTTTCGGTGTTGAAATTTTGATTGTAGTTCCTTTAAATGAATGTGCACAAGAGAAAAACTGTCATCTGAACTGGCTTTGGCCAAATAAAATGGTTTGATTATATAATGTGATATTGGCCGGTTCGGCTGCTGCGCAAAAGCATTGATTTGTCCACTTTTATTTACTACGATCTGTTAATTATATGTCTTACTGCTTAATGTGGCTGAGGTTGACTGGTCGACAGCGATGTTGACCGGAAGCTGCGTAACTAACTTTGACGCAGGCAACAACGTTTGCGAAGAACTTATAGGTAATTAGCGAGTATTCAGAGAAATGCCACAAATTAAGCAGGAGATTCCGGAGCGAAAGCAAAATGGCAAGAATCAAAACCAAGTCAAAAGTGACTGCATGACTGATTCCAAGATACTGTACTAGTACTTGTATATACCGGTAGTACACTGGCCGCGCGATGTGCAAGTGGTCAGTAAAAATGTTCAGAAATCAGGCTTTTGGCTTCTCGTATGTTCGAGCACAACAGCCAGGTTACCACCAGTCACCACTAATCATAAAGAAAGGCTTGCTTGTCAGCAGAAACTGGTTCGATAAGTCGGGAAGAGGTCACTGTATAAGTACTTTTGTTGCATTAGCCTTTATGAACAAAAGAAATACTGAATATCCCCTGAAATTCAAAAATCCGAACGAACAAAGCAGTACAGTGCATTACCGGTAGCCGTGGTGAGTACCGCAGACCTTCAGCGCGCTACGAGTATCAGAACTGGTGGATTATAATTGATATACACTCTGCAGTCAAATATAAAAATTACGTTTAAAAGCACATGGTACGCCGTTATGTACATCCCTTACGAAGAAACTCTGCGTTTTCCAGCTCTTCACATTTCATAGATGATAGACGCATACGGTTTGCGATGGTTGGATTTTCTTTTATGATAACAGTTCTGTTATCAAAGCCAGTACCCCGGATCTTTGGGCAGGTTTCGGATCCCATTAAAATGCTGTTTTAAGAATTACTTTATCTGGTTATTCTTGACTGTACGTTTTATTTTGGAGTTGTGTTTTGAGTGGATTCTGACAGCTTGCTGAACAAATGGCTGAAATCTGTCGGGAATGCGTAGCGAAGGACAATACGATTATAAATCTACAGCAAACGATAGAAAATCTGAAGACGTATATCCACAGATTGACGAATGGAGAAGGTGTGACCCAAGGACAGCAAATTATTACAGCTGCTGCAGCCGCTGGACTGGTGCAGAATGCGGATGGGAATCTGGAATTCCCAACCGTTAGTTTGGAAGAACTCTCTGCATTTGCTGATGTCCATCCAGTGCAGTTTGTCCAAACTCCTGTGGTAAGTTTAATATTAGTATTTTGCGGTAATTGTTTAGGCACCGCAGACCTATGTACATAGTATGGAGTCTGGACAATGAGCTTTTATTTTCCAACAATATATTCTTGAGCAAAACAATTAAACTCCGTCAGATAACTAACAGCAACTTTGATAAGTCGGAATTTATTTTTGGATACTACTTTAACTACTCATACGGAAAAAACTTTTATCTGATTTTAGAAGTAGAAGTAATTTGCTTTGTTATTAAAAAATCGTAAGACCTTAGTTATGTGACTCAAATGTTAACACTTCATATTAATAGCTGCTTGTTTTCGTTTTTACGGACTTCTAGTCGGTTATCTAATGGAAAACTTGGGCCATCTTTTACGGCGGTCTTTGAAAATCGATTGCGCATCTCATTCTATGTTAAAACGGAGTTGTACGGTATTTCGGGCTGCCTATCTCGTAGACTAAGAGACTAAGTCATAGCCATAGACTATGGACATAGTAGTCTAGCATTTTCTTTAATTTTCTGACTTTCAGTCCTTTTTGTGACTTCTGTTATACGCGTTTGTTTAATTTTGATCGCATCTGTGGATATGTATAGATTGCCGTGGGATCTGTTCCATCTGTGCAGGTGACCACGATCGAGCCGGCGGAGCACGTGCAGGGATTATTATCCAAGCGAATACTCCACGTCAAAGCGTCTGGTTCACTGCTGACAGACGCGAGTGGCGCTGGAAACCATGCCACGGAGGTGAGACACGTAAAAAAACCAGTTGCGTTCCAGGACACCGTAGTTATGCTGAATCTCTGGAGCGCTCATTTAGTTTAACTTTGGTGCTTGTAATATCTGGCGAAGCGTGTTTTATAGGAAGAGGATCATGAGCACGAACATTACGAGGAGAATGAAGCGGATGGTGAAGAAATGTCGCAGGTAAAGAAATGGGCCAGTTGCCGGTGGCGGTAATAATGTGTAGAAAAGCTCACGATAAAAAATTCTGGGAAGTTGCTTACGTAACTGAATGCCCCTCGGTGTTCATTGGATTATATCTGTGTCCCCGTTTTACCTGTTGTTCGCCCATTTTTTTGGCTAGAGGAGTTTAAATTGTCTACTGGTTTAGTGTTTTCGTATCCATATGGCAATATAATACCTTTGATAACTATCCCGGAACGAGTACAAATTTTGTACTAGGAAAAATTTATAACAGAAGCACAATGCTATCCGGATCGGAAATTGTACCCATTACACAATTGGCATTTCCCCGTGTATCTGGATAGAAAGTCGCTTTCCTGAAAAACTTTTTCGCGCGTTTCCGGTCTGTGGCGGTGGCGATATCGCTTCTAGTCTTCTCCACAAGCTGCGTTGTTCATTTCAAATGCTGCCGCCATAAAGTTCTACCGTGGTTTTAGCAAGCTGTGTTTCGTCAGTTTCTCTCTTCGGTGTGTTCCGCTGCGGCCCCGACGTTCACCAAGGTACGACTGATGTACGAGGCAGCGGGTGTGTCCACGCATGTCACGTCGAAAGCCAGCGGCTTTCCGCGTTCCCAACTTCCCATGGTACAAGACTACGAGTAATGATTAGTTTGATTACATCCGGCCTTTTGCGATCTTTCCATGAGAGGCCTTTCGGCTCCATTCTGACTGGTGAACCGGCCGGCTGACGAGTAAAAGGTTGTCAACTGCGCCTGTACCACAGTCCGCGCGGTTTAAACGCCTCTTTCCGTCGCTACTCCTTGACACACAGGAAAGCTGATTGTGCACTCGTAATGTATTATAAAGTTTTTCTTATGCTCGGGATCATCTTTGCCGCATGCTTTTCGGTTTTCGTTTGTCTGTTGTACGATTAGTTTAGAAATAGCCTTCAGCGTTTGTACTTTTGTCGGTCTACCCAGACTCGCTAGTGCAGACTTGCTCTTTTCTGCAGGAACAGCAGTTGGACGAGGAGGTGATTTCCCCTGTTGAGAACCAAGCCAAGAATGTGCGGCAAGATGGACAACGACAGCGTGGTCAGCACGTTCTGGTCCTTGGCTCACCTCATGTAAGACGTCGTTTTACCGACATCCAGATATGGTGTCCATAGTAAATACATTTGCATCTTTCCTCTATATTAAACTTTACTACTACCTAGTGTTACGAGCTAATCCGGTCGTTTTTTAGCTAATTTTTGGACATACTATGCGGCTGACATGGTTTGTCGTTTTTGGTAGTGCCTTTAATTCGTGATTGACTGTAAGCTGATATCAATACTGGATTCGCCATTTCTGAAAACGATGAAACTATTATTTGGAATATTGAAAATGTTTCGCTGTTTTTCTGGATAGATCAAATTTTTACAAGTTGTGTTGTTTGCTATTAGACCCGAAAGATCCCATTACGGTGCCCATTACCGGACTGCCCACATGCCGACTACCGAGCATGGGATCGCGATCTGCTACGGAAGCACTTCGAGAAATATCACAAAGCCACTCATCCTAGCCCGATATTCAATTATCTTTGTCCGTTTGATGGATGTAAATACATTTCATATAACGAACCATCGTATGCCCTTTACACTCACATCAAGAATGTTCACCGGGAATATTTAGCCCAACTGGAACAGAACTTGGTACTGATGGAAGACAATATTAATGGACATTTTAAATCCGTGAAACTCGTTGTCAATCATAGGCAAGAGGGCTTCCGAATACCGAAAGAGATCTTAATGGGGTGGACATTGATGTCTTACCTAGCGAAATCAAAAGAACCCCGGTTCCTATTTTGGGCACGATTAGTGTATGTACTCCACTTACACAACGGGAGTCGAGACGACCGCTATGTTGTGTAATTTACATGAATAATCAGGATGTATCTTTAATTTGCAGATGGAGAAGCTTGGCTTGAGATGTCCTCTACCGGTATGCCAGGCGGGCACAGTCCTCTTTAAATACAGCAGCATGAAGAAACTGGTGGAGCATTTCGAGAAACTGCACAGTTTTACACATCCAAACCCATACTTTATTTACTGCTGCCCTGTGGAGGTAGTTTTTGCTTTACGAAATCCTTACATCTGGAGGGTTATTATAAATAATTAATATTTCCGTAGAAAGATTACCAGTATTATTGATGTCTAAATTAAATACGATTTTCTTAAGATAAAAGTTTGTTGTGATAAAAGTAACGCTTTGAATATTGCAGAAATTTTAGGGGATTATTTTACAGGGTTGCAATTATAGTTCCGAAGTGGGGAATTTTCGAGTGTACAAGCATATGAAGGCCGACCATTCGGAAATGTTCCTAGCTGTACCACTAGTTCCAATGGAGGATGCAGGAAAACTGCAGACTACATCGGCTGAAGTAGACGGCATGGCCGTGCCAACTGTTACCGAACCGGGAATGATATTCTCTGACGGCGAAATTGGTGATGATATCGCCAATAATGAGGCGCAGTTGGTGCATCATACCGGGGAACAACCATCTGAAACAACCGAGCCTGTGGAAGACGTGTTGGTGAGAACCATTGCTTTTTTCACTTTTGTTCAGTAATCATCAGAGTGCAGTCTAGGTTTGTTACGCTGCTTTTTCGAATTTTTAGACATTTTGTTGACCTTTTGTTACTTGTGGTAATTTCTGTTTGTAGATGCCATCAGAAGAGTCGGTTGTGGCTGATGCCACTGAGCAGACGAAGACGGACGAAATGGATTCTGAGGCGCCACTAGAGTTTGGAACGAAAATATTTATGAAAGGTTCTGCCAATGTAAGCTGATAATCAATGGTTTTTTTGAACTTAGTTATGAAACGTCGAGTATTTGCTCAGCCTTCCAACTAGGGATATCGTATTCGTCAACATGCTGTAGATATTATACCTATTTGGATAGTTGGTATCTCGTCCTTCACTTCGCACTAAGTTTTTGCTTTTGGATATAGATATTTTAGATTGAAATCGAATTTATAAGCTTTTGTGTGAAATTAGATGATCGTGGACCCGTTGAGATGTCCGGTTGAAGACTGTCCTAAGCAGGACTTTATCGCTACTAGCACGGTGCTGATGAAGCGGCATTTTTGGAAGCAGCACCGTTATACCCACCCAAATCCTGAATTTCATTTTCTCTGTCCTGTGGAGGGTTGTACTTTCATTACTAACGCCACGTTGCAGCAGCCCAAGCAGCAGGCTTCAACCAACATCTGGAGACATATTAAAAGAAGCCATCCCGAATATGCCCTGGCGGATATGGCAGCAGGACAACTTGCTCCGATAAACGCAACCGATGAGGCGTCTGCAGTTTCTGGAAATGCTGTAGGTGGAGAGGCTGAAGCAGAAACATTGACGTCCGGTGATCCTGTAAAATCAGAAGAACAGTTGCGTGTCAGCGGTGTCGAAGACGTGAGTGAATACTAATGAATAATTATTTCTTATAAAGATAACTGGTACTATTGATTTTTTATGATAAAAGTTGGTTTTGGCACGTGTCTTTTTTCGTCTTCCTCCAGTTGTTACGGTATTTGCATTTTGTTGGTTTTATAATTGCAGGTTCTGCATCCGGGAACGCTTGTCAAACCATTCCAGTTGCAGTGTTTATTCCCAGGTTGCACGAAACCTCCTTTTAGTGGAGCGGACAAAACCCAACTGTTGAGGCATTACGCGCACTATCACACTAGTGTGGATCGTAGACAGCCGATTGTCGTTACCTGTCCAATGAAAGACTGCACGTACGAATGTATTTGGCCGCCTAAACCTTTGTATTACCATGTGGAGTCCGTGCATGCTGAGCCGGATGATAGTGGTCTGCTGCATCCCGCCAATGTTTCATTAACTAAGGTAATTTTTTGTTGGAATTGCAGTGACTGAATGTAGAAGAGTATCGTTTTGCATTTTGCTTGTAGGAAAGTGCCGCAGGTGATCAGTGCCACACCCCCGTGCAGATAGTCGGACGCCCTTACGTAAGTTGAACATCTGCAACCCTTCCTTGGTCACGGATGTAAAAGTTTGAGTAAAACTTTTAGACTGAAATTTAAAACGTTCTGTTAGAAATCTGGAAGCTTCTGGTGTCCTGTGCCGGGCTGTGGATTTTCCAATACTGTATTACTGCATATGCGCAATCATGTCCTGGAAGCACACCAAAAAACACACCCTAATCCTACTTTCATCTTCGTGTGTCCCATACAAGGTTGCAGTTTTGCCAAACAAAACAATTATCAAGCCTTATGTACACACATGCAGCGAGAACATGGTATGAAGAAAGAACGTACAGCTATCTCGCCGACAAAGAATACCGGAAAACGGAAAGCTGAAACTGATGGCGAACCACCAGCCAAAAAGACAAAAACTACAAAAAAGAAAGCCAAAGACCCGACCCGAGCCAAAGCGAAAAGAGGGAAGAAATCTGTGACAAAGGAGGCAGCAAATAATGCTGGACATTCACGAGCTAACATCCCCGTAAGTACACAGGAGCCTGTGTCTCCAGAGAAAACGACAGCAGAGAAAATAGAAGAAGCGGGTCCTAACGCTGAGGATGGCAGTATGTCGACCGATATGGTCGATAAAGATGGAAACACCGCTGGTGAAACACTATGGATTATTAAGAAGAGGAATAATTCCAATGCGAGCACCAGCACCCTGCGACGGGGAGCCCCGAGAAAGGCTAAGAGCTCGTGATTTTCGTTATTGTTTGATTTTTGATCAAGCTCTGCTGATTTTTTTCTGGGTAATAATGTATAGTTGTACAGATCTATTTCGCAGTTTTTGTCATTTCCGTTTCGTATTTCGTTAGCCTTTGCTGATGTACAGACTCCGTTTTTGCTTAGTGTTCTTTCTTTACTTCAGCCTCTGCTAATGTGCAAATACCACGCTATAAAACGCGTAGTTTGATTTATATTCGCTATTTTACGTAACGGGGCAGCGTCCCTTCAAAACATAAATTAACATTAACAGATAAACGTAACTTACGTAAACACATATCTGCACTCTGTGTGCAAACACTGAATGGCCATGTGTTAACTGTCAACGCCTTAACGAAGAAAACGGTCAGGTATATAATTAATTGTACAATACGCAGAATTAATTATTGAGTAAAGTATTACATATTAATAATATTATTAATTATAAATTTATTAATTATAAATTAAGTTAATTATAAAGTAAAGTTAAGTAATTATCAAGTAAAGTATCTATAATTAACAATAAGTATCGACAAATAATTAAGCAAAAAGTGCCGGCAGCTGGGCGATACATTGCCAACGTGTTCGGACATTTCCGCATCGCAGGAGGTTTAATTTCCACCATTTTTGCAGCGAACTCAAGAAAATAATACGATTTTAAATGAACAGAAACTGCACACCATTACAGAAGCGATCCGCATTCAAAACGCTTTATAAACTGCAAGTGCACGTAAAGAACAAGTACCTCGATCGGTATTATTGAAGTACCAAAAAAATATCCCGAAAAATCTGTGCCAACATATAATATAAAGCAAACCGTTCTAATATTGACCTCAGAAGACAGAAAAACGGGAACGGCATCGTTTTACTATGTAAACGAAAGCACCAAATTTAAACAACCGCACCGATATGTGCTAGAAGCGTTACTGTCAAAACTGTACACCCGGAAACATCCTCTACCAAAGAGTATCTTATGAACAGTAACTGGAACTAGAAATGACTTCCGCGCCATTCGCAAATCCTGGCATGAAATTTTACGGCAATCCCAACCGGAAGTCCCAGTTTCGTTACGCAGTCATTCCGTTGAATGAGATACAAAGCGGCACCAGTCAAGTCCTGCAAATCATTATCTCTGTATTCGTAACATCGGCAAACCGGAAGAAATAAAAAAGCAACAGGAGCAACTGTCTATGAAAACGACGAACTTGAGATCATTAATGCGTAACAGTAAAAAATGTAACAGCAAAAGAAATTTATTTAAGCATCCGAAATTAGACATATGAATGTTAAAAAATTCAAAATAATTTGCAGAAGCTGCTCAAATCTTACATGCTTTTCAATAACCGCTCCAAATTCTGGCATAAACTGTCCAAAGTGCTGTACGCATTGCTCGATCGTCCATTTGCATTTTGCTGTTTCTCGGCAGACTGCTTTCGCGTTAGTCGCACCAGACAAAAACGGTTTTTCGACAGATTTCAGTTTTCTTTTCTTTTTGCGCTTTTCTTCTGAGACCTTAATGGCACTGCTGTCAGATACGGGTAGAAAGAGATCACGAACCAATTGTCGAGACACCTCCGCCTCACTCGCCATGCTAGAGCGAAAAAAATTCGCTAGAATCAAAATCGTATGCCATCAATATTCGACTAACATCTTACAATATACGATATTAATTAATTCTATTGTTTTTACGAAGATGAGTAACATTAAGTATAGTTTTGTTGGTTGTCTGTCGAATCCCTAATCCCTATATAATCCACTATAGCTCATATCAGTACCTTTGAGAGGGCACGAGTTTGGCGACCGATTTCTCCGGAACACATGAGTTCAGAGTGTTTCCTAAAACGATAACGTTCTCAAATCACCGCACGCAATTCCACCTCTGAGGTAAAGCAACGACCCTACCGGTAGTTTTCTGCTGAGGCAACGCGATATCCGATGTTGTTGTAGCCTTGTCCACATTCCACCCGATGAACTTTTTCATGATGCTGAAGTTACAATCCGTACATGTCCAGTCTGCACAAAATAACGATTTCCATACAAAATATTTTGCAGTATGTAAAACATTTTGCCGGTTGGACGTCACGATACATACGTAGAAAATCCTCGGAGCCAATATTCAATGTCCGGAAACAACTGAGATGGATGACGCTGACAGCACATTTTGAGCATCGCAAAATTTCCTGCAAATCAGAAGTTTAGCTACACTTCAAGTTCATGACTGCATATGAGTGCCACGTAAAGGCACCAAAAGAAGATTAACTAAAGTAATTTTCCAATTTACCCGCGAAGTCCAGTCCGTGAATTTCCCACAAAACCCACATCGAACGCATTTCAGACAGATATAACGGGGAATTCCATTATGAGCGAATCTTTCAGCTGTGGCCGGAACAATATGCTTGCATGTACCACAAGCTACCATACAAAGACACAAATTAATACGAATTTTTGCGGCTTTTGGCAATGACTGCTGCACGGCAATCTTAAGAGAACAGGCATTGTGCAGTATAAGCATTCAAAACAAAATGCCGAATAGCATACAGTCTATATTTATTACGAATATAATTATATCCGTATACTTATTACAACGGCTTCAACGTCAATTCATCCGAAATTAGCACTTCCGAATTTCAGTTACAGTATCGTCAATATGTAGCATGTGATTCCATAGAGCAATACTTAACAAGTTTTTGAGACTGATAACAGTAATATGATAATTTTATGGTACATTACTCAGTTAAAGCGACCAAAACTGTTGAAACACGTACCAGCGGAAGTGCAGTTCAAATTCTCGCAGCGTTCGAGATCTTCCGGCAAAAAAGCCTTTCTGCATATAAAACACGGCATTGTGGTAGGTGCCGGCTGCTTGGGAAGATGGGTTTGTGCAGCTGATCTCCGTACGACTACTCGCCGGCGCACAACTACACGGCTGCGCCTGGCCGGTGTTTGCAGAGGGGCCATCAGCTGATCTTGCTTCTCCATATCTGCCATGAACTGCTTGGCATATCGTGGATCCACATAGCCCGGTGGCAAAGCTTTTGGCACAGGCTAAAAAATTAATGACATCTTATTCCTTTACGTGCCAATTGCAAATCTTGATTTAAAAGTACTACTTGTAAAAATTTTATCAGAAAACATGCTTTGACAGTACATAAATAACAAAAAAGAAGGAGATAAAACTTTTATTTTTAAATCATCCTGCCTTGTTTATAAAAGCACAGAGAAAATACTTGTGTTAGATCCCAAAACTGCTATCACAAAGATACTGGTATCACAAAGATTTCGAATAATCCAACACGAAATTATAATTTAAAAAGAATTTAGAACCAAATAACTCTGGCAGTATGTTGTACGTACAATGAAACGTCTACCGTATTTATTACCCCAGGAGTGACTGACACTTCCGAGTTGTAAAACGAGAATTAAACAAGAATAAAAGCAGAAACCGGAAGATTCGGAAAAGCACAGTAGAGCTCGATCTCCCGTTTTTCTAACGTGTAAGCAGCGTTATAGTTTGACAATTGGTACGAGTAAGGAAGATACCACCTCCATTTTAAGCGCTCTGCCATCTGCTAAAGACAGCAGACGTGACTTTAAAATGTCTACAGTTACACCTTTACTCTGGAGTTTTCCGCGGCGGCTTTCATTTGTTGCCCTACAAGTTACTTGTCTGAGAAAGAGACCCATTAAGCAACAGATTATGCTGTGCACAGATTTTATCCACTGATCTTTCCACACAGCTGAAACATCTCGAACAATTTTACACTGAACTTCATCACCGTTATTACCTTTCGGCTACTTTTTCGTTGGGTCACTTCCATTTCTTGTTTTGGCTTACAATTAGCCACCTTCAGCAGAGATTCATATAGCGTATAAGAATATTGCTCTGGACTTTCCCTGCAAGCCCAGCCTTTATTCGAAAAGTGTTTTTCCTTCGCACCTGCAAAGGGAATATAGCATCGTATTGTGCACATATACCTAAAAATTATACAGAATTCCATGAAAATATAAGACTACATTGGATGAGTAGGGATGTGAATGCTGCAGACGTACATGCAGCAGTAACGCCAAATTAATCCCTTGCAACTCATTTCAACGTACGGGTGTTACTCATAGTTACTTCAAAGTAAAACCATGGGTACAACGCATCGGTAGTAGCACTTTGGTGGTGTGTAGTACTGGACTTACATTGTTAATGTTTTAACAGAATAGTCTATAACAGACTGTTAATTTTGAAAACAGTTAATATTGTAGCAGTCAACAATGATCCAATTAATATCAACAATTCTATAAACATTTATATAAGTATTTTTTATCTGCACTCGCCTACTCGGTATATTTCCTGCTAGGAGCCCTATGAAAAGTCATGATATTAAACTGCTCTCTGTCATTATGATAACTGCTCTCTATGCACACAGACAAATCCATAATCATCTTACTTATGATAGACTGGTATGACGTAAGAAACACGAAGCAATTTGGGGAGACAAACAGGAACAAAAGCATGTGCAACGCGCGTAGAATTATCAAGGAAAAAACACCGGACTTTGTTTACGCCTTCACGGTGTCTCAAAATGTTCATGCTCGCCATACACCATACACATTCCTGCATCGCACATCGTCTTCCTGCCTCATACTAGCTAGTACTGTGTATTGTGTACCATATCCCGGTTGGGAACACCGAGAAGTTAGCAACCTGGCAAACAATTCTCGTTTTAATGAAAACGAAAAAACGAACAAATGACAAAAGCCTCAATATTTAGTGAACGCCAGAAATGATCAGGAATCTCATGATTCTCAATCTCACAGATCGTACTATACGGTACATACAAAACATACGGTACAATACTTAACAATATTATACGATACACAGCAAATCTCCAAAAGCAAGTGTTTTGCCAATTCTCACCACAAGAAGTTAGCTGGAATAAACAAACTGCGTACGTAAACGTAACTGTGTGGTTTTTCATCTCTAAATGTGTGTTTCGTTGTGTCGAAAAACGTAATTACTAGGAAGCAGGTAAAATTTGGATAAACCAAGCCATGACCGTGCACGTGCAAGTTGATTCAGTACCTTCTGTTCAACTCCAGGGTTAAAGACAGAGCTCGTATTCACCACCTCAACGGTAACTTAGACTAATAAACTGAGGAGCTAGAGCACAAAAACAAACGGAAATACTAAAGGAAAACTTTGTGCAGTAAACTAATTATGAAGAGATTTCCACATCCGTATTAATAATCTACGTACCATGCAAATACGCGTATTAGACAAACCTGCAGGTTAACGTTCGATCTGGTCGGCTCCAAGTTGCATACGCTCGAAGTTCTGTCTTGCCGTGGATCCTTTTCCAACGTCGCCCGCTAATTATGATTACGAGCACGCTAATTATTAGTATAAACTAGATTCGGAAAATGTCATCTCAATAAGTTACGCAAAGGGATACTAATGAGTAATGAAGCTCGTATTAAAAGCGTTTTTCTGCTTAAACCGAACGAATTGATTTTTTGTTGCGAGAAACAGCAGACTCGACCCATGGCGTCCGTAAGCACAGTTCACGGGGAAAAACACACGAAACTCACTGCACTCTCACACACTCACAGCTCATGTAAAAATTAAATTATTTGAATTATATAATTGATACCTAATTATTAGTACTTTACAACTAATCTTAGCCTTTACTAACCCAAAAAAAGGTTTCCAAATACGTTTCTTTAATTAATTTATTCTTTATGCGCTGCAAAAATGTACTATAGTAACCTTCGGTTTCGGCCGGTGAATTCTTTTTCGGCCGCCTTAATGCAGTACCCTCGTTTCACTACTGTAGGTTCTGCCATAACTTGTATCTACTGTCTCCATTCTGTGGTTCTTATCGTTACCTACCTACTCTTAACTACCTAGTACCGTTTACGGCTAATATCTATATAGTGGCCGCTATACTTAATACTGTACTTAACCAATCTCGTCCTTCATAACAAAGACTTGTGAAAATTCCTTGAAAGTTGAACCACTAAATAATTCTGCATAATTAATTTTAATTTAACTGTTGTATTAATGATGATGCATTGTGATGAATACTATACAAACATACGCAAACAATCGAGGCATGGTATGAAATTAATTGTATTATTGTAATTGCAAACATTAGAAATGCCTGTACCATAAGTCCATAAAATCTGAAACTGCGATGCGACACTTCGTATTGTGATATGTATAATTAAGTATGTCTTGGTGTGCTCAGTTACAGTAATATGCTGTTTTTTTTGGTTGACAAGTGATCATGAGTTTGCGACAACTCGTGGTCGCCGACTCGTCGCGAATCCCGGCCACAATAGAATCCTACTGATATGGTCCAAAGTTACAAAAACACGTACTCTGTACATTTTTGAAGCTTGGGTTCATGTTGCTTGATATTTTTACGAAAGTCTTGAGCATCAAGCTAGCAGCCGATTAGGGATGATCCGAAAATGGTTCGGCGATGCAAACTTTGAAGTACAGCACTTGTACTTACGGCGTCTGTATAATTTTAATCGCTGGTTGCGAAAAAATCCAAAAACGGCAAATGCGCAAAGCATTACCTTAACGACAGAACTTCACGACCTCATGTCAATGAATCAAACGAAAAAAATTAACATGACTGGAATTGATAAATGTCTGGGATGTGTCTATTTGTTGGGGATGCAGACTATCGCTTTGTTACTTATATTTAGTGTTTTCGCCATTCCCTGAAGCCTGAAAGATACAGGGTCTTGAAGGGAGGAAGAATTACGTGTACGGCGTACATTATTATCTAGGTATTGTATATTGTACCTATATACAGTAGCTACACTACCTTTCGGGCTGCATATTATATTTTATTTTATGTGCAGCTAGCTGCTCTGCGCTTGCGTTCCCAAACCTCGCAGTCACACCGGAAGGGCCATCCAAGTCCAGTGAACATCGGAAACGCCGGAATGGTTATGTTTGTCAGCTTCTCCACACCATTCCGCAGTATGCAGCAGCGCTTTGCTTTGATAAACATAAACTCCAATGTTCGTAACACCGCGAAGTGCACAATTCACAGAGTGATTTACATACATTAAACGCCTTTAATAAAGTTGGGTACCACTATCCTTTAATACGATTCTCAAATCACACTGATGAACCAGACACTACTGCTTTGAAATTGAATTAAAAGATAATAATGCATTTATTATAAATAGTATCTGTATGTACAATGGATACTTCAAAGTATAGATGTAGAACGGCTCAATGTCAATTACTATCAAGACAGTAAGACACCAGTGGTTACTGATTTCTTTGCTGATATGATCCGTTGACGCAGATACTTTGTTGCTAGCGTTCCCCCTGTTCCCAGCTGAAATTTCGTTGAATGCGTTTCTTAGTTCATTATATAAACCGGGTGGCTTCGAATTCTGGTCTGAATGGTCCTTACTTGTAGGCCAAGAAGCCGGCTCCCACCGGTGACACTAAGAACAAATAGTCCTTGGGAGATGCTAGGATCTTGCATGTCTCGCTCGATCGCCTTGTGCTAATGCTGCTCTGGCGTGAGTGGAAGTCGCGGCAGTGTACGAACAGACACTAATTATACTCGTATAAGACGACATCGATAGTGCGGCAGGTTACATCTCAGTGGGAAAGTGTTCATCCGGCCGCGTGCCAAGCATCATGATCAGTAGAGGAGATTCCGGGAGCTTGCGGTTCGGTTATTTTCCACCCATTATGCAAAGGCGCCCTTCATGACCGCTTACCGACATTCATAAGTAGTCCGTTTCCGTCCCGCGCTAAACTTGCAACTGCATGGAACCATGGTGGCCATATATGCAGTTCCACGCTCATCCGCCCGGTCAACGAAAATTATCGTATTCGAATTATTTAAATTATTTCATTTAAATTATTATATTACCGCCATATATGTCATATATGCCGCCAGAAGTTATTTTATCAGATTAAACAGGATTTTCAGTATCGTTAATGTCAGGAAAACGGCATCATACGCCTTTCGATTCCAATCGACGTGACCTCGCCGTGGTGTCACGTTCGGGCGGTTCAGCTCTCCACGGATAGCGTTACCATAGTACGTCAAGTGGCCATGGCGTCCCCTCGTGTTGGTTTTCTTGAAAAGTATCGACTTCTACAATAGGATTTCAAAATCGCCACGGTTGTAGATTTTATCCGGCCACATTGCTTCCTTTGGCGCCATCGCTTTGGCGTCATCGGCCCACTGCCGGCCGGGATTATACTCAGTCGTTGGTACAGGTCCGGGCCGCACCCTCCAGTCAGTGATGGTCCGTACGTGAGACTGCACGTTTTTCTTTCATCAGCAGCTCCTGGCCTCTTGTTCTCCAGAGATGCTGCCGACTCGCCGAGTGCCGACTAAAGCGACAGCACAGTACTGACTACAGATATTTACACATTTACATTACGTATGACTGGATGAAAGCGTTGTGAAGGGTGTAGGTCATGAAGTTTTTACTGTCTTAGAACTGTTAAATGCTACGGTAGCATTCTGTCAAAAATATTCAGCAAATTTCTTGTGTTAAAAGTGCCATTTTGCCGCTAAAGTTTCACTTTTTATCAGCAATCGGCATATTTATCATCATCAATCATATGGTTAAGTTTTGGCGACGGAGCTTACCGCCACTGGTGACTGACTGGGTGTTTTAGTTTGCCGTGCAACTGCAGTCTCATCCCAGTGCGAAGTGGAACACAACTGGCAGTCTGGCACTGAGACAGATAGCGCGAAGCGTTTTTCTCAGTAGTCAGATAGCGTATTGTTGTGGTGCTCCCGCTGACTGCAGGGAGTGTTCTTTTGGTTTCAAAGATTTGACAGAAGTTGGTAGCTTTTGTGCCGTTTATGTTGATTATTGATTAATTACTGTAGTTGAAACCAGTTTATAGTTTATACCATGTGTGCATTAACAAGTAAATTAGTTGATTAAACTGGCTAGGTGCCTTAACAACGCATTCCGCACCGAACTTGTGTAGTGTTCGTACGTACTGTATTGAATTGGGCCTTCGGCGTGTGGGATTCCCTAAACAGCCACCGATTTCTGACAATGGATCCGCCAATTGCGAAGAAAGAAATCCAATCTAAAAGAGCTAAAGCTTCTACCAAACCGCCAGTTGTTATTCTTCCTACCCGGGAAAGCAGTCGTAAAGTGAGTTAAAGGAAATTTTTGAGTGCAGCTGTGTACGATGCAGAATGTCATGTCATGTTTTAGCGTGTCCGTAAATCATTGGGACCCGATTTCGTCGAGGATTTTGCCACGCCTGCGCCCAAACATTCAAGCGATGACACTTCGGTCAAACCGAAGACTCCGCGAAACAAAGTGTCGACAAAACCCCTTCATGCGGCGGTGATTAACAAGGAACAACAGTTGTTGGCATGCGATACGGAGATTCCTCCTGCTCTTACGGGTGTGAACGGGAAGGCGCCCGAAGAGGAGATTCTGTTGCAGCCTGAAAAAATCATCGATATACCAATCCCTGATCCGATATGTTGCGTTTGCAACGCAACCACTTCTGTAATAAATGGGAAGGCCGGAACGGTATTGCGCTGCTGTGGTCGTAATTGCTCATACATAGGTGAGGAACTACGTACTGTAAGGGCTTAATGCATAACAGTTTTCTTTCGACCTTTGTGGATTTGGATTTTTCTGGTCATGCAACAGGACCGATCAGGGCAATGTAAATATTTTATTAATTTTTTCGTCACAATATATACGGCGGAAAATAGACATTATTGGTTGTTGCAGCGACAACTAACATGAACACGGTATTGAGTATTCGGTAAATAAATACATCTGTCAGGCTAGCAGCTGTATATGGATTGTCGAAGTTTTTGGTAAAACTGAAAGCGTTTGTTTAAGCGGTGTGATTTAAAATTTGTTTCTTATTAATTATTGTCTGCCTATAAACTTGTCAGCGCTTTGGTTTTTCATCGAGCTTTCGTTGCTGATCGGAAAAGTTCTTGAAGTTTTAAAGGTGATTTTCTGGGTTGGTGCCACTGCATGGTGAAAATACTTAGGTAGTAGAACTAGATTGACGCCGGTATAAGTGGGTTCCGAAAAAATGGTTTTTGAATCCATTGGTTATATTTTTCTTTTCGCAAATACACTTGTTAATTTTTTTTAGCACACGCCGACTGTCTTCCATACAGCAAGGACACCGTTTCGTTGATAAGAGATCGGTTCAAGTGCCGTGAATGCAAAAGATGTGCCACGTGCGGAAAAGGAAATGCTTTTACAGATAGAGTAACTCTTCAGTTTTATTTCATTCCGTTGTCCGAGCAGCCGACCGATGGTATTATTATTACTGTGAATATTGTATTTTTCAGAACATGATTATATGCCCTCGTTGCGATTCGTTGTTTCATTTGCGCTGCAACTTCCCACCTGTTGATCCCAACTCCGAAGAACTCAAAGGACGGAATCGGTGTTTTGCTCCGAGTGCGTGCTTATATATTGGTGTCGGTTAGCGTAATCTTGATTAACTGTTTGATGTAGACTGGATGTGCTACCGTTGTAAACTACAGGCGGAGACCTGTATTCCTCCACCCGAGTCATACCCATTGGTTACCGTAGCCGTGACCAATGAAAAGATTTCACTAGAAAGATCGGTGGAGAATGGACTAGGATGTTTGTTGAAAAATGGCAAAGATGCCGATGGTAAACGACAAGATGGTTTCTACCTATTTTTATTCTTATTTTTAATATGACAGTAGTGTTCATCCCAGGCGGAAATGCTGTACCGCAACCACCAGATACCTCGTCTGTGGTGAAAGTTTCCATTGCCCATGAATATGAAGATATGATCAGTGGGGCTGTGCCCGGACCGAGTACTTATGGAAATTTGTTGAAAGGGTAACAGTCTCTCACAGACAATGATTCTGCAGCCTGTAGTCAGTCACCTTCAATGCTACATTTATTACCTTTTGGATCATAATTAAACAAAGGATTATGCAACACTATAAACTTGAATATTGGTCTTGCAAATGATTTTATTTTTGGACAATTTTGGTAATTTTTTACCTTTCGCAAGTTTCGGAAAGCTTGACGTAAGTCACGTAACGATGACGTTATTGAGTTTTCGATTGCAATGTTAGCAACTTAGCGCCGGAGGAGTACGAAGACTGGCAGCCTGCGAAACAGAAAGTGGAAGAACAGTTGCGTGAAGAGGAACTTCGAGAATGCCAAGAGATAAGGCGGCATCGGCGTGAGCTTGCAAAATGGACATCCGACAGATGCGCTGCGCAGTTTGCCGATTCCAATCCGCAACTTGCGGAGTTAATCCGTAACAACGTAAGAAATTAATTTTCACTTTAACTGATGAAGTATTTCTTTAATTGCAGGGTGAGCGTACAATATTATTGTAGAAGAACTGTAATGTTGAACTTTGTGGGATTTTCGACCTCAGCTGTCAGAAAATCGTTCAGTCTTCAAGTTTATTTTCAGTCTTCAAGTTCAGTCTTCGACTTCAAGTTTTGAAAGATCACAAAAAATCTGAATTGAAGTCAAGTTCAGCAGCATTCTAACGTAAAATGATGTGTTTCAGCGTTTAACCGGAGCATCTCTGGTCTGCATTAACCGGAATCAATTTATTGATATGTTTGGCCTCAGCCTTGGAGTTGCAGTGAAGCTCCATTATGCTGTGTGTGTGTGGAGGAAATCTTTTTTCTGATGCTGGGACTGTGATGATAATCTTTACCGGATAATTTTTATATGGTTTTACTTCTTTTACGATTTTATATGAGCATATGCCCTTTTGTTTTACGGATTGTTTATTTTTTATAACAGATTTTATTTACTGTACACCCTGCAAATCCCACTAGCTGACTAACGCATTAGATAGTTTACATATTCGATTGCTTCCAAATTAAGGCTGTGACAAATTGTTTGAACACGTAATAAACGGCTCCCAAAAAACTGGTCAGAAATGAAAAATTTCAAATGCTTTGGTATATGTGGATAATCGATGGCGAAATTACGATTACACAAACTTTGTCGCAATGGCCAGAATCTTGGAAATGTCACCGGTTTTGGATCGTAGTAACATAGGAATAGGCACCGTAATCCGAGTTCCCAGCGGCGATCCGTTATCGTCCACCAAAACCAGATTATTGGTATCGAATCGGGGGATTTGGTCTTCCTGTTCTCGAGCAACACCAACAACGTATCCACGCTTCTTCTGTCCCATGATTGCAACCAGGACCTTGTGCCCAATGGTACCCGTCGCCCGACGTTTTCTCCGAATCTGTCGTCGATACACATGAATCACTTTGGGTGGCTTTCCGGCAGCCATCGCTTGTTGGCCGATAGCACTGTTATCCACAACTCGCATGCGAGTTAACTTCTGGACCATTTCCAGTGGATGGGATGTAGAAAATGGTCGCATGTAAGCAGAACCCAAGCCATTCCATGGTGGTTTCGCTATCAAGGAGCGGAAAGTACACGATAAAGTTCGTGAAAGAAGTTCTGTGAAGGCCATCGCGCCAAGGATGCAAAGAACTTTAACAGATTACAAATGGAACTTGCTCTTGCAGCTAACAAAAATTCTGAACTTAAAGTTTAATTAAGTAAACTACATTTTGCAGGAAGCTACATTTTGCAGGTAGCGAGGTCTCGTGAAACAGACAGTCTCTACTCTCTAGAAATACCGTACTGTAGTTTATGACGACCACCCGTAGACGTCGGACAATCGAGAATGCACTCTGACTGGCGTTTATTATTTTATGCAATCATACGAGTAAGTACTTACTGCACAAGTACTTGTGAGTTTTTGTTTTTCCAAATTTTATGAGTATTCCCAGTAATTTATCGTTAATAAATTATTCCAATATCTGCTGGTTTTTGCTCAGCTTACTGGTACTTAGTATATTCGAAGAAAGCTTGCGTTCGGCATAAGATTGTCATAACTCAGACTGTTGCACTTTGTTGGTATTTGGAAGACCGGAAAATTTTGTCATGTGGGGTTCCAGCACAAGTGAGTTATTGTTATGAGCCGATATATACGTCTTATTCAGAATTGGTAGTTAATGTATGATTTGTATGTATTTTATTACAGCGCAATGTTTCAATCTTTCTGTTTTATTTTTGTGGCAGAACCTTCTCCGCAGCCAGATAATGTGCTAATGCAGCAACAGCAGGAGCAAGTCAAGCAGTTGCGGGAATTTCTCTTATCGTATAACAAGCTGAGCGAGCTGTGTTTCAACAGTTGTGTACATGATTTCACAACGCGCAAAGTCCTGGATCCCGAAGATTCCTGCTCACTGAATTGTGTGGAAAAGTACCTTAAGCTTAACCAAAGAGTGTCCATGCGGTTTCAGGAATATCAGACGTTACAGAATGAAGCAGCACTCGCAGTTGCCCAGCAGGCTGGACACTTTCCTGCCAAGCAGTAGCTGTTTTTTTCACAAATACGCGTATGTAATCTTGTGCCTCAGTGGTGAATGGGAAATAAGAATGTTTGCGGAAAAATGTTTGGGTTTGGTGAGTTTTTAATTTTAACCCCGATGTTCTGCGCTTTGATTTGTGTTGCAGTGCCGGGCATAAAGTATGTAGGAACCGAGTACAGTGTATTGAGCGCATTATTAAAAAGAATTTGATCCTAAAATTAACTGTTTCCGTTTAAATGTGTATAAAACGGCTTCCATAAACGACTGACGAAATCAAAGTGGGTTTATATTACTTTTGCAAGACTATAGATAAACGCATCCATCGTGAGAACTAACAAGTTAAGTTTACATGCTTTATTTTAATTTTCCATTCTATAAGTCTCCTGAGTCACATACGATGATTCGAGCACAGTATGTTTTACGCGTGCCTGTGCTCTGATCCGATCCTGCTGGAGGGTTGGGATCTGAGTTATTCACCTAATTCGGTTCATTTTGTGCACTTAACGTCTCGTGCTTAGTACAGCAATTACACGTCCACTCTCGCATGAAATCCATTGGAAACTGTCGCTGTGCAAAGTCTAAGTTTGATCAAACAAGGTAAAATTAAAGTTTTTTATTTCGGACCTCAACAAGTGAAAATCATCGCCGACTACCTATAATCAATTTTTAAATTGCAATCGTAAATGCGCATTTTCAAATTGGTTCTTATCCAAGTGTGAGGAACCTTGATGTGTACAGCGCAACTTATCCACTCATCCACAAATCTGCATTCTCTGTTGCACTACTTCTTATGAATGTTCATGAATGTTTATTTTATCCCAGCTGTGCTATCATTTTTCACCTGAAAAGAAATTTAAACAAAGCAACCAGGCGTACGATGTATCAGCGTACAGTATTTAAGCAAGTTCAGCCACGCAATGAAATTTTTCTCTGTCGGTTTTTTTCCAAACTTATTAAACGGATATTGCAAATCGCGCCCGCAAAGAATAAGAAGACCGGAAATTACAAAAGAAGCTTGAAAACCCGAATTTACCTTACAACCTACAGTCAAGTAAAATTTTTAACGACACTAACATGTGCACTCGGGTTAAGACTTCGATTTGAACTAACATGATTACGAAGGTTTATAATCAGTTATAAACTAAGAACAGCACTCTGATTAAGGCTCTTGTTAAAATTGTGGGAAGCAGACGCTCAGCTTAACAATCGTTTTGCTTGGCTTTAACAATTCCCCATTCGACAAACTGACTTCAGATTTTTTCGGCAAATTTTCTGCAGAAATATTACTCAAGTAAATTTTCGCAGCGAAAACGTTTTCATCTTTATCTTTGCTATTTAAAAAGACTAAACTTAACGCTTTCAGTTAAAATTTTTTCAGTAGTATCTACGCAAGGGATAGCCGCATGATGTACGTACATTTCGGCATAAGGACATATCGACATAAGACACTTTACTATAAATTCATTTTAGCATAGCGAAATCTTGGCACGCGGCTATTTCAGCTTCAAATCTAAGAAATCCAAATTTTAAAATCACTTGAGAAGTTAGAAAACGTATGCAATCTACAAAAATATATTAAACTAAAGCAAGCCGAAAAAGCCAACAAGCTTATAAAAATCACAAAAAAATATTAGAGAAAAGCAAGAAATATGCAAAAAAAACAGGGAAGCACAAGACAACATGAAACAACACATTCAAATGTGATTATTCAACTGAAGCGTACACAGAAAACGTTTGCACTACAGTAACATGCCGAAATGTCTGTGTGACGAGTCGGCGAAATGTTTTATGGCCAATTTTTTTCATGCCAAAGTTTCCAACTAAAAATTACTCTTTATAAAACATTTCGCAAAAACTATTTTTGTGTAGCGCAACATTAATTAGTCCAGAAGCTAAAAATTCACTTATTAAATGTATATTTGGTTGTAAAGATAAAAATCTGTTAGCTTTAGCAAAAGTCTTAACCCGAGTGCTAATGTTAGTTTTGATCTGAGTATGAACCCGAGTGGTGATGCTAGTTCAAAGCAGAATCTTAACCCGAGTGCTCATAGTAGTGTTGATAAAAGTTTCAAGCCAGCGGAATACTTGCGTATAACGTTCTAAAAAACTTTTCACATAAATTTCATCAAATTCGAAAAGGCTCGCTATTCGGCAGCGTATACAAAAGATAGCGTAGCCCGCAAACGTTTTTGTCACTTCCAAAAACAGTTAAAACAAAAAACTTACATAATTATTTGCAAATAATTAACTCAAAAATTTGGTATGCTGCAATAACTTTTTAATCAGCCTTTTTTTTTAACTGGTTTCTCAACCGACATTTATCTGTTAGATCTGAGCAAATCCAATGATTCCAGACAGCAGATTTCCGCAGACGTACAGGATAAAAAATTGTTTTGATAATTGTCGAGCCAAAGTCAAATGTGCAAACAATACCAAAGACTTCTTAGGTTAAAATCTTTAAATTAATAATGTCGTATTTCTGCTTGGAATTACACCATTCTTAATTTGTAGCACTCTTTTGGTTTGCCAAAAAAACAACTAATACAAAATAAATATTATATAACACTCGTACATTTTCTTTAATTCTTTAACTGGAATAAGCTCTGTTATGATACATTACTTCTGTTATAATGCCTTTCTAGCTGAACACATTTCGCATCTGAACATGAAAAATAAATTTAATTAGTTTTATAATATTTTGTGGACGGTGGAACTTTTGGGTTTTTGGTAGCAGTAGTCAGAGTTCGCAAATATCAAGTTATCTCAAGTTTGAAAACCAGAGTACAAATGTTAGTTTTAATCAAAGTATTATCATAAGTGCTGATCGTAGTTTTCAGCATAGTCATAACCCGAGTTTTCATCTTAGTTCTGTCAAAAGTTTCTGCTGACAAAAAGAATATTATTTTTGAACCGCGTTATTATGCTGAAAATTTTAGAGCTATTTGCTAGCGTGTTTGGCAAGCGGGAGAACATTACAAATGGACTGTGGTGGGCCTTATCATCTTGATTTCACTAACTATGCTGCTGTAGGAGTATCATAATACGCCTTTCCAGTAATATGTTCAGCAATATATTCCTTAATTAGTTTTCAGCAAAGCATTACAAAAAACTACGAAACATTATGGCTCGAGATCCACAAGCTACTTATTTAAATGTTGCTGATCCTTCACACGGAACTCATAATTACTATATTTTTGCAGGTGCCAGTATTTTATATTATCTTATAGTCTTTACATGGTAAATTTTATCAATAAAAGGAACATTGTGATAACTTGGATGGCTTTTTTAAAACATTTATTATCTGAGTGCGGAAAACGGATGCCACACACGCTAAGAAACCACAAATTCCAATGGATGTCGAGACGTGTAACGCTGTAAACACTGCTACTGAGCGCGAGACGCTAAGTGCATATAATGAACCGAATTAAGTGAATAACACAGATCCCAGCCCTCCAGCAGGATTGGATCAGAGCACAGACACGCGTGTATGTTTTTAATAGGTACGAGTATGCTATTTACTGTGAGTAGGTAAATAAATTTGTAAATCATTAAAATTATTTTGTATCTCAGCAGTTGACCATTCGACGCATTTATTTATTTATATCGAATTGCTTTTTTGCGGCTTGCGAACGTGTCTGTATTTCGCACGTCGCAGTGTAAGTGCAAAACATTAAACGTATTACGGTAATCAATTTTATTTTACATTATAATACACCAGGAATTCTTTTGTGACCCAACTGATTCGGATACAGAGCGCCTTGGGTAAAGCGTGGTACGATCGTGAGCATCGTCAAGGCCGTGTATCTCATTGTTTCCGGCATCAGTTGGTACGGATCCCCAGTCACGCATATTATTACCGTTCTGGATTATTGCGCCTGAATCAGTGGTCCATGGCAATGACAAGAGCGATGCACCGTAATAGCCAGTTGAGAGTTCTGACAGAAAAACTTTCATTTCCGGTGTGTCGCGCTTCATGCGGTACGAGGCACAATCGTGTCCCGTCTTATCCATGCTGTATTCGCCAAATCCACTGCACAGTAGCTTCCGCTCTATTTCGCCACATTCACTGTCGGCACAGGCGTAGCTTAATGCGGATGCTCCAAAATTGTCAAGGGGAATATCAGCTACGTTTGCGTGATTCAAGAAGAGATCCACAAAATCGGCGCGATTTTTAACGACCGCCCGGTGTAGCAGAGTTTGACCAGTCCCAATTGGACAACCGTACCACACCACATCCGGCCACACTTCCTCCGTGGGTATCGGGAGACTTTCCAAATAGCAGAATTGTTGAAAATTACCGGTATCGATGCAGAAGCTCATACTAGAGATGGTTTGCTGTATAAGGTGGACGCTTACTAACACTTCTCCATACTTTGATTGATCCGATGTTATGGCAGAAAAATCGAATCCTTTCCCCGCCAACCAACCGATATCGACAGTCTTGTTACGCATCCACACCTCCGCTACATTGTCAACTGCTGTCCGGTACAGTTCGGCTAATTTTGGGCAAATTTCTTGTGATTTTACATAATCGATCACAGACCGGTTGAATACATCGCGTTCGGCAAGGAGTTTCCCGCCACCCAGCAGCAAAATTTGGGTAAAACATTCCACGGGAACGTGGAGGTCAATACTGAACTGCAGAATATTTTTACTCTGGTACCACACATTCGACAGATGCCGATTCATATGCGATGCCAAAATATTGACAATTGATGTGTCGACAGCGTTTTGTAAGGCCACGAACAGAAGAGGAATATCTTCGCCGTATTGGTCCAACATTTCGTCATCACCTTTAGAGCAGAAGTAAAGGCACAATTCTTCCACCAACTGAAAATCATTTTGTACAATGGCAAAATACAGGATCGGTGCACAGCTGTGGCCGAAATGCTTCAGTGTCCTTTTAATGTAGCGACCGTTGCTCCGAACGGCGCGTAACCGCTCCAGATCACCGGCCAGAACAAAATGCGCAATATCCATCGTGGCTTCGATGCCGCCGATCAGACTGATGATGTATGGGTTGGCATTGTCCACAGCAAAATGGAAAAGAGTTCGACCATTTCGAGTCAGGGAAACTTTATGCCAGAGGTTTACCAGGCATCGCACTTGTTTCACGTTTCCGGTTCGCACGGCCATCCAGATATCGGGGTAGAATTTCTTGCATAACGCCGCCACTTCTTTTTGTTCCGGAGAAATAATATTTAGTATCGGATGGGTCATTGGAATTCCGCAGCAAAGAATCGCTTCAATCAACTGTATGTCATTCTTCGCAATTGCAGCGACCAGTGCGCATTCCCATCTCGAATCAGTTATCGAGATTTCGCCAGCGTTTGACAGCGCGTATATTTCCCGAGCGGTGGTATACTTAATATCCAAAATTGCCTGGCTGTTATCCATGATAAATACTGAATAATCGAGGGCTACCCGCTATACATCATTTTAGCATCGTTGATCGGGTGTACATAACTGCGCCTTGTACATCAGTACTACACCGTAAACGGACAATAATGATAATTTTTTAGACGGCATTCAGGCAAAATTTTGCGATCTGTTACGTACTCTACCAGTCGCCAAATTTTTCTCAAAAGTCGGCATTCCTCTTCGAATCAAACTGCTGTCTGGCTCCGCAGATGATTTAGCTTTACGAATAAGCCTGAGCGAACTCAGAGAATGATCCATTTTAGCAAGCGATTATATATAAGTCGCACTGCATCTAGCAACAAAACGAGACACGACTGTCCGAAGTGTAGAATCATTCGCCACACTCCGGCAAAGTGGAGCTGTAACGCTTGCTTCAAAAGTAAGTACAACTATTAACTATACATCTGAAAAAATCGATGAATGCACGCTCCCAGTTTCCATCCAACGAGCTCAAATGAGGGCATCCCGGAGCGGTTAACGTCTTGCGACGGCGACATGATGATATCCAGTTATTTCAGTGATACGATTACACATATGATCCTGTCACCGACTCGCCACCGATCTGACGACACCGCAGTATTCCAGAATACTAACTTTTTTGCTTGCCGATTATTATAAACTACAAAATAGTGACAATCTAACTAGAGCACAAGAGCTGCATAAAATCGCCAGATTCATATCATGACTTTATTTAAGCCGAATCAAACCAATCATTTCCAAATACATTAATTTTCGCCTACTCGCTACCGAAGTACATCGTATTTCATAAAACTAGCCGAACATACTAAAACACTCTCACTCATAGTATCAGCATCAGGGTGGTAGCGCACATTTTCTTTGAATCAATGGTGTACATTTCCTTTAGCCTCTGAAAACAAGAAAGCCCACTGAGTCCAACTGACATTAATTAAATGAAGTCAAATTATACAGTAAAACCTGTGTAATTTGAACACCTACGGTTCCTTGAAAGTGTTTAATGTAAGCAACTGTTCAATATTCGCAATAGCGTTTGCAGTTTACGAGACGCGCCGGTTCCTGTACGGGCGTTCAATATTTACAGTTGTTCAATCTCACCGAGTTTACTGTACCAACAAGTTCACCAACAATATTCGTGTTACAAAAAGAGAATCAGAATTACCTTCAACCCATTTCTTTCGGATTTCCTTCCACTTCTGCACGTTTTCGGGGCTGTTAGCTATAATACAATAAACGACGAGATAAAAACTTACAAACCGAACGTATAATGCATTACCTCACATTTTTACATGAAAAAGAGAACTAATAAACAAAGCTTGAAGTACTGTAACTGGATGTGAAATTATTAAATGAATGACGTGAGACTAATCACTAGTATCATCGTTTCAAAACAAGCCGCAGAATTCAATAACTGCACTAAAAAGGTTATAATCAGTTACACCATTGCATACGAAGTCGGCCTCGCGACGGCCGCTACAGGCCACCATGCGCTGATAACTCCATAAAAAAGCAGTAACGATGAATGCCATTTTAATAAAGTAGTTCTTAACCGTAAGTACTTACCCATTTGATGAATCTTGTAAATAATAGGAAATCCGGCGAGCCAACCGAAGAACATGTAACGGAACACCCAGTTACGTTCCCAGTGCAGTCTAAAAGGAAACTGCAAGATCTCCGCAGTCCGTGTGTAAGGGACAACCAAGGGACGTCCAGGTCCTGGACGATCCACCATTCGCCCGTATTCCGTAGATCCAGGACCAAAGTTAGGACCGTATCGTTCGTGCAGTGCTTGGGCATTCATGGCTGATCCACCGCGTGACGGCAGCGTTCCCGGTGCGCACATCGGGTCCAGTGTGGCCGCCTGTCCCGGAGCCATTGTTTACAGGGATCCAAAACAAAGTCAAAAGATAATTCTGTGGAATCGCAGAATTTGTTTTTACAAAGACAAACACTAGCGCCTCAAGTACTGTAGATAGCAGCAGCATATTAAGCCCGACACCCCAAAACTTGTCGGATTTATGTTACAGGGAATGCAAGAACAGCCATCAAATACCACGCCGTAGGAAATAAGATTAGTTTGGCACCGTCGCTTACAGCAAGAACTCTGTAACACAACTGCAGGCTGCAGCGGAAGTGCGTAAATACGTATGAAAGCCAGCTGTTTCCGAGATCCAAAATTAATTCGATACGAGTATTTTTTAAGTTTCAGTTTTTGCCTGAGAAAATTAATTTTAATTGCATTTCGAAGTGATTATGGATTTATAATTCAGTAATATACTGCTCTTATTCTCCCTTGAAAAAAGGTATTCCTTAAAGTTTTTGGTCGTTAGTTCTTCTATCGACGGTGTTGCGCATTTTTGCCCGGTGATTTATCATCGTACCGCGTACGAGCACTGAATTTTTTCTGATGGTGAGCTCCCGGAGGTGTTGTGGAAACCGGCCTGATTCATCTTTGATCGTGCGGGAATAGGATCCTGCTAGACGACTTGTTTTTTGTGCGAACCCGGCCTGTTCGTGGCTGACCATTTAAAATGGCAACAAGAGCAGAAAAGCGGTTCGGCGGAAATTTACCGCAGCTTCAGAACCTCATCAAGCGCGATCCCATTACTTATGAATCAGAGGTACTTTCTAATGTTCGCACAATTTGGCTAATTATTTTTTATTGCCGGTAATAAAGCTTCGGAATAGCACTAAATGGTGTAGAAATTGTAAATACTTCGCTGTTATTAGTACCTCGTTCTAGGCTAATTTCTTTTAAATAAGGCAGAAGGGTAAGTAATAACGATTAAGTTAAATGCTTTACCGTAACACGGTAACAGTGGTAACACCATACAGTCAGTGCCTCAATGGTATCACAGTGGCAGTGCTCGTTAGATTTTCTGATCTTGGGTTTACCATTTGTCACTCGCTTGTGATATTATTCCTTAAATTTTAGTGGTTTAATATGTGGAATGTTCTTTTAGTATACCCAGCAACTGCGACAGTTTGAATCCTTCCTGAAAATCTACGCCAGCAATCCAAACGAGGACCATGGTCATTTTGACAGCCTCATATTATTTCTCGCACATGTATCGCATTGCTACCCGGACAAAGCAAGGGAGTTCTCGGAGAATATATACACATTTCTAAAAGAGCATTACAACAGCGTCAGTTCGGGAACACGGCAGGTGTGTGCAGTTGTGAAGGTTTCATTGTGGCGATGATCTGATACTAAACTGCAGTTTAAAATGGCTGATATGTAGCATTTGTACTACAATTGAAAAATTGCAATGTGTCTGTGCAGGCTTTGTGCAAAGGGCTGATGCTTTTGCACAAGCGTGGCATTGTCGACGCGGAAAAGATCCTTCCATTATTTTTTGAAATGCTAAAATCTCAAGATAAGCACATTCGTGCAATGCTGTCGGAGCAAATTGTGTCCATGATCAAGGCAATGAATGCAAAACACAAGAACCAGAAAGTCAATTCGGTACGTTTATCAACGACTCACCGGTAATGCTGCATATCATTTTTCCAGAAAAACATGCGAAACTTAGCTGTTTTTTCTTAGAGGATACAGAATTTATTCCTGGAAAAAATTAAGGAAGGACACCAAACAGTAGGATTGGTGGCGCTGGTAAGGAAAATTTGCAGTCCGCATTGCAAGGCTAACTTTGAGCTATTGACTAATACCTTTTATTTCAGCACTCACTACGTTTATTGTTTTTAGGAATCTGTGATACATTTATACCGGAAATCAGTATGGAAAGATCAGAAGGCGGTTAATATAATTGGACAAGCATGCCTCTCAGATGTTGCAAAGGTTAGTGGTGCAGCGGGTCTGCAAGTTTGTTATCTTCTGTGACATATTTCTTTTCTTTTTTGGTAGTTGATCCATACTGCATTACGCTTCTTTACAAGTACTGATGAATCGAAAAAAAATGATGATGATGGAAGTGATTCAGAAGTACGGGTCTCGTCGTACGCTCAGTACTAGTTCTTACTGTTGTCGTTTTGCAGGAAAAAACTTTTATTATTATTATGTTTGTTTACTTCAGGGAGACGTGAAAACAGCAAAAGAGCTGATGATGGCTCATCGTGTAGGCAAAAAAACTAATAAACGTCAAAAACGTCTTGAGCGAGGAATGCGACAGATTAAGGCAAGTAACTCTTGCATTACTAGTAATTCCGGTGAATTTTTATTGACTGTAATCGCATACGCATGTAACCTCATAAGTGTGTTTTCTTGATTTTAGAAAAACTCAAAGAAAAAGAAAGCAGAAATCTTTGATTTTTCTGCTTTGCGTATGATTTATGATCCTCAAGGTAAGCGACTTTGTTCTTAGGACTTCAGGCATGCGCGGTAATGTTCGAGTGGGTTAAAATTTCGAAGACGTAGATATAAATCTTTATTTTTTTGTATGGCATCTTTGTAGGTTTTGCGGAAGCAGTTTACAAAAAGATGGAGAAGTGCAATGCGCAGTTTGAAACGAAATTGTTGTTTATGGATTTCATCTCCCGAATGATTGGGATTCATAAAGTACGCAGTTGTGGAAAGCGGTTTCTAAAACGAACACTTGATAAAATTAACACACTGACGTTCCAGCTCGTCGTTCTGAATTTCTATCCGTATGTCCAGCGATTCCTTCAACCACACCAGCGAGGTACAGCGCGGAATACAAAAAGTCTTGTGGTTTATGCAGTTTCGGTGCCTTTGACATCGGAAAATATCTGTTTTTACGTGTGTGCATTGCCTTTCATTTTGGTTTTTTCCTTGCAGAAGTTACAAAAATTCTCTTGTATGCTGCTCAAGCCACGCACGATATGGTCCCTCCAGATGTAAATTTTCTGGATAGTCGTAGTTGATGAACACTTATTATTTGATTTGCTGGTAATTACAGACGACACAACCTCTGGTTAAAGTTGTGGCAGATAATTTCGTGGCAGAAAGAAATTCGGCGGAAGTGATTGCTGTTGGGTAAAGCACCTTCTGTGTATTACTTTTCGTCTAACGCCTTAATGGAATTTTTGTACTTGTGTTTTAGGCTTAATTCCATAAGAGAGATGTGCGCTCGCTGTCCATTTGCCATGACACCAGAGCTGTTACAGGACTTGGCACAGTATCGCAAATATCGCAACAAAAATGTAGTGAGTGCTGCCCGATCTTTGGTGCAGTTATATCGGCATGTGGATCCGTCCATGCTGAAACGCAAAGATCGGGTGAGTTTATGATTAAACCGATTAAATGGGTTACAAATTAGGAGTTATTCGATTTTTTCAAACTGCAGGGAAAGCCGACGCTTACTATGGATCAGCTTAAGTTGAAAGCTTTTGGGGAAACCAATGCTAAAGGGCATATAGAAGGGGCTGAAATGTTGCCATCCGACGAAGAGAGTACGCTTCCGTAAATTCGAACTAATGATCAAGAAGGATTCTAGAATACTTATCCTGGCTCGTTATAAATCATGAAAACTTTTCCAAATGATTTATTCAAAGTGAAGTTTTAACTACATCTACAGAAAATACCGCCAGCATGAAATACCATGTTTATAGTTACAAATATTTTTATTTATCCATGAAACAGTTTTTCGTTCATTATCTTCTGCGTTTTTCAAACTGAGGTATCCAGGAGATTCTTACGGTATTATGTGAACTTTGTTTTCACTTTCTGCGTTTAGTCTTTTTTGTGAATTTTGCGAGTGAGTTCTTCAACGAAACATTTTAATGATGTGTTTTTATACGAGTTCAGTATGGTATGGTAGTACTCGTAATTCTGGACCAGCCGGTTGTGCGGTGGTGTATTGTGGATAGCTACTGCAATAACGACGATTTTACTCTGATCTTTTACGTTTTATTTACGTTTTTTGTTTACGTTTTTGTCCCTTTTTTTCACCTTGTACGTTTCTCGTATGTCGGCATCTCGTGCACTTTTTAATTCTTTATAGATGCTGATGAAGCTGAGGGTGAATGGGAATCGGACAGCGAGGATGAGGATGCTGACAATGATGATGGAGAGTGGGTTGATGTTGCCCAGTCTGATAACGAAGAAACGACAGGCTACATAAATCCTGAAGTTGAGGTACAACTACTCTATGCGTTTTAGAATGAAATGCATAATAGTTCATACATGAAATGTATGCATGCATAATTGTTCATAATACATAGTTCAATGAAATGCATAATAGTTCATACATGCCTTTTCCTGTTTAGGAACTGTCTGCAGAAGCTCGTGCAGAAAAAGCAGCGGTGGTGTCATCCACACGTTTTCTTACTCAAAAGGAGTTTGATGTGATTAAAAAGCAGAAAATTGCGGAAACTTTGAGCCTTAACAAAGGAAAAAAACGGGCTGCCGTTGAAGCAGGCTTTGAAAAGGAACCTAGGTGAGCGTATACTTCGAAAAATACAAAAAAGTTTCGCTGGCGTCTTTTTGATCGAATTAATTTCCGACTTTGCTGACAGTGGTGCTTTTGTCGTTTAGTGAATTTGTTTCCCTTTCGGATATTGAACGACTGGCCAAAAAACCTAAAGAGACAAAAGCTGAGAAAGTTGCCGGTGTTAAAGTACGTCTTTTCCTACAGCTGGTTATTCATGTTAACTATGGTATCTTTTAAAGTTGAATAGGTGAGTGACTGCAATAATTCTAGGTTGCACGTGAAGATCGTGGTGCGTTCGGGAAGCCTAAGCCAAAACTGAATCCTCATGCCAGTACGACCAATAAACAGAAACAACGAAAGAAAAATTTTGTGATGTTGAAACAAAAAATGCGAGGAAAACAGAAGCGGTCTTTCCGAGATAAGCAGGTAAAAATTTATAGCGGCCTTGTGATCGCACAACGTTTACAAGACAGATACTAGCAAGTGGACGCTTTGATATGTTGCCAGAAGCATTGCGCTTTTAAACGTATTGTGATCATATTTTGGAAATACACTTACAATTGTAACTGTCATATGATTGTTGGTTTAGCTCATGAACAATACATAAATGTGTCGATTATCTTCGATACTTAGCAGTCTGTTGCTGTCGATCACGATTCACGATTGATATCTTTATGGCTCGTGCTTTTGGTTTGCAGATTGCTTTTCGAAATGCTCTTTTGAAACAGCTGAAGAGGAAGTGAGGGACACTTCTTCAATCGCCGGTGTGGACGCTTAATGGTCCGCTCATTGTTAAGCTACGCTGTTAAGTCTTTCGCAGTTGGTTTTTAAATAGCATGCGAAGTTTTGTGGATCTTTTGAAATAGACTTCAGAAAAAACTGCGCTTGCTGGAATTTCTTGAAAATCAGTGCGGTTAAAAACACGGACTGGCATCACGGTGCGTGATACGTTTAATGTACTTACTCGTTAGAACAGTATAAATGATAAAAATTTCACCACTGTTGCTGCAAATATCGAAGTGCAGTTCACTAATATTATGATCAGCCTGATCAGGTGGAGAAAAAAACCCGACAGAATATTATTCGGTTCAAAATCACAACATTACATAGGCTGATAGGCGGGATAGGCTAGTGCCACTTAATACAGCAGAGACGATCACATCAATTGTAAAGCAAGAGAAACCACAACTATGATGTTCCACTCTGTGCAGCTTTGCGATGTTCTAGCTCCTTCGCAGGAGTATATTCCGGTGGATGAATGGAAACCAATCGAGGTTTCCGGAAGTGCGGTGCCATCCCGGCAGCTTCTTCGGCCTGCAATTCAGCCAGCCTGGCTTTTGCCAGACTGGGATCTTTGCCAGCCTTTTCGAGCTGTTCAATGAGAACCATGACCGTCTGTTTTTCCAACCCGGGTATTCGATCCCACAGCGGAGTTTCCATGTAGCGGTCCAGATCGTTCTCCTCGCGCAGATAAAAGAAATATACCATAAACACCAGTAGGCTCACAGCCACGACCCGAGAGTTGACAGTGTTTGCATTATCCTTATCCACTTTAAAGACTTTGTGGAGGAAGGCTCGGCTAGTCGAGAACTGCACTGGTCGGTCGTCTGTAGAAGAGGATGGCGATTTATCAGGCTGCGCGATAGCCACGGATGGGATCGCCGTGGAAAAGGATTTACATGTACACAGAGTATAACCATTTCTGGACCCGAGCAGCGGCACTGTGAATATCGAATGCCTAAGATGTAAAGGTAATCTGTCCAGAAGATTAACCAAACGATGAAAATGCATCTCGGTTTGGTACCGATGTGACTGCCAAGAGCGTGGAATACCAATCACTAATCACGTGTGCAGAGTTACTGAATTAATGGTGATCCAGCATTTCGGAGTTTATAATAAGACTCGTCACATCAAAAGAACAGATCAATCATCAGATTTTAAAACTCTTCGGACTCTTTGTCATTTGTGCGCTTGTTTTTCTGGAGTTTAGCCTGTTTAGGATTTTTAGCCGCTGCGTTGACTGGTAGTGCGGGACTTCTATCCTACTAGCATGGTCTATGTATGATTCAGTTACGCTGCTACTAGTGTTTTGCTAAACGTAGCTGCCACCTGACGAATTTTCCGGATCAAATCTTTTTCACGTTTACCTGAGCCAAGTACAGACTACAGAGTACTAAGTTAGTACTACTAACTAGTACAGTACTTTAGTACCTAATTGTAAGTACTTATTTGTTCAGTTCGCCATTGACCGTGCCGGTATTGAACGAATAACAATTACTAGGTTACAAATTTTGTTACAAAAACAGAATTAATTAAACAGAATTTACTTACTATAGTGTGAGACTATAGTACTACAGTTGCAGCTATTGGTAAGTTCTTGCCTGAGCGGAAGCTGCGGAAGCAAATACGGATTTCAGATTTGCATATCATTCTGTCAGCTGTCTGGCATTACTATAGAGTTTTTTTGACAGTCATACACTCGATAACAACAAACTCGATAGTACATAGGAATTGAATTTTGTTTCTTATTCCCTTGTCAAAAAGTTTGTTCTAAACTGTATCAATATACCTCAAATGTTAAGCCGTTTATCATAAAATGTGCCGACGGCATGATTTTGGCAGCAGATCTTATGTAATGATTTATATCAATACGAAAACATATCGAAGTTACAAAATTTATTCGAAACTCGTACCCGCGTCTTCGCAACTGTTTAGCCAAAACGTTAAACAGAAGCAGACTCCATACAAGAAGAACAAAAACTTTGTCGGTCGACCATCATGTAAGTAAACTTTGTCGGTCGACCATCATGTAAGTAGTCGCTTAGCAAGAAACAATTCCAGAAAAATAAAAAAAATAAACCAGCCAAATTCCAAGATCAGCACTACGACCGCCCATGTTAATTGCCAACAGTCCCAATACCGTCGCGGTTCTGGTTCATTGCAAATAACAATTTAAGATAGTGCAGCTAAAGCGAAAGCTTTGTCGGTCGACCGACATTAATCGCCTCGCCTCGCTTCGCCACATAACCTAAAAAGCGATTTTGATACATGTGTCGCCATTATAGAGCATCAAAGCTTTTCTGCAGAACCTTGGTAAGTAATCAATTATCAAAGGCATAGTTTCTGAGCAAGGACATGATCGGTTGACCGACAAGAATTATCCTCAAAAGCAAAAATCGCAAAAGAGAAGCAAACGTCCTTAGAAACAAAAAAACAAACTGCTCCAGTTTACTTAGTTGGAGGCAAGACGTTAACTGTAAAATACCTGACATTGCCCACGCGGTGGCTGCATTACTTTTGCTGCCGACTACGCTCACTGTAGGCTACTTTCATGCTGCTTCTGATTGGCTGCATTACAGTTTCAGTGCTCACCACAAGTTCACGTTCAGAGCCGTTGCGCCCAAGCTGATTTTGACAGCCAGTTTTGGTAATGGCAATTCTCGACTTTTTATCTGTGCTTTTGAAATGGTTTCTGGTATTTTGTTTTGAATCATTGACGTTTTTTGTTTTATGGCTGTCGACAGCCAAATTTTATTTCAAAACATTTACAAAACGCAGCTAGTGTTGATATTTATGCGCGACAGTGATTTATGCGTGGTACTGTCACGCACGGCATGCTTATGGATAAAAGTGCAACATTCGACACAGTCTGCAATGATGCGAGGACCCACAGCAATTTTGGACCAGTTTTAGGGTAAGAGCTTATCGAAAAGTTTCCAATTTAAACGTCATAAAGCTAGCACGTGTCAAATTAGTGTGTGCATTTGTATTTCCAGATCCTTGGGAGGCTCTGCTTAGATGGACAAATGTGCACGAGGACATGCAGTAAAGCAACAGGTAATGCAATTCTGAAGTAGAGCGCTATTTTCAGCTACCAAACGATAAAATGAATTTCGATTCAAGGGAATATTAGTCCTTTTTGGTACCTTAAACATAGGAAGCGAGCAGAAACTAGATTTTTTACTAAAGAAGTTTTCTTTAGGTATTTTAAAGTGCAGCAGGGACAAGTTTAACGTATTAAAATTTGAGTTGATTTAAGCCTTTTTTGTTGCTTATTTGGATGTCGACATGCATATGTCTTTTTATTGCTTATTTGCATGTCGACATGCCTGTTTCAAAAGTGGCAGTCAGTGCGTAATTGGTGGTGCGTATATGAAGGGTCCATAACTTATTTTTGCCATTTTTCTGTTTCTTTTTCAAATAATAAATTTTTAAAAAATAATAAATGAATTTAATGCGTTGTTGTTGCACTGTCCTGACCATTGCAGTTGGCTCTAAAACATTACAGAATGTTTATGTCGAAATTTCGATTTTTCCATTCGCTTTATTTATTGGCCAAATGCTCCGTTAACAAAAACACAAATTTTTAATTTAAGAGGTTTTGTTTGAAAACTGCATGTCGACATGCACAGCAATTTTGTTGCTGGTGCATTAAAAGTCCTAACATGCAGCGCTTTTCTATAACAAATGATCGTTCTTGAATGCAGTAGATCTGGAATGCAGCATCTGTTGCGGTCAAGTAAAACTTGAGTGAAATTGTTGTGCATCTGAAAATATCATATTGTAAGTAAGATAACCATGCTGATGTTTCAAAATTAATATGTTTTGCAGTGCAGATGAAGTATTGCTCTCCAGGTCCCTTGCCAGACGCGAATTCACCGGGAAGTGCGTGGATGTCGACATCCATGATTGTCCTTGCCATCGTGGTGATGATTAACTTGTTATGCATTTAGTAGTCGCTAATGCTATCCATGCTGGCTCTTTTGCAATTTCTGTCCTCTTGTCAGTTTTCCGTTTATGCTTCTAGCGGATTATCCAAATCGATTTTTTTTCTTAACTATGTTGGTGTTTTCATGAGAAAGTATGTCTCGGATGTTGGATTTTTTGTGTAAAACTAGTTATGTGAAACATGCCGAAATAAATACAAAATGGTATCTGATATCCATATCTAAATGTTTCATATTCGTAAGTTTTATATAAAAAAGGAGGTAATCTGTAATATCTAAGGCTAATTCAAAAGTTGTTATTAAACTATATAATATTTCTGACGAGGGATTGAGACACACCGGAAGTAAAACTTTCCGAATTTCATTGTTTTGTTCTCCAAATACAGGCGTTGAAGTACGTACAACAGTACAAGCACTGCACTTTTAATACCGCACGGGCTCAGATACTTCTATGCATAAAACGAAAAAACTGATACCTAACTCTCGGCAAAAGATGCTGCACAGATGGCCTATGACATTAATAATTATAATATAATATATTATCAATATTAATGTCATAGACCTGCATTTTGTGCAGCATCTTTTGCCGAGAGTTAGGTATTAGCATACTAGTATTATGCTAACCATAAGTTGCTAACATAATTATGCGTTTTGGTCTATCGCAGACTATTGCAGTTTTATAAATACCGTATTAGATTAGTTATTAGTTAGCCAGTAGCAACTAGCAGACACTTGTTGCGCATTTTTATTAACAATTTGGATAATTATTATCCAAATTATTGTTATAATAATGTTGAGGCTGTTTAGCTGTCAACTTGTCCACTTTGAGATAAACCTGGGGCAAGTGCTGCTCTATTGTCTGATTCAAAAGCTTTCCACAAAAAGTACAGCTTAGCCCAAGTAAGCATTTTACATTAACGTGGGTTATATAACTACTTATAACTCGGCAAGTTCAAAATAAACTGGTTGTGCAACAATTTAGTGAGCCGGCGGTGTACAGTCCAAACATTATCTTCTGTAGTTAGCGACATAAAAACATGTGGTTCCAACAAAGCGGTAAAGTAAATTCTGTGCCATCTGGACGACGCTTTTAAGAAGTAATTAGCGGAGTAACTTACGGGCTCACTTCAGAATCACCGACCTGATGGTCATCTGGTCATTTTTTGTATAAGAGTACTTATATTACATATCTAACATTCTGGATGTTGTACGATATATATAATTATGGCACACACTCACCGTCAGCCTCAAATTAGCGCTCGCATATACTGGCTAAGGGATCAGAGCTTGGACCAAGCGCCCAACGAATCCAAGAAATTTGACAAAACTCCTGAGGGCGATGAAACCATTACACCGGAAGAGCTTTTCCGCCGTACCGGCGTTTTATACCGGAAAGTAAGTGGTGATTCACGTTAGATTTTCATTAATTTTCACTTTGTTAATTTCATAAGTACTTACAGTACGTTCGAACGTTTTCGTAAGGTCCAGGGATTTGACCGGATTTCAACTGCAATTTTAAAATATTCCACTTTAGTGACCACTTATATAATTTCCGTTTTTCGTTTTTACCGACATTTAAAAGTTAAGACGTAGTTGGGATAGACGACAAAGGTACGTAAAACTCCATTAAACTAATGGCGCATGCATAGAACGAATACTAAAAACTTCAAAAAAATTTTTGTTTTCTCTCGCTTAAAGTAGTTTCGCATGCGTTCCATAAGTTTTGCACTGTATAATGTTAACCATAATTCACTGATACGATAAAAATCAACATCTGGTTAACACTGCATAATATACAACATAAATTACATAATTAACAACTTAATTCGATCGTAACATTTTATATATTCTACTATGGCATTGTACTACGGCAAAGCAGTGTTACAATACAAAACCGTACCCAGATTAATTAATTTATCGTAAATTACTAGGTGCAATTGACAATATCTGCAGAAGAACAAGAAGAAACCCTTAAGCGCTCAGTTCCGAATTTGGATCAATATGACTATCGCGACATCATTGACGTGTCCCCAAAAGGATTAGGAGACAAGTTCGATGCACTTGTAAGTTTACACTCACTTTACAGTCACCTTACAGGACTTACTGGTCATAAGCAAATTAATTAGGTGTATCACAATCTGTGTAATATTTTAATTTCTACAGTATAATATACTGCTAGTCTTTACACGAGATGCATATCGTATACGATCGCGAGAAAAAAAGATTTAGGTAAAATCAGCAATTTTACGCTCCAGATGCGAATGTTTTATGATGAACACATACATGGTGATGATGAAGTGCGGTTTGTCCTGGATGGAAATGGCTATTGGGATGTTCGGGACGTGCAGACCGATCAATGGATCCGTTTGGTTTTTGAAAAAGGTGACTTCATTAACATTCCGAAAGGCGCCTACCACCGGTTCAGTTTGGACAGCAACCAATACATGAAGTGCATGCGAATGTTTGCTGGCTCGCCGGTTTGGACTGCTTTTTATCGTAATAAAGATGGCGATACTCATCCGGCGAGAAAACAGTATGTGGAACAAGTTCTTCGGCGACAACAAACGACAGCATAACTGATACTGTAACATTAATTAACACTGGTACTATGGTTAACTAGCTTAGAACTTGAACTTTCGGTTAATTTTACCGGATTGTAGCCGAAATTGCAGCCCCACAAGGGCTGCGAGTATGAGAGTTTTTGCTTTCCACTAAAATGTCATCAGATTCTGTTTTCGGTTTGGAACATTTCATCCCTGTCTATGCACTTTAATACGTACAGTAGTGAATAGTTGTATCTGTATGACTGTATTGTATGGTTAGTTAAATATTTTTATTGTTTGCTGCATTCCAAATTTCCAGTCAGGTTGCGATTGTTAAATAAATCTTTAAGTATTATCTCTTCGGCTGTCCGATAGTTAGAAGAAACGCTTCTGTCATGGTGCGTGCATGGTACATGCAGGATCCCGTGAAAGATCAGTTTCTAGAAAATCATTTGGACCCTCCACAGATTGTGAGCCAAGAAGATTTGCACAAACGCACTGGAATATTCTCTGCACATGTTAGTAAAGAATTCTGTTTAAGTATCTACTCTAGTTTTTATTTGTGTGTTTTAGCAGACTGTAGAATGGTTGCGTTTTTAGATCGATTTGGCCTCGACGAATGAAAACGATGCATTGCAGAATATCCCTCAAGCATCGCAGTGTGGGTACCGTGATGTTGTAGAGATTTCTCCAGAGAAGATGGGTGATGAATTCAACAAGAAGGTAACAATAATACTTATTACCTGATAATTGACCAATTCACATATTCAACCACGTGGTAAGCTAGTCACGTGGTTTCCGTCTCGCATTTTCAGCAGGTGTAGATCGCTGTGTACAATATGCAGTTACAGCATTGCTTTCGACACTAAATGACTAGGTGAAAATCGTAGGAATCTGGATATCATCTCATAAAAAATGTTTTTTTACTGCGCTTTATTTACTCAGTCGCTAGTTTCGACCAAAAAATTAATATGAGTGGTGGAGTCAGTCAAACAGATCATTCGCGAGACGATTCAAGTGCGTCTACCAGCACGGATCATGCTGGCTAAGCAGTTGTCAAACAAGAAGGTACGATCACAGCTGAACGCAAATATATTCACGAATTACAAAAACATTATAATAATTAAATGTAGAAGCTTAAGCAAGACTTGCTTTCATTTTTGTTTTTTTCTTAGAAAAACCGTTGTGTATGGCTCGGTGTGCCACTGTGTGTGCAGAGTGGCGATGAGCAAGGCCCAGAAAACATCCACTGTATGCTGGTGTTTGACTTTCGCTCCATTGCTTCCCTACTGTTCATGGAAAATCGTCCACGTACGCGACTACGCGTACATTTTTGTAGATTTATCCTGGGGGCTTACATCTCAAAGATAACGATAGCACAGCTGAATTGGCATCCTGCGTTTCGAAATCTGCTGCAGCCAGAAAAACGAATCCACCATTATGCAAGCAAAACTGCGCGGCGAAACTCAGCTGTTGAAGAATTAGGCCTGTGTTTCTTAACATAGCCTGTATTAAAGAGAAAATTCCCTGGCGAAATTTCCAAAAAATATGTAGCTATCAGGCCCCTTAGCCAATTAAAAAAATTTCACTTTTTAAGATCAGAAAAAAAGTGAAAGCAGTGAAATACACAACAAATGCAGCAGCAGTCTGTAGAATCTACACCTGCTGGACGATATTAGCAAGCGACCACGTGACAATCGACCAATAGAATGCTAGTCCGTCCTTTATGTGAATTGGTCAATTGGAGGTTTAAATAATTTTGAGTTTTATTATGCACCTGCACAAATTAATAAGCTTTTACTCGAGCCTTGCGGTGTATATTTTATATAACAATGTAGGTAGGTAAGTGGTGATTCCTGAACTGCTGTTTGCTAGTGGCAGCTGGTCCTTGTTAATTTTACTGTGTCAGTCTGTGTGACCTGTGTGAGTACTCGGTACTGTACTTTCCGCGATTTTTGAATTTAGGTAGCCATATTTTTTGACGAACATCTGCATACGGATGAGGAGGTGCGTTTTATTTTGGCGGGAAGTGGATATTTTGATGTTCGCGACTGCGATGATAAGTGGATTCGCATTGCATGTGAGAGGGGTGACTTTATCGTCCTTCCAGCGGGAATCTACCATCGTTTTACAGTTGATGGGAGAAAGTATATCAAAGCCATGCGCTTGTTTGCCGGCGTTCCCGTGTGGACTCCCCACAACCGTGGCCAAGCTGCTGATCAACTGCCGGCCAGAGATGCCTACTTATCCAAGCATGGACTTTCTGTGTTGTAATTTCTAAATTCAGAGAATACGATGCCATTCTTGATTTATTCTTTCGTTTTAATGCTGACGGATTCGAAACAGCGAATTTTTGAATTTTTGTACGGTTGGATAAGCCGTTGTGATCATATCGTTATTTTTTGTATTGCATTTTATTGTTTTTATAAAGATTTTCGCTTCAAATTAAGTCTTTATGAATCCGTGAGTAAGTTGACCAGTAAAATTGTTAAAAATTAACAAGTTTTTTTGCAAATTTACCATTAAAAAGGTAACAACAACAAAAATATGTCGGAATGCACTCCTACCCGGGGAGGAAGTTTGAGGGAAAAAATCACGTTAAAAGGGGCCGTGGCCCCACCGAACAACGTATTTCGTGTACGAGATAAAATATGCCCATATTTGAAATTTCTGTACACATTTCGTATTTAGGAACTTTGATAACTGAAAGAAAGAATGAAAAATAACTGTTTTCAGGACGGCAAGTTGTGCCATTTCGAGGCTTTATCACTTGCCACAGTACTAGTACTTTAATCAAGAAGCAACTTGCAAGCAGTCCGAGCGTGCATGCATGACGTGTGAGTGTGTGACTGACAAGTGAGAGCACCTTATCTTCATTGTTTTATGGATCACTAGCGGTCTCCGCGCTGCAGTATTGTCGAACTGATGATTGGCTCCTGTCTCTTGGTAAACTCTCCAGAACGACATGGAGGCAAAATTGTGGTCAAATATTCCTGTTAGCGTCAGCAGCAAAGAATGCTACAGTCTGCCTCGACCGGTCCGGTTCAATCTTGAATGGAGATTCGAGAATCTCTCTACATATGTGAACCTGAAGGAAGATTCACCGATCGTCTTCTCGAAAGGTGTCACCATGGCGGATTTGGGGCTGCCGGAGAGTGCGGGACGCTGGCGTTTAGGCGTCAGGCTGCATCGTCGGATCCGGGAGAAAAAAAGAATCAACAAGTATCTGTCTGTCGACTTGTACTTAACGGACGAAGACCTTGAGAGCACCAAATACACTGCCGACGATCGATTTGAAGTGAAATTCAAAATGCAGTAAGCATTTGCACCGAATGATAATTAGCATCTATCCGTTACTGCGATGTATGCATACTAACTATTGATGATGGACGCCGGATAATTTTGTAAACCAAAGAAAATCTGGCGCGCATCTCTTAGCATAGGTTAATTGTTTTCTTCTTCATTCCCAGGTTGAGCACAGGAAAAGATGCTGAAATGGTGAATGTGGGCTGGGTGACGGAGGATGACAGCATAGTCTTCCCTTTCGATAAGGACCATGAATTCTGGGGATACGAAAAGTTTTGTGATTACGCCATTTTGTTTGGTCAAAATCCGAAGAAGAAAGGCTGTTTAAAGGACGATGTGGTGACCGTCATGGCCGATGTGATTGTGTGCCGTACTGGGACGTCCGATAAGCCTGCGACGATGACCACTCCCGAAGCGGTTTTTACTGGAAGAAAGAAACGAAAACTGGCGGCAGCGGACTGACGCAGTGATATAGGCGAGTGTTTTATAAGGACCAGAAGGCTGTTGCAGAGATTCAGCTATGATTAACAACGCCTTATTCACTCTTAGTTGCTGTAATTTGTTGTTATGAAGTTGCATCGGAATATGTACATGCTCGAGTTAAATGATGAAAACTGTTATTTTTTCGTGATACAGATAGAACGTTTTCCATATTGCTGCAGTGCATATGTGGATTTTAAATTATAAAAGTTTTTTCTTCGCTTAAATGTATTTATCTGTTGCTGCTCATTTCTGTACCTGACCCTGACTGGCGTATTGTATCACAGTATTTTGCAACCGCTATCAACTAGTAAATTCTTAACTTGAAATGACAAAATTATGATGTTGATATAAGACATGTGCTTTTTCCCTTCGCACATGAAACATTAACCTTGGGGCACGTGTTAGCGGATGGGATTAGCAGAAATTAAACCCAGCGTTCGAGGTTGTCAGCGCTTTCGATGGTGCTGATCATAACTTTTTGGGTGAGCGGCGGCATCGTTGTCAATTTTAATCAGTTGGTTGTGCGCAGGAAGATCTACTTGGCAACAAACATTGCGATTGCAATCAAACCACAGTTTTCGTGGTACGGAGTGCAGTGCGAATGATTCCAAGTCCACAAAATTCAAGAAAATAGCTTACCTATATAACTTGCATATAATATGACAGTTGCATCACATTGAGAAACTATATTAACTATGCTCAACGATCATTTCGGGTTTATCCTGGTATTTATTCCATATCGTAGTATCTTATGGAAACACTCGTCCGTAGTGCGTTGACAATGCACTAGCGTATAAAAATTTTATATTGCTGCAGTATTATAAAGTACCGACAAAATGTGGAGGCGCGCTTTTATGCGGCAGATTGCGGCCGGTTCTGGAATTATTTCACTGGTTTTACTCGTAAAGGACCGTGTGAATCGGAACCTCGTTTATGCGGACGCCATGAACCCGAATAATTTGTCTAATCTTAAATTGCGGCATGTACAGGTGTTCGTACGACATGGTGCACGTACCCCTCTACGAATATTGCCTTACTTGGAACAAGTACGTCTAAAATAATACTATAGATACAGTATATACAGTATTAAGTAAACAATTTTGATTTACTAAGCAAAATTGTTTTTTATATTACCGGTTACAACTCCTGTTACCATATTATTGCGATAGAGTATAGTGGGTCAACAGGATGATAAGCAATGTAACATAATTCACTAACTATATTTCTGGATAATTTTTTTATGAGCACAGGTACTAAGAACAGCATTTCTTCCAATTTCAAAGCGAACCTTTTACAACAGAATCGATAACGCTTGTGAAATTCTGAATGTTTTCATAGGTCACATGGTCGTTGGATGACCTGATGGCGGATCCACCGGATGTCGGGGTGCTGCCGTACGTTGTAAAAGATTTACGAGGGCAACCTTTAGAAATGGGCCTTTTTGAAAGCTTATCCCGAAGCGTCACTTTTAAGGGCGGTGCTTTTGCCGGTCAGCTAACGAAACCAGGTGCATACCGCGTTAAATACGTTTGCTGCACTCAGTAATCTTTTTTCACTTCTGGTACTTATATTAAAAGGTAGTAATTTGATTTTTCCATATTCAGGGAAGAGACAAATGTATGACCTTGGTCAGAATTTGCGAAAGGAATACATCGAAGGACATAAACTGCTGAAGCCAGACTTTGATCGCGATCAGACGTTGTAAGTTGCGCATGCATAAAGAAGAAAATACTGGTACTATACTGTAAAGTGTAATCTGCCGATTTTCAGCCACGAAAGAGAACTTTGTTTTGGTTTTATATGGTTAACAAATTAACCAATTATTTTTTTTTCGTACAGCATTCGTTCTACCAACATTACGAGGACGACCGAATCAGCGGTATGGATGGTGTCGGGGATGTACAACACTGTAGCGAATGGTACTACTCTTGTTAGTACAGTATCTTACATCTTTTTATTTATGATGCTTTTTATCAGTATAAATTTGTGTTCGATTCGAATACCTGTTACTTTTGCATTAGGATAATAAGAACACCGAAATGTGTGCTGTGTGTTCAAGTAGACTTTCTGTTTTTTACAGACCCAAAATATGTAAATATGGAGCCACTCACTGTTTTCGCTACCACCGAAGAGGACGAAATTCTGTATCCGAACCATACCTTTTGTGGTGCCCTCAATCGCTTAAGCAAACGCATCACACAGCATATGCACGAAATCACTGGTTTGCTTGCCGATCGTGATGCCCTGGAACAGGCCATCGATTACGACCTGAAAACCCATAAACGCCGTCTCGATTTTGTTGACCTACGAGACGAGGTTGCTGCCAGATTAGCCCACGATATGGAAGTGCATCCAGTGCTCAGAGAGTGGTTCGACAAGATCGACAATTACGCCGTACAAATTTTGGCGCGCATGGTAACCGGTAACGATCCTTCCTTGCAAATACAACGGGAACTTCTTCGTTTGGCCTGTGGACCGGCACTGCGCATGGTACTGGACAATATGTTTGGGGTCATACAGCGCAAGAACCGCTATAAGATGGAGGTATATGCGTGTCATGACTCCATGATGATCTCGCTGGTGATTGCACTGAAAATCTTCAATGGTCAGTGGCCGCCGTATGCGGCGGATTTGCGGTTCGAGTTGTTGGAGGATGAGAAGGGGCAGTTCTTTGTGCGGGTGAAATATCTAGGCCAGGACCAGGAGCTGCCCATTGAGGGAGGAGGAGCGTATAGTGCGGTGGCCGTGTATACCATTGAGAAATTTGAAGAATTTCTCAGTGAGCTGGCTATCAATCAGCGCCACTTAAAAGACCTCTGTTCGTTGAAGTCGGCATACACGGAACCGTTGCAAGATCTTGATGACTCCGAGGGCTCTTATTTTACTGCAGGGAAGAAAGAAAAATGATGTTTATATAAATAAATTGTTACATCTTCAACCAGCTGATAATTGTTACTGTTTCACTGTTTTAGTTAACTTGTGTTAAATTGTGTTAGCAAGCAATGCTTTCTAGCTTGCTACCGAAACTTGTGTTTGTAAAAAGTGATGTGGAGGTGCTAATGTGTGTTTCGCCTGCGTGCGCATAACGGGGTACTATAAAATTTTGTTAGACAAACAAAACAAGAACAAATACGAAATTTATGGGAAATTTTTGTTATGCATTCCTCTGTGGATCGACGCACCCGTTGACCTTTGAACAGTATCGACAGCATAGCGTACGTCGGTGCTGTTACAGTTCTCCACTAATCGGATTTCGGCATTAACTGGCTTATATGGGGTACTCGCAGGTACAGTACGATAGCTGCGTGCAATGCTTTGCGCTAAGAAAACGCATGTTTATAAATTGTTTTACAGTCCGTAGAAGATAACCCCTACAACAAAAGACGATTCCGACAGGAACTGCATATCACACTGCAGTAAGTGTACGGTATTGCTATGCCGACACAGTTAACTAGCTGTGCCAACAATCATAAGCTTTGGCTGTAATGCTGTATATATGTTCCTGTATCTTTCTTATACCTACCAGATAGCGTTATCCATAAATCTGTCAGACAGTATTGACAGACATTTGTACACCCAACCTATGAACGTTTAAACAACGGTGACCTTTCGATCATCGTAATCTAGCCGCTTGCTGTGCTGTGATTGATAGGCTATAGGCCACCATGCATGCCTTTCTGTTAATCAGCCACATAAACAATGACGAATAATGCAAGAGCAGATTCAAAACAGTTTATTACTGAACTTTTGAAAGTTTAAGATTGTGTGTTCACTGTGTTGCATCTAATAACCAGTGACCATCAGTTTCGAATTGTCCCTAAAAACAGTGTAAGTATTTTAAAATAACCACAGCAATGTGCGGCTGTATATATATTTGTCAACTGAACCCGTCAAATTAAGTAACATGAGCACTGCGTGTACTCGTGATTAACGTCTATCCATTGTGTCGTACTGCTACAGTTGTCTACGGTATATCTGCATCGCCTGGAAGTTTAATGTAGATACGACGTGAAATTCGCAAATGAAATGTTACTTTCGGCTTCATTTATTACTACTTTTATGACCATCCACCTACACACATCAAAAGCGGTCGGAAAACTGGAAGCGATAAATCGAAGACCTACAAGCGGGCCGGGAAATCATTCTGTACAAGCCAGGAGTGACTGGGAAGCAGTGAGTGCCAGATGTTTTGTTACTGTTAATACCTCATCAACATGTGAATGCGGGAACACCTTGTCTACATGTTGCTGTTGTTGGTACATGACCGTTGATTCGCCTACATTTCTGGAGACTCCAGAAGATCTTACTGCGTCGGACTTCGTGAAGGCTGTGCGGCGATTTTACAATTACAGATCCTGTCGTCCACTGCAGACTGGATTGCTGTCAGAACTGGAAACTGACCTTTTTGAAGATGTCATCCATCGATTTTTCCGCGTACCTCTTACGGTTGCTCAAGAAGCGGTCACTCTACAACCAAATATATCCATACAGTTCTGGTCAGGAGTGATAGCAACGATGACGACATATCACCGTTCGTGGCGTTCTTCAGTGATTAACAATTCCGGTGACACCTGGCCAGTTTTTGCGCATCGAATTGTCGACTTGTCTTCGAATTGTAAGACCGTAAAAACAACAAGTCAGTCCTTATATGTTCTCGATACAGCGACCTCTCAAAACGACGATTTGTTTTCCGATAACTGCGAAATAGACTGGATACAAAATTCGCAATCTATTCTCTGTGCCGAAATTGACACGGAGGTTTTAAAAAATTTTTGCCGTTCACATAATAATCTCAGCAGCTCTGAGCCGTATTTGGCGAATATCCTAATTACCGCATCCGAGCGGACTTTTGTAGCAGAAATCCCGACACAAATTGTCCAGACAGAATCCATACTAGAAATCGCTGCAACAACAAGTTGGACAATTGGACTACTATCCCCATTCAACAACTCGGATTTGCAGACGAACACCACAGGATATTTTTTGAAAGTTACCTTTCCGCTTTTTCTACTGGTTTGTAACCATTTATTTGCGACTTGAAGCCCTTGTTGAGCAGAGCATTAACAATTTCATGATCTTTTATAGCCAGATTCGTTCCGAAGATTGGATAGCAAAACGGAATACAGTCTCTTCTGCATAATGCTACCTCAAGGAGAAAATTACTGGAGTGAACACGACTGTCAGTTAGCGAAGATAATTAACGTGGGCCACGGGATCGTAACATGTCATTGCCGGAAATTTGGCATGTTAACATTTGTGCTCGCACACATCCGCAATTCTCTCGGCGAAACTTCAATGCCGGCTACTAATACGGTTGCTGTGGACATCACCACTACGAACGACCCAATCCTTACGATTTCGACATCAGAATTGTCAACCGAACCAGATTTGTCTACCGCTACAGAATCCTTGACCACACCAGCGCAGACAGTGACCTCCACGATGACAACTGCATCTCCTTTCAGCACAACAGTTGAAATTACGGAACGGCCAGGTGACCCCTATACTGTGTTAGAGTATTACGCAAATGTCACAAATTTCGAGCAGTATCCAGTACAAGCGATAAATGCCACCCTGGAAGCAGTGACAGAGTTAGCACAACATCCTCCAATCAGATTTTCCGCTATCGAAGATGCCGTTGATATTATAGACTTGTATATGCATGCTAATTTCACTGATTCGTCCGTAAATGATGATCCTTGGTTTGGACTAACGCTGGACGCGGTGGATCTGATTGTGACGATCTGCGATGCCATATTGGGATTAGATCTGAGTGGAGAAATTGAGTCTCCGCAATCTACCCAACAAGGCAACGAAGTGGCGACGTTAGTGCTAGACACCTTAGAAAAACTGCACACCATCGCACCTCCGGGCGAAGAAGCAAAGGAAATCTTTAAGGACTACATTTCCGTATATATTAATGCCTTTATTGTAAATTCAACTAGCGAATTTCAATCTATATCTGCAACACTGAAACTAGTGGTGACCGTCGAAGAAATCTTTCCTAATCATACTATGGATGCATACTTTTCAAAGTATTCTCTGGACGAGATTTTTATGGGAGTTTCGCGCCTGGAACTCAATGAAGAAGCATTACGACATGAATTCAATGACTTCGGTGAGCGATTTTAGATAACTGCGCTATTAGTAACTAGCGCTTTCCAAAGTTAAAGTTGATTACGGTAATATTAATTTATATCTAAAGTAACGTAACTTTTGAAATATACTTTGAAAGCATATAGTGGTGACCTTTGCGTTAAAAGTAGTGCGTCTGGTTTGTTATCAAACCGCAGTTGTCAGTATAGCCCTTTTTTAGTGCAGTCCCTACCACCGAATACAAATGCCGTCTTTTCTTACTCCTTAATGGCTCTACAGAAGTTTCGAATTTGTAAATTTGGAGATCCTTTGGAAATGCCAAAGCGTAATGCTAGAAGGACCGGATCCGTATTAGTTTCCGCAGCAATCCAAAACACTTCCCGGTCTCACAAAGAGATGGTGTCCATTACACACAAAGTGGACAATCTTTTCAAAGTATGTGGACACTTTACTGCACAAGTGTACAGGGTACCGGTACCTTACCATGCTTTGCACCTGAGCATTAATAAGCCTCTTATTCGATATAATTGTAACACGAAATCAAGACATATAATAAAACTAGTATTACATAATGGTTCGGTGTAACAGTGCTTGCTACAGTGAGAATTTTTTCCTCAGGGCAGAATTTCTGGCCGCAAAGAGCATCGGTGTGTGTATTTGGATTATAAAAAATCTTTGCATGACCCGAATGTATCCGCAAGATGGTCCACTGAAGGATGTTTTCTTAACCACAAAAATTCAACGTGGAAAGAAGGAACAATTGTGGAATGTGTCTGCAATCATCTCACACCGTTCACAATGTTGCTTGACCTTTGCGGAAGCATCGTTAGCGGCGACAATCTGGACGACAGCAGCTATTATAAAGCGTTGGAGCCTACCATTGTCACCATGGCCAGTCTGAGTGTTTCGATTATTTGCTGTTTTGTCATTGCTTGTCACCTACTGTACGTATTTATTTGTAAAGTCGCTTCGTATATAGTAAAAATCAGTACTTAAATAGTTAACTTGTGAATAATATAATTCGAAGGTCAAAACTCAAGAGACAGTAAACACATGATTCAAGTAATATATAATTGATAATTGTGGATGGACAGATGGGCAGTGTGGCAAAAATTTATTGGATTGACGCCCCGGAATTTCACCCGACTAAACCTGGTCCTTAGCATTTTCCTGGCTCACACATCTTTTCTCTTGACGTACATCGCGCTCGAAGGAGAGAGTGAAACGGGTTGTTTAATCATGGCTCTTATATGCCATTGGCTGATGCTAGTTGTGTTTGCTTGGATGGGAATCGAAGCTTATCGCATGTTCCTACCTACTTTAAAATCCAAATTTTGGACAGCTACCGAAGAAAACAAAGTGATACCTGGTGATAACTATCGCGGTTTTAGATGGAAAGCCTGGTGCATTGCATGGAGTACGGAACAGACAAAATTCTAAAATTAGTTTTTAGCCGTTAACACTCTGTCGACTCCCTGAATCTGGCATTCCCGAATGCTAAAACATTGTTTTTTGTTTTTAGTGTTGCCTCTCAGTTTACCATTTATTGCGGGACTCAGTCATATAGACAGCATGGAAAATTCATTTAAAGGCAACGCTTACGACGTGGAGGAAAGATGGTAACTGCAAGATGCACAATTCTTAGATTTCACCAGAATGTAATATAATTTGTTATGTAATATAATTTGTATTTGTTGTTAAGTATACTGCTGAATAGCTGCATACAGTGAATAGTACGCACAAATTGGTCTTTCGAAGTTTTTTTTCTGTGTTGTATTCCATCTGTGCGCGTTAGCTCTAGAAGTCGAACTACCGAAATAAATAATGACAAAACAAAACAACTCAAAGCAAGTGAAAGTGGAATTGATATCATATAATACTATTACAGGTGCTGGCTCGATCCCGATCACGTTGTTTTTGCTGCAGTGACCTTTCTCGTGCCGATAACGGTGGTATCGGCGTGCAACATTTTGGTGCTAACTGTCTACATACGGCGTATGTTGAATAAATATTAACCATACAACAAAAACACGAAACCTAATTATGTTATCGCGATAGGTTGAGAATTATTTATTTCTATGTTTTGTGCAGATCGGATTAACACACAGCAAAAGATTACTATCCAACGAACTTTGCGGCAAGATTCTCCTCAGCGACTTAGCATTATAAATCTTGTTGGCACTACAGGGCTGCTTGGAGGAACATGGCTTCTGGGATATTTTCTTCTTTTCGTATGCAGCGTTGATGATAATATCAAAATTGGTCTTGGATGCCTTTACATCGTCCTCAGCGCTGCGCAGGGAGTTTTTATCCTCGCTGTACATATCAGAGGAACTGTTGCTGGTTCTTTTAGAAAACGGGAAAGAGTTACGAAAAGAGGTAAATTTTGCAATATCAGGAGTGCTTTAAATCATAGCGCACTTACCATACTTGATTTCGAAGCCAAAATGCCATCATGCAATACGCACGGGAATGATACTGTAAATACAGATATTTCGTATTGTATTTATGGTTTGAAGCCGTTCGCGTTTGTATTTTACATGAATTTTAATCCCATGTTTTTGGAAACATGAGCAAATAATGCTGTCGTTATCTGCTTTTAGCTGTTATAAAACATAAGTCCAACGATTCAAATGATTTTCTTGGACCGGATCGAATGGCTCTGACCTTGGCATCCTCTTTGTCGCATGGTCAGCAATCGAACGAAACAATCTTGACGGAAATAGATTCCGTTCTGCCGGAAAATGCATCTGAAGGCGTGTCAAAAAATTCTGGAACTCGTGTCTTTCTAATTAACTCCGAAAGGGAGGAAGAAAGTTCTTTGCCGGAAACTACCATAATGTAGCGAAGTCAGTAGCGGGTTTGAACATTACGAACACAAAAAAATAAAAAAAACGCACAATAAGTTGGTATGCGTGTTGTTCATGTGTAAGTACAGATATATAAGGCCCAGCCGCCCAGCAGAAGGATCACTCGCGAATTCAGTACAAATTCAACACAAGGGTTGTCAATTTGAACACCATAAAACCAAGAGCCGATATAGGTGCTGCAGTAAGTGAAATACTGTTCCGCGGTGATGGAGTGCGGGGCTTTCTTAAAATGTTTTACGCAACCAGAAAGGGGTTTTCTTAAGCATTTCTTACCAACTAGAACGGGTAAGTAATCGGCCTCGGTGAGGTCAGTATCTTCGACAACTAAAAACTTCTAGATATTGTCGAAGAATGCCTAACAGTGAACTTGTGAAACAGAATTTTAGCGCATCTGCGTACATATTGCAGGGCGGCATATTATATTTTTGTAGACGTTGACAATATTGGTGAAACGATTGTCAACCGCGGATACTGGTTGCGTGTTTTGTTCTGCCGGAAATATGCATCTGTTGCAACTCTTGTCCAGCCGCCGCTGATTCAGGATATATAGCGCGAAAATAAAAAGGTACGTCACTGGATGGTGTGTCGCTTATCGAACTGAAGACATAACAGATTAAATGCATGCTTGTGAATTGTGAATACAGTACGTACTGTGTATACTATAAATGTGCAGCGGTACCTGCAAGTATCCGTACTTGCGGCATCCCCGTTAACGCCCGACAAATACCGGCGATGCAATCTCCCAGCTGCTGCCGCTGATCAGTGGGAAACGTGAGAGCTGTTTGTGATTACACGGTATTCAATAGCTTAGTGGGGATTAGCAGTAAAAAGGGCAGGCGGTGCTTGTGATGCACTGCCAGACCGTAATCGCCTTCTAATAATTTTTATCCCCGCCAGCAGTCCCGCAAGTCCAGGAATATATAGACGATCATTTGCTGCAGTGCGGTTGCGGTAGTGTGCTCGAGCCTGGTGTTAGTGCTGCAACCAAATCACTACTGTCACGCGCACATGGGCAATGCCGGTATTTTTCCCATCATAATTTGCAACATCTTAAAACCCATAAGAAAAAGCACTGCGGCATCGATTACTGCTCGGGCCCTTTTAACAGTGAGTGACCTTTTCGTGAGTGACAGCCGTTTAGGGTAATATCTGAAATTTTCGTACACAGTGCTGTGTTTTTTTTAAATCAAAGAATACACCTCTGATGAAAGTATGGATCGCTCGGGAAATATTGGATGGTTTGGGATTCCGGCCGATGCTTTCCAGGACATCCAACAGCGGACATTCTCCCGTTTACAGGAACTGGGAGAATGGACGCAAGACCGTTACCGCAGCATTGTCGATGCATCATTGCATTTTTCTGATCCCAGGTATCAGCATTTATACCAGCGAAAGAGTCGTTTGGACCTCATTCGCCTATCCGCGTGTGTCTGTGGTATTGAATTCTGTTATGCGGCGGAAACGGCGTTCGTGAGCCCGACCTTATTAAAAATCGGCATACCGGTCCGTTTAATGACGTTGATCTGGTGTTTGAGTCCCGCCATCGGCTTCTTCCTGGTGCCGTTTCTGGGCTCCTGCTCCGATCGCTGCCAGTTCTTTATGGGCCGTCGTCGTCCCTTTATTATTCTACTAAGCTTCGGTATTATTATTGGTTTGGCATTGGTGCCGCATGGAGCCAGCCTTGGCTACCTTCTCGGCGATCGAGCACCGCTGCATCGCGGTGGACATTTTAGCATTAACGAAACTCTCCTTTTGCATAATAAAACGCTATCATTGGAAAGTGACACTGACGATGTTGTGACGCATTTCCGACCGATTGGAATATTCTTTACTATTTTGGGTGTCATGTGTTTGGACTTGTGTGCCGATTCATGCCAGTCACCGAGTCGCGCGTATTTGCTGGATGTCAGTTTGCCGGAAGATCATGGCCGAGGCTTATCCACATTTACCTTCATGGCCGGATTGGGTGGCGGTTTAGGCTATGTGCTGGGAGCCATTCACTGGGAACACACCGCGCTGGGCGCGGGTGTCGGCGGTCAGGAAGCAGCTGTCTTCCTGATTGTTCTAATTATCTACCTCATCTGCCTGGCGATCACTATTACCAGTTTCCGCGAGATGCCCTTGAAGGACATTGAAGCGCGGACCCATCATCAGCGCACGGCGCAACAGCAGCACAACAATCCGGTCTTTGAGCCGGCCGAACTGGATCCGGCGGAGACGCAGCCGCATCGCGCCGGGGACGCCATTAACAACGGTTTTAAGAATTACAATGTGGATTTCTGTGAGGTTGATGTGTCGGATTTCGCGCCCCTGCATGTCGTGGACGACAGTGTGCGTGAGGAGGCCGCACTGACGATTCAGGATTATTTATGGTCCATCATTTATATGCCCAAATCATTGCGCGTCCTGTGCCTGACAAATTTGTGCTGCTGGATGTCGTTGGTGTGCTATTCATTGTATTTTACGGATTTTGTGGGGCAGAGCGTATTTGGAGGTGACCCCACGGCGGTGGCGGCCAATAGTGCGGCACGTCATCTCTATGAGGAAGGTATTAGGTTTGGCTGTTGGGGCATGGCGATTTATTCAGTATCGTGTTCCTGCTACAGTGCAATTATCGAAAGATTAATCTTAAAGTGGGGTACGTAGCCATCATGATCCGACGGTTGCCGTGGCAGTTTCGTAATTGTCCCAGTTCTGTAGCGTACAGTAATTTTCAGAGGTTCGTGCAACCCAGTAGTTTCGACATATCGACGGTGTGAAATGTTACGCGATGCGGTTGGATATGTCCGGTTGATATATGCGCAGTCACCTTACAATGTCAACATTACCGGTCGGGATTAACCATTACACCAAGGCTGATTGTTTGCATACGGCAGCAATAAGAGCGCTGATAAATGGGATCATGTAACCTTTTAAATAAACAAGAAAGAACAGTTTCGATCCTTGTTGAACGTAAAGCAATATTTAGCTATTATTATATCGGACCATCTGTACTACAGGATTCAGGGGCTATACAAGAAACCTTATTGGATATTTTCTGCCTGAATGTTGATCAGGAGAATAGTTATTTCCAATTATTTCTTCCCGAAAAACCTTAAGATAACCCTTTCACGAAAAATTATAAGAGAACACCAGCGCACTTTAGAAATTTTTTAACCGTTGCTGTTACCACCAAGATAAACCTGACTTGTACAATTCTTAACATATTTTGAATTTCACACACATAATATTATACGATATAGAAGTTTTTCTACAAACGCAGGCGCGACATGTATTACCGAACCAATATCGGTATTGTGTTTTACAGGCAAGCGCCCTACGTTTGCTCTTAAACCTGTTTCCTAATGATCTTGGCTACCTTCTATGCTACGCACACGGCGGTGTACGGTAGTGATTTTTGTGATAATTATACTGTTAAATTTGCAGGAGCAAAAAGGATATACATTAGCGGGCAGCTTATTTACACCGTTGGAATGCTACTGATGGCTATTATAAGGACGAAGCCATGTGTAATCATATTTTCCGCCAGTGCAGGGATTATGTACTCGACATTATTCACCATGCCCTTCTTTCTGGTTGCTCATTACCATTCTTCCGGTTTGGTAAGTGTAACAGCACAAATATAACAGCAATAAGCCTTAATTCATTTAGCTTTCAGGGAATTGGAACACAGAAATCAAACCCTGCTCACATAATTATTTACGTTTTTGCATTTGCTTGCAGTTCGAGGAAGAGCAGTCTATCACAGCCCACATGATACAACACCGGAAGCACGTGCGCGGATTGGGTACTGATGTCGCCACAGTGAGCAGTATGGTTTTCTTGGCTCAATTCATCCTTTCGGGACTTAATGGAAGTCTTGTACACTTTACGGGAACTCCCACTTCTACAGTCGTTTTATCCGCCGTGCTCAGTTTTTGCGGGGCATTAGCAGCTACGCAAGTTACTTATGTCAATCTATAACATACAAATTTAACACGGACTATACCGCAGATGCTGCGATAAGTTCTCCTTGCTAAAAGCAAAACGGAAAAATTAATAATAATAATAATTATACGTAATAAAAAGCTTTTACCGATTTAGCGTCCGTATTGCAACACTCTAAAGCTTCCCCTACTTTATCTTCGTCATAGTACTTGTATCTTCGTCAGTACTCGATAAGATAAGTATGTACTAGGTACAGTTAATCATTCACTGCACAATTTAAGAAAGATCCATATAAATCTCAACAGATACCTGCGTACCTATTAGCGCATATGCAATATTTTTAGAGATTTAAAGAACTTTACGAGTATAAAATATATGAAGACAGCAGCATAGAAATTATAATAATAATCATCGTGGTGGTGAATGTCTCCCTCCTCTTGGTTAATCATATTCTAATTAATCGTGTAATCAAAACCGCTTACCCATGTTAAGTAATAAGTACTGTTATCTGCTTTAAATTACTACTGCTGGACTTGTGGCCGCAAGAATTCGCACAAGCCCTCAAACTAAAAATATATTAAATGGCTTTGTTATGAAAAAGTAGAACAACTATCTAATTGCTTGCTCTTCTGCACTTTACAGCACAAACATAAAGGAAACAGTACTGTGAAATGATAAGAGAAACGATGCACACCACGTTACTCATCATGTTATCACAAATTAACTTGGAAGAGGCAAAGCAGAAATGCTATTCATTACTTATTATTTATTTAAAGAGAATATTTAAAACTTCGCAGTTCCCGTGACCTACGCCAGATAAACCGTGAATCTAAAGATTTCGGTTTCAGTAAGCACTTGAAGATTACCAGAACGTGAACACTGAACATACATTATAACAACCCCGAGTCTGACGAACGATCATCCTTTCTGCTAAAACTATATTCAGAGAAAAATATAAAGGAGATCATATTGTCTGCGACATATGCAGCGCATTCGCCAAGTGCCCAAAATTAGTATCGACGAGGTTGGCTCCGCGTAAATTTGCTTCATAAAGGTTACTCCCACTCAGATCACACTGCTCCAGATTCGCTCCAGGAAATGATGCTTGTTTCAGCTCGCAATTCTTCATACTAGCAAACTTCAAATTCGCCACCCGGAAATTCGCTCCATTCAGCTGACTGTTGTCCAGTCGAGCGTTCCTCAAATTCACATTCTCAAAATTAGCACGCGATCCCGCTGGATCATCCGCGTTAACATTCTGCAACGAACACCGTTCCATCACGGCACAGGGTAATTTTACGCCGAATAGAACTGCGTGATCGCACACGGCATCCGTCAAATCCGCTCGATCAAAGTTGGCGCCCGATATATTAGCATAACTCAGATTCGCCCCTCGAAGATTGCTCATTTTGAAGTTAATATTGCGGAGATCCAGACGGGACAAATCACAGCCTTCAAAATTCATCCCCTGAAAACGTAGCTCCTGTGTAGAGGGAGAGACCATCAGGGCGCGGACGACGTCCATCCGGGACAAATTCGAAGTGGGACCACTGGCTGAGATCTGCACTATTTTGTCATCCTTATTGTCGTACTGATTCAGGTGCGGTCGGAGCTCTTTTTGGAGACGCTCGAGATTGTAGAATTCGGCTTCGGTGTATAACAGTTGAATATTATCGCGCTCTGTGACAACAAGCTTTCCTGTCCGAAGATAGCTCAAAAGAGGGGCGAATAGTTCGCCCGACCTACAAAAATAAGTTCAAGATTTTGCTATCAGTTTCTGTATATACTATTAATCGTCATATATAGTCAGATCTGTTAAACACCATTCAGTCGCATCACTAATGGTAAGTGTCACGACTTGAAGGTGGCGTAATACTCGTATCTTTAATATTAACCCGCCACTGAGGGCGCACAAAACCAACTAACTATCGGCAACATAGCAACACAGGCACACTGCTTCCGCAGTTGCCATGCTGGACACACAGGTCACAGCGGACACAGTATCTCGTGACATAGTGCCACTACACTACGCCACACGCCCTTCACTTCTGAAGTACACATGAAGAAGTACAAATCCATATTTATACTAGTCAAAACACGTACGTACAGATACAATCACCGAATTATCTTAGCAACGAACATTATTTTCCATTTTGCGCATCAAAACACACTTATTCACTCAACCTGCCACAGCGTCCTTCGTACGTACAACTCGCTAATTCTCCCTTGCTGGCGAAGGTCAAACTCACTCACAGTTGTCCTGCTTCGCTCAACCCTCTGCCATGAAGGAACCATCGGTCTCCAGGCTTCGCCCTTTTCTCCTGGTGCGCCGCCGAAACGAGTTCTCTTCCCTGGCTGGGCAGCCTTAAGCAGACGCTTCATGGTCACGGGCCTTCCAGAAGCATGGTACTCGTCCGCCACACACACGCGGTTTTCCCAGCTGCCTCCACAGGTGCGGCACTTCTCCTCCCGCCCTGCTTTCCCTCGTGGATCCCATCCACGATTCAGGCGCTCGTTCCCAGTACTCCACGCTTTACATCCGATGGATGGAGTTGATGTGCCTCTCCCTCGCCCCTCGCTCCTCGTCAGCATGATTCAGGCAGTAACCGCAGTGTACACTCTCACATATCTACCGCCATTATCTCATCCTTCACGCCAAGTTGTCACGACTTGAAGGTGGCGTAATATCTTTAATATTAACCCGCCACTGAGGGCGCACAAAACCAACTAACTATCGGCAACATAGCAACACAGGCACACTGCTTCCGCAGATGCCATGCTGGACACACAGGTCACAGCGGACACAGTATCTCGTGACATAGTGCCACTACACTACGCCACAGTAAGTCTTACAGTCTTAGAGGGAGTTTATAGCGGTTGCTACAACTTTGTGGCTACGTGCTATCCCCTCCCCCGATGCACAAATGCTAGTCTGTTCGCATAAACTCGTCGCCAGCTTGCTACCCTTCTAGCTGATAGCAAGAAAGTAGCCAGTTTACAGCGGCTTGCTAGGACTAGACGGCACCCGCCCGGTGTGACCGTAGAAGGCAACCGCCCACAGTAACGGCAGGTAGCAACAGCAGCGCCCGCCCTCCGCTACGGCAGCGGACAACCTCTTATGGTGGCGGGTTACTTGACTATGGCAAGCCGATATTAGGCTTATGGCAAGCCGACATTAGGTATATGGCAAGCCGACATTAAATACATTCTGGCAAGCCGATATTAGGCGTACTCGTAATATTGCTCTTTTCTGGAAATTATTTAATCCGCTTTAAACTTTTTAATTTATTGTACATGTGAAACATTTTTTTATTTTTTTGATTTGTTTCAAGATTTCATCTTCAAAATCTAAATTGAAATCGGCAATTTGAAAATTTTAATTTTGAAATTTCAAGTTTAGTTGTAAGTTGAAATTTTAAAGAAATGAATTTAAAAAAAATACAGTTCAACTTTCAAATTTAATTTAAAAGTTAAAAAAATTGAATTTTAAATTTAAAAAGTTTCATTACATGATCGTGTTTGTTAATTCGAACTTGGTTTCAAGGTTTTTAATTGTTATTGTGTACTGTATCGAATTTTTCCGCATTATCTGCGAAGTTGGTATATGGATTAGCAACCTCAGGAGGTTACTACATGGCTTAACCATTGTCCTTACGAGCTAGCAATCTAGTCACGACTACCAATAGCATCGTCTGTTTATGCAGACATTTGCGCTACGTAGTCGGTGCTACATAGCCAGCTATGTAGCAGTAGTCAGCCAGCATAAACTCATTTTGTGGAACTACTTGCTACCAAAACGGCTACGGGAGACCACGCCCGCGAAAATGGTAGCAAGTAGCAAGTAGTCAGGTCCGATAAACTGCCTCTTACTCTTGTGTTATCTTTTACTATGTACTGAGAAAGAAATTGAAAACAACGAAATTCAACTGATACAGCCAAAATCAAAATATGTCCGCAAAATATTACTTTTCCATTCAAAAGTTAATTGTCTCATATTTTTATATGACAGCTGTATCGTACGACTGAGGTAAAACGGCAGAACTCTCAGTCAGTCAGTAAACCCTAAATGACTATGCACAATGCACATACTTCCTTACCTATCAATCAAAACAGCACCAGTTGAATCCTTCTTCAAACCCCACGCAGGCACCCCTTCATCGTTCTCTTCGAACATTCTGGCCAGTACGGAAGCTGGTTCAGTTGATCGTAATGTTAACTTGGTGGTAGTAAACATACGGCCTCCGACATTCAGAGTAATCCATTTATCACGTTCCACACCGTCCGACGCAGTACCCTCGCGTAACTCTATGAGATCTCCATCGCGAATGATATCCAAAGAAACCATCTGGCATCCGTTAACGAAGCATGAGGCTCCATCGGGCGTGATGTTCCACAAAGAACATGCCTTGGCTTTGAAGTCGGAAAAAGTCTGTGGAACAATTATCCAACGAGGAGGAGTAGACTTCAAGGATTGGGCTTCGGGAATAACTTTAACACGTTTAGCTGGAAGGATGGCTTTAACCTCCATTATGAGTTAAGCAAAGTAGCTCAGTAAAACAAAGCTTCATTTACGGAAGGCACACGTTTTGTCCCACTTCCTTTTCTTATCAAATTCCTTTTCACAATTACTGTAATCATTATAATCTGTGAAATACAGCAAAGCAAGTAAAAACTATCAAACCTACTGTTCATGTTTTTTTGGTCATCATTATTTTATTATTGTCATGCTGTAAACTGTAAAGTGTGACGTATACGATTACATGTACTTGTAAACTGCCTCCCGAATGGGGACACTGGCGGTGGCGGTAAGAGTAGTACTAGTACTTATACAAATCGGATGCAGGCTGTTTTCGCTTTGACTTTTCGTTTTAGTTTGAAAACAAGAACGCATGTACCTCCTGCAGCCACGTGTTGATACGGCGGAGTACAAATATTGTATAGAAGGATATGAGCGATAAGTCATAAGTGTAGTACTATAAAATGAATAAATTTAATGGGCAATAGCCACCACGATAACAATGACTGCAAGCGCCGGTACACTACTTATCGTTAATAGTTAAATTAAGTAATTAATAATTACAGTGTGTGAGTACGTGACGCATGGTTAAAATTAATATTATTCGGTTTATTTTAAATCTGACCGCCGCTTAGGAACATTGGTAAGTAATGTCCACAACTTGTATTTTTATGTGCCAGCGCCGTCTTGATGACGAAAGTTTGACCGAAGTCCAGAACTATAGTACTGCCACACATTTACAATATAATTATGTACGACAGGAGTTTTGATTGATTTTGCCAGTTGTGAACATGGATACGAGTGATAGATGAAAGTTACTTTGGCTTCTGTTTGTTGAAAGTTGAAAATGGCAATCTTGGTCATTGCTCCACAGACTCGTGCTTCGCTGTTCTTGAATGCGTTGTTCTTTCGCGTAACCCCGGCTTACCTTACTTACCATTAGCTGGCTATACTAACTGTTCGATAAATTTCGTAGATATAATGCTGTCACCAAACTAATTATGACAGTCTATAACAATACATAGTTTTTACAGACGACATTGAACAAGTAATTGATAGTTGCTGACAACTGTAATGATTTGAGAATCTTGCATACATTTGCGAATAACAGTGGCGCTGTTTTGATTACTGAAACCCAAACTATTAAAACTGCCCAACCGTGAAACGCACATAAATATCCGACTGATGACCGCACAAAGAACTGATTAATTCCCACGCACCAGACTACAAGCTGCTGTTACATGATTTATTGCTAGCAACCATGCTGCGCGCGATCGATTGATATCGATAAGTAATTGCAGAATTGGCTAATTACAAATCCCTCTTGCATTGCACATGATCATGAGTGCAATGCGAAGAATACGTTTTCGGCTGTAACCATTAAGCAAAAAGCATGCTTTGTACGGGCACCTTACTGTACTTCGACCATTCACAAAGATTTGTTTTGATGACAAATTTGGTAGCGGTAAGACTCAAACGTGAGTTTGTTCTTTTTTACGGTTAAAAAACAAAATTTATCAGAATTTAAGTTTGTAGCGATGTCTTCACACTACGCACCAACAGCCAAATTATTTTCAATTTAACTCTGGTACATACGTACATACTCGTATATAAACGTTTATATTTAAGGCGATGCAATGTAGTGAAAATTAAGTAATGTCGCGTGGGTCCGTGCTTGTTGTATCTTTTTTTTCCCGGTTACCAATATCATGAAATGACGAAATTAATGATACAAACTTTTGAGCTTCCAGGACTTGTAGGTAGGTAGAACATTTAACGAATTAGCCGTCTGGACCGACCTTTGTATATACTCCGCGTAATGCTTGATTTACCACCTGTTCGAATCGTAACTTTCCCGACCTTTATATACACACTTTCAATCAACGTCCTTCAACAATTCAAATCGTGCACATTAGTACAGTAATTCAGTCAATGTTACCGCTGATATCGTAATGTTCATGCAAGACAGCATTTGGAAAAAGAGATCTTGTTTAAAGAGACGAACAATATATCGTAAGCGCCACTTCCATACTGTTTGATGTTGCCAGCCATGTGGAACGTGTTTCACCGTCACTGCAGTGCGGCACCGCCGCACAGGTATATTGTACTGTACATGCAGTACGTTACGGCAGATATGGCGCACAGCTTTGTACCGCTACTGCGAGATTTATTTATGCACAACAGGTAACAGCATGCTGCCATGATATCAACTGCAGTCTAGATTTCTGCCGCCATTGAAGCTCTTTCGTGTTTAACGCACAATTTTCCACGCTATGATCCGTTATGCATAATGCCGGCGAGAAATTTTGCTGGAGCATGATGAGGGCATATTGCGCCGGCTAATAAGCGCAGTCTACACTGGAAGTCTGGAACACAAAGAGAGCATGGATCATGAGGATTATAAATACACGGACTTAGATTTCAGGGTGATATCCCATGGGAATGGTGCGTGTATGCCGTTGCTGGTCAATCAGAATCCGCCAGCCATCAATCCGGCTAGTTCAGACTGTGTAGTAGACAGTGAGAATGACCAGCGAGATGATAAGAGTGTTTGTACTGGATTTTATGATCGCGATTCTGCTCATGCTGTGATGAAGAGCGAGAGCATGAACGCCGGCACAATACGGGATTCACTTGACCACGAAGCTGCTGCTGCACTGGCTGCAGTTTGTGATGTCCAAATGCAGCCAGCTGTCGGTGATCAAATACGGCAACTGCCTGCAGTGTCGCGCGATACTGATCAGGACACTAGTGAATATTCTAATCTTCCGCTGCATGACGGAAATTGTGATAATGTTGTGGCGGTGGAGGTTAATGCTGTCCTGGTGGAGATGCCCAATATGGCCGGTAGTAATATGATATCCCATTCGCCGCCACCGCCGTATACACTGGTCAGGGGCCGGAGAATGAGGTTTTTTCCCCAGCAGATCCACCTTCCGCCGGTACCTGATCCGGCCTGCAGCTATTCCCATGTTCTACAGCATTATCCGGATTTTTTTCAACGCCACGCGAGTCGGCACATGGAAACCAGCAAGAGTTGCTGTAATTTTCTTATGATGACCGGCACATTGAATGTCAGATGGTTTATCGTCGTTATCAGTTTCATTGCGTTATGCTGTGTTGTCGTTGGGATTGTCCTTGGAGCCCTCAAAGGAGCCAACGAATTTACGGGAGATGATAGTTTAACGATCTCGCTTCTGTTAATCGGTAAGCGTAATTTTAGAGCACACAAGTCCCTCTGTCACTACCCACTATTGACGACGTAAAATTCGAAAGTATGAAGACAAAGAATTTTTTATTATTAGACGTTGACACCTCAGTCCTAATGCTTGATAATGATTTCATGCAGTTTTCTGTTGTTTTTAATCCTGCAACTCATATGCATGGTCAGCTCTGTTGTAGTTATTATTGAGAATCCGGAGATTGGCATTAAGTTATGCGCAGTAATTTTCAATTTATCGATTGCAGTATAAGAAATTATTAACAAACTTTCAATGTGTTGAAATTAAAATTGTAGCACCTAACTGATGGTTATTGTATGTTTGTATTCATAAAGAGGGAGGGTTAATGAATACAGACGTTTAAAATTTTCTAGTTAAAGGAATTAATGCAAACATCTTACAGTGGAAACACATGTATAAATTGTTTTACATGCAATAGCACAACCAGGTGTCGGAAATCGCACTGGATTACAATGTTACGAAATAACGATTTTATAACAATCATGTACGGAAGCGCAATTAATGTGTTTTATGGTTATACAACGCCTTTAATGCCGGTCGCACTCCTTCGTGCTTGGCCTTGCTAGTGTCGTCCTTAAGTGTAAAGTTTTGTACTTTTTGCTTTTGACGAGTTATTTTATGCAAGATTGTCAGATGGCATCCAAACATAAATGTTATTTCTCGTTGTGTCGTAACAGAGTTTACGGTATGTGGATTTTGTATGACTTTTCGAGAGAGCGCTCTTAAAAACCCGTGCCAAAATGCAAAACAGGAAAATCAATTTCATGACGTTTGTCTCACTTAAATTTATTTAATATTTTCTTGACCCTTTGTTTATACTGATTTTCTTTGGAGAAAGCAGTATTCACTGTTTGCTTACTGCCGGCATATTTGTATTACACGTTCGACACTGTATGCAGCAGTGTCCTTGTTGACCATTGTGCGCTAATTTAATACTGCGCAGAAATTTCAAATACTGTGTACCGGTGTACATACTAGCACCACTGTTTTACTCCAGGAGTTTATTTATTCAACTATCACATCGTAACAGCTCTTTTACGACAGTGGTTTAAATTTCGTAAAAACAGCAGCTATCAAACTCTGTATAAGTGCACCAAAAAAATTTAAATAATATTAACGTTACCATAATTTTGGTGTTGTTTGCCTGGAGTTTCAAGAATGCTTGGAATGATCCTAGCAAAATATTGACGCATTCATAGAATGTTGTTAATATCAGATTAATGCATGATCATTATTTGTGATCGTACACAAACATTCCTGTCAATCAGTCACAAAATTTTCAGACTGTCGTAACCATAGTGGGTTTACTCCTGCATCCTAAAAGTTATCATGGGAATCACGACATGTTAAGCCCAAAGTTTTACAGAATTTAACAGAATTTCGGAAGATTAATTAATCGGCCACGGTTCCAAATGCAGCCATAATTATAGTATGTTATTTCTAACCACTACAAATACAAGCCCGCCAGCATTCTAAAACGTAGTTAACTATGAAATGATTATGACTGTCCAGTAACTTCCTTAATGCGGCATAATCATTAGAACATTCTAGTGCGGAAGCAGGGGTTTATTTGTCCAATCTGTAAAAATTTTGGGATGGATTATATTGCAGTTTGTGGAATGAGTTGTCGGAAATTAATTTCTGAAATCGTCATAACCGATTATAGCCTATAAGGGCTATAAGTAAATGGTATAATCAGCTTTTACACCACAAAGTTTAACACAATTGAGCAATTAATGGAGGTAACGGTAACAAATTCGTTCACAGTATTTTCACAAGCAAATTATTTTTTAAGTCAGTCATTATTAAAAAAATTACAAACGGTGATAGAAAAAGGGTGTAAAATGCGGTACAAAACAGTGTACTTTGATGAGTTCGAAGTATAGCTAGAGAGCCTGAGGATGCGCTTTTCATAATTTGGGGGAAACTTGAGAAAAAACAGCTTGAGAATGTGCTTTCATAATTTGTGGGAAACTATGTAAAACCAATAATTTTTGGGAAAACTAAAACTGATTTGAAATATGCGCCCTATACTTTATTGGTGGACCTGATTATTGTAACAACAAAAACTCTAGGCGAAAGAACTTTGTTGTGATTATAATGCGTATCTGGTTTTGAATTGCAGGTGTGGGAATTATTTTACTGACCGGTAAGTGCAAGAACCACGCATTGTGCGCTAGACAGACGTCATAAACGTACTATACTGTTGAGCACAATAAAATTAGTGGTGCACGCTGCATTTGTAATCAGTGTGATGACGATAATTATTGACAGTGTCCGGCATTGCCTGGCGTCTAACAAACAACCAAGCCGGCTCGGACACCAGCTCACTTCGGCGCATACTGGGCTTGGGTTCCGTTCGGGCCACTTCACCAGCATTGCAGAGCTTCCGAAGAGCACCATCAGGCCCGTTTGCTGCCTATGTGCTTCGCAATTCATTTGGCCGTCGTGGCGGCTGTCCACCAGCATCAGCCGCACCAGCGCCCGGCTACTGCTACGAATTTCAATTCCGTCCGCCTCCGCCCTCTTACTACGCATCCATGGCGGATTATAGGTTAGTTGGCTGACCACTTCCGGGCTTTAGTCACGTCGAGCCGTAATACACACATTTACGCTCAGTAAACGCTCGCATATGAGCGTACCCATTAATACGCACACATTGTATTCTTTACCATTTATAATAATAGACATCTGACCAATATTATTTAACAACAACGCGCACTGATCAACAGAGTCAGAACTTTACTTGACCGGACTGAATGCCATGGGAACACACGCACCCCGCCACCCGGCTACAGGCAGCCTATTGATCGGTCTAATCCGCTGCCATTGTTAAATCAGCTACAACCACAACAACTGGCGACCATGGCCACGCTACGGCCACTGCAGCATCATCCCGCTTCGGCGCCGCCCAGCTACCGATCTGGGTCAGAGGAGCGCCGGTCAGGAAGGGAACGCCGATCGCTGCAGCATGTCAACGCGATATTCAATGAGAACTATGCCAGTGCGATTGTCTACGAGGATGAAGGAGTCAGGCTTAGCCGATACAATATCAACGGGGAATCACGGGGACGCTTATATGATTCAGCGGAGTTTTCCCCTCCTAAAGCTGGCCTTGGCTCAAGTATTGAGCTTCTTGCTCAACTGTAGAGGAATATGTCATGATTCATTTGGGATCGCTTGTTCACAAAATGAGCTGTCATGAACTCAGCATTCAAGCTACGTTTTTTCAAAACAGCAACCTTTGAAATAACACAAAATTAAACCCTGGGAATACTACATAATCAATAAATTTATCGAATAAAACTTGACGGTTCGTATACGGGTTATTCGCGTCGTCCATGGTTCCATATTACAAAGTATCTCATTCATCAAGTCCGTTAATGACAAGCGTTTAAAGCGATTTTTTTTAAGCGAGCGCCTTTTATTTCCGTTTTCGTATACCCCCACACGAAAGTGATGCGGTCAGAATGCGAACGTGCGCATTCTGGATTCGTTTATTCTGCACGATTTCTGAAACTAACGACTTTTAAAAAATCTATGCTATTATATTTTTCTCCTTCAATTAAAAGCCCAGTTGGCTAGAAATTCAATGGTCGAAGTCGATCGGATTTCGCGCCAGCTCCGTTGGAAAATTGGACGTTCTGCAAAGTGCTGTTAAAATGTGCGCAAGCGATGAAACGTCCGTATCTGAGCGCATACCTGGGATGCGATTTAGAGACGACCAACTAACTACATAACAGCAACACTCGAATTTGCGCAAAGTTTAATTGGAAATATACAGAAACATGACCAAATCAGCATAGTTTTTCCGCATCACTTTCGTGCGGGACGTACCGGTTAGTACCATTGTTGCCGCAGTATCGACATAGGTCCGGCTTAGGCTCTATTGGCTTAGTTACTGTTGGCCACCCAAAATTTAAAGAACAAAAGATGAGATAATGTGGTGATTTTCAAGTTAGCGGCCTTGCGCTGGTCTCTCCATATATATTTTTTATTTATTTATAAATAACTGCATCTCAATGACAATTAACAAGAAATAAGTATAGAATTGCGGCTCCATGTTAGGACAAATAATTCGATTAGTATCGGCACATGGGCCGCTTACAACGCCGCATGCAAATATTAACTCTCATTTTTCGAGTAATAGTCGGTAGGATTATGGCAGAGGAAATCAGGCGTGTCGTAGATAAATTTACAAATACTACGTAGTAGCCTTCTACAAAGACGAACTAGAATCAAAACAAAGTCTCACTACTTAGTGCTTCAAGGCTGCATATAAAACCTGATGTCCGTCATTGTACGAGTACTGGTTGAAGGCAATTTCAGAGCGATCAACGAGCCTTATCGCGACAGAGAAGCCGTCGGTCAGATCAGTTGTTAGCAATTTCCGCTGGCAGTGCACATTATACCGTATATCTGTTGAGCCCGTAATTTCCGTCTAGCAGTTAGAGCCGCCGTTGTCTACTGCTCGTTACACGTACGGGGTGTTATCGTGTGGATGCTGACGATGAAAAACGGTCGGATGGCATTTTGTATGCTAGTATAGATCGTTGATGAACGAAGCGTTCATTTCACTTAATAGATGTTGTTTGTTCACTTGACATCTTGAAACTGTTGTGGCCGGCTCTTTCCACTCTCACTTATACCACCCGTCGACTGGAGTGCCATGCTGATGGTCATTTACCGCCATGGACACCGTAATTTATACCGCAAGCCTCAATGACAAACATACCAAACAATAGCAACACCATCATGCATTAAACTTGGCCACATATACACTCTCGTACAAATTGCTCGAGCAGGAATTTTCGCCAACATCAGCAAATGTAATACGTTATGGTAATCGGAGAAAATCAGTTTCGATAAACTGGATATTATCATATTAAGCAGTTATTAATTAGAAGAACATGTGCAAAATAAGAATCGCCACTCGTCTAGCTTATAAAATAAAGCATGCACATTTACATTTATGTGGTCAGTGGGTACTCAACTGTCACGATACGAGGACATTTGGGTGCTGTGAACATACCCTGCACGATTAGGCTGCGATGAACAGCCGGCTAAATTTGTAGCCGTTTGCATTCAGACTGTGATATCAGTAGCGTTGCGAGCCACGGCTAACCAGCTGTTCATCGCAGCCTAATCGTGCAGGGAATGTTCACAGCACCCAAATGTCCTCGTATTGCAATAACGATTACAAGCAAAAAGACTGTGGTATTTCTAAATTTTGGTCTCATATGTAGCAAAATCCGACGCGGAATTCAAGTGTATAATACTGTATGCAATCATCTTTAGGTAGGTATCACTATAGTTGCGTCGTTGCATTAAAAACTTCCGAAAAAAAATCACCGAAAAGAAGAGTCGCGCTGTGCAAATGCTGGTATCTCGGCGCAAATTAAATATGCGGAAACTGCATAACAAGCTCATTCTTTCTTGTCTTCATGTCCGGAAATCGCAATGATTCAGTGAATATCAATTGCGAAGAAGATAATAATTTACAAAAAGAATATTGTGACTTTAAAATAGCCAGAGGCCGCAGGTAGCGAGACATTCACCTTGCAGTTGGTGTGGCCAACTTCTCATGCCACGCGTGAGTTATGAAAATCCATATTAGCTTCGTTTTCGTTTTCTTCTTCAACGTAACTGAACTGATACGTCCATAGGGTTGTTCTTTACTTTCACTTTTTATGATAGACGGAAGCTTTTAATTAAAATAGTTGCTGAAGTAGCGAAGTTACTTCCGGTTGACCTTATCCCATTCCAAGCCGGTAGTAACACAAGCTTCTTACGTACTTACTGGCGTTCATGGTTGTAAATATAATAAGAATGGGAATTCCTGATTTTGGAGTATTATTTCCTGTAATTATTGGTAAGCAAGTGAAAACGCATTTATTTAGTGGGTTAAAAATGTAAACCAAATACGCACACAGATACGTATTGAGTATGAAGTGTGTATTTATATAATAATTACACTTACTTTTCGCTCAGAAAACTCCGCAATTTTGAATGACTTTATTGAAAAAAAATAATCTTGTCATGTTAAAACAGTTTACTTTTTAATTTGCTCTCACGTTCAAGTATGAGCTTATGCCGTGATAAATACTTGAAATGTAAGAATATTCTCAGCATATACTTGACTATCTTCACCATATTGGAAAGTGTGGAAGCATGTTGCAAAATAAATGTTAAACGGTAGGAAATGCCATGTTTCCCTTTCTACAATTTTGTTCTAACTGTGTGTTAACAGGGTTATCTAACTTTGCCGCGTTCGTCCACCCCGCAACGCCGAATGTGACCGGAACTCCTTTATCACAGGAAATACTACAACCGGGAGCCGAAGAGTGCGTCAGTTTTACACGGTTGTTAGGCCGGATAAAGAAAGACTATGCACTGCAGCAGCTGACCAATATCACGGATTTGGAGTGTCAAGATAAATGCATTTTCCTAACAGCCTGCCAGTCATTCAGTTTTGGAATACTCGACAATGGATTAACCGAATGCATGCTCAGCCAGTACAATCGCCATTCCCAAACAAATCTCTTTAATGATAACGGACTAATTCAAAATTTCGCTTATTACGAGAAGTCTCGAGAGGGATGCATGGAACGTAAGTACATTTGACTACTCATGTTCTCTGCCGAAACGCAGCCGTACATACAGAGGTCATTGCCTGTACCCAACATTTGTAATACGAGCCGGTACGCTTATGCGTATGTGTACCTGGCAGTGGCACGGACGAAACAATGGCCCTAATGAGTCGTAAACAAATATTGTAATAAAAACTGAGCGACAAAAGCCTCTTTAAAAATTACCCTTTAAATGCGGATTAGCTTGTCTAGTTAGCAAAACAGATGTTTTAAAAGCAGCATAATAAAACTTTTATTTCAAGACGTTTTACGAAAACAAAACGACATAATTAAGCACATATATGCAATTAGATAAAAATAAAGTAGAAGCCAACGTAATAACTGCAGGCGTCTTTTATGGAGATATGCAGCAAAACTATTCATCGGCTTCATTATGAGAATGAAAGTCTCTGCTTACGAACAACCAGTTTAATATATAGCATTTTAGATCTTGCATTAAGGTTACAACGGATAGAAACAATTTTTTCGTATCTAAAAGTTATTGAGATGCGGCACAGCAACAGTATAACGGTTTATCCTCTTGCGTTACACTCTAATCCTGGCACTGAGGTGACATGAATACCGTAGTGGCCACATGGTTCCAGTGAAAACAATCATTGTTCAACAGCTTAATTGTGCTTCATTATATGTGTATAAGTGTTTGGTGGTACTGCAGTTTGAATTTATTTGAGTTAACGGCAAACTAAAGCCGCCTTCACGAAACGGAAATTAAAATATGCTAAATATGCTAACGCTTCAGTAAAACAACTTTGCCGTTCGTAATTGTTCATAGAGACGACATTGTAGGTAGTTTTATCGATGCAAAAACGTAATCTTCCGTACTTCATGCAGTATACAAAGTCATGCGTGTATCGAGTATACAGATATGTGCACAGCGAGACATATTTCCTGCATGCCCAGTTGTCGCAAATTTACGAAAGTGGCAATGAACTTGAAGTTGACTGACTTCTGTGCAGTTCACTAAAGCATCGTGCGTGTGTTATTACTACAACTTTAAAAACTGTTGTTTTTTGCAGTCGCTTTCGAGTGTGGACCGGATCGCATTGTTGTACAAGGCAGGTCAACCGAGCCCTTTTCGGGGCTGGTTTATCCCGAAGGGATCTTTGAAAAGTCCTGTCAAGCCGATCTGTCTAATCAGCGAAATTTTACTCTTGAGATCCCTTTACAAGGAACATGTGGCACACGCTATACGGTATATTTCAGTTTTTGGCAGAAACAGTATTATGTGGTGTTGTATCTGTAGTTCGACATAACCTGCAAATAACTTGAACGAACACGATCGCGAGCAGTCAACACATTTACAGTATTAACAGCACAGTTACATATATAGTGTATCCCATCTTTAAATTTATCTGGGTAACTTTCTTATTATAAGCAAGACTGTGCGGATGTTGTCTGATAATCTTTAGCTGTGAATCAGTTTACGTGCGTTTTAGGGAAATGGATTGTACGAAAATGTCATCATCATCCAATGGGATGACCTTATCGTAAGCATGGACTTTCTTTTGCACTAAGATGTTATACACGTGAATTGTGTGCTGCAACTGTGATTTCTTAAGGTCACCCGACGAGATCGAAGATTTAAAATCAGCTGTCAGTACGATCTTAGCGACCTTGAGATCAGGTACGTAGGAACCTGTTATTTCGCTATTATACAGTCCATCAAGCATGTAAAAATTACCTACTGTTGCAGCCATAAGCCGATGGAAATTGGGCAGGTAAGCATACAATACTTGTTTGCTGCCATCTAGTGAAGTGTATCTGTTTTAGAAAAACCACATTCGTCATAATTAATTTCAGATGACTCCCATGGAAATGAGCCTCAAAGTGCCCCGCCCAGATCCCGTTATTCGTCTGATTAACATGGATGCCAATGATGTGAATGTGGCAAGGTAAATACGAGTACATCACCGAATGTTATACTGTACTGACTGCGGTATTACTTACTGCGTCTCTCTGATTTCGGTTTCACGAGAAACTGGTTTGAAAAAAAGTCCATATGCGAAATGCGAATATATTGTAGACCAACCCACAAACAGTATTACAGTATTAAAAAACAGTAGCAGTATTATTAAACTGGTATACTTGATGACAATACCCGTATTTTACTCAACACTATTATTTTGAAAAGCTACAAAAGGTACAATAGTGCAGCGCCTAATGACTGGTTAGTTAGGTACTTACTTCTGACATCCGTATACCGTATTTTTTTACTACAGTAATTGATGATATTTTTATGGAAATGGCTATAGGCACCCCCTTTCACCCCCGTTATCTATAGGCACCCCCTTTCGCACCCCCGCAGACTATAGGCACCCCTTTTCGATTAATCAATCTCTGCACCCCGTTGCGTGCGAAAGCTATAGGCACCCCTATTTTATCCGTTAATGCTATTTTTAAGGTCGAATTTCTTGACCTTAGAATACAGAAAGTCGTTGCACTACCGGCTCCAGAATTTTTTCTCTTGTAATATGAACTGCATTGTAATAATAACGGTGCAATTTCTGTCAAAATTTGTAATAATAAAGCAGCAAAAACTGCTATGTAGTGATAATGTCTGACAGTCTGTAATAAGTAGCCCATCCGAAGATAATCACGATCTGACAGTGATCTGGTCTATCCAACCGCTATCCAAGAAAAGTAGAAAACGACTTTCAGGACAGTTATTCGGCTTTTTCCACATTTGAATCTGCCTTCAAGGCTTCTAAACATTCATAGTCAGACGATCTGAAAGCGGCCCATTGTCGGATGGAGTTTTTAGTACAACTTTTTATGTGATGCCTTCAAATCGTCAAAAAAATCTATGTCAACCAAAAAAACTTTCAAAAAATCTTAGTCAGTGCTTTGCTAAAAAAAATAAAAATGGTTACCTATAGTCCGCGGAAAAAGACGGGGTGTGAGAATTATCTAACAAAAAAGGGGTGCCTATAGTAAAACAGGGTGCAAAAGGGGGTGCCTTTAGCAAACGGGGGTGAAAGGGGTGCCTATAGTCTCACCCTATTTTTATTCGGGCAATAGCCAATTAACAGAACAACAAGCCTGCGCTGGTAGATACTAACTAAAACATAGATAGACACTATAGATATACCGTGGTAGATACTGTACCGTATTTGCAAATACTGCGTAATAAATACGTGTGCGTCATTATATAATAGCAATACATTTTGTATGCCTTCATAAAAATTAATAGACAGAAATGCAAATAATTATAAAAAGCAGTATGATTTTTACTAGTACAAACGTATGCAATACGGGGATTGTGGTTGTTTGTAAGGTTATAAATTCATGTTTAATAATATACGACTAAATTATTTAAATGAATAAATATATTATTTTGTTTTGTTATTGTTTGTTTGTTAAATACTTTAAGTAATTGCATAATGAAAAGCTAACATTTTGTATAGTACTATCTGCACAGTACTATTAAGTTTTAGTTAACGTTTATTTACTAACGGAACCTATACGTTGCGTTATGCTTCCAGGGTTGGCGACAATATGGTGTTTCGAGTTGAACTCAGCAAAGCCAGTACGTTGTGCATTATAATTTACTAATTCTGCCCTTTTTTATCAAGTTAACTAATTCTGCCCTTTTTTATCAGGTCCTTACGGAATATTTGCAAGAAACTGCCGAGCACAAGGCGAAAACCCCAGCGAGTTTCTTGACTTGATCAACGACAAAGGATGTCCGCTTCATCCTGAAGTGTTTCCACAGTTGCAGAGAAATGGATCGGCACTGGAAACTCAGTTCCTGGCCTTTCGCTTTCGCAAATCGTTTCAAGTGTTCTATCAGTGCACAATCGATTATTGCGTTGACGCCTGCCCACCGGTATAGCACATTTAAAAACATTAAACATCCAAAGTTGTGCTCGCTCTGGTTCCATGTACTCGTTTTAAACTGTCACAAAAGATCAGTTCGCTTTAAGCTAACGCAAAAGAATCCTAATATTTAAAAAATTTCAGTTAGTAAAATTGAGCTGACTTACATGGAGCTGTTATGTCGAAGTACTTCCATTTATTATAATGTTGTAGACTTGTAATTCTAACCATAAGTTATAAGTGTTTACTGACATCAGTTTTATTCTCTGATTCCAGGCGGACTGTACAGGAATTAAATCATTCGGCAGAAGGAAGAAGCGCGAATCTGCGACCGAAATCCCCAGTGCTGACAGCGTCAAAAACACACTAATTATTCTCGATGACATTCCAACTAGGAATTTGGCTCAAGTGTCACATTCTAAACTAAGTAAGTTTACCAGGCTTTTCAGTTTTACTTGCCCTACCAAAATTTAGTTTCTCGGATCGCAAGGTCAAAACCAGATCGATTGTACCATAACGCTAACTGCATGACCTTTCCAAGTCTCCAATAAGGATGCCATTGCAGATATGCACATGATTACCGTAGTAAATTATTTCTTAGATTCCTCAGTACTGGTTTATCCAACACCTCCAGCGGCAACCTGTGATGCAACGTACCAGTTGATAGCCATCGTTTTGGCAGTAATCGCGGGGTCCTTCTTTGTACTGCTTATTGCCATGATCGTATTTTTCCTTATGACCAATAAACGATCAAGACGACCGTCCAGCTACTATGCCACTGCCGCATCCAAAGAATTTGCCTATCCTAATCATTACGTCACAAGAAAGTGATTCTCTTCATAAATCAGTGCCGCTGTTTTCAACATTGTTGGACATTGTTAGCTAATCATTGTACCAAACAACAAGTGCAAGCAAACGTGTTGACGTGCCGCCCAAAGAATGAGCTGCCCGTTATGTTGAACACTGTAAAGAAAAACAGTAGAAACGTTAACAAGCTAATATGCGATGCTGTTACGGAGTATCTTATACTGAAATTATTATACTCACGTAGAAATCGTTGCGCCGACATCAACTACGAACTGGATTTTTTTTGGGAACTCCACTGGATATAAGTCATTGCGCCAACACGTCGTTTCTCGCATGCCATAAATATCGTAATATTATGTAACTCTAGATTTTACAAAAAAATCTGATGATCAGATGCTTGCAGTACTGAAAAACGGTAGTTTACTCAAAATTTTTCAACAGTGATAGCTCTTACATATCACACATTTGAAAACTTCGACAAAGCACGCAAGCCGAAAATAAATCCACGAAAAAACAGCTCAGGATTTATCACAATTACCAAAGCAGAAGGGATCAATCAGCCGTTTGCATTCACCATCGCCGCAATCACCAGAACTGTTCTCAAAAACAGGACGTCCATAAAACCCTTAAAAATCTAAAATCTGCAGCGTCTATACAGGGATGACAAAAGGAAGATCATCACACAAAATAAATAAATGCAAAGGCACAACAACGGCTTCTCATCATAAACAGTGATAAAAATCAGGAAATATTGCATTCTAATAGGCCTTCCGCAGTGGCTGTGGGAAAATGCATGGGTAATTCCACAGCTGCCGCTCGGCACATACAGGTCATCGTGCCGTAGCGTCCACTGGGAGCGCTATCGTAGAAGTGCAGGCAGATCCCGGCTGCCCCGCCACAACGCGACAGCGGACAAGACGGTCCCGTTTCAGACTGCAATAGCTCCGCTTTAGCGCAGCACATTGTAGCGTCGCCCTCGCCAGCAATCTGAAAATTACAAAAAAATGTTAGTGTTTTTATCTAATTCTCCAATGGTCAGTTCACCATAACTTTTTACGGATGCTACCATCTGAAACGCCAGAGCCAAAGACTCACGCAATGTTATTACGCCGTATGCCGAAGTGCAGTACAAGAAACTGATTTCTGTACAGCACACGCGCACATCGTGATTTACCAGGTAGTATCCAAAAAACCATATCTCTTACATACATCGTCATACCCCGGAATAAAAAAAATAAATGATACTACTTACTTGATCCTTCAAAAACACCCGATAAGCGGCATCGACTAAGGACTTCACGTAAAACGGTTTGGAAAACGAACATTTTGGTTCGTATTCCACCAACATGGTCAAAACCATCAATGCCTCGAGCAACAACTGACGATATTCAGGCTGAGCTACTGTTGATAAGATATTTTCAACATGTATGGCGAATTTCATTTCGCCGGCTGTCATCTGAAATGCACGAAGCTATCCACTGCTATTTTTATAACCTTAATAGTTTAATCAGTGACAATAAGAGTACAATGGTCGTACCTCATTCGTCAAACTGGGATTCAAAAAAACATCGCAGATGTAAATGCCTTGTGACTGCAAAGCAAATGCAGTTTATCATTGCAGTACCGTGACACAATTCAAAAACCCAGCCTCGTCAAATAAATGAAATCACAGTACTATCAGACGCCCGCGGCCGTGAGGACTTTTTGAATACATAAATTACCTTCTCCAACAAGGACCAGATTCTAGGATAAAAATCTTGAGGCAGTCTGTTGAGAGCACCGTCAAGACGCCGCCTCCGCAACCAGCGTCCAGTCTTCTCCGGCAAGTCCGAAGCCATAGATTCAGCGTAACCCAAACCACCGGGAGCAGCAGTATCACCGGCACCCGCTTTCGAAGCCGGAACAGAAAGCCCGCGACCACCAAAAATGTCGGTCACGTTTTCATATGCCTAAAAAGGTCTAAACTCAGCTGCGAAATAAAACTCTTTTATTTAGTCTTCGCACAGATATCAGATAATCCAGCAAGTATCATCATGAAACTGTTTTTATGATACTACATTATGTCTGTCAGCATTCATTCGTCACAAATAAGCATTTATCTGATTGGATGAACCAAAATCAATCAAGACACCCGTATCCAAACAAAATCAAACATCATAACTCCCGAGAGCCATACGTACTTACATTTAACTGGATTGACTTTCTCAAGCGTGCAATGCCTGAACGCCCCGCTTTTGTAGTTACCGGTACCACTTTTAAGATATCCGCTTCTCCTTCTAATAAAATTCCCAGACATCAGCAACAAAGCCAACCCTTAAATTTTCCCCATCTGAATGCATACCTTCTCGAGTTCCGATTTCTTTCCCACTAAGAATATGGTGCAGTAACGTTTTCATTTCGTATGGACTGAGATTCAGAAGATAATCGGAAGCTTCTTCCCCTGCAGAAAGACCATTTCATCCATCATGTCATAGAATCAGGCAAAATCATACAACAAGCAAAGTCTACACCGGAGGAATAAATCCACAAGTATCTTCCTCACCTTTACACTTGAGAGCCCGCGCCAGTTCTGTAGCCATGATCTGTATAATGAGACCGACCCGCAGACGTAACAGATCATGGAAAAGTTCCGGTTCGGTTCGTACAAACATTGCCAAATACATAAGGAGCTCCTGTAATTTGGGACAAATTGTGATGTATAAAACACAGACCATAATCAAATTTGTCCATTTACCTGAGTCAACATAGCCGTACTGCTGTCGGCCTTGTAAGCATTACGAATCAGATGCTGCAGCTCATCTGGCGGTAAAGGCCTAGCAAAGCATTCCAGACAATGCAAAACCTAACTACAATAATAATATTTACCAGCGCCGGCGGTTTACTGACCTTGTTATGGTAATCTCATTGTCAGATGGCATTCCCACCGTGACCTGTTTCTGGTGGACAATTAAGTCGGAAACGGCGCGTGCCAAATCTTCCACCCGCTTATCCAGCATTCCTGCTGAGTGCCGCACCAACCACCACTTCTTACTCTGACATGCCTGCAAGAATTTTTAGGCTGCGACAGTTAGGACATTTACGCTTAGGTAATTTATAATCACGTTATATTAACTATTTACAAAATTAAACAAATAACATAAATGCAAAATCCGATGAAGAGCGTACCTTTTCGTACAACTCTCTGATAAGGTCTCCTACAGTCACTTTCCCACTCCGACTAGTCATCCTAGTATCCCAATTAAGGCCTCTGCAAAGCAGGCGAATAATTACAATGCTCCAATAAAAAAAGCCATTACATTTATTCTTGCATTTAGCGTATTAGCACACAGTTATGTACGTGTAAGTAAAACAAAAGAACACGCGCGCGTCACCGCTTGGTACAATTAAAGCACCGCCTGGATTCCAACACTTACTGAGTCAAATACAGAAAATAAATGATCTCCGCCTGTTCACCCAGGGATTCTGTCATTTGGAGCATATCCAACAATTCCTGGGGGTCCAATTCGGTTTTCTCTTTTTCCGACATATCTTGGAACATCATTTTATCAACGGAGCTAGTATGGAAATTCTCCGGCAGCTGACCATCCTCCGTTTGGAATTCTTGTGAGGGCAGACGAGAACGAATATTAATCATTCCCGGGTCGGCTGTATCCACTTGAATAGAGCGTCCACGACGGATTAAACCCGCTATCGAACCCGTTCGAGATCGCATGTCTCGCGACAGACGCCGTTTGCTCATTTCTTTATGGGTCTGAGTCGGGAGCGATGGTTTCGATATCCTCTGCTTGGACATCAGTTGGTCGATGTAACCACGAATATTTTTATCAATGCCTAGAAAATTTCGGTGTCAGACGGGAAAAACGCTTATAAGACGTCACTTACTTTTACGAGAAATCTTCCCGGTATCAATGCTAGAATCCAGGAATTGTAGAGTACAAATACAGGAAGTGTTTAAGAAATCCGAAAGAGATCCTAACACCACCCTGAAATAGAACGGTCTCAGTTAATGCTTGGAAAAAAAATCCCTTAAACGTTCCAACCAAATCTTTAAATAACGCCTTAACCTCCAAGAAGACAAAACCGTGAATTTATTGGTATTTGGGACAAAAAAACGTGAAAAGCAAACCAGGCCGGACTTTACCAGCGTTACGCTAGGGTAACCAAACAGTTTTTAATAGTGATTTTTTGATTCAGGTTGTTGGCTCCATAATTCCATTTACCTTGCGCCATGAAGATATCCGGTCTTCCCTTTACGATAAGTCGCTGCTAGAGCTGGATGAAATTTACCATCGCCTGCCAAGAATAATTCAGTCAGAACCACTAAAAAGAAAGCATTGCAAAGCCAGAACCTTACTATCGAAGGAGCGTTCAGAGAATTCCAAGATGATGGTAGGTCGGCCCAGCATTCGCCAGTTAGATTTAAGGAAAGCGATGTCGGTGCGAAACATGTCCACCAGCAGACTGACGTCCGTCGACAAGTAAAAATGTTCGGGATCGAGAAACTACAAAACATAGTATTTTAAAAGCGCATTAATATTTCAAACAGCGTTTGCAAAACAGCAACCAAGGCAATCCATCTAATACTAATACGAAATCCTTTTACTATTCAGTACTGTCAGGAAACGCTACTCCGTAATAAACACCGCATACACATCCTAAAAACAGCGCGGACACTGTGCTGCTCCACTACTCTTACATACCTGCGGCATAAAAGCAATAACGCGATCGTGAAGTTGATACAATGTACTGGTGCTCAGAACTCCAACTTCACTAGAGGGACGCCCAGATAGCGCTAATTTGCGACTTTTGCCTGCAGATGCAGAATGGCTCTTTAAAAAAGTATAAAACATAGTGGCATTGAACAGTAATACCCAGCTGTCCATAAATGTAGCTCAAAACACGGGCTGGATATACTTCGATCGGCGAAACTTCATTTACGGTTTGCACCTCTATGCCGACCTTCCGCAGTTTTTCTTGTACCGCTTCCGTATCGGCTAGCAGTACAACTGCAATAACCATCCAAATGTAAGAATATACCGCAAATATGTGATTAAATTAATTCCTAGATTACCTTGGACAACAACATCGGGTTTCTTTTCGGTGATATACCGCCTGCACAAGGGATCTATTTCACCACATGCAACAAAACCCTAAAACAGAAAAACAATAATGGTAATCATCTCATTACTCCTTAAGGGACAAAAAATAAAAAAAAGTTCAAATTATTTTACTGCACCTCTCTGATTAGGCAACATAATATGTAAAGCGACTGCCCCCATAAAAATGGTATCCTTCCAATAGGACACCTATCTTGAGAATGTGGGGACTTGAGTTCGGCTTCGATCTACAAATACCTTTGCATTAGCATAGAAAGCAAATTATTACAGCCAATTAAACCACTAAATTAATTAAGAAACCTTTTCTCGAGCTTACTTTATCAATTGGGACGGTGTACATTTCGGGCAGAACTTTTAAACCGTCATCAGTCACAACGATGATGTCTTCCAGCATCTGCCAGTACTGCTGCGCAGCCTCCGTATCATTGTTGAAATAAGCATCCAGCAACAGATAACAGAAAAACATTGGCCACTCGCATTCAATGTTTTCGAAGGCTTTAAGTTCCCACGGTTGATAATGCAGGCGATTGGAATCTTCACGACAAGTCCGGTAACCATCGCGCAAAAACCGTCGTAAACCATACCGTCCCTGAAATAATTGTAAATTCGATACTCCTACGATTAACCAAAGTAAATTACAAGCAACGACAAATAAACAATCAAAGTAAAGCACGACAGAATAAGAAAGAGTACGAGTAATAAAACGATGAACAGAAACATTCTCAACAAGCGACGAAATAGGTTACAACTTAAAAGCACGGACGGCTAGCAAACCACACCAAAGTCCTTTACGAATCGAAGCAAATTACAGAAGATCAGGTACGACGCACCTGTAATTTATCAATGAGAGTGTGCCGCGTAAGATGGATTAAATCCGGATCCTCCACAGCAAAAGCCGGATAGCCAATAACGCACAATAATGCTGCATCCACTTCTTTCGAATTGGATTCACGGGGAAGCATCGACTGCAGCACGGCCTGCAACCACAACAATTTTTACATCAAAGAAAATCCAAATTGAGAACACCGTTCGTACATGGCATTTCTGGGTTTCGTCCGGTATGCAGTGTATAACACTCGCTGGACCACCACGAGCACCAAACAGATCCAAGTCATTCAAAGCCTCCAAAGCTGCCTACAGACACGCAAACATGGATGTAACCCCAACAAAGTCCTTGCCGGAACAGGAAAACATTATTCACCTTAGCCATCCCAACGGAAGACGAATTCAATTCCGGAAGCCCATGATTCGTCTTATCTCCCCGCTCCCAGACACCGTAATCCTGAAACAAAACAAATACAAAATACGAGACCGATTTCGCATACACATGCCCCATGCAGTACCGGGATTCGGTAAGCCGCTTCCACATAAAAGACCAGATTCTGCACAAAGGCAACTTCATCCAACGTATATATCACCTGGACACCTGCGGAGCCCCAAACAAATCAGCGGACGAACAAATAATAATAATAATTGTGAAGTCGTAGCTAAGATGCAATCCTACCGGAAGCTGTCATTTGCGCCAAGATGAGCAGATAGAGAGAGACCGCATCCACTTGCAGATGGCCATACTCGCCGTCTCCCACCACCGTCTGCAGCGTACGACAGCCGTACTTGGCGTGCAGAGAATCCAGTGGACTCTGGGTCTTCTTGAATTTCTCCACTTTCGCTGCCTGCTTCACCATGCAGATCAGCAGGCTCCGCATGTTTTTTATACATCTCTACAAACGTAACAAATCGTCCAATAATTTCACCCAGAATATCACTCTCCACCAGGGTACCATCATTTCCTTTTGAGTAAACCGGTTTAATTTGAGAACAGAACTTAAAGTAAGTAACGACAAAAAAAGAGAAATTATTTGGAATATCAACTTCGTATAAGAATTTCCATCAGGAGAACTAAGAACTATCTCTCCGTCTACAAACAGGATATCAGAAACATCAAATGTATGAAACCTCAGTCAACGCGAATGTAGCAACAATAAATAAGCACAAAAATTACACGAACCAACAAAAGTAAATAAGCAAAACCACGCAGTTTACTGACTTGCTGTAATTCGTAGCATTTAGCGCGATCCTCATCCAGATCCGAGTTCTTCCTGTATGCGAGCGACAAGGCCCACACTGAGAGCACCGAATACACATTGTCCCGAATCCAGGCATCATGAACATCTGCTGAGCCAGGGAACAGTCCGCTCACGGGATCCTGGGGAATTATTTACAACGACGATCAAAAATGTGTTCCGTTTGTGATTTTCGCAGCGGATATGCATGGCTCGTTGACGGGCCTACCTGATATTTCAATATGGTTTTGTAAACCAATCGTTGATAAAAATCCAGACGAACTCCTGAATTGGACCGTGAACGGAATCGCTGGGAAAGTCCAGTGGCATTATTGTCCAGAGAGATAGATGCAGAACGCGAGAACTCCATGAAAGCGCTACGTTGCGCGCACAATTCGCGGAAGAAAAATAGTTGAATATTTGCTGGTTTCTACAAATGAAATCCACAAGTCAGCATCCCAAATTTCCAATTGCTTCGTGCAATCGTATTGATTACGTAATAATCAAGGGTTAATCCACGATGCGCGTAAAAACATTAAAAGTATTTTTAGAAATCATTACGCCGTACGGATTCAAACTGACAGCCGTTCAACAATAACTTTGTTCCCTGTTTGGCTTTTACATTAGTGGTGAAGTGCCAAACGATGGCGGGTGCTTTTGAGCATAAAAAATGCACTCTGATGACCGATGTTCCAGTAACCTCGTAAACCACCTTCATTTCTTGGTTATCCTGAAACACGAAACAACTTTTTAATTTTAATTGATTAACTTTTAAGAATAAAAATTCTTCCGTACGCATTACGTGGGAAACAGTACCAGGGTTCTTAAACAGGTAGGTAAGATACTAAAATTACACACAATGTTACTTTCAGACCAGATAGCATCATCACACTGATGGTTTGGTTCATGCATAAATAATAATAAAAGTACTTACGTTAAAAGTTTTTGCGAAATAGTCAGTTTTTTGGGATAGCAGTTGTCTATTCACTGAACCGCTAAGAACGTTTTTCGACGCCGATGAAAATCTTATTTACTTGCTTTTCCAACCGACAGTGAGCTTTCCTGACCGGTACATTTCATTTGCCGGATCATCCTTACCGGCGACATCATGATTTGTCAAACAGGACAAATAATGGTGAGCAATAACTAATGCCTAATGGCCTATGAACGCTCAGTATTTAATAATTTTAGAGTATTTTTTAGGCTTGTAGAAACACAGGAATCGATACCCATGCTTCGTAATCAGTAAATGAATAACTGTTGGTAGTGGTAACTTGGTACAGTAAGTCTTATTTCAAGTTATTTTCGAGATTTATCGAAGATCTTAAATGCACGGAAAGTGGCATTATCAACCTACAATGCATGTGTGTTCAGTGTCCACTGTTCAGTCTATGTGAGTTACTTATGTGAAATTAAATTCTGAATCTACGCATTTAATCCAATAATTTCATGTGTTCTTGAATCGAGAATCAGACACAAGAAATATTCCAATTTTATATTATTCCATAAGCTTTGCGTATCATATACTAGACATGTAATGGACATGGGCATATATACTTGTATCTGAAACTTAAAAAAACAACAAATTTTACATAACAACCCAATCAATCTCTTTGCAGCATAATAACACAATTCGAGAATACAAAAAAACTAACAAATCTACATAACTGCTACAATTTTTAGATCAGTCCAAGGTATTTGGTGCCAGAACATATCACGGTGATATAAAAGGAGGACGAAAGGGGAAGAGATAAGGGGAGCAGAGGAGATAAGGAGAGCGGAACACACCACAAATAAATTCCCAACAACATCCCAGCACGCTAATAGGCAGCACCTCTCATTAAAATGTGAAAAATTTGCCAAAATCATCCAAATAACATCTGTAATGAAGATTCATCCAAGACATCCAAATTGAGGTGCCGTCATGCAGGAAAGCAAAGCCGGATCAAAAAACAGATAAAAATTATAACAGCATATCTACCATACTACTTTTCATATATAGGAAAGTATTGCATTGATTTGGTAAATCCAAACAAGGAACGGAAATGAGGTCATTTGCAGCTCTCACTCTCTCTTTCACTTGGCCTCATTTAAAACCAGGCGGCGTATGGTCGATCATATCAACTAGGACAGGCTCCAAATAGGATAAAAACTGGCACTGAGCAGAATTCTCCGACTGCGTCCTTGTTTTGCAAAGGACGAAGACATTGAGACAGGAACAAGGCGAAGAGTTCAACATTTGTGCTAAAAACGGCTGGATCATCCGAATGCGACAAGAGCACACACGTTCACCATAGGGCACAACAATAACAAAACTTTTATCCACAAAAAAAGGAGTTTCTCTGCGTAGAGCAATCTGAATATAAACGGCTTCGATAATTTCTGGTCCAAAATCCAATCAAAAAGAAATATGCTGCACTCTCTCCAATACATCATGGCTCCTTCCCCATTATAATCCATTCCCCCTTATCCCCCTCCCAGTTTCAGAATATAAAATAATATTACTATAAATACTATCTTTTTAAATAATTAAAATTATCGCTATCGGTTCCGGTAAAAGAGAACGGGAGTCGGGTTCTGATTCACAAAAAAACAGGAAAAACCAAAAAGAATACGAAACCAGAGAGTGAAATCAACCCAGAAAAGTGTCCAAAGCGCATGGTCATGTCCTTTTGATAATCCACTGGTTACAAATCAGCCTGGATGCGGATAACCTGATTGACCGACTGCTGACAAATGGGGCACTTCTGCTGAATTCGCGCACAATCCATACAGAACAAATTGTGTCCACAAGGTACCAAGGCGGCCACAATGTCACGATCTTGACACAAAATACATTCTCTCTTAGTTCGCTGGCTGGTGATCGACTCGGCCGGTGAACTTGAGCATGCCGAATCACCTAAAAATATATTTTACACCAGATCAAAATACAGCACAGAGACCAGGCGCATTCAAACAAAAACACACTATCCGATAACACAGGAGTCGTTATAGTGCTAATAATACCATTGGATTTAGTGGGTTTGGGGGTCTTCTGTGTTTGGTTAACCTCGACACTTATTTATTATACTATTCACTATTCAGTTTACAAAACCTTATAGCCTAATTGGCAACCAACCACTTAAAACTGAATACACGGAAAGTTGGATGTTTAATGCGTGCCCTATATAACTCTCATTAGCCAAGATTGTTTAATTTAGTAAAAATTATAGCGTTTTAAACCATTAAAATCCAATGTGATCTCCAACATAAAATCTTATGCGAGATGAAGCCCGTAACGGAATAGAAAAGCCTTTCTGCTTTTGCAAACAGTAAAAACTAGAAGGTAGAAAATATTGCGCGAACGAGAATAACACTAATAAAACATTGGAAATGGCTATAGGCACCCCCTTTCACCCCCGTTATCTATAGGCACCCCTTTTCGCACCCAGTTAGACTATAGGCACCCCTTTTTGATTAACTAATTCCTGCACCCCGTCGCACACGAAAACAACAAACGACCAAGCACGATAAAGTGAAACGAGATAAAAGAACAAAAGAGGGAATGGTCAATCATGTACTAAACGAAATCCGTAAGAAAGATGCCGGGGCGTTTATTTATATCGTGGTGTCCGATACCCCAAAAGGCCCCACACATTACAATCATAACCTCAGAAATGCAAGAAAACTTACCAAAGCAACCCAATCATTATAAAGTCAGTCAAACAGGCACATTGTCGAAAGGAGTGCCTAGTACGAACGCATTTTTATGTGAATGACTTAGTCATGTCAGATCGTCAAAAAAATTTTTGTAAACCAAAAAAACTGTCAGAAAATCTTTGTCAGGCTGCTGGGAAAAAAGACTGCAAACAGAAAACAGGTGCCTATAGTCCACGGAAAAAATGGGGTGCGAGATTTATGTAATAGAAAAGGGGTGCCTATAGCAAAACAGGGCGCAAAAGGGGGTGCCTATAGCCAACGGGGGTGAAAGGGGTGCCTATAGTCTCACCCTAAAACATTTTACATTTGCACGGCTTGCTGTGATCGATAATTCAGCAGCAGCGTCCATATCACTGATGCGTCAAATTATTAATTCTGACTCACTCTACATCAGCCTACTCATACTCTGACTAAACCGGTTTGCCCCACAACGGCTCCAACTAACACGGAAACGCCTGACCCGCATTAAAACAACTTCCCAAAACTCTCCTGAATATGAAGATTACAGCACCGATTACTCACAAGTACACAGCGCACTTGAAACGGCAAGGGCATGTTACCCTAGTATTACCAGCACCACTTTCAGCAGTCACACTCACCGGTGGAATTTAACGAAGCCTTGTTGAAAATACCGAAATTGTTGGAAAAACCAGAGGCAAAATAATTTGGTCCATCATTTAGAGACATATTATTCTGGTATGCCGAGCCACAGCCTGAGGAACCGTGACCACCACCACTGTTCCAGATGGAAGGCGCGAACGTCGGCATTGGATCGCTGTTCAGCCGACGAGCATGTGGATGTTCCATAAAATCAAACGAACCCGGCGATGGATTATTAATACCGGCAATGCTGAAGCTGCGAGTCTGCTTATTGCCAGAAGAAAAAAAAGCGTCACGCCCGCTAACGTCAGGTGTCGGGCTCGTTTCTCGTGGAACATTCCAGCAGCCAATATCGAATTTGAATGCTATACATAAAGAAAAAAGCAATGAAAAAACTCTACAGCCGTGATGAAGGTCAGCAGATATAGTTCGTTAACAATGCAACGCATAGCTCGCGCCTTTACCATCGGTAAACTATGCCAAAACAACAACCAATTTAAACGTCGAGCGTGACCAAGTCATGCCAAATCAGTCAGTCGCCTGGATGGCTTATTGCTAACTTCAACACATTTAAATAACTGCAGCAAGGTTAAGAAAATTCCAGGCGCAAAAAACAAACAAACTACCAAAACGAACTTTTAAGAAGATTGTCAGATAGCAAAAAATTTGTTAGATGAGATCGACTCACCATTATCCTTTCCGGATCCACTGAGATCTTCTGTGCTGCCTCCGTAACCCAGAAGACGCTCGGTATCCTTCCATATGTCCATACCATATGCACCATTGTCCAGCGACGAAGAACGTTGGCGTGTAGGATCGTTTTGCTGCAGCAGTAACTCTTCGAGTGTGCTGCCCGTGCGTGCTAGCACATGGTCCTCGATTAGTTCCTTAGCGCGCTGTACACCTTCCTTACAACCGGTAATTTCAAATACTGGGTCCTTATCTCGACCGGGAGTTATGATATATGTCACGGTATCCTGTTGAACCTTTTTGATAGTCTGTCCTTTGGGTCCCACAATCAGACCAACCAGACGCAACGGAACCGGCATCTGAATTGTAACCTAGAACGAAAAAAATTTTCCTCTATATTCTTGTGAGACGGAAGATTTTGGTACTGCGGTAATTGCACATAACACTGTTAATTATCTGTCTCCAATAAGATTAGGAAGCATGGAAGAAAGAGACAGAAGAAACAATGAAACATAATGAGACTTTCCAGAAATTCATTACGACCATAGCCAGGACAGGTACCGAGAAAATTTGATTCATCGGCTTACAACCTGTGTCCCCTAGATCCCTCTCTTATTGCCACTTAATGCCACAAAGCCAGGCATTTTTCTCAAGCCTCGACTTAGCTGATGCTATCCATCCATTGTCAGGCCGTTAGCTCTTCTAAAAGCCCTACTCCACTTCCTTGGTGGGAGCCGGACACTTTGTTCTAAGCGACGGCGTCAGAGATAAGTAATGCAACCAAACCACAACAAAGGGACAAACGCCCATTCTGTAGCAAGACACTTACTTGCTATGGATTTTCTGACTCAACATTACGCGATCCGTGCACTGTGCAACGTTCGTACTACTAATTTACGATCGAAATTCAAACTCAAGTTGATTGTAAGGTAAAACGTATGCTGATTTTAGAATTCCGGATACTAGAGTAATAATGTATTGTACATCATAATTATTAAAAAACTCGGTGAATCAAAACCAACGAGCAACATGAACCTTATATTCTCACACGAGCAGTATTTTCACAAACAAATCTCAACTAACTGTAACAACCATCCAATAAAACTTTCTTTAATCTAAATGCCAAAGACCTTTCTTTGTTTGCATTTGCTCTGCCCTCTAGTCGCACATTTTTTTCGTAGTATGCGACTGTAAGTCGGACGCAAAATATTATCTCTAATAACACCAAAAAATATGAAGAAGCAAAACCATTACTTTCTATCATGCGCAAATTTCACAGCCAGGATCTGAAGTTTAGTGTTCTAATTCCCGTTCAACGCATGTAGGTAATTTCGCCGCAAACATCCAGCTCGCCTTTTCTGTTCAAATCCTGTGAGTGAGATTCATGACAAAGAAATCAAACTAGAATGTCTCACTTTTAGGCTACAAGAGCGCCTGGCAAAAGTTTCTCTGAAACTCTATACCTCACATGACCGCCACTCAAATCTTCTCTCTCTCCATCTGTCTCGATACTAACAGGCTCTATCTCTATGCAAAGGTAAATACAAGGGAAACAAAGGCAAATGAAGAATTTGCGAGAATGCACCAACAGAAGATGAACAGGTGCATTCCTTTGTTCGTGACAATGATTACCCTGAGGCCGGGGTACATACGGGGCTGCAGAACATTCAAACTGGACGTTCGTGCAACAAAGACTACGGCAATCCGAATAAGCATCCAAGCATGTCAGTACAATACTTCAAAACGTTTGAAGAAACAGAAACCTAAAATCTCAGATGACCCACCTGCCCAGGAACATGGGGTGGCGGATGAAGCCGGCGCTGGGCTCGTATCTGCGTAAAATGATCAGCCGCTTGAAGAATTTCCGCTTTGGCAATTTCCACATCCTCACGCCGTCCCGTTATAACGAAGACTGGTTCCTCCCCACGAATTGGTGTTTTAATGTAAGTATTCGTTTTGGATCTCAACGCTTTGATCTTGCAACCTACAACACCGACCAATTATTCGAAGCCGTCCACAATACGAAAAAATGATGATACTCGAGTTCTCGAAAATTTAAATACGAATATTCTAATAAGTGTTAAATCGTTGTCTTCCGGTAAAGAGTACTCGTATTCAGCAAGTGTTAACTCACTAATCACAGATAAACCATATTGTTTAGTAAGTAATTCATTCAGGTACACACATTAACGATTGGTATTAATTTTTATATAATATCTATACGAAGTATGCAAATAATTTTGTTGCTTCAGTGCATTTAACTCGGCTATCAACTCCGAAACTTCCCACGAATTCAAACAACGCTCAAAATGATTAATCACGGCTCCACTACAATCAGCCGGACTGTTGCAGTCTCACACCTACCCTTTTCGACATGATAGACGTTAAGTAGCTGCATATTTAAGACACATTTAAGCACCGCGCAAACACCGAAGTTCACAATAACCATGAAGATGGACATCTAGATCACCCGCACAACCGATTGCGGAAATTATTAACTTTACAGCTGTCTGTGCTCTCTTAACACTGAATAACTTTGGAAGAGACACCTTCTACTTTTAGTAAGTACTGCCCTCCAATACGCTGCTGTTATTTATTACGCTAAACAGTGATAAAGGAAACCAATTTTTCTTTCCTTGATATCACCCTTCTACAGCAGAGCAAGCGTAAAAATTGATATGAGAGAAATCTTCTATTTTAACCTAATTCGGCTCTAAATGTAATTGGGCGATCATTTTTCTCTGGGACGCTGCCAGGGACGGGACAGTGCTCCCGATATGCGAATCCAACTGGTGTTCAATATGCTCTTCCTGGACACCGGAAAGAATACAGCTTAGGGGCAATACTCTTCTCCTCGGATCCAGTATGCCCTGGTTATTCACACTGGGAAAGCCTGAATAATACTGTCAGCCGCTCAACAAGCAAACCGTTAAACGTAAACTTATAAATGGAAATGCCGTGCAGCCTGCTCCTGCACTCTATGCATAATATTGATTGACCCACATTCAAACTCAGCACAAAAACACGCTCGCAAACTTAAGAGTGAGCTTGGTGTGTCTCTAATTTCAGATTCATGAGGATTTTACTGCTATGTGTATATCAGTGGCCTGTATTAAGTGCCGTCCGTCTACGTGCGCCGATCACTGCAGTAGCGATACGCGAGGAAGCATTTTAGTCTAATGTTGAAAATGTGGAATTTCACACTCGTTCTTCGGTGTACAATATACTGAAAGCGCCTTTCAGTGATATTTCAGATCAAGGCGCCACCGAATGAGAACAAGTTTCTCTCTCTCGGACCGGTATTATTTGCTCATTTCTGATCCTGATCAATCTAAAGTAATATCGAGTGGGTCTAAAAATTGACCTCTTCTCTCGCTGCGAAACCATCATATAAATTTCCTCTGAACTCTCCGCGTCAGCCTGTAAGCGAAACTAGCGGAAAAGCGTTATCTTATCCATCCTTTGTTCCAGAGGTTTATTAACACAGTGTCTCTGAACCAGTTCGATCACTCCGGCGTTCTACCGCTGCAAACTAACAAATTTATGGACTTAGTCAACTGATTAACTATCTTTTTTATGATTAGCAGCAACTATTTCGCTAAATAAACATATAAGCGCACAGGTAAAAATCGTATTAGCGAATATCAATAAATGTATAAATTCCATAAATTCAACCGGGAAAAGTGTTATCAAAAAGAGTACGAGTACCAAGCAATAAGTAACGATACCGTGAATGACACATCAACACCACAAATCGATGGATGCACGGCACAAACAGCAGCACACAACTACGCGGAATATATTTCCGTTATACAACTTTCGAATCGAGCGTTGTCGATGCGCACAACGCCCAATCAGTCCGATGTGTGACTGCCAAAACTGGACTGTTGTGGGAAAAAGAGCAATGTGCTGTCTATATACTCTATACCAGTAATAACCAGTAGACGCAGTACCAATTCCCGTTTAGCCCTGAGCGCAGGGTATTCACCCAACCTAATTTCATAAAAAACGCCAGACTTTCAAAGATTTTTAAGAACATTTATCAACGTGTTTTTAATAAGGTAACAAATCGTCGCACACCACTGAGAAAATAAAATTAGCCCTGCCAGTCTAGATAACACCATCGGAAGCATAAGCCGCAAAGTATCGTCTAACAAGGTTTTACTTTTATCATCAAAATTAACCCATTTCCACGACCGCCAGCTACCGAAGAATGAGGACAGTGATCTCGGTTTCCATGTGCAGAGTTCAAGGAATACAGTTCATATGGTTATAGTTTATCAAAAAAATCTGCGCTACGCTCACGCATAAAGACTTCGCAACATCGATTTCCTTGCGCGTTTTAGCGCAATGTCTCACATTTATACACACCATTTTTGTGTAATCAGAACGAAGTAAACCAATACACTCAGCATCTGAATGCCTCACAATACATATTACGGTTATTACCCAACATTTCCAGGAAGCAGTCAAATTATTAAGCATTCCAAGGACAACGACAATACAAGACCTTCGCATTCAAGTACATACCTTGTTTGCCAACGATTTCCGCCACATGTTCGGAACTAGGTACCGCAACACACTCTGTCATGTTCTGCGACCGTTTCAAGGACTGCGAGAGTGCTGCGGCGGCGGCAGCGGCAGCGCTGGTTGGCGACGGAGGTCCACCATAGCGTGCTGAGAGCGACGGAGAGTACATGAAGGCAGGACTTCCATTTGGAGAAATATCCGCTTGAAGATGAAGGCGACTCAGTTCTAGAGCCAGCTGTAAAGTTCTCTGGTCACACTCTGAAAAACGAAAAAATGCTGAATTTTTGGGGACGTCAATAAATGAACTCAAGCCACCACATTTCGTCCCCGCTTATTGTCCCGATAAGCGGGATAGCCATCAGGACTGCGATTTGGTCTACTGTTAAACTGTTCTGTCCAAATCACTTTAGCCATAACCACGAATATAATTTTTCACGGCGCTTTTTGTAAATATTTAAGCAGTCAAGAAAACACGAAACGAGTCAAAAGTTTAGCTCACACTTATTTCCTGAATACAGTGATACCTAACAGACACAATTCCTGTAATTTCCACTTATGTACGCTTCACATTTCACACCAACCTTTCATCTTAGGGAAACATTGCGAGAACTTAGGAATTACGTACAAGAAAGAGTCATAGCACAAAGGAAGAACGGATAAAAATCTTTTGTGGTAAATCATAAGTGATGAAAAATCTGGAAAACAAAGCAGCAAAAATAACCTAATGGTGTGCGCATGTCTCATCGTTAGCCGCATGAAATCATCGACAACTGGGCTACGTCATAGAGATGCTTGTGAACGGGTTCAAACTTTCAGCTACTGTGCAGTCGCAAGTCAATGCGTTGTGCCGCGAGTGTTACGCATACAAGACGAAGTGGATCGAGACTACAACGTCTGGCCGTATAACCTTGCCAAACCCGGTAACGCAATCGCTACGAACTGTTGCAATTCACAACTCCAGCTGATTATACTGCTGATAAACTTCCCGCTAATTCGAAACAGGAAATAAAAGGTGACTCTACAGCTAGTTGCCGCCACATTTACCAAACTGATATTCAGATTCTCCATACCATTATTTTGTTAAACGATAGTAACAAATTGCAACCCAACAACTGACTGCTACATAGTCATAAGACAGTTTCTGACTCACCGAGAGATCCGTTGGACAGGGGACCCAGGCTGTCCAAACTGGAATACTGCGCCGGTAGTAAGCTTGGACTGGGCATTGCTGTTCCAAATCGATTGGAAGCGTTGAACGAGCTCCGTTACAATTAGGATGACCGAAAAAACTCGGGCAATATCCGTTCAGATATGGTTATACGGAAACTGGAGCATCAATCTTTTTGCTTGGCGATGCTTTTGTGGATGTTCCGCCGTGATTCTCTGCGCTTGTAGTTTCGGTAGTCAAACATAGCTAACTCAACCAGCCTGCAAGTTAGCCGCGTCTGTTCCAGTTTTGGCTTGGGAGTAAGTAACTGAATGACTATATCACGACAAAAGGCAAGAACAAAGACTGGCAGTAAACCTCAGTATCGGATAATGCTCTCTGCTAAAATCGTATACTCGCTAGACTATAAAGAGCACAGATGCAAACAGTAGCCGGCGCTGTTGTGACTGACCCTTCCACGTTCATGCGAGAATCAAATAATTTCGCTTTCAAGGGGCTTCGCGTACAACGCACTAGGAGGACAAACTCGCACATAGAAAAATTCTATTCCCGGAAAGCGAGCGGCTGCTAGCTGTATTTAAGCGGCTGAACAAGAAATAGTTTGCTTCACAGCGCCGCCCACCGGGCTGAGTTTATTGTTAGCGAAGCTAATAATCGCCGCCCACAAGCGAATCCGATTGGTGGCGAAAAACCATTGAGCCGGCCAGACTCAGGCAGATTGAGGCCTCGTCTCGAATTCGAAGCGAATCTAGCTTTGGTATGGTTGCTCAACCGCACGAGGTGGCTGTATGCAGTGGCCACGCCTACAGATACGGTACGCGAAGCCACCTCGCGAGGCGGAGTTGCTGTATCGCAACGAGATTCGCTTCGTTCGGGACAAGGCCTGAGACTACTGTGCTGTGTGCTGTGTGCTGCGGCGCTGCCTACAGTGCGTACTGCCTGCATGTTTAAAGGGCTGCTTCGCACTCACGTATCGGTATGACTGTATGAGCAAAGGAGTTAAAGGGGGAAACAACCGAGTATTACAGTACTGTGGCTAATATTAAAGTGGCCTCGTGACTCTATTAAACTGCAGTTCCTGAGGGGCGATGGGGGTGTACGTGCTATCTGACTGTCACTAGCAAAACCACAACATTGTGTACGGAAGTAAAAGTAGAGCACATTATTATATATATACATATTATTTGAAATTTCCACTATTTCTAGTGTAATTATATACTTTTATAGATCCCGATGCGATTACAGTTTGCATTGCACAAGCCGGGACAAGCGGAACTAACTAATAAGCAGCAGGTCTTGACACTAGGAGCAAGTTGATCGATGTACTTAAATAACAGCAACAAGCGGCAGCTCCTCGGCGTCAACGTAAAAACATGGACGACTACCAAAATTGGATGGCTGGCTTGGACGTAGACAACGATCTTCCCCATTTTGTTAATCTTGGAGATGGAAATGAGGAAGCATTCGATAAAGATGTCACCTCAGAGGGGACACCCAAAGCCACACTGCATGGACGAAAGAAAGTCTTAGCGCCGTACGTTACCGACCTTGTTAATCTTCGCCATTTCCTGCAGGAATCCGAACATTCTCTGCAGAGCGCCGAGAGTTTACCGATGCTGTCTGGCCTTCTTGGATCCCGTTATTCGCATGGAGTATCATTGCCTACAGCAGGGGAAAATTTGCCTGTGAACTCCAGTGAAAGTACTACTAAGTTTAATCCAAATCTTCCGCGAAATCAATCTTGCAGCAGGTTGGATGCCAGAGACCAAGTGAAAATGCACTTGCTCGGTCTTGGAGACGCTTTATTGGAAAACAAGGCTTTCTTGGATAAGATGCGGTAAATGGCGCTCCAAGGTCTGTAACGTGCATAGGTGTTAACTCAACGTACGGCATGTGTTTACAGTGAACTGCGGAACCGCATTAAAAAATCTGCCCCGAAATATTTTGGAAAACCTCCGAATTTGCAGGAATGTAAGCATCGGGCACCGAACCTGACCACGCTCCAGTAAGTAGTACAGTATGCATTTGTTATTTGTTTCAGGAGCTACAGAAGTACATACATGCTTTGCTTGCTGTTGTTTCCTTCAAGATTTCGCTCGTTGGAGCATAGTTACGCAACGATGAATGGGAGCAACTTGAGTCTGCATTGCCGATCCATGTATTCAGCTCCTTATGTGCGCGATACGATGGTAATTTTATTGACGACTGTTTCTTCTGGTTTTAAAATTATGTTGCAGTTTGAAAATGTGTAAATTGCACCGTAAGTCCATTATTGCATGATTGACGGTCTGACGGTTTTGGAAAATTATCGTATTACGTGCCGTCGACTTTTTAGCACACAACTGCATTAATTTGTTAATTTCGTACAATATTTTTACGTCTTATTTACGTTATTTTTCATGTTCTTTAGGTTAAGAGGTTGGGAACACGGCGGAAGACGAATCAGCCAGTGTCGGATATTGTTCTTACGGTGCACATACATCGCGGAAAACCATCAAACCATGTAATACTTGTTGTTGATGGATATATTGAACTTTCATGGGAACTAAGACAAATTGATTTTTTAACAGAATAACCAAGTGCCAATAGCGAAATTTTTAGTTTTGTACTGTCTTGGCGCACATACACTGGAGGACTTGGCTAACCTGATTCAGTGTCCTTTTGATTCCACCGTGGCAAAAGAAAGCGCTGAAAATAACGGCAAATTTTTTACGGACGAGGTACGATAAATTGCTAAGTCTTCGCTGTTTCAGTATTGACTTGTGAGGGAAGCTAGGTCGTATTAGTTATTCGTCTCTGACAAATATTTCATTCCTTCTGACGGGAACTTTTAACGTTATAATGTCATTATTCTTTCTGTGAGAATATCCAGTACCACTGGCAAATACGATATAAAATCAGGGAGCAAAAGAATACTACGCTGCGGGTTAAAGCACTCAATTTTACATAATTTCTTAAGACATAATTGCCGTGGATATTTGTTAGATTTATTTATTTGTTAGGCTGCAAGTAAAGTTTGTTCAGAAATCTGTGTTGTCATTTGCAGAACTAACTTTGGTATGTGCACTTGTAGAGCTGGAAAACCGAAAGACTGTTCTGTATCGAGCACACACTTTTCACAGATGCCCTTGACTTAGAATCTTCCAGAGCAAGGTTGACTTCCTGAATGAGCCATATCCTGTTATCTTGCTTCATGGATACCGTTTTACGGAAAGCTTAATTCTTGTTCTTTCTAGACATTATCAGGAATGGTGTGAAGCTACCAGTTTTTCGAAGGAGGAGATGGTAATCGAACCGCTGAAATCTCGTTGTTTGCTGGACATTCCTGTGCGCCTAGGCTATCCCTATTTGTACAAACACGGCCTAGCTGGATGTGAGCATTCGATTGTTTTCTCGGACGCGCGACTGTTTGATGAGGAGGATGTGGAACCTGGAAATTTTCCACGGGTGATTATGAAGAACACATTCCGCCTTCCGGCTTGTTTGATTTGCCGTAGAGGAAAGGATAAGCTAAGGTACAAAAGGCAATTACATATACATATTTGTATGTGCCACTTTTGCAAAAGCCGTACTAGTACAAGTTACAGTTATGCTCAAACCAGCTAGGAGAAAGTTGAAATTACATTACAGTTATTTTAAACCTGACGAGACATAGTTATTTTTGTTTACTTTTGGGTTTGGAAAGAATAATCTGCGGACCTATAACCCTACACCTGGGCCCTGCTGATTGCAGCTTTGATTTAGAGTATATTGCCCGGTTTTCGAACATTTTTCTGGTTTCGCTTAAGAAGGATTTAACAGAGATATGTCAGAACGTCGTTGTGCATTTCAGATTTCATATCAGTAAATCTGAACGGTTTCCGGCAGCAATAGCATACGTTTGCGAAACATGTAATCAGTTGTTTAATTACGACAACAACAATCAGCAATGGGAACCGCAGGCTGTGATAACTGACTGTAGCTCAAGTCAGGGGAATTCAAATGAAAACGCCCTGGACGGTGATATGGATGATGATGATAATGGGGACGAGTATGATTACGATGATTAGAAAATGATCTGCGATTCGCTATTCTCCCTTTAACCGGGCTTTTTGCACCGACTGGATCTCGTTATTGGGCAACGGAGCCCCGAAATAAATCATTTCTTTGTTTTTAGTTCTTATGGCCATTGTTGTTTGTGGTTTCTTATGGCATTTGTTAATTGTTTTTGGTACTATGCAGAATGTTAGCTGTATGTCTGCGTGGAATCAGGATTTTGTAAAAGTAACTGGTAAAAGAATTTACCTGTTCCAGTTCGTGACCCCTGAATGTGCGGCAAGAAATGAACCAGATGCAAAATTCGTAAAGTGTACTGCAGTTGTCCCTTGAATCAAAATAAAAAATTTTAGTGATAGATGTAGTACTAGAATGATATTATACAATTAATTGTTTTAGGCTACAAAGTGGAATATTATATACAGATATAAAACAGTTCGGTCTGTAATGTTGTAGAGCGGTACTGCTTCAGTATACAGTAATACGGACGCCTTCGGACGGTATAAGTTCTGGTTTACGTATGTACCACGAGTATTTTAATTGACGACATTGGCAAGTGTGTCTTGTGTGAATGTACAAATTATAACTGTATGTTTTTCAAAAATCAAATTCTGAAGTTTGATTTCTTGAAACTGTGCAGTTTGTTCTTTCTCGACAACTGCCGCTCGAATCTTCAAGCTACCGGTAGTGCGAGTCGGGCCTGTGCGACAATAACAAACTCTTCTTGCTAAGTACTTACAACCATAGTACCAGTGAAGGCGCAATGGTGCTAGGACAATACGAGATGGACCGATATGGTGAGCAGTCGTGTTGTACCATAGCAGCTTGTATGAAGCTTGTAATTATTGCTCGTTTTCCCGGATTCCCTACCTTTAGATCACTTAAGTGTCAAAACGCATCGTTTTGTTATTGTTATTAGCGCTTACTGTTAATAAGTTTTCGGAATAATAAAAAACCAAGTATTTTATCGCTGTTTTAACAGCGTTTCCTATTTACACATAAGGCAGGCGTTTGAAATTTGACTACGGTTTACCGTTTACGGCTGAAAACTGATTCAGCCCTTTACTGCAATATGGAACCCATGGACATCGATGCGAACATAGAAACAAGCCGTAACCAACAAGGAAGTGGAAGCCTTCAGCAGACTGTAGATGGCCAGTCTATCGGACAACCACAAGCAGTAAAGCTGCAAGACATCGAGTTGATAACCATCACCGGAAAACAATGCGGAATCCCGCAGTCCATTCCGTCGCCTGTGGTGTTTGTGGATGCCGTCTCAAAGGCCGGCTGGAGTCTCCGTTCGGACCATAACCAGTCGGTTTCGGAAGTCTATCGTGTCGTTAAAGATCTGCATACTCAGCAGAAATTTACAGAGTTGACGTTAATCTATATTTCCAAACTGCAGCTGATCGTTGTCTGTGGTAAAGAGCCCGTGGAAGAGAGCGCGGAAATGCAACCAGGAGAGTCGACAGCGGAATTTGTGGTGATGACGAGATTTATCTCGGAGGTGTGTTTCTCGATCATATGCTCTTCCACGTTACATGTTTTACATGTAGATTTTCCAGGAGGAACAGCAGAAAATGTTCATCTATGTGGTCCCGGGAAGCTTTGCGCTGGGCACGATTACCGGCACAATGCGGTTCATCTTGGACGACGAATTGCAGACTGTCTCAAAAGTGTTGAATGAGCATTATCAGATTCAGCCAAAACCTGGATGGACGCTGGCTGTTACCGACTGCGATCAAGTGAGTTACGTTAACTTGCCATCTCAGTTTACCGAAAGAGGCGGCAAATTAATATGAAAGGGCAGACATATTCGCGACTTTAATTTTAGAGATCGGAAATTTACATAGTTGATACATTTGTCCACGTTTGATGTGGATATGTATTTCCGGGCCTTTTTCACTCAAATCGGCTTTTTGTATCGCTGTATTCCGTCTTGGTTCAATAACGATCAATTTACATTCGTCTTGCTGTGGTCTCTTCTTTTTGTCACTATGATGTCTACTATTTGCACTTTTGTTTGTGCGGCTTTTATGGTTTTGATTAAACCGTAGCCAGTATGCTCGCGTTTTAAAATTTAATTAATTTAGGTATGCTATTACGTGGAGCGGATGTTGACGTTGGACCAACTAAAGCCGCAGCCAAACCGCGACCGAGACGAAGAGCTTTGCGAATTCTTCGGAATTAATCGCGCCATCAATGCCCGTCGGCAGGATCGCCTGCGAGTCCAACAGGAGAAGCGTGAACAGCGAAAACAACAAGAAACTCAACAAAACACAGGTCAGTGTGTAATTTGTGCGTAATTATTGAGTGTGTCGTACAGACTCATACTCTCCTGTTTTGGTATGATTTTAGGTGATGACAACTCAGTTTTTGCATTATTTGATTTTGCGTTGTAGATCTGGTGCCGGGAGCGGCGGATGAAGATGAAGATTGGGAGAACGATGCATTATCACAGAGCGATGATTCTGTTGGAAATTTCGATGAGCCTGATGAGTACGACATACTGGACCAGTAGAAATTGCAAAAATCGATATAATAAATGCCGCTGGTTTTATTATGACGCTTTTAGTTCTGAGTTTGAGACAGTGTCACATTTGAATTCTTTTCAGTATAATAATCGCTTTATGTTCTTCGTTAGTTAGCCCGAGAAACGTAATGACACTCCATGACAGGTTGTTTGGTTCTTTCGGATTTTAGTTAAAAAGAAAACTAACTTTCGGATGGCTCTTTGACTGTGACCACAAGAAACGAAGAACACGTGAAAACAACGATTGATTGACCTTTACATAAATGAACTGACGTTATTAAGCAGTAGTATTGCGGTGGTTATCTTTTGGCGGTATAATACGTCTGCATATTCGAGGATTTTCATCGCATCATAGGTTTGCAGTTTGGAGACGAGGAGTTGACATATCCTTCAAGAGCACTGCATAACGCCCTTTGGTGAAGTGAAGAATGGTGTCCAAAAGTGTAACCTTATCAATGGCAGTGGCACTTTGCATAGAATTTAGCGGCTGTAAATTGCGGGATAGAGTTCACGACAAGTGCGGCAATGAAATCACTGTAGCGTTTAATCGGCTTTGATTCAGTCAAGATTCGCTGGTAATTGATGTATCCATGGCCCTGTTTGTCGCGATGGGAGAAAATTCTGGATAGGATGCGGTTGGATACAATTCGGGTTGCGCAGGACACAGTGCCGCAACACTTCCAACTGGTTTGCATTTTCCATTATCCAGGATGTTATCACATGAGTTAACTAATTGCTTTGGATGGGGGTCTAATAAAATAAGTATGTAGATGAGTAACGGCGTGAAATAAAAGAGTGTTCATACTCTTGAAATTAATTGTCATTTCCCTCAGTACAGAATGGTCGGCCACTCTGACATACGCATGCACAGTTGCGGCTCCGGCAACGTTTCATGGCATGAACTAATCTTATCAAGCGTCAACTATTGAAATCAATCTCGCTTTTAATACATTATCCAACAGCAATTGCATGTTGTCGGTTAGACGGTTAGACGCGTTAATCTGCATCATCGCAATGGATTATTAGATTAATGACAAATAAAGAATCACGATCAAGATCGATTCACTTGAGCGGGGGATATATCTGACGTATTAGGGAGTTGACAATCACGATAAGAGGCAGGAACATATCTCGGGAAGGCTGGAAGGCTCAAAAGGAAGATACTTTGCCGGAACTTGCCGACCGGTTATGTACTATGTACAGCTTTGTTACATGTCCGCCGTACTGTGGTCTTTCCTTTCCGATCCCGCGCGGCATATAACGATACGAGCACCCCGCTCGTCATGTTTTGTGATGCCAGTTTGTAAATGCAACTTCGCCATTCGAGCCGAAGCGGTCAAACAAACTTCCATGTTATTTGGTTGTAATTAGTATTAATTTTGTGTTGCTGCAGTAGTTTGATCTGCGTGAATCTGCCCGATCTGTCATTCCGCGGTGGGTACGAGGTGATACCTGTTTGGTTAATATCTGTAAGACGGAAGACGGTGGATCTGGAAGACATGGACTGCCGAACCGGCAAAGGTTCTTTTGGTTCCAGCACTAGTGACTCGGAAGGTAAATTAGTTTTTTTAATTGTAGTATAGAAATTTAATAATAATACAGTACGTTTTTACTATCACAAAACTTTGAATCAGCAGGGTAAATATTCTCTTCTTCACCTCTGCCATACCGTGTCGTGGGGGCAATTTTGTCATCATGATAATGCTTATTAGCAATGCTTATTAGCTCACGAAGGGCGATTAAATCCAACATGAAGGTAATTGACGGAATTTTGAAAAGCTTGCAAATACAGGCATTGAAGTCTGCTTGTAGTAAAACGATCAGTAAAACTAAGTGATCTCCACCGCTCAGTAATTTAACAAAATGCTTGTCGTACAATGTATGCCGCATGGGTTCCACAAAACAAAAACATAGATCTGACCTTTATAGCACGGATCAGATAATCAGTATTCAAAGTTTTCTTTGCTATTTGTAAAGTACAAATATTTATTCAAATCCAGTTTACAAAACGCACTATGTAGGAAGAAACGCTCCAAACGCTTCATATTATCAGTACATTAATAAATCACCAGTAATAACTAGTAAGCTGTTGTGCAACATGGGTGCAGATATAAGAAAAAATATGCAAGTTTCGGAAAGAAGTTAAAATAGGAATGAAGGGTGGAGTTTAATTCTAAGCTGCAGGTATGGCAGAACAAATCTATGTTTGACCTTTCAAGATAGGTAGTCTTTTATAGCTGTGATATGAGTATTCGGTAAACGGTTCCAGAGATTAAGTTTTTGGAAAAATCAAAAAAGTGACTTCATTCGGCTTTACTATGCCGGAAAATTTTTTCCAAGCTTTCCCAGTAATGTTGTTTGTTCCAACCATGATACACATAAACGAACATCGTAAACCAATGACGATGACCTTTACGTAGTATCATGGGATAATAAAGCACACTGCTTGCTATATGTGAGACAATACGATCGTCTACCCATTTTATGCTGCTATTAGGAAATACGTAAGCAAACAAGTAAGAAAAATTACAACCATCAGTTGTTGTTTCCATTAGACCGTCGTAACGATTGCTTCCTAACCTGGTAACTTAAACGAAAATTCATTTATACTCGTTCACGACGCAGCGAACAAGCACAAAATATTGTTCAACATATTTGTATTTTATATAATGATCAAAGCGCTTATAACCGGCTTCGCATATACATATATGGAATCAAACAACAGGAATGATTGAAAATATTTTAGAAGGATTGTATGATCCACATTTTACTAATCAGCTTACAAGAAATTGGCATCAACGTAATAGATTATTTAAAACGAAGCGTTAAAGCGTGACAAATTTGTTCGCAGATGGTGAAACGGTAAGTGCTGTTCGAACACCATCGCCACTTCAAGTGGTCGCTGGCTGCAGATCAAGTCCGGGATTAGCCTGTATGGTCTGCGGGGACACGTCCTCCGGAAAACATTACGGCATCTTAGCATGTAACGGATGTAGTGGATTCTTCAAGAGAAGTGTTCGCCGGAAACTAATTTATCGGTAATTCCAATGACTCCCTTTTGGTGAAAACCTGTGATATCCTGAAATGAATGATCAAATGTTTTGCACACATCAGAGAGTTTTGATTAATCCAGTATGGGGCCTGATTAACTTGTTTGGATAGATATTATTCTTATATTAAGTATAGGCTACGTTGCGAAACAGGCTTATGAAGATTTCGGGAAGTCATATTTTGTAGATAATATGTGATCGTTAAACCAAACAACAATTTCAGCGGCAATTTTAAAGACGACTGGTCATTTTACAAGTTTGCCGTAATAATTCTTTACTGTAAATAACTATCCACTACATTTTGTAGTATTTTCACATTTTGGTGGCAGTAAGATATGAAAGAGCTATAGATGAGCCATAAATATAAGGAAAGGCACTTCGGTTTTATTATTGTATTATATTATGCTCCTCATCACCCAGTAACGCTGCTGTACCAAGAGGTGATTTTTCCTTCATTGCAAGCATGCTTGTTAACAGAACCTTTCCATACCAGAAGCCGAGATTTTATTTTTTACGAATTTGAAATACGATATGCAATGCAATAAAATTCTTACCTCGTCTTGGCTTTAATTTTGAATTTTAAAACCGTAATTTGACTTTTTTTAGCTGTCAAGCGGGAACTGGAACATGTTACATTGATAAGGCTCATCGCAACCAGTGTCAGGCATGCCGACTGAAAAAATGTCTACAAATGGGAATGAATAAAGATGGTAATGTGCAGCTACTTTAAATTTGAATAAAGTATTCATCGCACATAATAAGTAAGAGATATTTATAAACTGTAATATCATGAAGTATTATGGCTAATAGTAAGTCCAGTACTTCACGTACACAATAATGTAGTAATATCATGCGTTTAAGCCGCAGTAGTTTGTAAAATTTTAAGGCACTTGCTGTGTAGTATACTATTTGGTTGATTGATCTTGCGAACAAGCTGATTTTATTTTTTTGCGATTAAAATTTTACTTTTATTTAATAAATGCTTAATTGTGATTTGTGAGCACGTCTTTACGGTGCGTATGATCACTATGATGTAAGGTATCTATGCACCGTACAGTGCGAACTGTATAACACTTTTTTACAAACAGTAGATCCCTGGGAATACAATAAATACGGTGTAAAATGGTCATCAGGGTGCCACTTGCTGTGCTCAATAAACACCGATGTTATTTAAGCGATAATCTTTCGACTTTTTATTACAAACGCAACGTGTATATTTATTGAAGAGCTTAACCTTTTTCTTCGCGCTACCCTTTGAGGTCGTGATGTGAGCAAAAGGAATCCGTTTTAGCACAATCAGCTTTTTTGGTGGTTGACATGGTTTGGTGGTAGTGTGCATTATGTCGCCGACTCCGGTGGGTGGAAAAATCACAGTCTATCACAGTCTATAATGTGCATTGTTGTGCGCCGAATCCGCTAATGTCAGACAACGACGTGCCGCTGGGACTGTTCGTGACAAAGATCAAAATAATTGCATCCACCCTACTAACTGATAATTCCCCGATTGAATTTGAAAAGGAGCTCACTCAATCAAATTCGCAACAATATATTACCGTCTAGCCATTCTCCTGCCCCGATATCAACAGTGGCATTCACAATTTCTCCAATCTTTGTGAGGTCATTCCAGTGAACTGGGTGTAATAGGGTCCATCCAGTCAATCAGCTCCATCGACGTTTACCCGCGCTCTGAGTGTTTGTTACAAGGGATTTCGCTGCAGTGCGCACGTCAGGAAAATATGTATGAGAACTAAATCGGATCAGGATGCATCAGAGAACACAGATTAGGTTGTCGGGACAAAATGGACAAGACATCCTGCTGATATATTCAATCGGTCTCTCCTTTGCGCAGGTAGAAAGATAATCGGGGCTCTCGTGGAACTGTCAAATTAATTGCTTTGATTCTGTTTTGGGATTCCATGGGTTTTAGCAACGTGCTTTTCGACTACCGTAATACGCAATCTCGGAACCAATTGACCGATAGTTTTAAATATAGTGATTAGAATTACAAATTTTAATGCGAGTTAGTTAACTTGATTGAGTGCGGATATACAGATAGCTATGCATAATAAAATAATGGTTAAAACAGTCATAGGTTGTACTTCGTACAGAAAACGTACGCGCTAGTGGTAATTAATTAAAATCTTAGTTCACCATCTTGAAATCTTTGACCTTTGCACAATCTGTTCCGATCTGTCTAACGATTTGCAACACCTTCGTGTCGCTAATTTCATAAAATCTAATATCTACCCTAACCTTAAAATTTACCAAATACTAATAGTGCTTAGCTAAACACACGTTTTTATTCGTTCACTCAGATAACTGCGTTGTACTCGCCTACTGTACACCATTAACAAATAAAAACCATGGAAAAATAAAAAAAAATCCTGTAATTATTACAGCTATTAAAGAATTAATTTGCAAAAGAAGCTCGACAACGTCAGAGATGACTCAGAAGTTGTATCGTTTCTAGCTGTACAAAACGAACGACAGCCTAGGAATTCAGCAACAGTCCGTTACGACATGGTGGAAGACCGGAATGTTTTGGAGGGCACTGTTGCCGCAGCATTCTATCCTGTTCCCTCGGCTAACACGATTGCTTCTTCGGGAAGCGCCTTCCGCAGCACGAACAGCACGAAAAGGCCATCAGGTATGTACCATATTTCGTATGAATTTTTTGTGTCTGTAGTATGACCTAATACCTACAATAAGAGCTGCTTGCAGATTTGTGAATGTAAGTTTCCCATTTACCGAGCCGAAAAATAATTATACGAGTATATGTTTCTATGGTGTACCGAAGATACTCTTTTTTGTTCGTGTTGTTGAAGTACACCTTATACTGCTGCTACTGTAGTATTACTGATTGAAATCATGTGCAGAAGGCGGCTCACTTGGTTCGCACCCGCACAATTCTTTGTTGCAAGCGGTCCCATCGACTCAGCACTTGGGATCCACTTTGCCGGCACCGAATATCCCCCCGTTTCCAGCGCTTGGCTCGGTGGAAAACGTACTCTACGAGACCGCCGTTCGTCTGCTGTATGCAGCCGTCAAATGGGCTAAAAGCCTGCCTTCGTTCTTGACACTCCCTTTTCGTGACCAGGTACAATATTACGCTTATGTGTAATTACCGTATATACAGGCAACAGCCGTATAAATATTTTTTGGTTGATCTTTATGCTGCATAAATTAACGCTACAGCCGCCGATCTTGTAAAAATTGTTGACCTTTATATTAGGTCACGTTAAATACAGTTTCCGTGGACAAAGACCAAAACGTTGGTACTTTGCAGATCACTCTGTTGGAAGAAAGCTGGAGTGAGTTATTCGTAATGTGGTCCATGCAGTGGTCATTTCCGTTAGACGGATGTGCCCTGCTCAACGTCTCAGACAAAATCTCCTCATCGTCGACGGGAAGTTTGGACTGGAAGAACTTAACTGATGCTTACAACCGTTTCAAAGCGCTTAGTGTGGATCCCGCGGAATTCGCTTGTCTAAAGGCCGTCGTACTGTTCAAGCCGGATGCCAAAGGCCTGAAAGAACCAGCACAAGTGGAAAATCTGCAGGATCAAGCCCAGATCATGTTAGGACAGCATGTTCGCATAAATCATCCCGCACAGCCAGCCAGGTATGTATTTATGGCATGTATTGTTGCATGAAAGCCCACACTGACAAAATTAATATCGAACGCAGTAACTGGCGGATGTCCAGTGTCCAAGAACGAATATTATGTATTTTTAAAGCTAACGCACTGTAATTTTTGTTTATAATTTGTGCTGCACTAGAAGTACCGCGCAATGTGTAGTGACGCATAGAGTACGAAACCACAAGTTTATTAATTTTTTTCTGTATAAACTATGTACGAACATATCAGTCGTGCACCGGGTTGAGTGGGCTAATTAAATGTAAGGATAACTCCTGATGATGTTAACAAAATTTGTGCGTTATTTTGCAGGTTCGGGAAACTCCTTCTGCTTCTCATTTATCTTCGCCAGATACCTTCAGAAAGAATAGAAAGCGCTTTTTTCCTGCGCTACACTGGAAACACGCCTATGGAGAAAGTCCTCAGCGACATGTACAAAAGCTGAGCTCAACGGCACCGCTACCCGCTAATCCGAATAATTTGTCTGATGATACTGTACCTTTATTGATTTTTTCTTGTAACCTGCAACTGTACAAAAACGAGCAGCCACAACGACAATGTTCCAGAATATAATATGCCTGTACTGAGGCAATCGTGCGGTGATAACCGCAGATAACAATGTCATAGTTTGTCTTACTAGGAATTGGTCAAGTCCAATGACTGCATACAAATAAAGTACTGTACTGTCTGTCATTAACAAAATTAAAACTGAGAAAGCCTGCAGAATCACATGGGCAAGCAATTTAGAAAGCTCAGCTTTTTTTGGAAGCTTTCTCCAGACCGGTGACAAATTTCGTGGGTACCGAGTGCGTTTCTGAAACAAAACCACAGGCGTCAGTCTCGAATGAAGCTAACATTAATACAGCTGCCACTTGCTAATGGATTACGTCGTACGAATAACGCTAGTCAACTGACTCAAATGATACATACGGTAACATTTAGTAGCCCATAAGGAAATGCGACATAAGTTCTGTACGTGAACCACGCAAATCGAAGACATCTCAAAGCTGCTACATACGGAAGAAATATTTGTGGAGGAGTTTTGTCTGATCGCCTTGGATGGTGACGCAGGATGTAATATTATTGGGACCACCTTCTTCGCGCACTCCCACGGTCGCTCCCACTATTTGCTGCAAGTCTCGAGAGATCGCTAAGGGATCCATGCCCAACCCTTCAAAATGTCGCACCACCGTCACCAGCTTGTTGCCAGCCTTTTTCTCCACTTTCACTTCAAGGGGTACAAATTTCCCTTTCAATTCCGAGGAAGTTCCGTTTGTGAAGACGACTTCATGATTCACGGACATTTCTTTGAGAATTCTGTCATGAAGATACCAAATTTATACACATACTTAAAAATCGTGAAAAACAGAAAGACAAACTTATAAAAAAAACCTTAATAAAATCCCATCCGTTAACTGAAAGCAGCTGCAGTTTAACCGAAAACGATACGACTTAAAGACTGCAGAACGATTCAGCTGGCATCCTCAACTTTACACCACTTACTTATCAAAAACTTCTCCCCATTTCATTGGCCAATTTCCTTCGAATTTCATACTCTTTGTCAGGAGAAGATCGACAAGTAATTTATCCAAATTGATGACGGTTTTATCAGCAGGCGATGCTAAGTTATGACTCTTTATGTACTGCGAGACTACATCACGCACAGCGTCGGTAGACCGAAATTCGAATCCTTTTCTATGCGAAACAGATTTATCTCGTCAATGTTAGTCCCAAAATAATGCCTTCTTAATTTTGTACTGACCCCATTTCTTGATGCACATTCTGGAAAAGAGGAGCGACCTTTCCATTAACAATATAGACTTGACGTACAGCAGTCGGCATTCTCAACGCTTTATCCGCTGCTTCAACTGGATCGGCCGGTATGACTTCAATATCTTTAAACCTGCAACAAGCTTATCCTATATCAGACCGAAGAATGTTTTTACATCTATTTTGCCAATTGGGCGTACTTGGTAGTTCACAGTCATACAATCAAAGCCAAAATTCCAGTGTTTCTCACCGAGTGTTTTTCCAGTCAACAGCCGCAATAGCTTCAACTCCTTCCTTAATCTTCATTAAAGTTATTAAACCTGAAGACTGCATTTCCTCCAGAAATTTGCCAAGTTTCCGATAGCTTGTGTTTTTGATTTCAAGCGGTGGATCTGAAATGCGCCGACTATGACAAAAAATATCAATAGAACAGGCATTAGCAGTCATCAAAGATTGAGGATTACGTTACCTGATCTCGAGTAAGTGTTTGTTCAGGGTGCTGGCTAGCATTGGGAGAGAAGTCTCTATAACCCGGGATTTCAGAGTTGTCAGGAATATCTTCTGGAACACTATATCAGGATCACCTATTGGAGAGACGTAAGTCTGTATTTTTGTAATTAACAAAAAATATAAAGCACTGATCCTTTTATGTGTGTACTGTACGTACAATAACAAATCAATGCAAAAAAAATACAAACAATAAGGTTGCTGAGATGAGCTTAAACAAATCTACCTGAAACAACAGAAACATAAATTCTTGTCGCCTGAGGTAAATAGGGAAAACAGCTTCCGGGCGCATTTAAATTACCTTGCACATCCGTGCTGTCACCGCCGCGATCTACTTCGCTGCTGACACCCGGAATTGGTGCTTCTGGTAAATTATCCGCTGCACTGGTGACATTCTCGCTGGAATTATTTTCCTCCGTCAACAATGATGGTTCTGTCGCTTTGGTCACCAACTGCGAGTTTTGTCTATAATCTTCAGCGGTAGATTTATCCCCGAGAGCCCACAGCTCATCATCCACCAAATGCACCATTTCCAACAATTCGCCACGCCGTTCTCCTTCTCCCGCCAGCCGCTGCTTCAGATCGTCACTGTCCATTAGAATTCGCCCCACTCCCACTACCGAATCCGCACCGCTCAGCACCACAGTGGCGTACGCCTCGTTTTTGCGAAACACACACGACTGCAGCGCTTCTAGACAGGAATTCGTCGGTGTGGCACCAGCCAGCATTAATTTGGCTCCTTTCTGCAGTTTAACGACCACTTCCCCGTGTGTAACGAAGGATAAGGGAACCAGTGAAGGGAGCTGCCATACAGCGTAAACCGTGGGCATATACGTGGTAAGGAATGTCGTCTTGGGAATCCGACTAATAACGATATCGTATGCTGCGAAGAACGGCTGCTTTTTGGCATCACAGTAGATGTGGAACGATGTCGGAGCATTTGGCGCAGGTTTGGTTGGCCCAGGGCTGGGCTCTGCTGGGAGGCCAGGGAGGGTTTCGATTTTCAGGCAGAGGATATCTTCTCCATCGGGGAAGATGGATTTCCGCAGATCGTCGGGTTTCAGTCCATTATGCACAATGCAAATCGCTTCAAGCAGATGCTTTCTGAAACAAGTCCGTAAGTTTCCACTCACGTAACTGAGTTAAAACTTAAGACTTACTCTTGAATCTTAGCTACCAGCGAACATTTTCTGCCACACGATACCGTTCACTCGCTCTGTCATTTAGTCGTCGTAATACTCGTACACAAAAACAAGCTACGAACTTCGGCTCATTGAAAGTAAAAAGGTGTATATTTTTCAGCTCTAAATGATGTAATGCGATAATACAAGTGCAGTACCTTTCTGATTTCTTGACGGACGAGTGGGACTTTACTTTCAGGGGCCGTTTGAACATTTCGATTATCGGAAGTTGACGAAATCTAGGGCGTAATCGACGATCAAAAGTCCGGAAACAATTTGCAGTCAAACAAAAGGAATCTACTCGTATTTTTCTTGAATGCGTAGTTTTTTGTTTTTAAAATTTAAAAGACCATTTTTCGTCAGACACCTACGGCTCGGCGAGACAAGCAGCCTACTCCTGTAGCCGCCTACGTAACTGCCGCAATATCTGGTTGGACGTTAGCGTTAACCACCTACCGTGGCGGTTTCGTAGCTAAGTACATTTCGTAGCTTTTCCAGGCTATCAGCTGACGTCGACGAAAAGATAACAACAAGCACAACTTGCACGAAGTACTTAATTAGAAGTTTCATCTGGCGATAAAATATCTACCTAAAAAGTTGCCAATTAGTGGTACCTTTCACCTTTGGAACCACTGGCAATAGCTTCAATAATCCGTAGTTTTTCCGGCTGAAAGATGTTACATTGCCGAGGGTGAAGCTTATAACAGCAACCCAAGCTGCAGACCTTGGAACTGATCGTGAAATTCCTTTGGAACGACGCAAAAGAAAAAGTGCTCGCGAAAAAATGGGGTATGGCAGTTTCCTTGCGCCTTACAGCAAGGAACTTACTTACAAAGTGTAATGACTTTCTCTGCAGGAAAGTCACTGTCGGAGGTGTGGAATTCGTGGACATTTTGCATGTCCCAATGGAGCGACGACTGCAAACCCTTGCGGCGCTCGGTGCATTCCTGTCGTTTGCATTCGGTGGTGCGTCGGCCATTGTGTTCCTCGTTTACCTGCTTTTCACCCGATTCTGGTGGGTAACGATGCTTTACATGGTCTGGTACATCTACGATTGGGATGCCAGTAGTCGCGGCGGACATCGTCTCGAATGGGTTCGTCGCTTGAAGTCCAACCGATATCTGCGGGATTTCTTCCCGGTTACCTTGATAAAAACTGCCGAGCTCAGTCCGGAGAACAACTACATTTTCGGGTACCATCCGCATGGAGTGATGAGCATGGGTGGCTTTGTCAATTTCAGCACGGAAGCGACGGGCTTTTCGGAGAAATTTCCTGGTATCCGACCATACTTGCTCACGCTGAAACTGCTGCACCAGTTCCCCATGTATCGCGAATGGCTGACTTTATTCGGAATTTGCGACGTTAGTCGGCAGAGCATTGATTATATTTTGAAAGGCAAAGGAAATGCCGTTATTATTGTTATTGGAGGAGCCAAGGAGTCGATGGATGCCAATCCAGGCGAAGCGACGATTGTTCTCAAGAACCGCAAAGGCTTCGTCAAAATGGCACTCCGCCATGGGTTAGTTAATGTTTTAGTTTTTGCAGGCCTTATCCCGTTTTGACTTTGGGTTTTGAATTATATTTCATTTGTTGTTACATGCGTAAAAAAATGGCTTGATTTTAGGTATATTAGGCTTGGTTTACGTTTGCTTGATTTACAGCTTAGAAAAGTTCAGTTATGGTAACAGTAATCGTTTTCTTTCCTGGATTTTCAGGATAAGTTGATTATTTTAGCATTCAGGTTTAGATTCTGCGGAACTTGGTAGTAATTGTTGATTCATTAAACAGTGATTTATTCACAGCAATTCCAGCACCTTGTTGAATACTTGAAAACGTTCGAATTATCTGAAACATTTGAAGGTGGAACTTATCTTGGTAGTGTTTTTATTCAAAAGATAACTCTAATTAATAAATTTAAAAGTTATTAAATGGAGTTCACTCTTCGTCTTGCACGATTGTTGAACATTACACGTCAAACCTCTCATATTTCAGGGCTCATTTGGTTCCCGTGTACTCGTTTGGCGAAAACGACATTTATTATCTGGTTCTAAAGAATGGACCGGGGTCCAAAACACGACTCTTTCAGCGATGGTGGCAGAAGTTGTTTGGATTTGCCCCCATCCTCTTCGCTGGTCGCGGTATCTTCAACTATAACATCGGTTTAGTCCCGTATCGTGTCCCGATTAATACGGTGGTGGGTAAGCCAATTCCTGTGGAGAAGGATGCAAATCCGTCCCAGGAGAAGATTGATGCTCTTCATGAAACTTACATGAGCGAGCTGGAAAAACTTTTCAATGAACATAAGGCTCATTTCGGCTACAAAGAGCTGTCGATAAAATTTGTTGAATGAAATGCTGAAACCGGTATGTATTGTGAAGTGATGTGTCAGTATTGTAAAAAATGTTTTATTGGACTGGCTTCCTATGGTTTTAAGTTTTTTAAAAGTATATGGTGTATTAGCAATCAATGCATTATAATTTGTTTTATGACTTTTGTTGCTTCCATTTTCAACGGGGCGGTTCTGCTGAAACTTTTTGTTCAAAACTAACGTTTACGTCTATAACTGAATTAAAGAGAAATTTGAGTTACAGAATGTCCCGCTTGTTGAAAGGATGTTTGCGCGTTTTCGACGTGCACGTTTCCCACTGTTTTCAACAGTACGTGAGTTGTTTTGGCATTGGACAATGAACAGTGCATTTTCGAATTACAGTTTAGTCCAAGTAATTAATATTACATTTAATATTAATCACTTTAACATTGCGAAAAAACCCAGCAGATGGCAAGTGGCAGCTATTGCGATTCGATCCGATATATAAAAATCAATGAAACGATTACTTATCATTTTGTTATTTACATACTGCTACAAATCAACGCCATTAAGGTTAAATTTTGCTTAATATCGACCACACACGAAGCGTTTAAGCACTTTAATGCATACAGTGTTTCTACCGATGTACTTGTAGGTATGTAAATCAACAATTTTGGTGACTGAAACACTGTATGGGTAAAGCATAGTACCGTTCTGTACTTCGTTTAATACTTTTCTTAATAAGCCGCATATTATTAAAGGGAAGCTGTAGGTGAGAGCAGCAAAATGATCATATCAGTTATTAGAATCAAATGAAGCGATCTACCGCATTGACTGCTTTATTCAAGCCTTTTTTGTTTGGTGAAAAATAAAACAATGGGAAAACAAACATAGAGACAAACGCGCCATACAATCTGCTGTGTTTGCTTTCCATTACGTTGCGCCTGAATAAAATGCAGTATGTGGACAATACAATAAAAACAGAAGACAATAATAGTGCCGGTTTGTATGACGCTTTCCACTGCCATAGTGCGCGCACCGATTGTCTTCAGTACGTGCAGGTGTCATTCTATCAATGGACAACCTTGAACGTGGAAGAAAAGTGCCATCAATTCAACACAACAAAAAGCGAGTACGCAAATTTTCTACATTTCCACCACTGCGAAATGTACGGATTCCGGTATATTCGATACTGTTGAATTTGCGTGGCTGATTGCTTATTATTGTGAGAAGAGATCTTTATATGGCCGAAAGTACCACCGCCAGTTTTACTAAAGATTCAGCGACCTTAAACGAAAGCTGCACTATTTAAAAGTACTTCATAGCAACTCAGTATCTAGAAAAAAATTACATTGTTTGCGTTCATCATAAATATCTGAGTTTGTTAATGTTAACATGAAACTGCTGCGGTATATTTCGTATTATTTATTGGCTGCGGACATATATCGTGTTTCTCGTCTGCGCACATTTAATGTCTCTTGAATTAATAGCTTTGACAATCGGATCAGTAAACTGTTAGCTGATGTTAAATATAATGAAGATCTATCGCGGTGAAGTGCTGATTCAAAAGAGCCTGATTTCTTTTCTCAAGTTCAGAATACACATATCAGCGCGAACTAATACGTTTGGTCAGTTATTAACCGGTGAAAGCAGTGTTTACAAGAACATATATGAACACACACAAATATATAGACTCTTAGCAAGTGCCACAATATGTACCATCTAAAGAGCTTTACAACTGTGTATGTACAGAGCAGATTTTGTAATGAAGATTTGAATTGCCATCCAAACAATCCAAGTGTTAAATGCATACATACAAAGATAGCTTAGCCAAATTTGTTCAGAAATACAAGTAGCAAATATCAATTTTACTATTCCCGTAAATATCTCTTAAACGGCACAGGCAGCGTATGTGCATGAGCAATAAAATGCGTCGTTCTTCCACAGACAACAGCTGATCGTGCAATTGGTTCTCCCTAAATATAATAACCGATTACCGACGAATGACACAATTGTCACATAATTAAGGGCTACTGCATTTACGGAGTTTGTTAGAAGTCTAGAATACATCCATCAATAAATTACGCTGAATCTCCGTAATTACAGCCTTGTTGTGCTGTGAGCAACTGAAAAACTGGTAGTGAACTGTGTTTGGTTCTCTGGCTTCAAAGGTCACAGGCGCGCCTAATATACTATTACATATCTGGTAGAACATTGGCTGTAATCTCAAAGTAGGACACAGCGCGCGGTCGTGTGTATGATGGAAAACTTTTTCGAGAACACACTTATATGCATCCTGAGAAGTATTTTTAAAACATATTTTCTCGATGGCACCAGTGTCATCGTATATCAAGAATCACTTCATGCCAGCCTAGACATCTCGATGATTCGATCAATCTTTTTCTGTTCTTTATGATTTATGTGAAACGTCCAAAGCGCCATTGACGGGATCTTGCAGCAGAAATAGCTTGCCGTATCTACTTTGGACGGCGTAAAATTTGAAATTTCGAACCTACTCATGGGTTTGATCACACTGCTTATACGTAGATAAGTTGCAAAAGCCTTTCTTTTATCTATTTTACTCTCACAGGTATGCATGGAAAAGCACTTCAAATATAGACAGCAGACCTAGCAGAGATAAGTTTGCGGTAATTTACCGCCCTGATAATCGTATGCTATAGCTGGAATAATGCGCTTTTGTGGAATGCAAGCGTTTAAAATCAATATTCAAATAAATAAGAAAAAGGACCACCATATGCCGCGATACTTCACTAAACACAATCATCATAATTATTACATACAAGTAGTTTTATCGCAGACCATACGTGTCATTATATGACCCTACGCAAGACGGCAAGATCTAGAGCTCTACATATTTTAGAAAATTCACGGAAGACAAAACTTCATGAGCTTGTACACCTATATAATTTCTATGTATGCAGCGTAAAATAATTTTTGAATAGCCCAAGTAGTAGTTCAACGTGCTGTTTTCCTTTACTAAACTGAGAAAATAAAAGTGCGCCAGTGTATTTCGGTAATCAGCAGGCTGGAGATAGCCACACGTCTTGCAAGAAGCAAGCAACCGAGCTGATCGTTATGTATGGAAGTATGCAGTCTGAAGAATCTTTAAATTATTGATTTTCTATAAGAGCGATGCAGGCGGCTCGGCATGTACTGTCTACTAATTTAAAGTAAACATGCATCACCATAATGGTGCATAAAAATATAATTGCTTTGATCGAGCTGACCACCTATCGGCCCGTTTAAATGTCAAATTAACGGAATCGACATTACGCGGCCAGAGTGTGAACGCTGACAACCAGTCGGAAACAGGTTCACACACCGGCACAAGCTAAGACAGGCAGAGATCCGTTAGTTGTCCTAATGGGTGTCCTGATGAAAACAGCGGCGTAAAGCGTCTTGTGGTTGTGGATTGAAATTTATATCCATGTTGTGGAGGGAATAATGTACTCTTAGCGCACTGCGAACTATTGTCATGCTAGACAATGCCGGAAAAGGTTTTGGATGAAAAGGCCAAGAGAGCGTTGACGAGTAAGGCCACAACAAGTAAGACATAATTTGAAAGGAAACGAGAGCATGTGAAAAGAGAGAGAAAGAGAGTGTGTGCGCATTGCCAGGCAGAGGAAGCGGTTCAATCTATCTAACGATGTGGTTGGCATGGTCAATTGGAGCACAACTGAGGGCCAACGAGGTTGAACGAGGTGAACTAATATTGACTCAGTAAATGCCCAACAAACTCATTATGAAGATGGAGAATATCAGCGCTTATGACATATTGCTGGCTTGTTTGTCGCACTGTTTTGCATTCTTTTAAGCATTTTAATGTACGACGGAAACGTAAAAGAGTCATGTATAAACGTATAAACAGGAGGACAAACACAGATTCGGACCCCAATGTTACATACATAATTATAGGCAGAAACATTTAAGATAAGCTGCAAAAGCTATTATCGACCATTTGTTGAATTTAATCTGCGACATCAGTTTTACTTACTTCAGTTTTTATGTGTTCATTACGATTAAAGTTGTGATCATGAATTAAACGAGTGACCTTCTGCTACCTGAACATCGGTAAATTTTGTATAGTTTTTGGTATTTCGTATATATACGTACGTATCAATGTTTGCAAATTGCTATCACTACTTCTATTGAAGGACATAAAAAGTGAAATAACGACCGAATAATTTATTGAAATGTTGATAACAATTACAACCACACAGAGCCAAATGAGTTTCTGCTGATGACAGCAAATTTTCTGCCGCATATTTGACATTTATTCCAGTTTTGATTGACAAGAATTTCCGCCAAGGATCAAAGCCTCCGAAATAAAGCGCGCACAACTGAAAATGGCTCTCACGACGTCGTCGCTTGAATATTTAGTGCCATCGAAACGGAGCTGTGTAATGCACAAACGCCGGTGCGAATAGAAACGAACAACGACGACGCTCCATATTCTCGAATTCATGGTGCAGTATGTCTGCCGTCAAGCCATACAAACGCGAGTTGATCAAAAGCAAATCCGTAATAATCGCGTTGGCGTCAGCGGAATTGTGGCAATGTTTGTTTTAGATTCAAGCTCAAAGTGCATTACGCTTGATGGAAATTCACCTACCTGTCGTTCTTTTTATCGCGCCACTCCGCGAGGGACTACGACATATACAGCGTGCGCACCTATCCGTCTCACACGGAACTCTTTTGCTCTCGTCGCTCGACTTGATCTGGCGCTGGCTAAACACTCGGCTCATTTCCAATCGGCTTATGGCTTACCGGAAATATTTTTCACCATCTTCCAAATATAAGCCTCTGTCAGATGAAAAGGTCTCAAATTGTCATTTTATGCTGCAGCGAACGGAATCGCAGCCGAAGCCGAAAAGGTCACGGATTTTGTAACATCTGTGCAGCTTTATTTTAATGACCTGTAGACGTATATACGGTAATTTAATAATGAGTCATTGACCTCATTTTCGATAAGAATACGCACAAACAACAGCTTATAAACCATACGGTTTTGATAGGATTAATGCCTCACGGATAATTCGCTGCTAATTTGTTGAATCATTAACCACAGTGGCGTCCGGTATTTGAATACACTGACGTCTATGGCGAAATGTCTATATACATCGTCAGCAAGTGCAATTGTAACCGCACACATTGAACAGCGCGTTCGGCAATAGAGTGGACTTATTTATTTAAAGTTAAGAGGGTTCTTCAAAATTATTAAAAATGAGATAGTTAGGCAAATAATACCTGAACTTGAAAGCGCAAAGATTTTC